GAACTTTGTGGGTGACAGGGCGAGTCGGCAGCTGAGCTATCCCCGTTGTAGCTTCAGCTGCTTACTCCGGCTCTGGTACACAACGTTTCTTTTTTTTCTCTTTGGCTATCTCCCCCTTCGATATCATCTCTCTCCTGCAGAACTTCTGCGTTACCACAAGAGTGTCAGATTCTGTGGGGATGAAGTGAAACGTCTCACGGGCCATCTCTCTTTCTTGGTCTCACTTTTTTTGGTAAAAGGTTGGACGGAGGCCAGAACTCGTAGATTGTGTGGAAAGAGACCAGATACAACCAACACAGGTCCCCTTAACACACACCTCCCCCATGTTGAAAATCAATGCGCCGGTTGATCTGTACGATTCCTGGGTACACATCTCCAATCCCAGTTGCAATGGGAATGTCGTGATACCTAGACGCCTCATCTGTTGCCTCGCCGTTGCACAACTTACAAGTTGGCAGTCCGGACCGTATTGACAAGGCCCGCCCTTGTAAATTGGGTTATGCGTGTCTCGCGGAGGTAGATTTCAGCGCCGACGTGCTCAGCAAAGTGCCCCATGCGGCCCATAGCGGTTACGGTAACTGTAACTACCTGGGTAAGCTCGAACCCTTTTTTTTATGTTTTGTTTTTATTAACCACGCTGGCCACAAACACACCACAGCCGAATCACTTGTCATGATCATGCCACATCATCCAACTGGACAAACGGGATCTGCGGAGATGAGATGCAATGACCTCAAACCATGACACCCCCGACCCCCCATCCCGACTTCGCAGACAGATAAGTCGAAAGTCTGATACATCATATGCGTATTTTCTGTAAGCATATTCCGTACGCCCTTTGGAGGGGCCCTGGGGCCTGACCGAGTACGTGTAATGCGGTTGCCCATCATCGTGGAACTCCGTCCCGCAGCATCAGCAACAAAAGCGGTGGGCCGAAATGCGAGAAAATGGCTCCCTGCGCGATCGAGGAGATGCCCTTTACCTCGGGCGACATTGCGCGTGTGCGTTCTGGAAGACCACGCGAGCCAAATTCTCCATCTAAGCCTTTCCGTTTGGTCGAAACGCCCTGTGCTGCGTCGTGCAACAACATTTTTCACCCCCATGTTTTATATCTCTGGTGCGGGCAAAGGGCTTCACCCTACTGGACGGGGGGGCGATCCGGCGTCGCAGGGTTCCGGTGCCCGCGCGAGAAGAGGTAAAAGGTAATTCTCTGTTCTGTGAGCAGAGTCTCCCGGAGTGAATGTCCCTTATCCTCGTCTCCTTCCTCGTTCTCTTCTCTCCCACCTCGTAGCTCGCACGAACGAGAGTGTAATCGCCTGACGTTCTGGACTGATCACGGTCTGGTGCGCGACTTTTTCGAGATCTGTGTGTCCGCTTCCCCGCTTCGCCACGCAGGACGAGCTCAGGTACGAAGTCCCCCTCCCTTGTCCCACCTATGGATTTTGGGGGTAGTGGAAGCAATAAGGTACTATGTAGATCCCTGTGATAGGGGATGATAGGTTGGGAAGATGTTGTGCAATATGGGAATGGTGCCGAATATCGCAATGAATTCCGACAACATATCGTTTGTCAAGCGAGAACCCTCTGCATGTGGGCAGGACATTTAGGTATATCCGGCTGTGTGGCAAGAGATACGTTATGTTAGCCGTGGACCATTTCGTCCGCCGCCAAGCTTGCCTGAGCGCTATGCAAGTATAGACAAGGGTAAATGGGGTTCAATCAGAATTTCGGCGGTGCCGTAACTCCGCGGAAGCTTCGGCAGCTGGGCTAGTTTGACGGTGGCTTGCCAAGCCCGGGACGTTGAAAGGTACAAGTTCCGCGCCGTCAGCATCTCTGGCCTGTTCTCATCCCCTGGTCTTGGTCCTGGGGTCGAATGCAGGCAAGCCTCGGGGGGGCAGGTGTTTGAAGAAGCCGCGCATGCAGAGCGTGCTGCGAAGCCCATCGCCGAATATACGGATAGGACTTTAGGACTCCATGTTAATATGACCAAGTATAGTTAGTTATAATACGAAAGAGAAATAATCTACAGGCTATAATTGCTGCCTAGGCTGCGCCCTGATACGATTATTGTACTGCTAGTCCTTGCGTAAAATTTTATGGAAGAAAATCAAGCAGATATATCAAAAGGAGTAAGAATAAGTGCATATTACTTTTTTTTCCTTTGAAAGAGAAACACAGTAACAGCGTAATGTCCTACACTTATAATCAATCCTGACAGCCCCTCTTAGATACGTAATACTGCCGTCATTGACGAGGACTAGGAATGAGCCGCTTCTTCAATACGAGACGTTTGCAAGGGACTCCTAATAGTTTTGTGTGTGTTAAGACGTTAACAGTATGGTCTGACACACCTGGCATCCTAGGAAGTAGATGGCGATATTCAAGTTCAGTTTGGGTTAGAAAGTGTTTGCTTTCCTGCCAGATCTGGAGAGCTGAAAACTAACTCTAGCCCCATTCTCACCCACCGTCTCTTTTGTATTAAGGGAAAGCTACAAGTCATGAACAATTGCTATGGTAAGAGAAGCCGAGGAGGGATAGAAAAGTACCAGGTAAGTGAATATCATCACGAAGTTTCCATTTACAAACGTATGTCGGTGTTCCCATTCTTCGTTATGGCAAGAGGTCACCCCACTCCAGCCCCTATTCACCTAATTCCCCGGATACCAACAATCAGGTACAGCCCTGTAAGAAAGGGGTTAGTTATATTTAACCCTGCGATAATCCTAATCCTGGGGCAGTCGTTTCCAACTCCGACTTTGGTCGGCGATGCTTTATACGGAATACGCCATTGACCGTGATGGTGGACATTGACAGAGAAATGGTGACCGGGGTGTCTAAGGAGCTTCAATGGATAAGAATGCGGCATTTAAGAGAACTATCTTCCGTAAGCTACAGGGATTGAGTTTTCATGGGACAAAGTTGGTGGCCTAATGGGGTCAATTATATCCGCGTTGCTTAATACGCGTAATTACTGCACGAAACGCGCATCGGAACCCCCTCTATGGTGTTCGTATCGAGACAAAGTAGCAACCATCGGCCTTTTATTGGAGTATATCGTGTGAAAGGAACTGCCGGAGACATTGTACCTTACGAATTGGAGATGATATATGAGGGATGGGATTGAGGTGTTCCTCGAAGTAGATGGTAGGTATCAAGTAGTAAGTAAACATGCCAACCGCTGATCACACTCTATATTTAAACGGCATTAACCTACAGCTACAATTCCATTCGATGGCGATACAAATCAGTAAGGGAGTCCTAGGTACTTTGAGGAGGCCCGAATTACAGGAAGTAAATCTACATGTCGTAGATATGATATAAGCCAAATTGTCCGTAAGTTACGGGAAGCTCGAGCAAGGCTATTGACGCACTTGGAAATATCTATAAATTATCTATATAGGACCGAAAGGTTTATTACTTTAGGTAGGTAGACTAGAGAAAGCATCTTGGCAGCAATGGATACATGACCTGTCAGTTCGGTTTTTAGGTTCTTAGGAGGGATCTACTTTAAGAAGTATCGTAAAGCAACCCTTAGTATATCATGGTCAGATTAGAAAATAAACATTTTTACCTTAGATATTGTACCTTACATTAGGTATGGCACCCCTTAAATGATGATGACTTTATCTCTACGTCTCCTGACCCCCACCTTGTTACAATAGGTCTTTGTACTTGTTTCTCTAGGCTTCGCAAAGGTTAGCTGCCTCCTTAGGTACTTAAGGCAAGATGATACGAGTACTGTAACATAAAGCTTACAGTTACCAGTATTTGAGACTTGAAGAGTAAAGAGACTATTGATTAGCTTTTAAACAGCGTCTCAGAAGTTTTTTCAAGCCAATGGCGGGCATCAAGCATTACACGGAAAAGCTACGTGGGCTTTTAAAACGTCGCCAACAAGAATTCCTTGTAGCAGAAAAAGTAATAAAGTATATAGAGTTAAAGAATCGAGATATGTCGTAAGCTACCTCTTAGGTGTTTACCAGACAAATACTCTGTTAATATAGAGTAATGCTACACGGAGATTACCCCATAAAAACAGCTATATACAATTACATGAAAAATTATAAGTATTATGATATTTTTACTTTAATTATTTACTAGCATTATGAGTGTAAATAATTATGTAATTAATATATTTAAATTTTTTTAAATAAATAAATTAATAAATATTATATTTATTAAATTTATATATAAATAATTTATAAGTAAAAAAAAATAATTTATAAATAAAAAATTATAAAGTTTAATATTTTTATAATTAATTATATTTTATATTATAAATTAATAATTAAAAAAATTACATTTAAATTTAAAATAAAATTTTAATATTTTTTAATACGAATAAATCTTAAAATAACTTTATAAAAGGTAATAATTTAAGTAATTTTATGTAATTTTATGTAATTTTAATTAAATTAATTAAATTATATTAAATTATATTAAATTATTATAATATAAAAAATTAAAAAATATAAAAATTATATATATTATTATTATTAAAATAAATTATTATTAAATATTAAAAAATAATGTTTTTTTTTAACAATTAACAGGTTTTTAACAGGTGTTTTAAAGGCTTAACACAGGTAATAAAGTAGTACAAAATATAAAAGGTTAATATTTAATTAGTTAATTTTAAAGGCTATGTACTTTACATGCAAATTTTAGCCTAGCAGCTACTTACAGCTGTTTTGTGGGATAATCTCCGTAGAAGGACTGGCAAGGTAATCTCCGTGTAGCATCACTCTTAATATAATCCATCCAACCCTGTAAAAGGCCAGAGCCCCTATCTTCATCGATTAAAACGAAGAGACACAAATACTTGAGTTCAACTTATAGGGGGTGTCTGGTACGTATGCTGTCATTTTTACATCGTTAGCAGTCAAATCTCTGTAGACTACCTCATATATGTTATTGCTGGATAGCACAAGCTTCTGGTAGGTAGGATGTGAAACCTAAGAAATGATTTAGGCGCTTAATGATGAAGTCATATAAGTATATGGCGTTATAAAGAGTATATAGGATGATAGCGTATCAAGTTTTAGATAATGATTATTTTACCCCTTAATACGGTTACTACATAGGCCTAACCTTAGGTTAGGTACCTATCTTTGAGCTATTGATAAGTTAGAGGCGACCCTATGGTGTTTAATAACCCCGACTCGAAGTTAAGAGCTACCCGCACATCGACGCCGTCACCTTTCCGTAAATTTTCGGAGCCATCCTTTTTCGCAGCAAAGTAAACTGGACTTTGCTATATGTCATATATGCATCACGACCTATTTTCAATATTACATTACATATCGCTGGAGACTTCCCTTATTTGGCCTCATGAGACGACTGTGGCCGTGGCACAAACTGAATCTCAACCTCTGTTGTGCGTACAATGCCGTTGTACGTCATAATCTCTTCTTCGCTGGTCGTAGGCGAGTGGCTCCGTATTTCTGTCCGTCCCTTCATGTTTCTCAGAGCAAAGGATGACGTGCCGTAGAGATGATCCCCCTTTGGGCTGTCCCCGTTTGTGCTAGGCTTGTCGGTGTTACCTGTATCGTTCAACGCATACGGTCCATCTCTGTAACGGTAGTTCTGATTGCCAGTCCCACGCAGGGAGGAGAAGAACCGAGGGAACCAAACCATGAATAGGGGTCGTAATGCTGGGCCCGACGCTGTGATTATTGCCAAGTTCGTTTCGACGGCGGAATAAGTGAATCGAATATCGTAGGAGTAATCGAACTTCATTTGGTAGAGAGACGTCTCGATGATCCACAGCAACCGAAGGATGCTAACAACAGTGACACTGAGAACATACCGTCTGTTAGTTCCCCCCACCTTCTGGCTCATCTTATCGGCTGGATATGACTTACACCGCTCCTAATAAGAACACCACCATTATAGCGAACTTAACCTTGGGCGCCATTTTCAATCCCATGAATATCCAGAAAGGAAGAGCCAGAACGAGCACGTCGGTGAATATCGTCAACGCCGCAGTCGTCACATAGAATATACCAGTGTCGATACACTTTCCTTGCATTGTCGGATTGGTAATGCGTTCCCAAAAGTACGAGATCGGCGAGCACTGGAAGATCGCAGTAACAAATATAGCGATCATCAAGCCGATGGTAAAAATATTGAGGGCGTGGATCGAATATCTAATTCGTCGTCGTTGCCCCCCTATTCGTAGGAGGAACATCAATACGGAGCACTTGACGAGCGCGAGTATCGGGTTATATAGGATTTGTATCACATAGTTCCAATACATTCCGAGACTGACGTCGGCTGTCCTCGGAATATCGTAGACGTGCACTCCAAGGAATGCCGCGCGCATTGCTGTCGTAGCAGAAGTTAGTTATACCTCGCTCCGCGTAGTTATATGGCCAAGCCATTCCTCTTCCATGTACATACCCATGTAAGAACACCCCGTCTCAGCGATCGAGAATATCTTGACTTATGTGAGCGGCACCATATAAAGAGGAAGAGCGACCTCTTACCATAGCCAGACATGCCAGGCTATCATCTGATGGATGTGGTCAGTTACAAACCCAAGATAATAATAGAAGCAGGTATCCGGCATAACGCCATCACTACTTCGCTAGTGAATGACTTACCCCAACCGAACTGCCTGCTTTTTACTCTCCCATAGACCCTGAGCCCCACGACAATAAGCGCGATCGACGGGAAAAAGAACAATATGAAAAAGCCTCCTTGTTGGAGGGATGAATATGGATATTCGTCAGTGTCGGCCCCAGAAGGCTTGCCTATCCCATCAGCCCGCTGCCTCCTCGCCACATCCGATATGAAAGGATATAGAGAAGACTCCATTGCAGGACGGGCCGCCAGTTACGCAGCAGATCCGTTTGACCATCCAGAAATTAAAAAGCGTCGCTTGCTCGAGCTGCAAAGACGGCTTCCTCTATATAACGATTATTGCCCTACATATTACGCAGCATGCAGTTTGAATTCAGGGGTCTCCGACGGGCTTTCATACGGCTTGGTATTTCCTTGTTTGACAGTAGTTTTTCGCATTCAGCCTCTTTGCTTCAATACATCACATCCCTATTTGGTTAAAAACATTTCTGTCACTGGGGTTGGCAATGTAAGGACGGGATCTTTCTGTAGCCAAGATGCGTTTTAGATGAACTACTCTACGATTATTTGCTCATGATTGCTCGGTTATGCTGATGTCGACGGCATTGCCCTGCAATGCGACTGATAGTGCTTTTAGGTCTATCCGAATTACGTGGTTATGATACCTAGTAGTCAACATTCATAGTGTTTGATGTTGGAAGGGAGCGTAGATTATGCTAGGTTAGATATCATGAGGGGTCATACACCACGTCAAGATGACCTTTGATGAGACAACATAAAGCTTACCTCTATGCCGTGTCTGCAAAGCCGACCGCAAATTGTTTCATGGCCACACATACTCGATTCGGCTTGTTTGCCCTCACAACCAGGAATACTACTTATTATGCTATTACGCATAAAATCACCGATGCCGCCCTTCAACGAACTCGCGCGGTGGCAAATATTCTCGATGGTCAGCTAGTGAATCATAACCGAGATTCGATATCCTATAACGTCGCAGTGCAGCGGAGAGATTGGACACAAGGATATTATCGCTGAGAGGATCACAGGGGTATAATGCGAAGAAGAGGTCGAGAACCCTGAAAATCTAGAACACGGTCCGTCTTTGAACTGCATTATTCATGAAGTTATACCTTGGGGTGGAAGTAACCCACCCCGTTGGCATTAGGGATCGCACCTCATGATGGATTAGCAGCGTCCGTTTTATTCGTCGCGCTATTTTATCCGGGCCGCACGCAGATGCAACCGGAGTGCAAGGGTCCGGGCAGAATTTGAACCTCTCCCTTTGACGGGTTTGTCGGGACGGAGAGAGAAATTTTTTTCTATTGCGAACGAGCAAACGTGGTCACGTATTCGGATTCAACGTCCACTTCAACTGATATTACCAAGCCTACCTGCATATACAGTGAGGAGGAATCTAGGATTATTCGATACTGTTTCTAGATTTCCAGATTGTTAAACGTCAACCAATAGTCGTTGGTCGACCTGCTTATACTGCTTTTCCATGCGAAGGCGAGGATATGATAGCTTCAATTGCAATATTTACTATCTCATCTCTGCAGCTTAGAGTAGTTTAACAAATGGGCTATCGGCAAAGCTTTATGGGCGTTTCTATTCGTATTAGACATCTGATCCTCATGCAAGGGATCTGCAGCCACTGTAGTAATTTGATGGTGACCGTCGTCGGTCACCCATGCTGGGCGCCCTGGCACCGCAGACGGCCAGAGGAGCCCTAGCCGGAATCCTTACCGGATCCGAAGAAACTATCGTATCGTAAGATACAATAAGTACCTAATATGAAATATATACGGCGACGACGGGCTCTTTTATTCACCTGTTTGCTATGCCCAAAATATCTTGTTGATTCCCCAAGTTGCGCCACCTGAGCTTGTGCCGGATCTCTGGGCACGTGTAGCTCCGATGGGTTGCCTTAGAAAAGCCGTCGCGGCAACTTTCTTGGCCCACGTGTTGCCCTCCGTACATTCCCAGACACTGGTCATAGACAACAGGACAATTTGTTAGTTCAAGTTCAAAATACCAAGTGCTATATTATGAGATATAGTAGTTAACATCTTTATCCAGCGGCCAATGAGTCCACAGTTGCACCAGCTGTAGCCAGCGTCGACGCAGGTTTCACAAACTCAACTGCAGATCTGTTCGAAGGAGAGACCCTGCAGCTGACTGAAGCCGTCTTGGCTAACCTGACTGCCCTGGAGCTGTCCAATTTCACGTTATTCAGCTTCCAGAATGAGTCGGAATTAGCGGAAGTTTTATCTAAACGGTCCCTATCTGGGTTGTGCAAGACGTATCCAGACGACCCCTTTTGGCCTTTCCCGTCTACTTGGGAACTCTTCAATCTCCTTCTCGGCGGCGGCTTAATCCAGACCGTTCCTTATGCATCGTCTTGCTACGACTCCTTTGGAAATCGCAACGCGTCCAGATGCGATTTCATCACCAACAACTGGATCAATGCATCCATCTACCAGTATGATCGTAAATTAGGCAATAGCAGAAGGAGCTTTACTAACGCCCTATAGTACCGAGGATCCTACGTCGGTCAATGCCGTGCTGTTTCAAGGGGCTACTTGCATGCCGCCGGCATTTGTACCTTCAAAGAAGGGATGTACAGTCGGTGGCTATCCTGCCTACTCAGTATCTGTCCGCAATGTAGCGCAGATCCAGCTTGCGGTTAACTTCGCGCGGAATCTTAATCTACGCCTGGTGGTCAAAAACACCGGCCACGACTTCAGCGCCAAGTCGGTCGGGATGGGTGCGCTGTCGATTTGGACCCATAACCTGAAAGACATCCGGTTCTTTAAGAACTACCGGCAAGGGCGCTACAGTGGACCTGCTTTCAAGCTCGGTACTGGTGTTCAGGCCTTCGAGGCGTATGAAGCTGCTAGGAAGAATAACGTCACAATAGTTGGAGGCGAAGGCCGCGTGAGTTTTACATGCCCCTGAACGGTAGTAACGAGATTCCTAACGAAGTTGCATAGACTGTGGGTGTGATGGGTGGCTATCTCCTAGGTGGCGGCCATTCCCCCTTATCTAGCCTCTACGGCATGGCTGCCGATCAGGTACTATCGATGGAGGTTGTCTTGGCTGATGGCCGGTTCGTTACTGCGAGCGAAACAAGCTATCCTGACTTATTCTGGGCTTTGCGGGGCGGCGGAGGGTCAACTTTCGGAATAGTGACATCGGTTGTTGTCAAGGCGCATCCGAAGATCAAAGTCACAACAATGACCTATGTTCTGGCGACCGGACCAACAGTCACGTCTGTACAGTTCTGGGCTGCCCTGCGCGCGTTTTTTGACGGCTTCATCGCATATACGGATGCCGGCAACTATGAGTACTTCCGAATTTCGAAAGTCGGTAACGACCAATATGTCTCCGACATGGGCCCGTGGTTCGCCCCCGGAATGTCCAAGTGTCAACTCAAAGCCCTGGTGGCCCCTTTACTCGCCAAATTTAAAGAGTTGGGCGTTGAAGTTAACCCAGTCTACACGGAATACGACGACTTCTATGACGCATGGCTTGCAAGTTTCCCTGTCGAACCGTGGGGAAGCATTGCTATCCGGCAGGCTAGTCGTTTATTTCCGAAATCCAATTGGCAGGATGCTGCGAAACTCAATGCTACCTTCGATGTGATTAAGAATGTTGTTGAAGAAGGTGCATACGTAGTGGCATTCAACATCGCCGCCGCCCCCAAGACTGGATATCCCGATAACGCTGTTAACCCGGCGTGGAGGAATACCGTCATGCATGCTATTATGGCGTCCTTGTGGAATACCACCAACACAGCTTCAGACATCAAGACCGCGAGCGATAAACTCACCTACGGCTGGATGCAGCGTTGGAGGGACGTGTCGCCCGGAGCCGGCTCATACATGTCGGAGGCGGATTACATCGAGCCGAACTTCACGCAAGCTTTCTTCGGGAGCAAGTACCCCAGGCTGTATCAGCTCAAGCAGCTATATGACCCGTTCGGCGTCTTCTATGCCCACACGGCCGTCGGGTCCGAAGACTGGAAGATGTCTGAGATGATACTGGGCAACCTACCGTCGCAGAACAGCAGGTTGTGTAGACTTTAGATTATTAGAGTACCATGTAGACTAACAGTCCATTCTGTCGCCTTGACGAATTTAGCATTTCTTATTCGCATGAAGGTTACGTTTGCGTAACCTTTCATAGCTGACTACCTACCTTCTTTTTTAGCTTCTCATCTTGTTTTTATATTCGGCGGCGACAAGGATTTCATGTACCAGACTCGAGGACGTATAGAGATGTAATGTGCGCAATATTTAACTACATACCATACACTTAATAGGCTACATGTACTCAAATTTAATTGATTATTATTATTATCATCCTTACAGGGATACCTCCAATCACTCTGCATACCTCTTATAAGTCAAAAAGTGTCTTCACCATCGGCATCCTGGTCGAATTGACCAAACAGACCCTCGTGAGGCTCTGCTGCGCCAGCCCAAGAACCAACCGTACAGTAGTGCAAATCATTATGCGGCTGTTCTGGATTGTGGCCCCCCGGCTTATCATCGTAAAGAAAGTTTGGGAATATTGGTTCAGCAATTGTTGCTTCACTAGGGTCCCACGAGTATATATCCGAATTTCTACGCTGCGCTCTGTAGAAAGGGGGAGGGGCACTTGGCACATCGTCTAAAGTCTGTGTTGACAGGAATGCCGGATCGATGTGCTGAGTACTGGGTGGGAGTACAGCTGCTGCGACTTCTTGCTTTGCATCAGGACGCGGCGCCTCGATGCTCTTCTGCCCGCATAGTGACGGCAGGTCCTTTATGAACTCCCAACGAAGAACCGACATTTGAAACCCAGGGTGATGGTCTAATCCTAGTCAGCAAGGCGATCTGGTGTATTATGGTTTTACTTACACGGCTCATTGATCTCCATTTTCTCCTCTCCCCATAACGCACGGCATATATTCTCGTAACATTGGATGGGATTTGCTTTATTCTTTTGGAAGTTGAGCTGTCCGTATGCTTCATCTTGATCCTTATTCATCCACTCAGCGTCTAATTCCGTTAGTTCTTTGGGCGACTGAGTGCAGTAGATCATATGCGTCCGTTTTACTGCATCTACTTCCTCCTTCTTGGCTTGATTGAACCTCTTTCGGCACCTTTCGCAGCCATTCCATAGGCAGTGCACTCTCTTAATATGCTCCCTAGTCGTTTCCTTAGCGTCAGGTATGTAAATAGTTTGGATAGTAACCAAGACTCACATCAATTTTCCGATATTCTTAAAGCCGAACCCGTCCGTACACGAGCTCTTAACAAGAATATATCGGGCAGGGCTATGTTTCCAGTAGGGACAAGCTAGATACTCCTTGTGCTCTTCGTCATGCGTCAATTGGCTGATTTTGGAGTTAAACAACGTGACGATATCTGCTAAAGGAGCAGCCGTCGTCCCTATGTCGGGGAGAAGTGAGTCGTATAAAGGTCCTCCGCTGCCACACGACCTAGGTCTCTTGGCTGGTACGTTCAGTGCGCCGGACATATTTCGTGTTAGTTATCGACAGGAATTGATTACGCTCTCAATAACGGCAATCTTTCCCTGGACTCTTTCTATGCGTGTCCCTTTGGGCAATTGTACTTTCTGATCGCGGTTATCTCTAAGAAGCTTATCGGAAATAGGAGGTGTTGGACAGCGCATCCAACGCTCGATTCCTTTGGACCCTTCCTGATCTTCCGGAGATTCGGTGGAATACACGCTCTCCTGATGGTAGGGTAACGATTGACTATGTGAGAAAAACATCAGCGCCAAGCTGGCAATAAAAGGATGAAAAGTATCCAGGCAGGAATTATAACAAGACGTCTGGATTCACGCAAGACTTCAAACAGCCACTGAACCGTACCTATTGTTGGGGATTTGTTCATTTGGCATTTTAGTTCTACGCCTTGGGTTTTGGATTCGAGAGATGAAGGGTATATTATTTTGGATGGTTCTACAGAAAGGGGATGGGATATTTATGTGCATGGTCAGCTTCTCCAGTCGGCATCGCACATGCGATTCTGAAATCGGCAATCAATTCCATACTTGTGTAGCACCACCATAGCCACTAGTTTTAAGCACAATAGGTATTCCGATCCTGTAGAATGACTATAAATGAGGGCTATTAGTCTTCACATGGTATTTTCATTGATATCAAGATGGTGAGCTCATTTAGTCATAATATCCATTGCCTATCGTTCCAGCGGGTTTTTTGGGACATCTTAAACAGTCTCTTCCCCTTCAAGTGCCTTGCCGATCTTTGGTCGTGGGCCTGCGTTAACGTTTCTCAGTTGTCTCCTTGCCCTCAAGCTCTGCGTGGACCTTATAAGTTGGTCTGTACTGGCGCTTCTCGGCAGCCTCTTTGCCCTCGAGCTCTGCGTGAACTTTGTAGGTTGGTCTATACTGGCGTTCCGCCAAATCAGTCGAAGCCTAGGTCATGATATAATTAGACTTCAATAACCACGTAATGATGGCATGGTTGACCAAGCTTACCTCAATAGGCGCTGCTAGGGCGACAGCAGAAAGGCTGGCTACGATGACAGGTAACAGACGCATCTTGAATGATCGAAGTACGTAACGTTGTGATTGAAAGATATAACGGGTAGTATAGGAGGTACTTTGAGGGATCAACTATCGAGGGGACAACTATCGAGGGGACCATGAGGTATTATATAAGAAAGTCCGGACTATACAAGATTGCATACGGTCCGACAGTCCTCACATCATACTCCCGAGCCTTACCAACTCTCCCTTACCTCGGAGGTGCAATTGTCACACCCGGCGGGACGGCTATATCTCGTAATATCAGGGACTTGGAACCAACAGCGACATATCTTTGCTGTTTTGGTCTTAAACCGCGCATGTGGTTTATCGTCGGCTACGACGTGATCTTGCGCCCCATTCGCGCCAACACTCGGGAGAGCAATTGGAACTTCCCTCTACGGAATATATGTTAGATTTGAGTATATTAAAAAAGATGGACTCCCAGCTCTAGTTGGTTCACGTGTGCGCGAACCGTCAACATGATCCATGCTTGCGCCATGTCTGCGCTGCAACTGTACGGCTGTTTATTTTCCTAATGCGTGCTGCGAAGCAACGCTATAATACTCAAATCATGCACCGTGTTGTACAGACTGTTGCATAGCTCGGTCAGTTTTTGACACCATTTAGGGACTAGCCTATCGACGCACATCTACCTAGACCCGGTAAGGGTTGTTCGGTGGCACCCCCGAGAAACCTTTTTCTTTCGGAGTCGTGTTATTCTAGAAAGTTTCACTTCCAAGAGAGTAAGGTTATATACTACTTTGTCTGTGAATCATACTTAAGCGTAGTCCGTCCTACTACTGTGGCCGCGATATAACAATACAAACGCTGGGAACCTCTTCATATGTTTTAAGTTCTTGTGGAATCGCATCATGGTTACCAACTGTTATGCCTCTTCCGTGGATTCGGCCGCATGAGACTGTTGGGCCCGATAGGTCAGTTAAGCAAGGGACACTGTGTATTCGGCATTTTGTGCCGTTGGTAATCGCCTTGGCTAACTATCGTGAAGCATGTGGTGTGTACCTAAGTACTATCTTGGAAATTTACATAGACTTAGGCATACCCCGAGAAAGATCTACGTGAATCTATCCCATCATCAATGCCTACTCTCGCTATGGGAGGGAAAGACGAGGAGGGGGAGGGATTGCTAGGCGAAAAGCCTACGCCAAGCAAGTCGACATGGCCATTCACAAGCACGACCTTAGCTATAACAGTTCTGAATATCGTCATATTCATGACATCGCTGGCTCTGTTCTTGGCATCTCTGAGTCAGAAGTCCCAGCTCAACTCTAAACTACGACAAGCGTCTACCTACAGTAAGGAAATATGCCAAACTTCATTGAATTAAACCATCGTATAGAAGAGCCAATAGCTGAAGGGAATGCACAGGTCCCATCTTCGATAGATTAGACCTGGAAATGAAACCCAGAATAATCCAAGGCACACTATTCCCAGACAACAAAAGGGCATCCATCGCGCGGGAGCTTCCCAACGCCGCAGCAGACGAGATCTGGGAAGAATGGGAGCTGAGTCGCTTCTACCCTCTGACGCGGGACGAGATTGTGCGGATGGGAAAAGATCCATCGACCGTACCCAAGTTAGAAGACTCCGAATGGGGACTGGGCGATGACGCCTACGTCGGTGCATTCGACGTATATCATCAGATCCATTGCCTCAACTCTCTCCGACAGAACGCCTACCGCGGCTACTACAAGCTCACTACGCGCAACCACACCGTCATGGGTTTGCCGGAGATTCACATCAACCACTGCGTCGACATTCTGCTCCAAGCATTACAGTGCAGCGGTAATGTGAACCTCATGACATACCATTGGGTTGCCGGTCAGGAATACCCACAACCCGACATGTGAGTCAACAGCCACCATTACGTTCACGTTTGACACCTCTGAACTTGAAAGAAAGAAACTGATATCAGAATCTAGGTCGATCAATCGGCAATGCATAAACTTTGACAAGCTCACCGAATTTAGGAAAGAGCATGGACTTGACTTAGATAAATACGTCCGAATAATGAAGAAGTCATTACATCCAGGGGTAAAAGAGAGGCACCAAAGTGACGCATACTACTATTGGTACAACGAAACGAACCCTAATCATATCAACGGAGCAAGCCCCGGGGAAGACTTCAACATGTAAATAGATATTACGATGCATATAAGATTCTATATAAGAGCCTAGGGGTTCATGAGCGTTTAGAGATTACCTATCTTCTTTTAGTTCCGCCAGTGTCTCAAGCAAGCTAGGGGACTCCTCTTCATCGATTACTCCAGCTTGTTCAATCTCGTCCATCCTGGACACAAATTCTTTTTGAAGCAGCCTAAGATAGCTACCCAGTGCGCCATCATCCATATCTGACTCTCGCATTTGGAGGAGAGTGTCTTGCAAATTCAATATTAGCTTTCGACGTCGAAGCAGTTTTCTGGATTGCGAACTTTGCTTCTTTCTTTCGATACTCTCTGCGAGCGACGTCGAGACCTCTTCAGCAACTTCAATAAACCTTTCTGGAAATCCAATTGCACGTGCGAGATTTAAGCCGTAATGATCTTCCTGAACCTGCCCTGAGGTGACTTTATATAGCATGGTCATTTTCGGATTACCGCTATCTGTCTCATACACTTCGGTAGCCAGATGCAAGTTCAAAACACCTGGCCGACTGCCCAGTACTTTCGCTGTCGCTAAATGAGCAATAGTCATGCATTGAAATACGTTAGAATGCTTACCGAGTTGTTGAAAGTGAGTTGAGAACCATGCGAACGAATGACTCTGAATCAATGCCTCAGATATGGCCATCGCTATTGCGAGACCATCTCTTGTGCTAGTTCCGCGTCCAAGCTCATCAATGATTACGAGACTTCTGTTGTTGATATTCCTGGCCCAATATTAGACTGTACTAAACATTGCTTAAATTGAGTTTCATATACCTTAGTATGAATGCCATCTCTCGCATTTCAAGCGAAAATGTTGACATATTAGCTTCGATACTATCATCAGTGGACATTCGCACGAAAATTTGTTGGATTACTGGAAAGGCCGCATATTGAGCTGGCACAAAACAGCCCACTTGAGCCATCACTTGCAGAAGAGATATCATCCTGATATAAGTGCTCTTTCCGCTCATGTTACAGCCAGTGATTATCTGAAAGCGGTGCTGTTCGTTTGCGAAGACATCGTTCGGCACGAATCGTTCAGGGTTTACCTATAGAAGTGTTAGAGTCAAACACCATGGCTACCTACCTAACCTACCTAGCTAAGAGATTGAAGTACTTACGCGTTCACAAATAGGGTGTCTTGCACCTTTGAGCGCTAACGTATTCCCAATTTCGGGCCGCACATAGCCTCGAGTAGTAGTAGATTGACCAAACGATGCGATCATATCCAATAGAGCAATGCTCTCACAGATACGAAAGAGATTTGGTATGTGCGCTCTTATCGCTTTGATAAGTTCCTGAATGACTCTATCGCTAAGCATGATAGCTTCGTTATGGGAGTCCGTGATACGGTGGTTGAATTGGACCAAGGTTAGAGTTTGGCATTGAATCCAAGCTCCCTTTCGGACCCTGTTTATGAGGACTTCTGGAATCGCACGATCGTCAAAATCGCTGTGTCTAAGCTGCAACCAATACTTTCGGTTGGGGTCAAACTTCAGTTCCGCTGTGAGGTTATGTTCCTCTGTGGGATATGAGAAAATATACTGCTAAACCAGATAGTTGCTACTGCACTTACCATTGATATTTTCAATATGCCGATGAACATCTTCTGTTGCCTCCTTGTAAGTTTGACGAGCAACGTCCAATAGCCCGTGCACTCCAGACTTTCAATAGTTAGCCTAGTTCAATTATAGAGTCGGCCTGTGACGAAGGGTCGCTTACTTTGACTGCATATGTTCTTTGATTCCTCATGTCAAGAGGCGACTTCGTCGCTGTCGCATCCTCATTAATTGTAGCTGCGATAAGATCCATGATAGGTCGAACAAGCTCCAAGCGGCATAGTTCGCGGATTCTAGTTAGTAGTTCTGTGCGTGCCGTTCCTAGAGCCTCGTATAGAGAAGGGACAGCGGTAATGAAAGCCTTTATTCCAAGGATATTGTTAATCGCCTGTTCTGAAGCATGGATTGATGATTGGTTAGGCACGAATACAAGCTTTACCTGGTTAGCTAGGATGTTTGAAAGTTCAACGTTGTCATATTTACCATAGTCAGTAATTTCTCCACGTCTAGAAATCCTTTAAGGGCTATAGCGAGTTAGTATAACCAACATCTTATACCTAACCGAGGCGCTGGTCCTGACCTTTTCGTATCTCAAAGAACATATCCTCTTTCACAGTAAGCTCATCTACTGCATCAAAACGAGGAATAAGCGTACTGTCAACCTGACAAGAGGGTTGAAGTATATTGCTTCGAAGCATTCTCGAGCCCATGGGAGTAAGCGTCTCGTTCAAGAGTCCAAAGAGGCAGTCTTTTGATTTGGCGTCCTGAAGGTTCTGTATAAGTTCGAGAGAATGGATAGTGGAAATATCTATCATCATCGTGTTTTCTGACGGCTGATACTTGATCCGAAGGGAGTGAGATGAAATAGACACGCGACAAGAGAGTTCGATATACTTAACTGCCTAATTACCATTATAAGCATATATACCAAAGAAAGAATATGTTTGAAGTAAACCTACTGCGGCAAATGAACAGGTAGCGTAAAAGTTACCTTCAACAGCCACTTTGATAGCTTCCAAGTCTTGTTTAAATGCAAGGGTCTGAATAAATTCAAAACCGGCATTCTCCGACCAGTACTTGCGGTCGAGCGGTTCAACTAAGGTATCCGGATGTTCTTCCTCGATGATGGCGAGAAGGCTAGATTTGGGGTTAGGAGGAAAGGCTGTATTGACGATCAATATCGTAGATGGCTCATGTATCTGAATCTTGTGAATAGTCTTAACATAGAATTGTGAATCACATATCTGGCTTAGGATGGCCTCATTCGTGGTAATATTGATGAAAGCAAGTCCAACAGTTGGAGATACGCCTCGCGCCTCAGTAACGGCGCAGACAATCTCGTGCGACTCAGAACCCCAGACGGACGAGGTTGCGCGGGATTTACGCCCTGACGCTGTACTGGTACGACGGCGTTGCCTTGACGGATGGGACAGATTTGTTGCAGAGTGGCTACCGCTATAAGAAGTAGACGTAAATTGGCTCGCAGAGGTACTGGGTCTACGGGGAACTTCCTGCGAACTACGCGGGTGAGGAGTTGAAGATGTCGTACGAGAAAGAGAATGATTAGGAATGGTAATTTGTCGCGAAGAAGAGGAGCTTTCTTTACTCGAAGAGGCTCGAGGCCTTCGATTATTTGAGGATTCCGGCATCGTATAGAATGCCTATTGTTGAGATGTTTAAAGGGCATAGAAGGAGGAATGAGGATAACTACGTCTATATGAAACGAAACTTAGTATACGGTGAATCGGTGGATTCGATCTTGGATTCGATCTTGGAAAATAATCGCATTTGGAGATGACATGGTGAGATTATTTAAGTAGGAAGAGAATGAGAAAGAGAATTAGGTATGAGGTAACCATCAAATTGATCTTGGCGATATTCTATTATAACCCTTTTCACCTTCCTCAATCTGTGTTTGAAGATTGGACGCGGCTTCCTCCTTTAGATTGTTCAATTTAGGAGTTGAAGGTAACATAAGCCACCTTAAGGTTCTCGTTTAGTACATGTAGGTACTTCGGTCAAGAGATTCTATAAATTTTGATAAGATAACGATAAGATAAAGATTTTCAACTTTTGTTTCTCTAGTCAGGTATCTAGTATCACCCCGCGATATCTCATCGCAATTCAAGAGGAAACCTGTATAAGTCTACGTTTTTGTTCCGTACAACTCGAAACTAGGGATCAATCGCATGATTACTTAGACGAAAAGAGAAATTCCCACGCTTTTTTCTTTACTTTTTAGTCAAATTTGGCGCTATGGCTACCGTAGTCCCGCCACCATCAAAACGGCAACGGCGAGAAGAACTAGAACGATCTCAGATTCAACAAGATGTTACGCCTCCAGTCATTGAAGCTGGTTCGTTCAAGGCGCGATTCGTAGATAACGACGGAAACCAATTGGCCGAAACGATAGAAGTTCCCCTAGCTGATGCGACTGAAAAAAACGTTTCTTTACTACTTAATACTTTATTAGGAAGGGTATGATACCATCTTCGATCTTATGGCGCGAAAGAACAGGAAAGCTAAGCCCTTACATTTTCTATATAGGAACGAGAAGAGTTTACGCCTTATCGATTTCGTATACATCTCCCGAGCTCTGATACGGTGATTGATAACTACCCAACGCCTTCCGAATTCCTAGCTGTTCTCCGTAAACATGGCGTCGAGAACCCCTTCGAGACTACGATCACCTTATCCGCCGAACCGCAAGCTGTATTCAAAGTACAAGCTGTGACGCGCATGTCAAATAAGATACCGGGACATGGTGAGGCTATCTTAGCGGCTCAATTTTCACCCAAGACGAGTAGTCTATTAGCGACAGGCTCCGGGGACAACACAGCAAGAATATGGAACACGGACAGCGGCACGCCGAAGCATACCCTGAAAGGTCATTCGGGTTGGGTCTTGGCGCTGGCATGGCGTCCGGATGGACACAACCTGGCTACTGGCAGCATGGATAAGACGGTTCGGATATGGGATGAGTTGGGACAAGCCGTTGGGAGACCATTCAATGGTCACTCCAAATGGATCACGAGCATTGCGTGGCAACCATTTCATTTATGGCGTGATGATACGCCGAAACTAGCGAGTGCTAGTAAAGATGCGACAATAAGGATATGGATCGCGAATACCGGGATAACAGAGCATGTTTTATCAGGACATAAAGTGAGTGCCTATTGTTTGGAGCGTCGCTGTCGGCAAAAAGAACAGAAAAAAAAGCTAATAGAGTCGTAGGGGAGTGTTAGTTGTGTAAGGTGGGGTGGAACGGATCTAATCTACAGTGCTAGCCAGGATAAGACGATCAAGGTATGGAATGCGATCGACGGGACGTTGAAACATACGTTGGCGTCGCATGCCCATTGGGTGAACCATCTCGCGTTATCAACGGATTTCGTACTTCGAACAGCTTTCTACGACCATACGAAAAACGTACCTGCATCCACGGAGGAGAAACGAGCGAAAGCGAAAGAGCGCTTCGAGAAGGCGGCAAAGCAGCAAGGCAGGATAGCGGAACGAGTCGTCTCGGCCAGTGACGACTTTACGATATATCTCTGGGACCCGGAGCAGGGTACAAAGCCCATAGCACGACTATTAGGACATCAGAAACAAGTTAACCACGTTTCATTTTCCCCGGATGGGACCTTGATAGCCAGCGCAGGCTGGGATAACCATATCAAGATATGGGGCCGGTAAGTTATCTATATCCTATTAAGATTTGAGACCCGTCGTAGTGCATGTGCTCTTATACTACAAGGAGACGACCTCATGCAATGGAATGTTGCTAATATGATACACAGCGACGGGAAATTTCTCGCGACATTGCGAGGCCATGTAAGTGTACATCTCGAACGAACCTGCATAACTTCGTTGCCGCTGGCAAGAAATCGGTATAACGGCTAACCCATGCTAGGTTGCACCGGTATTTCAATGTGCATTTTCGGCTGATTCGGTAAGTTGAACCTATCTTATTTATTTAATTCCCTGCGGAGAATGCCGTGAGGGCTGAAGGGAAGAATTTCCCTGCGCAGGCGCGTGATATTTTCGAAACAGTACTAACATGTGATCCCCAGCGTTTACTTTGCTCTGGATCGAGGGATACGACTTTGAAGGTGTGGGATATGCGTTCGTTTAAGATGTCGGTTGATTTACCCGGTCACGAAGATGAGGTTTATGCATTAGATTGGTCGTTGGACGGCCGGCTCGTCGGGTCCGGGGGTAAGGACAAGGCCGTTCGGCTCTGGCGTAATTGATTGGGACTCATGATGTTAGAACTGAGTCTTAGAACTGAGTCGAGAGATAAGCTCATTGCCCTCATTGCCCTTATTGCCCTCGTCATCCCCCAGGTCCCCACAACACCAAAAGCTGGATCATTCTGGCCACCCAGCATTACATTGGTGCTTCTAATGCTAATTTTTTATGTAAAATGGCACACTAAATATGGACAAACACTTCTCCATCACAGTGATGGAATGGAACTTTGGAGAAATTGGGCACGTGGAACGATGTTCCGAATTCTGGGAGAGAGAGATAAAAAAAAATTGGGTCCCACCTCAAGGAAAGTTTGGGCTAGTCTTTTTTATTTAAACGATCCAACCAGATGGCGCAACCAATTGCGGGCCGTTCCTGCATAAGTTTAATGGTTTAAATGGCGGCCTGGACTCGGGAGCGTAGCCGAGCCGATTGATTTCACAGAAGGTTCCGATTTTCAGCTCGAGTCATGATGTTATTGTACATGATCAAATTTTAGACTATTTACCTAGACTACCTAAGCTGTCTCTTCGTTACTTACTAAGGAAATAGAAAAGCGTTGGTTTTAATGACTCGCGAATAGCTTCGAATATCTGTTTAGACTTACTCTTACACTTCGCTTAGCCTATGATATAGGTAGATATATATACCTATATATATATAACAGGTGAATCATGTCTGGTGGCTTGCAGCTAGTGCAGCTTACTACATGTAGTATATGTGTGTAGGTATAACCAAGCGGTTAGGTATTTTGCGAGCAATAGGTATAAAGGTGTGGAGAGAGTACCCCAAAAAACACGAGTTGAGGAGTTGAGGGGTATATCGCGAATCATATGCGGAATGCGTATGTAAAAAATGGGAAACCAGGGCGGGGTAATACTATAACGCATGGGCCGTTTGGATATGGAATCGAGTAAGAAAGCACCTAACCTACGTCGGTAACATGATGAACTGGTTGATAGACTGGTCGAGACGTGTCAACGCCAAGAGTGTGACATCCCGTCAAAGTCGACGGCTCAATGTTCTTGGAGAGAGAGATATGTGTTTGTGTGGCTAGTGTATGTTGTGTATGATGTGTTCGCTAGACGACGTAGAGCCGCCTCGAGCTTATTCATGGCGACCTATACAATTCAGGACATCTCGTTTGGTAATGGAATTCGTTTGGAGGGGTTTCCATATACGGTGTCTATCGAACCAATACGCAAGTTCCACATACCTAGATGAAGCCCCCCTGCAGCTATGTACCTAATGTATCTGAGATCGTGTTACTATTTTAATTGCAGCTACAAAAGGTAAGCTAAGCACCATCCGGTAGTTACTGACGATCTGCGTTTTTGCTGCGTGATCAAAGACGGGGAGCGCCCGAGTTGTATGCGGGTTTTTTTTAAGAATGCCCCCTTGAAAAAAGCGTAAATATAGATGTAGATGTACACTATTAGGTGTTGTGCTGCTGTCGATTGAAGAACGACCTATCAAAAGCTTCACATTTACGCTTGCTCAAAACAACGCAATTCGGAGACGCGGCCTGCAGTCTATGGGTGGACCTTTCTTACAGGCCATGCGGACGGCCTGCGTAGTTCTTAAGACACCAGCTAATTGCCATTTCGGGAAAACCGTTATCCAGCCTACATGTTGTTTGCAGTTTGCATTTGCATGTAATGGAAGGTTCTAGGCTCTGTTTGAGGATTTACGATGCCTCGCGTTTAGTCGATACGTTTTGTAGATGGGTAATCCAATAATAAGTCTTTCTGCACGTCCACGATAGGTGCGGCTTAAGGGAATTTAATTTAGGTATTAATGCATCTTTGGCTTGGTAGGCTAAAACGGCCAATTAGACTAGCATTACGCCGGCGTAGGGACTCTGCGCTTATTTTTGTAGGCTTTCTATAAGTGACGAGGATATTAGGCCGTGATTGGTATGAGTGTAGGACAGCCGTGATATAGGAGGTACCTAAGGTAGGAGGTAGTTCAAATCCCCGGGGGTTAGACAGGAACTGATGATTCCTGAAACTATCACGTCGTCAAAAGCTGCCCGCAAAGACCCGATCGAACTTTGTTACATTGCGGGGAAGCTCGGCGGTTTACCTCAGTCCGTAACGGGTCCAACGGCCCAAACGTGTTGGAACAACCAATGAGACCTTCCAAAAGGACAATGTGCCCAGGACCCTCAGATCCTCAACGCACAATTTACAATATGAAATGGTAGTAAGCCATTGCGGATGGGGAATGAATAGCTAGGCTGACCGGCTAAGGGGCGATGTTGTGACTTGGGAGCTTTCCGTGTAAGTGTGTAAGTGTGTAAGTGGAGACGGAGAAGCAAGACGAAAGGCACCGGAGAATTCGGCAACTGTGACGATTACGGGACACCGCAAGTGGGTTCGATTGTGAGAGGATTGTTGCATCTATCCCGTCGTTCCAAAATTTTCTATTTTGATAGTACCTACCCAGGGAGGTAGCGATTCAATACAACCAGCTTGTCAGCTTAGTTAATATAACGTGCCGAGACTATGAGATAGTGATGTAGTGTATAACGTCGTTAGCTTCGGACCAAAACCTCCTGGGTAAAGAACGAAACTAGAAAACTGGGCTGGGGTTCAGCAGGGAAACTACTGGAATACCCTCGATCCCCCCATAAGGCTGTGATTCGCATCAAGTCCCTTGTGTCCTGTCGGAGAGAAACGTCCCTCGAATAGGTATCGAATATAGAGAAGGGAATGTTTCGACGTAGGAGAGGGAGCTCCGTATTAATATCTGAAAGTAGGGAATATGAAGTCATACATTACCTGGTATTCATATATACAATTGCTAACCTACCTTAGGACCTAGGTACCTCGTGGATTTGGTGTATGTTCCCTGGAATGTGAATCCATAATAGATGCTTTGATAGATAGCACTAGAAGTAAGCGCCGTTACGATATAGTGGGGGAAGCTAACTGGTTGGAATTTCGCCGTCACAATTTTTTTTTCCTTCCCTCTTTTTCTTTGCATGGTCTGTGCGTTAGTTATGAAGACATCAGAGAAAAGAAGAAACTCAACGATATGTGCGCTAAAATAAGATCCATTAAACAACGTATTATACATTTACATAAGGTACAGTACATATCAACCTTGTAAAAGGCTGCAGCCAATCCAGTAAAACTTCAGCTTGTGAGGTACCTAAGAAGATATACACTTGTACAGTTATCCTTAGCGATTTTCATATTGCACCTTTCAAGTACGTCACTGGTTACTTATTTTACTAGCGACATACTGGTGTTATCCTAGCTTCTTAGCGTGAATCAACTTTCCGCCTAACTTTAAGGTAGTGACATCAATTTGATCCAACTAGAATCCAACAGCTTTCCAGCATTCCCAGAATACCCAGAATACCCAGCATAACCCAGCTTTTTATTATGCTGGTGCATGCTCACACCTTCTTTAGCAATTTATGTTTTTTGCGTCACCCTGACCTACATTGCTTCAATTAGCTTTTTTCTTACTAGCCTCTCCCGGTAGTGTTCGTCTAAGCCTCCCGTTCCCCTCCGCCGTGCAATCACCCGACTCTTAAAGGGCATCAGATCTCCAAACTTTTTTTTCTATCAAGAATCTAGCTTAACTGATCCTAGCAAGCATCCAAACTACTTCCTCCAGCTTGGAACACCAAAAGCATATATTCAACTAAGCATTGGAACCAGTTCTTATGAACTTGCTATTACAGATTTACTCGTTATCCTTCCCTATCTAGGGTGCACTGAGGAATTGCAGCTTGGACTGTGTTGAAAAGAAAAAAAAAGAAAAAAAAATCATCACGATTACACTTTGTCCAACTTGGACTAAGACTGAACTTCGTTCAAGATGACCATCTTTTTGGCTTCGCTGTAAGTTTTCCCCTTTACTCTATTCCAACTAAATATCTTTTAAGATTATCAATTGCTAGAGTTCATATGTTTTAGTTTATGCTTTTGAGTTCTTATTAATTTCTGCCCAATATCGATTAAAGGAGTGGCAGTCAGATTGCACCGAGAAGGGAAAAAAAACAAGAAAAACCAAGTGCACTGATGCTCTTCTAAATCTTATCGTTAAACAGCCGAAAGTTCAGGCCCATGTCTAACCTTTAATTTTTTTTAGGTTTCTCCCCAAAACCGTCTACTTCCAGCTGCCAGGTGCCCCTCCTTCTAGTGAGCATCGCGCGCATAGGCAGAACAACAAAAAGCCATCGAAGCGACCACCTCTCGAGCTTCGCACAAGCCTCTTTCCCGATCCCACCATCACTCCTCCCAAAACTCCCGAGGAGGAAGAGGCATATATCGATGACGGCCTATTTTTAAATGAAGATGGTCTACGTGTTCTGAACGTCTCAGACGACGAGGAATTTATCAAGGCGCCAACGGATAAGGAATCACCGAAATGGGGCGGCCGACCGAACCAACCGAAGTCTCGAGCGAACTCACCACCACCGGCTTCTTTGATAGAGCACGCTAGGACCTTGGAAAAGGCCAAGGAACTTGGACGCCAAGGAATTCACCAACCTCGGACTAGCCGGAGTGATAGTCATGACAAAGTCTTTGCGCACGCCAATTGGCGTATCGTGAACGCTGACCAAGGAAATGGAGGTCTTCGCAACGCTGCCGAGGCCGCGGCGCGCGAAGGGTGTGCTGATGAATACTCATGGGTCGGTACATTAGGCATGCCTACAGATGCCCTAGAAGGAACGCAGCAGAAGGCGGATATTAACGACAAGCTCATAACCGAATTCAACATGTACCCGGTGTTCTGTTCTGATAAGGATTTTGACGGACACTATTTGCACTTCTGCAAGCAGATACTTTGGCCTGTGTTCCACTACCAAATTCCGGATAATCCCAAGAGCAAGGCCTACGAGGATCACTCGTGGCAATTCTACGTTAACCTTAACCAAGCATTTGCGGACAAGATCGTGAAGAATTGGAAGCGGGGAGACACGATATGGGTAAACGATTACCATCTACTATTAGTGCCGGGGATGATCCGCAAGAAGCTTCCCGATGCCAAGATCGGTCTCTTCCTGCACGTTGCCTTCCCCTCGTCCGAGGTCTTCCGATGCCTTGCCGTCCGGAAACAGCTACTTGAGGGAATGCTTGGCGCGAACCTGATCGGCTTCCAGATCCACGAGTATACACGCCACTTCCTTCAAACATGCAGCCGTCTACTTTCTGTGGAGGCCACACCCGATGGCGTCCAATTAGAGGATCGGTTTGTCAACGTTATGAATTCTGCTATAGGCATTGACCCTTCTAATCTCAATGCCCATCGCCAAGAGGAGGAGGTTATGAAATGGATTGGAATTATGAGGGATCGTTATAAGGATAAGAAGATTATTGTTGCTCGCGATAAGCTTGATCATGTCCGTGGTGTTCGACAAAAGCTTCTCTCCTATGAGCTATTTCTCAACAAAAACCCACAATGGAGGGATAAGGTTGTTTTGATCCAAGTCGCCTTATCTACCGGTGAAAAGACCGACCTCGATGCAGCAGTCGGTGACATCGTTACCAGAGTAAACTCGAACTGGGCCAACCTCGCTTATCTACCACTTGTGTATTTGAAGCAAGATATCCCGTACCCGCAGTACCTGGCCCTATTAACCATTGCGGACGCCCTCATGATTACTAGTCAACGTGAGGGGATGAATCTCACCTCCCACGAGTTCATCGTCTGCCAAGATGGAAGATACTCTGACCAGAAACACGGATCCCTCATCCTCTCGGAATTCACGGGCACTTCTTCGCTATTCGGTAACAAGGAGTTAGCTGTCAACCCATGGAGCTACAGGCAATGTTCCGAGGCAATTAAGCAGGCGCTTGAAATGTCTGATGCGGAAAAGAGGGAGCGATGGGAAGCACTCCGGGAAATTGTTAGCCATCACACCGGAAGCCACTGGTTTTCGAAATTCTTGAGTACTCTCGACCAGGTTTACGAGGAACAACACCGCCACGATCAAACTTCAGTTCCTCGACTAAATCTCAATAGTCTTAGCCAACGGTATTCCCAAAGTCAGAAGCGACTGTTTTTCCTAGACCTTGAAGGCACATTGATTCCCTATGGCCCCATGAACGAGATTATTCCGATGAATCCCCAGGTTGGTTTTTGTTTTATTCTTTCCCGTTCGTCAATATAGCATCACTAACCTTTTAGCAGCGAACTCTCGATGTGCTGAATGACCTCGTTGAGGATACCCGTAACACAGTATACGTTATGTCTGGACGCAGACCTGAGGAGCTAGATCGCCTGTTCCGTTTAGTTCCCAATCTAGGCTTAATAGCCGAAAATGGATGTTTTATCAAAAAGTCCGGGGGTGCCACATGGACTGAACTGGCTGATCACGATAAGGTTGCCGCATGGAAGAAATCAGTTCGAGGTATCTTGCAGTACTACCTTGAGCGAACGCCTGGATCAGAAATCGAAGACCGCAATTGCTCGTTGATCTTTCACTATAAGCGTGCTGAGGATTACGCAAATGCTGAGCGACAAGCCAGCGACTGGACGGGGCATATCAACGAATCCTGCGAAGAGCAGCGTGTTCATGCGACACAACTGGAGAACTGCGTCGTCGTCGAACCAATTGACTGGACTAAAGAAACCGCCACCGCCCGAGTTTACGAGGAAGCGAATCGCGATTCGAAGAACTCGAAAAGTAGCCCTGTGGACTTCTTAATGGTCATTGGCGACGGCCGCGACGACGAGAAAGTTTTTAAGTGGGCTAACGGTCTAAACGGAGAAGGCCGGGCCAAGGATGTGATCACGGTCAGCTTGGGAAATCGGAATACCGAAGCTACCTCGACCCTAACTCAGGGTGTGAGTGGTAAGTAATATATCTACCTATTTTTTAATGAAAGCAGACTAATAGCTGTTACAGGTGTTCTTGTGACTCTACAGAAGCTCGCCGGACTTTCTTAGACGGGAAGGGTTACGGCTTTTGCAATAGAGCGGGCATCGTCGCAAGTATTTTGTCATATTCCTAGTAGTATCTTGGAGCTTCTATACTGGTTTTTGGTGTATATTCTTTGGCTGTGAGCCGGGGGATCTGGGCGGTTACGGATGTTAACTCATATCCGCATTTTCATAGCCGAAACAGAGACTCCCTTTCATTAGAGTCCTTGTAACAAAACCGGGCGACACGCATTAGAGCGGTGTTGATGAGTTTTGGGGGTTCATGCTAGCTGGTTTTTCTAAGTTGGTTTCTTTACAGCTGTATTACAATTCGCTTAGACGCGACGGGATTGTTATTTTTCTGGGTGGTGTGTATATTGGATCTGGTACCTACATTTTCGAGGCAGGAGTGGATTGGAAAAAAAAAAAGGATTTTGCGTCCATGGAGAGTTGGTGATATGGGAGATATTTACGTACACGATGACGAACCGTTTGGACCTACTAATGAGTATTGACGATTACGGGCTGCTTTGGATACTGTTGATATTGCTAGACTTATTAGGCGTTAACACGCAACACTCCACTGCAAGACTTCGTAGAATAATACCGAACAATTTTGCAATCAACCCATCGCCGTGTTATTTCAATCGAGGCGACCTTGTCTGGTATAAACCGGAGTTGCATATCTCTTCTAATGAAGTTATCACTAGCACTACCTAACCTAACCTATGTATAAAAGCCTTATGGAGTCTTCGCACACCTTGACTAACGGCTATGGGTAAACGGGTAGGCGGTTATCAGCTTATTTTCTCCAATATTACCGGTGATAGCAAGTACTTGCGGCATAAACATCATCATGTGAAAAGTGGCATGATGTGAGAAAATGTGTGGTTTTACAGTACGTTCCGTGTAACGAGGTCGTGAATAACACGCAAAAGTGCAACCCAAGAAGTGATTTCGACAGCGTGGACCTTCTATCCGTGGATCGGATGATATGATAACTATCGGAGGTAGGCTAGGTACCTGTTACCGAGGGCTGCGAGGGGCATACAGTGACAGTGATAGTGACGGTGACTCGACACCCATATGGAATCAGCAGATTGGCTACGCGGTCATACGTATAAGAGCAACATATACCTTAGGTGGTAACAACTACTACTACCTACAACAAAGATGCAATGGGGAAAGCATAGGGCATATCCGAACCTATCGAAGACGAGTGAGTGATATATACTGGGTTTTGCCATTTTCGCAAGATGAAATGAGTGGATTGGATGAACCCAAATGATTACGACTGAATAAAGTGGTAAAAAGCGGCAAAACAGACCTAACGTAGTGTATATTAAGTACCTACCTACCTACCTTATATTTGCCCATTCCCATCACCCTCATTTGTTTCACATTCCTGAAAACGCGATTTTCAATCGTCTCGTCTCGTCTCGTCTACCAAATACTTCTATCGCAAAATACTTATGTGTTATTGCACTCTAAGATATTTCTGACGCTAAGGTAGTCAGTCTGAAGGCAGAATAAACGCACCTAAACAGGGTTACTACATAATCTTGGTAGGTAATTACGCTATTTTAGGTATCCTGCTCCTAATTCACTTAAATAAGGTTAAGAAAATAATATAAAGGATTAAACTCCCTAACTTAATACAGATTATTACGTTTATTCGTGAGTTTAAGCCAATACTCTTATATACCGGCTTTTGAGGTTTTGACTCTGCATAGCATTACGATAGCATCCACGCATAACGAGATGTGCAAAGATTGCAGAGTGTGTGGCGGAAAGCCAGGTGCCACCAGATGTGGTGGATGTGGATGTTTACAATAGGGTGCCCTCCTGTTATTTCTGGTTGCTTAATCCGGTCGAGTTGGGTCAAGACAATATCCCGAACAAGCTTAATTAGGAGCGGATGTATGTCTAATTTGACCCGGCTTTAAGGCAAGCCTCACAAAGGTGCAGCGGTGACGGCATGAGATATAACATGAGGTTTCAACACTGTTGGTAACCGAATAGTACTTACGCTGATCGGATGCACGTCGGAAGATCTCATCATACCTTAAGTTCGAGAGATGTAGTATATATGAAATGCTAGGTACCCGTCCAACCATCAATAGGAGGTAACAAATAAGGAATGCCTCCGATAGGACTTCTTAATATATCTCAAACATCTCAATCTTCAATTCTCCCTTCTCAACCATTGTAGTGAGGTCGATAGAAGATGACCCCGCGACATAGCATGGTCCAACATGCTCCAGATGGGATTTGCTTTTTCTAAGTAAAGACGAGAATGGGCATCTATCTAGTGCACAGATGATATCCCCGGGCCGTAAATTCGGAGGTCCAAGGCCCAAGTGGCCCTTTCTTGTTCTAAACAGTGCCCTGCGACTGATTCGAAGTGCCATACGTACAAGAGTCGTCATTATAGTCGAGTTTATATCTCGACAACGGTCCAATTTATCCCGGAAATCCCAGATATCACGGCCTGCGAAGGCAGCCGCTAAGAAATCGGGTAATGTCATATGAGGCCGTATCCTAAGCCGTTTTTTTGCCGTTGTCTCCTCTTCCTCGGTGAGAAGGTGATCTTCGAACACTCTATGCCAGAAAAGGGTCAGGGCATTAGACTTGTCAAAGTCTAGAAGTGAGACCTGATCACGTTCCCATCCCGCGCTCAAGACATCCATTAATACTAGCAACGGCCTATTGTGCATGTGCCACACGGAAACATCACCGTAGCTTTCCATGTTCTCAAGAACCACAGGATCGGCTAGGTATTCGATGCAGACATTTTGTATATATTTTGCAGCGCCGTCTGGTCCAGTTTCGTTATCGTAGGGTTGGGTAGCGTGTACCGACTCCACAAAGTCGTACACTGCTCCTTGGACCCGAAGAGTGTCTTGTTGAGTGACTTCAGGAACCTTGAATTGAATGTCTTTCGAGAGTGATGTACGATTACCTAGTATGAAGATGCTGTCGTCCTTCTCAACTTTACCAAAATCCGGCAGCCACGATGGAATGCCATTGTAGTTCTTATAACCGTAACCACTTCCGGAGTAAGCGAGACACGATGGTAGACACTGTGTAATTCCGTCGCTCAAAACAGCGTCAAGGTAGACCGCTTTTACACTTTTAGTGTAATCTGGCTGGATATTGCTCGCGGTTAAGCTAAGCATTGCATACACGAAATCCCGAGGATCGGTAGCAGAAGCTCTAAGCGATGCCTTATAAATGCATTCGACTAGCTGTCTACTGTCAGAGTTAATTTTTTTGAAGGTGGACAAAACAGTGCCTTCGGAAGGTAGGCCGAGAAGGGCGACGTCGGAGAGATAACCCCAAATTATACGCTCATTAGTATTATGTATCTCAAGATCTCGGTGTTCCGTCGTACGACAGGCTTGTAGGAAAGCTCGAACGAAGTCTAACTGTTTGTCCCAAATCCAGTCAGCGCCGCATATGAAACAGTGTATTGATGAATCTCTTGCTAGGGCGATTTCCTGGATGATCCACATTCTCGACCAATATATGTTTTCTCTAAGATAGACCAAAGCCCACCATTCGTCGCATTCGCGTTGTTCTCCTTCCGGGGAAAAAGGCTCCAGGTTTGCAATCAGCCACTCGAATCCAGTCTTTGCTATCTTAAGGAGATTATGTCCGGTGCCAGAGGGTTTAAAAAGAGAGGAAAGTCGGCAAAAGAGTTTGCGGATAATCTGAAATGCTAAATCGTGGCGGTTTTTGTCGGGAAGACCAAGCCATGAATAAACATAGCTTGCATTGCGATAGATTGAAGCCATCATAGCCACTTGCTGGCTACGCTCTCGTATATCTTTCTGATTAATACAGATGGCGTCCGCCCATAGCTGCGTGACCTTCCCAGACCTGACGTTCTCGGGGAACCCAGTCTTTCTTAACTGACGTAGTGCAGATTCAAGATTGGTAGTGACGGACATTACAACACCGTTGACTATAATGTCTTTGGTAACTTTAGGATCGCCCCAAACGTATGACAACGCTGCATAACGGGCACCTGGTCCTAGTTCCGCTGCCTTGAGGAGACAACTCACTGGCGCTTCTTTGGTATTAGAAGGTAAGATCTCAATAAATCTAACTTCATTCTGGTTAAGGGGACTGTATATCAACTCCCATGAATCTAAATAATTTGCGAGTGTACCGGTCTTCTGATCAGCCGCCTGGTCAAAGGCAGCAAGTCGAGACATGTCTATATTGCCCTTTCGAATGCCGTGAAGCTAATTCTAGGTCGACATCTTCGTAGGATATATTGATGTCTCGCCGTGGTTCTTATGCCACTAAATAAAACCCTAAGAACATATTAATCACTATCAGTCGACATACTGCGAGGAGAAATTTTTCATCTTTGGAAGAGCCTTGGTACCCAAGGTCGCATCCAAATCTGAGCCACCCCCATATAGATTGTTGGACGAATGTTATTGGCTATGTTTCATGTTCATGAACCTTCTGAAGTGGCTGTAACTCGCCGTCTGATAATTCTTTCGGCACTTGTCACTTTTTTCATCTTCTTCGAAAGATGTCGGGATGCATTCCTATAGGTCGCGGCCTCTGGACCAGCTGATAATATCTCACCATCATGACAACCATTACTTTGAGTACCTCCAATCTAAGGTCTCTGTTGGGATAATCGCGTCTTAGTTTGAGTACATACTAATTACCTAATATATTAGATACTAAATGCTGATTGTGGCGGCCAGGAAGCTCATGATATATTAGGTTAAGGGGGTATACGGAATGGTATCATGACATTGAAGTGTTTCTTATATTATAGAAACTTTGCGTGATGATGCGGGAGACTCAACGGAAGAATCCCCAACGGGTTGGACTTCCGACTGAATTGAAGTGCCCAATGCGTATAATCGTCGATTTGCAATGATCGACATTCGCCTGTCTCGGTCTCGTAAATCTGTCCTGTTTATCATTGGAGTAAATGGCAGAAGAGCAGAAATGGTAGGGTCCCTATGGCATCTTGAGCAGCATTAAATGCTAATAAGAAACGACCAAGAAATATCTACGACTCTGCGGACCGAATATTTACCTCCTACCTAGGTAGGTACCTGGTATAAAGATGTAATGCCGATGAGCAACCCTCAGTTGTAAAGTCAGTGTTAAGCATGAGGATTGTCAACATGCGCATCAAATAGTTCTATATTTAGAAAAGTTGCATTCCTCAATTCATAGGATGTCCTAGTTAAAACCTTGTTTCAACTATTGTTAGTTTTTGTTGAGCATGTATCCCGGGATGGTGTTTATGATGAGTACCAGAACTGATTCTGATATGGTTGCTTACAGGACGGGGTTCTCCGCCTTTACCCCAACCATAAACCGGAGCTCCGCAGGCCAGGAGTATATTTCTGATCTTGGCCCTGGGGATACTTCATCTAGAAATATCAAAACTGAGTTAAATAGGTCCCAGTTCGGATGATCGCAAGCGTATAAAGGTTACCGAACCGGGACAAACGAATAACACAAGAGAGAAGACCAGCGGGGTATAACTTGGGATAAAGGAACCGGAGCCCGATTTTTAGGATTAACAACATGGAATCCACGAACCCCCCGAGTCCTCCGCCGACAGTTGAATCAGAGGGTTGGTTCTGGACATGGGTTATAAGCTCGTATCCTAACTAATCCAGACCGAATGCCTTATAAAATACGACAAAAAAACAAACAGCTTCGACACGATATATAGCTGCGAAGAAGGAAAACGAATGATCCTCAGGGTTGTGCGAATCGGACATCTTATAAAGCCGCGAGTGGATGGACCTACTTGAGCCTTTCGCTGCTCGTCCGGTGCATCATACTAGCTCTCTCAGATTCCCCTGACATATAAGGAACATTGGAAGAAACCTCTTTTTTTGCATGTGTTGAAGGGTGCCGGTTGAATAATGAAACTGGCCACCAGTGTTTAACTATAGACCCTTCGGATTCTGGCTCACAGTGTTATCAAGTATGATAACGGAAAGCAATTGGAAAGTTTCGAGAGCTTAGCACATCATTGGAGATTTTGGAGGAGACCAACTATCTGTTACCATCCGTTCAGCTCTTGTCCACGACGGGATGGTGTAAGCTTAAGGGGTCAATGGAAATCGGAGAAACTCGGCTTTCGAACTCGAATTCGTTGTTTTACAGAAAGAACGCCGCACCTGGACTTCGGGGAAATTCCATGCATCTAATTATTCTAAGCTAGATTGGGGGAGCGGGGATGAGGGAGAGGATTAATAAAGGACTGAGGGTAAAGGAGTGAAAGGCGTAAAAAAGGAATTCGCAAAAGACAAAGCAATCGACTTCCAAATGGTATCGAATGCAGTTTACAAAACAGTTTAACTAGTTACAAAACATACAAACATACAAACATACAAACATATGAACATCCATGTACCTAGTCGCATAGTCTCACTTATGTAATTGAGTTTATCTTCATTCAAATCAAATCTCACTCTCCTTCGTCTGTAGTTTCATAACTCGAAAGCTCCTGCAGTTAGATATATATCCATCTTCTTATTTTAAGGTTGGAATTCGTAATACATATCACGGAAGGGAAAGAACATTGATTCAACTTTATATTTCAGGGTCCAAGGTCTATAGTCTAGGCCCCACCCGCCCGTTACGAACAAGCCTAGCCAATTACCCCGCGATTCCGATATTCGGAGCAGTCCGACACTTACGAGAGTCACCAAATTTCGAACACGCACCAAAAGTTCAAGAACCAATGAACTTGAAGTATTAATTGAACTAATTGCACGTACTCAGCTTCAGCTTGATAAAACTTTCGAATCCTGTCGTCTTGAGACTGAAATCGAGAATTAACACAAGATTAGAGGTACCAACAATCTCTTAAACAATGGCTTCATTCCCACCTCCCCCAGTCAACACCATTGACTGGTCTAACGTCGGCTTTCGGGTTCGTGAAGGTTAGTTTACTATCTGCTACTGTTTAATAATATCGATAGAATGCACATATAAGGAGATTGCGACTAATATCTCCCCTTTATTACCAGTAAATGGACATATCGAGTCGCATTACTCACAAAAGACCGGAAAATGGTCTCCTCTTCAATTTGTCACCGACCCTTATATTCGCATCCATGGCATGGCCCCGGCCTTAAATTATGGCCAACAAGCCTACGAGGGCCTTAAGGCTTTTCGCACTCCCTCGGACGATATTCAAGTCTTCCGACCTGACCGAAATGCGGTTCGGATGCAGCACTCTGCCGAATTTATTTCGGTCCCTCCTGTTCCTACCGATCTGTTCATCGATGCCGTGAAAGCTGCTGTGTCTCTCAATGCCGAGTACGTTCCTCCCCATGAGACGGGTGCCGCGATGTACATCCGACCACAGATCTATGGATCTAGCGCTCAGTTGGGATTGAGCCCTCCCGAAGAATACACATTCTGTGTCTATGTTCTACCGACAGGCGTATATCACGGCACGCACCCTGTCAATGCTCTCATCCTAGACGAGTTTGATCGTGCAGCCCCCAATGGTACAGGAAGCGCAAAGGTTGGAGGCAACTATGCACCCGTGCTGAGGTGGAGTGACAAGGCAAGGGCTGAAGGATACGGCATTACGCTTCACCTGGACAGCGCAACGCATTCGGAAGTTGACGAGTTCAGTACAAGCGGTTTCATCGGAGCAATCGTAAACGGGGAGGATGTTACACTCGTAGTACCCGATTCGAAGAACGTAATTCAGAGTGTGACGGCAGATAGTATCACAGACATCGGTCGTAGCTTTGGATGGAAAGTGGAGAAAAGATCTGTAAGTTCCCCCTTGACGTCTTCAATGTCGAGTATATCTTGGATTTACTGACGGGGATCTAGATTAAATACACGGAATTGCAGAACTTCTCCGAGGTCATGGCTGCGGGAACTGCTGCCGCCCTTGTGCCGATTCGGTCCATCACGAGGCGTCTAGACCCTGCTTCGCCGCAATCTATCTCGTCTGCCGTCGGAGAGCACAGTCGTCTATCAAAGGAGGCGGGGTCTGAAAAGGTTACATATATCGCCGATTCCAATGAAGATGCTGGGCCAATTTGCTTAAAGCTATTGACTCAGCTCAAGGGTATTCAACTCGGAAAGGTTAAGGATGAGTTTGGTTGGTGTTACGCCGTCGCCCGCGAAGACGGGATAAAGGTAATCGGAGAGACAAATGGGTCACACAAAAACGGAGAGACGGTTTGATCAATCGGACTAATTAACTATCAGATCGGATTGTGATGCTCTAACCAAGTGGAGTGTGCGCGACGGCAGGGGGGGTTCTGAAAAATTCCAATCTCGGTTTTCTACGAGATAATGAACAAAAATACGGATCCGTACATGGAAAAAGATAGATAGAAAGGATCGAGAGGGGAAAAATGCGAAAATTAGAGGAGCGAATACTCAAGCCTTTAAGATGAAGACAAATAGAATTACTCAATTACTCAATATATGCCTACAGATTCCTAATTTTTAGATCGATTGGATGCATATCCGCATACTTTCGGTACATACTTTTGGTACATATTATGATGTGAGTGCCGCAAACCTGCGTATCCTGCGATAACTTATGCCTAGACGGGTTTCTATAACATTTGATAGGTGTTATGCCTGACTACATCAGTCGCCGCCGCATACTATCGGCATGAGATAACAGCTACCTAACCAAATGCTTTCCTCCATCTTTCCTATCGAGGTCTAGAAAAGTCTTTGCCGCCCTGTAACTCCAAGGACCAGTAATCTCTCTTCCCACGAACCCTCCAAGTTCGGATTCAATTAATGTCCCTTCTTACCACGAGGGCGAAGTCAAGATAAGCATATCGTGTTTTTAATTCGTTAGAGTCATTTTCCTTCTTTCGTCGTACCGTCATCCCCCCCACGCGTTTGACTCGTGGGGATTGCTCATCCTATGATGGCGAAATAATGCGGCACCGCACCGAGGCTGAAAAAAAGAAAAGAAAAAAAAAAGAAAAAAAGTTACGGTTACGTCCGCATCTCTTTGTCTTGGATTTATTAAGAGACATATCTTAAAAATTGCCTCGTGGGTTTCGGGTAGTAACCAGAGCACCTCGAGACACACCTAGGTAAGTGTAGTTGTAGGATAGCTGAAATGTCCCGATTCGCTGGATCTCTCAGGACGATTGGTATTATTCATTCACACCCTAAGCTACTTTGTGATACCTTTTTGCTTTTTTTGCACTTCTGCAGAGCTTGACATATGTTATTGCCAATCAAGTCAGCCTTCGAAAATAAGCAGGATCCTTTCTTTCTTTCTTGTTGGCTTTTCCCTGCATGGCAAAACCAAACCGGGGACCTACCCACGCTGCCTTATCATGTGAAATGATAGGTGTATGGAGTCATGGACCTAGACCCATGGAAGACCCCGGATCCTAGGTGAATCGGTCTACCTTACATGTCGTTTGCTTCCCTATATTTATTTATGCTCTCTTGCGCATTAGCCCAGTTCAAAATTTCGTGCTGTAGGGTTATGCCACGAGACTGAGAATTTCACACGTTAGGTACCTACTTGAAATTGTCTTCGATGCTCCCCTGATAGTAGTAGTAATGAGGATTACTTGTTATGGCACAGTCAAATATCACAATCGCTGCGGATGACGACTCGCCCACCAAGCCCGCGCGGGATAACACTCCAGACGTTGGAGGTGTCTACCACACGCGGAGCTTGTCGCGGTCTCGCGGCCCTTCGAGACGTCGCACCGTTTCTCGAGCGTCTCACGAGAAACGGAGCGAGCATCTTGACGTCGACGAGGAAGACGACTGGCTCCAGGAGGTTGGCCGGAAGAAACAAGTCTTCAAAGGAACTACGTTGATCTGGTATTGAAGCCGGTTTCAATTGAGTAACTCTTCAACTTGGATGACCAGCCGCTAACATGCGGTGTCAAGGCTTGCGTACCAGTCTATCGGCGTCATCTACGGTGACATTGGAACAAGGTAACACCTCTACTACATTGCGAGTTAGAAATGTTTCAATTTAGGTAGTTAACTAAAAGATTCAACATAGTCCCCTATATGTGTACTCGAGTACTTTTACCTCCCAGCCAACCTACAATGACATCCTCCAAGTCCTATCGGTTGTCATTTGGTCCTTGACCATCATGGTTACACTGAAATATATATTGATCGTGTTGCGTGCCGACAACCAGGGGGAAGGAGGAACATTTAGTTGCTACTCATTGCTCACGCGATATGTGAGTACCTAACCTATCTCACCTCAGTTTAATTAATTACTTGCAGCAATAGCTTCGTCATTAATACATACTGCTAGGCCAATATCACGGACCGTGATCCGCGAGAGGCGCGCCTCGTCAAGATTGAGCGGCGCGAGACGAACGACATGCGCCCCAGTAATCGATTCCTGCGCTCGGCCATCGAGAAAAACAAATTTCTGCGCAATCTGCTAAAGACCGTCGGCGTACTCGCCGTTTCGATGGTCATTGCCGACGGCGTCCTCACCCCTGCGCAGTCTGTCCTCGGAGCTATCCAGGGCCTCTCGGTGGTGAGCCCGAACATCAACAGCTCTACCATCGTCGGGACTTCGTGCGGCATCCTGGTTATCCTGTTCCTCATCCAGCCCCTCGGCACCACCAAGCTGGCCAGCACGTTCGCCCCCATCGTCATTGTGTGGCTCGGGTTCAACGCCGGCTTTGGCATTTACAACTTGGTCATGTACGACCACTCCGTGCTGAAGGCCTTCTCGCCCTATTTTGCGATACACTTCTTCGCGGAGAAGAAGACGGTTGCTTGGAGAATGCTTGGCGGCATCTTGTTATCGTTTACTGGTGTCGAGGCGCTGTTCGCAGATCTAGGTGCCTTCAGTATGAGAGCCATCCAGATAAGTTGGCTGTCCTGGTGTTACCCCTGCCTCCTTTTGGCATACGTCGGACAGGCTGCGTATATGAGCATCCACCCTAGCTCGTACACGAATCCCTTCTATAACGCCGTCCCTCCCGGGATGTTGTACCCCAGCTTAATCGTAGCGGTGCTGGCAGCTATTGTTGCTTCCCAAGCTATGATTACGGCCGTCTTCCAGGTAAGCGAAGTCTATACATCCACATCCACATCCACGCGTTAGGAAAGACCCAGCTAAAACTCTGCCCCAACAGCTGATCAGCCAGTTGATGAAATTATCTTACTGTCCGCAAGTTAAGGTCGTGCATACATCTAAGAAATTTCACGGGCAGTTATACGTACCCTTTGTCAATTGGATTTTGATGTGTGGAGCTATTCTTGTTACCTGCGTTTACTCGAATACGACTCGCCTTGGAAATGCATATGGGTAAGTGTTTAGGATCCTCATCCTCCTAAAATCACCCGTTATACGACGGCAACTAATTTGTCACCAGCGTCTGTGTCATTTTCGTTACTTTCTTCGACACATGCATGGTGACGCTCGCCTGCCTGATCGTGTGGGGCATACCCCCTTATGTGGTTGCCCTGCCGTGGCTCTTCTTCGCTACAATGGACGGCTTGTACCTCTCCTCGGCCTTGACCAAGGTTCCGGAAGGGGCCTGGTTCACGATCACCATCGCGGGGGTCCTCACGTGCATTTTCCTCCTCTGGCGCTTCGGCAAGGAGAATCAGTGGCGCGCCGAGGCAGAAGACCGGTTCCGCCCCTCCCAGCTCTTGCAGCGCACGGACTCGAACCCGAACTGCGATCTTGTCCTCTCACCGCGCTGGGGTGGCGGCCCTGTTAGCCGCATTAAGGGGCTTGGTATATTCTTCGACAAGGCGGGCGTGCTAACGCCGACTGTGTTCACTCAGTTTGTGAGCAAGTTTGGCATCGTAACCGATGGTATGGTGTTCTTCCATCTGCATCCTGTAGAAGCACCGACTGTTTCCACTGCTGATCGTTATGCTATCTCGCGTATCTTGGCTATTCCGGGATGCTACCGGCTGGTGATTCGCCATGGATACATGGACGAAGTGATTACTCCCGATCTTGCGGTGCTTATATACGAGCAAGTCCGCAAGTATATTATCGGTCAAGCGAGTGGCAACAATAACACCCCGCCGGCGGCAGCCGCGGAAACTACAGAGAGTGAAACGCTGAATGGGACTACATCATCATCGTCCGGGAGAGGGTTAAGTCCGAATGACTCGAACGAAGAGAACAGGGCAGTGCTTGCGCTAGCCGACGAAGAAATAAAGGGGGAGCTCGGTAGGCTTGACCGGGCTTTCGCCAGCAAGGTCATGTACGTGGTCGGCAAAGAGCAGCTGCGGATCAAGGAGCACTCGACTTCATTTGCCAGGCGCATACTCCTGACGACATTCCTCTGGATCCGAGATAACACGCGCGCCAAGATTGCAAATCTACGGCTTGCCATGGATAGAATTGTCGAGGTTGGTTTTGTGAAGGAGATTTAGGAATGCCATGAGATAGATACGATACTTGGCTGCGAACACAAATATAGGCAATGGGTTAGAAAGGAATGGATGTCTTGGTTAGAGGTCGACGTGGAGATATAGACCTGATTCAAATGTAGAGCTACCCCTTCTCGGATTCCCTGAGCCTAGGGGAGGCGCCATACTGTTCGCTACATAATCAAATGAAAAGTCTCACGATTGAAGTGAGGATAAAACCCCGTTTCTATCTCCAAAGATATATAAGAATATGTCTCCATCCGTCCCATCACCAATTATGAGTTATGCCATCTCACCCCTTGTGCCCCGCGACGCCATCCTTGTCAATGCGCTTAACCCAGGGTCTGGGAAGGTCGAAATAAAAGCATTCCGCTATTGATCATGTGATATGTTCTTGGAGCCCCCTTTTCCGGCTGCGTATGCTCATTCGGTGCGGCCGGGTGGGATTGCGGAGTATATGCGTCAAATCAACTTGTGAAAGATTTTCTAATATTCGGAGCAAACATGGAGTACGCGGGTGTCTTGTTATTCAAAACTTCAAACGAACATTCTGGCGACGATATACTCGGTGTAATCCAGCCGTACGTGCAGAGCATGAATAAGGAGACGCCTAAAGAGTGCCGCCTATTAAAGTCCACGCTGATTCCCGTCTAAGTGAAAAATGGCGAAGAGCCACTCTCGCTTATTCTCGCAACGGAACGACAGCAACGAAGATGCAGAATATTTCGGATGCAGATGTTCTCTCCATTCTGCTCAAATTGTTTGCCCAGGTTTCTGGCCGAGAGATTCGCCCGTGCGATGATCTTTTTCAACAGGGGGGTAGAGTCTATCATGTATATCCAGATAGGGAAACTGATAAAGTTGAATATCTTTGTCGGTGGCTCTGTTAAGCTATCTGAGTGTTTTATCTACCTATGATAGTGGGACTGTCCAAACTGTGGCGGAGGCCTAATTCGAATATGCAATGGCGGTAAGATTGGCAATTCTCACGAAGATGTTGATGCGTGGGAGTGGATGAGAGAACTTGCAGAGAAGTATAGCCAGTTTGAGAGACATAAAGTCACTTCAAAGCGTGGAAATGAGGAAGTTGTAGTACTAACGGGTGCCACCGGTCTGCTAGGAGCCCACATTTTATCTCACGTAGCGAAAACGAGAGCGTCTGTCGAGAGTCATGATCGAAAGCGCTAGCGAAATGTCAGCTTTCCGGGTTGGCAATCTAGAAGCTCTACACAGCAAACTTACACTCTATCTAATCTTCCCTGGCAACTATCCGAGTTACATCTTGGTCTATCTAACGAAGACTGGAGACTTATTATAGCCGAATTATCTATCTATATCCACGCAAGTTGATCCGTGAACTTCAACCTTCCCCTGAATTCAGAAGAGTTCCGAAAACATCTCAAGGACACACGCAACCTTTTGAATGCAACACTGTATGGTAAGGCAAGATTCTTCTTTATTAGCTCAACAGAAGCAGCGTGTTCCAATCCTTCATCATCTATTACGGAGGAGGTTCCGTTGGATCCGTCACATGCATCGCCATCACCTAAGGCCACTCGAGATCAAAATGGGTCGCCGAACAGATATGCTCGAAAGCCCGTGAACAGTTATACAGCAGCATACCTACCGAGGATAAGGTGGATTCTCATATATCAATCATTCGCATGGGAAATTTTTGCGGTAATGAAGCAGGAGCATGGGATACAGTCGAAGCCTATCCGCTACTACTATCAACTGCTGGTCTCATGGGGTGTCTTCCGGATTTACCAAATAAAATTATTAACTAATTACCTGTGGACCGCGAGGCAAGTATATCATCAGATATTGTACTACCAGATCGTATCTCCAAGTTATCTGCCCATTCGAAGATACCCGTGCCTATACCACGTGCTGAATTTCCATGGTTCACCATCGTGGAACCAACTACTTGATTGGATTTCAGGGGTACCAGGACATCCTTCGTTTAGGGATGTGCGTCCAAAGAAGCGGATAGAACGGTCAGAGCTAGAATTTGAGAAGAATCAAGTAAACCATCCAGCCCAGGCTCTTGTTGGATTCCGGAGACAGAGATACTCTTCCGTGGTTGATAGGTCTAGGGCTTCAAGGCGCCCCAGCTTCGATGTCACTTCGAGTAAAGCCTAGCATTTTCCCAAAACATGAGATATACGAAGCCCCTAGCTCAAGATAGTGTTCTCGAGATGTGGGAGTGGATTGGGCGAATATGAGGAGGCACTCGGAGCTGTACCGTACTTCGACTGACCATGGCGCTGACTTTTACTCAACATAGTACCCGTGTATGGTGCTATCATGTGAAATAAGTCTATAAGAGAGTAGTCTCGGATTTCCCTATAAAAATGTCAACCGGAATTTACCTTAGGTTAGATACCTAAGGTACGTATAGGAGGTAGGGAGTAACGATACGAAAACCGGGCATTACAGTGAAACCAAGGGGTATCATAATCTATATGCGACGTATCTTGCAGGAAAGAATCTCCAACCGGCCAAGTGACTAGAGCTTAGCTCTAGACGCTTCATTACGCTGACTGCTTCCGAGTACCTACCTAGGTAGGTATGTTTTGTTTTACATGGAGTGCAGACATACACATCAAGACCTACGCAGCAATGCACACACACATCATGATTGGTTACTAGCGCAAGGAGACTTATAGCGTATAGACCAATTAGATTTTAAGAACATATCAACCATCTCAATACCAGGTACCTATACTCTTCAGTGTCTTGATTGATATTATTGTCAGGATTTTAAAGACGTCCTACAAGAAATTCAAAGAGATTCAAAGGAAAGGTCGGTTTCAAATAATTTAGACGAACACGGCATATGATTTCTGGTGTGCTATTATCCGATAGATCAACTACGTCCATGCGCCAGATAGATACATCAAGATATAAAGCTGGAGATGTACTACCATTGATTCTGTAGTATTCTCGGGGAGCAAAGTCAGGAGTTAGCATGTTAGCATTGGCAAGCTAGTTAAAAGACTATAGTGGATATCATTAGCTAGAAATTCCATGAGATAATATTTTACTTGTCGTGAGTGGTAGTCCTTGGAGTCTTTTGCCCGACTGTTACGCGACGAGTTCGGCAGATGCAGCAGCATCGACTCGATAACCCAATAGGATCTCCTTAAATCACTCCGCATTTCACACGCCAACCAATCACGTCGACGATACGAAATCGGGCGATGCGAAAAAGTGACGAAGGCATCAATGTAAAGGATCATATTTTTCCTGATAGATCAGCGGGGAAAGGGAGATTCATCTGGGGAGCATCAACCAAGCTTCGAGGTCGATCCGCATGATAAGCTAGGCCCGGCCGCAGGGTATGAAGACCACGAGGACTCCTCTGTGTACACGTCTTTATCTCCGTTATCGGGTGTCGTGCCGTATTCCAAATTCTAGCAACGGAGATAATGTCGCATAGAAACATGGGCATGTCATGGCTAGGCTACACAGACAAGACTGGGGATGCAGAAGGTCGATTGCAGGTTCCAATCAGGGTTAGTGTTATGATGTGTCTATTAATAAGACTTGAGTGGGCTATTTTTGACGTTCACGATATGGGAGGTTATCCTGTTGTGAAACAGAACATATAGTATATACGGCTATAAACACGTGGAAATATATGACCTTTAAATGTTAAACGAGCTTTCAGAATATATTTTCATTGAAATTTATTTTACTTGAATGACACGTACCTCCTGGCGAGTCCTTAGAACAGCTATCCACACCCTTACTTGTTTTAACCCGAAAGTGTGAAGGCTTATCTAGACTGGTTTTCGGGATTCGGTTTCTTCTCCCTATGATCTGTCGGGTTGCACATCGCGGCTCTTCCTTTCCCAGGTGGCATCGCATCTAGTTTGGATGCCGCTTTAGTTACGTCCGGTAACGCTGGGGTTGCCCCTCCACACCTTTCAGGTCGATAACTCCTTCATCAGGTCCAACCACGTAGCAATGCAAAAAGCTCCTATCGAGATAGAATTTGTAACTAATTTGCTGATTGGAGAAATACATAACACAAGGATGGTGGTTCCACCGTGGTGCTGCTTTATCTCGGAGACGCTGGCGTGCTGGGCGACAGGCAAACTCATGTCTTGCCTATCTATCGTCACAATACCCAACCTTGGACTGGATTCGCCATGGATGATTTCCGCGACGTGGTTTTCGGGGTTCAGTTGCCTTGGTATTGGCGACATGGAGAAAACTATTGATTAGAATCAAGAGCTTGGAGATAAGGTCGGATCGAACCCTGGGCAGGCCTCACGATGATAAATGCCGGCCATGAAGGCGTTTTCCTGACACCATCATTATCCAGACAGCATCCATCATCAACTCTGGCTCTACACAACTGCCCCTCCTCCTAGTAGAAGGGTGTCTGCTTATTGATACAGATTTTATCTGTCTTTGCATATCCAACATGGCAGCGACAGCAGTAATGCCAGCTTCTAGGTCCCCTATCCACACCAAACGAAACTGGACCCCAATAATCAAGGCACCTGAGCTGTCACAGCTGGGAAACGATGATTTCAACCCCGCGCGACACCTGTCTTTCAAGGAATGCCCGAAGGTGTATACCATGAAGGACCTAGGCTTTCCCGAAGATACTGGAATATCTCCGGTTGCCGTCTCAGAGCCTTTCCCACTTTTCACGGAAGAAGCCGTGATGAGGATGAGAAAAGAGGTCCTGAGCCCTGAGATCCTTAGCAACTGTCAGTACTCTAGTAACTTGGCGCAATGTCAACTAAGAGGATTTGCGAACAAGTAAGTCTGACATGCTACTCCCTGGTCCATATAAAACCTGTGCCCCTAGCTAATTCGATAATTTAGGTATGCGCCTTTCGTATACGACGTGTGGAAGAGCCCAGAAACACTAGCGATCATCTCCAAGATTGCAGGTATCGACCTGGTGACAGAGATGGACTTCGAGATCGGCCACATTAATATTTCCGTTAAATCCGAGAAAGAGAAGGAGGAGGAAATCCGAGCGTTCAATGAACGTGCCCAGTACGAGTCTGATGAGGGCATTTCAGGGTGTCCCTGGGAGGATGATAAACCCATAGTAGATTGGCATACTGACAGTTACCCCTTTGTCTGCGTGACGATGCTTAGCGACTGCACGACCATGATTGGTGGCGAGACAGCGCTTCGCACTGGTACCGACGAAGTTATGAAAGTGCGAGGCCCACAAATGGTGAGAAATTCGCAAAACCCCCTTTCCAGAGGTGGTGAAGATGGCCACTGACCTTCAATGAACAGGGTTGTGCAGTAGTTCTTCAGGGTCGGTACATCGAACACCAGGCACTACGAGCGCTCGGAACAGCGGAACGAATAAGCATGGTGACTTCGTTCCGACCGCGATGTCCAACAGTGCGCGACGACACGGTCTTAACCACAGTAAGGCCTATCTCTAACCTCCTGGAGCTATATAACCAGTTCAGCGAGTACCGCCTCGAGATACTAGAAGAGCGTATCCGTCAGCAGCTAAAGGAGTTGCGAGAAGCCAACAGCGCTGGTCGCAAGGTTGCCACGCGCAAACTCAAGGCATTTTTTGAGGAACAAGAAAAGTTCCTGGCACATATGAACCGCGAGATGGTTGATGATGAAGAGGTCGTTATCGGATGCGTTGATGATAGTCACCTTCTCAAGAAGACAGCGGCTAAGAAAGCCTAAATAGAGTCTGAGAAGCCTGTTTGTGTTTCAGGGGTTGAAGGAGTTATGAGTTGGTATATTCAGTTTGTCAATTACTTTGTATCCAGGTAGGCATGTAACTAGCGATGAGGTGTATTGTAGGTAGCTTAAAGTATTTTATCCTACTCCTTTCCAGCTTAGGTCCCTAGTTGATAAGGAGGGGGTTGCTCCATGGCGTATGCTGGGTCATCCAAATGACCGTAAGCGACACGTTCAAATATAGCCTGTCTTGCATTTTGCAGCTCTTCTCTGGCCCTTTTGAGCGATTCCGTGTGCAAGATCAAGTCTTGCTCGGCGTCTTGATGTCTGGCTTTGGCCAAGGTTAACTGATGGCGTAGGCTATCGCGGGCTCGATAAAGACCTGCGCGGGAATCCTTGATCTTGTCGTGGAAAGCCATGTCGCTGAATATATTATCGAAGAATACATCGCCTAATAAACTGCCCTGTGCGATGCCGACAGCTGGTAGATCTTGTACTTTTTGAGATGCGCGCTGTGCTTGTCGGACAAGCGACAGCATCTGACCTAGTTGGCTTTCAGCTTTATCCAGTGCGTTGCGCTCCATCATATCGCTCAAGGTACCGCCGCCGAACATATCCATTCGGCTATGGCTCAGGGCTTCTTCGGTGTAATTTAGTGCCTTGTAAACTCGTTCTTGAGCTTCTGTTAGGAGGTGCACAACGTGTTGTTCTGTTTCCACCACCATGCGAGCGTTTTGGTAAGATTTCAAACAATTCCTGGCGTTTTCCTCTAAACGGTCTTCGTCAGGAAAGGCTGGTGTCGGTCCCTGGAAAATGCTATCGTAGAGATTGTCAAGTTGCTGCTGGGCTTCGGTATGACGATTCAGCTCGACCTCCAAATCGCTCTGGACTTCTATGGCTTTGGAGCGCATTTCTCTAAGATGCTCTTCCATCTCTTTAGCTTGCCGCTCTTGTTGTAGGACAGCGAAATATTCTTTTTCTTCCTTCTCAGCTTTGGCCTCGAACTTATCAGTCTTACCACTAACACGATATGCGAAACGCTTCATAACCGAATCTCGATATTTCTGGTGCTCTTTCAATTCTTTAGCTCGTTGTTTATCAAGCCGAGAGATGCGCTCTCGAATAGCAGAAAGTTCATTGTTGAGATCATCCACATGGCGTCTGTGCTGCTCCAAGGCCGGCTGTGCGTGATCGGTCTCGGAGAGAATAGCTAATAGCTCGCTGTTGCGAGGGGCTGATGCTCTGATCTTATTTGTGATAGAACTCATGATTGATATTATTTAGTACTATTCGGTATTATTTGGATGAATGAAGACTGATGGAAAATATTCTGGGGTTTATTGTTACTTATAAGTCTTGCATGTATTTTTCTCAAGCTACCGTCAAAATGGGTTGATTCATAGGATAATCCTAGCATAATCCAGGCACTGCCGCTATGTTAAGGCAACCGTTCAGACGCCAACCAATTAACTTTAACAATTTGAACATAGCCTTAGTGTTACGAGAAGTCTTGGCTTACATATCTGCTGGCTTTAAACGTTTTTTTTTTTTTTCAAAGGAGGAATTCGATAGGTAATAACCTTGGAAATTACATAACGCGATTGTTCCCCGAACTTGGAAAGATGTGTAGTGCACTAACACCTAAGGCTCTTTTCAGTTACTTCTATGTGACAGGCTGAACAGCTATAATTGTGGCTGTGTTAACAACAATGGCCGCGTGTGGCCAGGGGGCTACGTAGGGTGGCGGTAGGAATTTGGTGTAAAAAGGCCTCCCCCACACCGACGTCATACTAGACTTCCTTTACCTTTTAGGTGCTTACATCGCGGTCGCAATACAGATACCTCTATCAACCTAATTTTCTACTTCTCATCAACAGCGCGCATACTATCGCAAGTACGGCACAGAGCAACGAAATTCCTACTTTATATTAGTACCAATTAAATCTTACTCACTTAAAGGAAAGTTTTTCTTTGTCAGTTCCTTACCATGGCTATACTCGAGTCCGCGAACATAAGCTTCCGAAACTGCTTGAGCTATTCGTCGTGGGGCTTCATCTAGATAATCGATCCGCGCGGTGGCTTGCTTGATGATCTTATCCATATTGTTAGTCTGAGAAGGACACTTATTGAATTCGAAGTCTTTATCAATTACCTCTTCGGCCTCGGTTTTCTCCACGCCAAGTTCGCGTAACTTCGCCGCCAATTCCGCGGGCATCGTCGTCTGCATTACCGCATTACAGGCTGCCATACCTAGGATCGACCCAACTGGTGCCGAAAGATACAGGCCCGATGTTGCCATGGCCTTATCCGCGGGATTTATCGCCGCTTGCAGAGCAACAAAAACTGCATTTGCTGAAATACCGGTGCCGAAGCCTCTACAACCATTCAGTAACCAAACGTGCGCATACGTTGTAGCACAGTCAGACTCACCCAGGAAAGATGTATAATGACTCTAACCAGTTGGTTTTACCATTCCATCTCAATATTAAGAGCCCGTAACAGATGAAAGAAATAATACCGGCGAAAACTATCGGTGCCTTGAAATACCCGGTCCTGTAGTATCACAGACTGTTAACCATTATCCAGGTACAATAGCCGAGATAAGATTTCTCGGTAAAGATTATTTACCTCCTTATCCACGCGCCAGTGATCAGACCTCCAATAGTATTACCAATGACGGCTGGTATAAGGTGGGCTCCAGCGACAGTGCTAGAAGATCTTTTTGTTACCTGAAAATAAAGAGGGACGGAGACCATCATCTAGGTATTCATGTAAGCACTTTCTCAGCTTCACTCAATTCCTCAACTTTAGTTTGGGTGACATACCCCTACTTGCGCGGCCGTTTGCAGAAGCACTATAACGTTATTAGCCAACAACCACAAGGTCCTTCAATGGAACCTCTAACAGAAGGCAATGTTTACGTACTGATAAGGTAGCTGAAAACCACATCTCGATTTCTCAATAACCTTAGCGGGAAAATAGGCTCTTTTGCCCATCGTATTTCTGCGACTGCAAATAGCGCTAGAAGGACCGCTCCCAGTGTAAAGAGTGATAGGACAATCGGGCTCCCCCATGGCACCTTTTGCCCAGCAATCTTCAGGGGTAGAAGGATGGACAGAAGACCACCCCCTAAAAGACTAGCCCCTAGGAAATCTATCCTAGCCAGTCGATTCTTCGTACTTTCACCATTAGTTCGGCTTCGTTCTGGTGTTAAGTTGGGAAGTGTCATCCCGCAGAGGACCATGGCGAGCAAGAATATCGGTGCTTGGCCTAAGAATGACCTGGAAACCATTAGGTATAAATCATGATTACCTATTCTAGTAATTCATCGTTGTTTCTTAAACTCACCATCTCCATCCAATAGTATCAGCGAGAAGCCCTCCGGTAGGGCCACCTAGACTTCGGCCGACAGTAGCCACCACATTGAGATAACTCTGCCATGAAGCCACATCTCTTAAAGGGGCCAAATCTACATCGCAATGAGTTCTTCATGCTATTTACCCCTCTTCACGCGAGGGTTTAACACGTACCGGTTATAATAATTGCAGCTAACGTCATTATACCAGACCCTCCGGAGCCGGAAATCACGCGCCCGACTATGACTTGCCACATCGACTGGCCAACGCCGCTATATGCGCACTCATAGTAAGCCTATATTCCAAAATATTCATTCGGAAGCTCTTACATTAGAACCCTGAAAACATTCAGTAGGTTAGTTATATCCTCTTGTATCACATACAGCGGGAGTAGACATACGAGCCAGCAGCAAACAAAGCATACGAAGTTAACAGGACAGATTTGCGACCGTATATATCGCTTAATTTGCCGTACTATTGTCATGCCGTTAGATCCATTGCTTGCGTAGTGGCGGTGGTAAACAAGCTCACAAGCGATTGGGTTGCCGCTCCTGCGAGTAAGAAGCTAATAAATATCCATGTGGAGTTTTCAAGATCGTTGAATTCAGATGCTATCACGGGATGCGTCGCTATTACCAATGAGCCATCCGCATTCCCTGTGAACACTCCTACCACCAAGACTTTAGCAGATAATTCGAAACTTATAGTCTTGGAAGCCCACGACTAACCAATCAGTAGAGTAAGAACAACTCTGGAGATAAACTTATGGCTGTAAGTTTTTCGCACAGGTTCCTCTGGAATTACAGCCTGGTCGCATCGTTCCTGGTCAGGTTCAGCAGAAGTGCCATATACCGACGGGGACGAAGAATTGTCTATGAAGCTGTTGTTAGAAGATCCGTCATTAGAGCTGTCAGTTTCTAACAGCCTCGTCCTCTCATCAATGAGAGATTTAGTCGTATCATCGCCCGCCATTTTTCCTCTGTAGATAGAAAGAATCCGACCGCAAATGGTCGTATGACAGCCAATACCTAGAGATCAAAGCTCATGAAGTAAAGCAGATGAGATAATGATAAATGAAAAGAAACCCATAGGAGATAAAGATTACATACATGCGACTGGGCGCGTCGCAATCTTCCGTTCCGGATACTGTCCAGTCTACCTACATCGTACAGCTAGATACCTATCTCCAAGTCGGCACTGAGGTCCGTGTTTGGCTAGAGCCGGGAGCACGTCATGTCCCCGGCACAGCACATCATTAACAACCACTACAACCTGAACATGACCTCAGGTATGCAACGGAGCGCGGAAGTGAAATATTCCATTCTAATTGATTCGCTAAAGAAGGATTAATATAACAAACCTTAGGACGTATGTACCTCATATACAATTTAATCAACTGCAACTATTCTATACAGAGGGAGAGCGGTAACCGACGTAATATCTATGCATGTAAGCGGTCTCTTTTTAATACACTGCCCAGTTCAAGTCCTAGCTTGCATAAGGCTTGAAGAAGTTTATAATGGTAAAAAACAGGTTTTCAAATTTATTGAGACATTAGGTGGAAGTGGATGAGAAAAAGTAAATGGTATATTCCAACGCTCTACGCTCAACCTAGATGCCTCAATGTAACTACCCGCCGATTTATACCCAATCATGTCCTTTTCAATATCCATCCGATGTACCCTTAACAACTTAATCTACATCTTAAGCTGATCCCGCACCTCAGCGTACCCAGACAGGATTTGCGCCGCCCTCTCGGTGCTTCGCGGCTGGAACTCGCAGGGGAACGGCAAAGGCTCCAAGATAACGTGGGCATTGGTGGCCTCGCTATCGAACTTCATATCTTCACCTGTTTGAGTACACCTCTTCTTACTTAGGTTGAACCCCCAAAGGACCCCCGCCCCCGTGACGAACATCTCGTCGTCTGCGATGTGCTGGCCCAGACACGTCCTACGGCCGAATCCGAAGGTGTGCATCCCTTTTCCTTCCCGCAAATTTGGGTATCGTGAGAGCGGCTCTTGATAGGTGGGCCATTCCTTCTCTAAGTACCGCTCAGGGTGGAAGTTCTCGGGATCTGGGTACTGTTCCGGTACGCGGTTCATACTCCTTGAAGAATGAAGTTAAATTAATAAGATAGCCCCCAATGTAGATGATTATTATCGTTGTCAAAATGTTACTTACCATTCGCATGCCATAACTATCGTGCCTTTCGTAATTTTCTCGCCCCTGAACTCGTCGTCTTGCTCCGCTTGATGAGGCACTCCGAGAGGTACACCGGATCGCCATCGAAGTGTCTCCTTTAGACACGCTCGAACCGTAGGCAAATTGGCCATATCCGCTGTTGTCGGCATGCGGTCACCGCAAACTCTGTCGATTTCTTCCTGGGCTTTCCTCTGCCATTCGGGATGTAACAGCATAGCCATTAGGAAGAATAACATTGGCCCACTAATAGTCACGACACCCACTAGGTTCTGGAACCCAAGCATGCAGCTCGCGAACTCCTCTTCTTGGGGGGTCTGCTCCAGGCCGATGTTGCCTTGCTCCTGGAGACCTGTGAAGTACCGGCTGGACCACGTGTCTTTGGGTAGCTCGCCATTCAGATGCCTTCTCTTCGCCGTATGGTAAGAACCAAGCCACCACGCTCGCTGTTCATCTTCGCGGGCCCTTTCCGACTGCTTCCACGGGTTCAGCGCCCAAGGTATGGCCCATAAGGGCGTTACCGTGTTAACGATCGGTCCCGACACGGACATCTGCGTCAGGGTGCGATCAGCACTGTCGCCATTTTCCTTGCCCTGCGATGCATCGTCCCATGCTAGCCGGCTCATTATGCGTCCGCAATGTTCCCGTGCATTAGCGTGGAATTTTGCAGGATCGAGGAGAAGCATGGCCAAATATCGTTTAACTTCCGTCTCAATCACTCCAAAGAAGTGGGCTCGATGGAAATCAGCCATCGCGGCGTGAACCCACTTCCGTTGACGAGTCCAGATGTCTTACGGTGAACTAGTTAGCGTCTGATAGTAATATATGGTAATGAAGAGGGCTCCCATACCGTGCCTATCCATTAATGCAACGTAACCTGGCCCAGTCTTGTGGTCGAAAAGAGCTCTAATCTGAGGACGGCCGGAATAGATGTGGCCTCGTTTGACGAGAAGCTCTTCGGCGATCTTGGGATCCGAAATGATAATAAACTGCTGGCCCAGCATGCTCGTCCTGTATATGGGGCCATATATATCGGCCCACTCCTTGAACTTCTTCCACATGCAAAACCTATCGAGGTCATGGACTCTCCCGACAATAGGGAATTGCTGAGGCCCAGGAATGGTCTTGGTTGATCCATTGCCCTTTCGCGTCCAAGAGAGGATCTGGCGAAGGGCAGAAAATAGGAGGCTAGGAACAGCCAGATAGAGAATAACTAGTCGAACGCCTTCCATCTTTGCGAGCTCTTATATCAGGGATCGGTGCTTATGAGACAGTAACGATGCTCCTGAAGCATGAAAGCAAGTGAAATAAACAGACCGGCTATCTACCTAACTTATAGAGAGCGTCGGTAGGCAGGCTAGGTGCAGTGAGCCTTATGTAGATTTGATACAGTCCATATTTGGTTTTCTGGGTTCAGTCCGAACCCCCTTCTGATTCCGGATGCAGCCCCCGCACCAGAATGGCAGAGTAATACCTCACGACAACTCTTTTTTTACCGAGATTCGATACGTTCCATCGGATCACACTGTAACCCCGGTCACCTTAATTCCGCATCACCACTTCGTTGCTGTATTTTTTATTTTTTTTCACAGCAAAACATCCCCACTATCTTGTTTATGAGGCTGATATCAATCGTGCAGTAAAAGCAAGAGGAAAATCCTTTCAAATCCTCGGTCGTGCCATGCATATTACAAATAACAGTCATTGATAGAGGAGATAAGATGATCATTGGTCATATGTTTCCACGTGAGTTTACATATTATGCAATGTTCAATTGGCTACGGTCAACTCTGAATTGTCTATCAGTTCGCAGTGAAGCCACACGAGAATTACCCTTGTTTACCGATGTCCGGCGAGCTAGGAGGCCAACATAATCGATCGAGTCATTGATTAGATCAACTATGGATATGTTAACAGGTATAGGAAAAACGATGACTAGTTTCACAAGTTTGTTAGTTGACTTATCTGGTTGCAGCAATCTAGAATACCAAGACCTTAGATAGCTGATTCTAAGCTGTACGTATGAGAAACCGCCGAGTTGGTTGGAATGTAAATTCGCTCCACGGCCAAAGGATTGGAATTTGCCGCCAAAATTGCAAGATGGTATCATCGATCTGTCACATGAAATATTTCTTCATCGGAAAACTTATTACCTTGGGGATGTCCGGCCGTCGTGAATGATCCTATTGGAACTTGTATGAGGTTGTCTGCAGTTTGTTCGTAGTGTTACAAAAAAAAGTCTGCAACTATTCGACTATACGTTGGATTCCCGTCTCTCGAGCTAATGAGAACTCATTATAGGAGCCATGGTGGAATTTCTCTCTTACCTAATTGTCATCGGACATCAAATAGACCAGGCTGATTCTGCAGTCACACCGGTTGCACCTCCATGCACTACAACATCATCGTGTCATTTGAGGCTGATAGAGGTGGGTCTGAACTAATGCTAAAGCACAGAAGAGGAGTTTACCATTGCGGCCCGAGGATAGTTTCTTTCAGCTCGTGTTACCATGAAGATCGGACGTCTTAGCTATACCCACCCGAGTATCGTGAAGTATCATGAGTCTTTCGGTTAACCCAGTTTCAACTTATGTCTAATTATGGCTTATAAGCTAAAGATTGTAAATGATGCCATGGTAAACAAGCTTTTAAAAATATGAAGAACGAAATTGAAGAAATTAATAAAGAGTACCTACCTAGGTAGGTAGGCAGGTACTCTTAATGAAATTGCAAATTCCTTCCCCAGCCACCGCCACCGGAACATGCACAGGTCCCTTCAAAAAGGGATCTAAATTACTCTGCAGAAATTCTGCACCAGAACTTTGACATGGCTAGCACAGCAGGCTGCACATTATCGTGGTCAGTTGAGCAATATTGAGTGTATCTTTGCCGTCTGAGTCAATTCGCTCATGCGACTAGAAATCTGGTTGGTCGAAAACGAAGAGATGGTTACACAACGACATGGTTCAGTTCTCGACCAACATATCTGAGCCGTGAGGGAGGAGGGTAGGGCCGCCGTTTTCGTGTCCCCAAATGAAAAAAAAAAAAAAAAAAAATGTTGTGTCCGGTCAAAACGGGATCCAAGAACCCATGCTCCCGGACTATTATGCTTAAGCCTTCATATGGAAGCGTGTGCCGATAGAGTGAAATCAATCTCACTTATTGGGCGATTCTATTATACGTTATGACATGCAGTTGTGCTACCGGGAGGTGACATGATGTTGATGATAACAAATGCCTAATGACATGCCGGCTTGGCAATCAGCAAAAGAGTCTCGCCCAAGCCATCTTTGCCCAGCCGGGGCACCGGTCGTTAACCGGGCGCATGGCTTTTAGACTCCGCTTCCAAAAATAACGCCACCCAATCATGTGTGTGGGCATATACGAGGAGCTAGCGATGAATGAATCCATCCGGCATTAACAAGGGTTGGTTAGGAGGGAGAATTCATGAAGGGACCATTTCTATCTACGGTATCGTACGCTATATGCCTAGCTTTCCAAAGGGTAGCTATTTGAAGATAAATCCCAATCGAACTTAGTGTAGGTTTAACCCCCTTGTTCTAGGTAGGTAAATAATTTCCGCGTGGGATGACTCTATCGTCATAGTAGGTACTAACTCGTCCTGTCGAGGTGCAGCTACCTTAGCACCATGGTAGCACGCAGCTTTCGGAATATGTGTAACGTTATATGCAGAAGCCTTCTTCTCAAACAGCCATCGCTTAATCACATACTACCTAGGTAGGTACTCTGCAATTGGCTCGGCCATAGCTAAACGACGTCTAGTCCGGGGAGTTTAAATGATTGCAAACATGACTCGTGATTAACGTGGGCATACGGCGGCTCTCAGCTCCGAAACTAGCGAACTTCGGACTCTTCGTATTGCTGACCTTCGCGTCTGCACCACCGACTAGCATTCCAAATAGCTCCATAATGAGATAAGAAACTTCGAACTTGGCATGGTTGTGAAAAAAAAAAATGAAGCTGGAACGTGTCTACATGTAAGACGTATCCATCCATTGCAAAGAAATGCCGAAAAATGCTGTAAGAAGATATGAAATGCGCGCCGTTTATGGTCATACAATAGAGTAGAGAGACATGTATGAGCGATATCCAACTGCATCGAACCACTCTGAAAGGTAATTTTTCAGTTGCAAGATCATACGAGGAGTAATCATACGAAGAGCTTCGGATGTAGGTGAATGATGCTTACGACTTCAGAGAGATAATCTTCAGTGATAATTTACCGTTAGCTGCCTTGATATCGTACCGGGAACCCCGATGTTCACCTTTACTCAAAATAGCAGCTCATTATATATTGCGTGTTCAGCAAAACCCTGCGAATAACGAGCCGCGCTACCGCCTCACAAATCTCAAGTCCGTATCTTATCCCACGCACGAGCAATTATATATAGCTCCAAGGGTCCTATAAACTGGATAACTCAGATCTCTGTTTCCTCACAATTAGACACCTTTAAATCAATTCAACGTACTACCAGAGCACTATTAAAGAGGCCAATCTTTAGGTACTTTCTAAAAACTAAGCCAACACGTACCACATCCAGGTGTACCTTTCTGTACCGCTCTCTGTTTCCGAAGGGCCTGATTTGACCGAGGTCGAGCAGTCAACAGTCTTGTGCGATACTACACGGCAACCCCTATTTCGAGTTTAGCATAAGTGGGCCACTACAGCATGCCGGTTCTATGGTCTATTTTCAAACAAGATAAAACTATCTACCCTACCAAATTGACCCTTTTTATAAATATTGGAATGAAGATTTAATTTAACTCGAATATCTCTAAGGTAGCCCTGAAGTAATATTTTTATGATTTTTATTCGTGGAGTTATCATAGAGTGACAAGGCTGTCTTTTGGCATATAATGGAAGGTGGGTCGGAGGGTTATGGTACTAGGTTAGGTATAAAGATTTAGGTATGGAGCCGGAAATCCTATGGCGATCCGAAAGATAAACATTCCATATTCAACGTGCGCAATTGTTACATTATTCTGAGGATTGAAGCTGGAATCCATTTAGCTTCATAGGGTGACATATCCGTATTTGTCTAGGTTAACTACGGGGTTAAGAAATAACTTCTTGGCTTCTTTACTAGGTGCTTTAATACAACCAAGAAAAGTAGGTACGCTTACTCGGATTTCTTCCCTCGTACGTGGCTGATAGAGTCTTGGATAGCATCAGCTAAGGCAGCCGTCGTGCTAAGAAACGGGAAATGACTAGAATTTGGGCTAACGGAAAACGAGCCAGCCGGGAACTGAGAAAACATGGCCCACTGTGCGTCAATCTCAATGGCTTTATCCTTTCTAAGAAGGCGTAGCTGACTACAAAGCCTTCATCGAAGGGAGAGTATTTCAACTCTCCTAACACGATCTAGTTGGATATGGGCTTACACACAGGCTTACCTCTCTGAAAATCTACCAATCTGGGTACGTATTGTTGAAATGTTTTGAGAGGCTTATCCTAACATGACGGGCTTGTCTACCCAGCAATACTTCGATAGAATATGGCTTTGAAAGGCCGCTGTTATACTTTAGATATACGCCACCATGTCGACCCCTATCCTGTTACTCTGGTTCTCTTATACAATAGGAACCCAATGCATAATAAAACTTAAACATGATCATTCATGCAACAATGAAAAACCATCTATATTTTACAACCAGTTCATCAAATTTACATAGCATTTATGTTGAGAAACAATTTATTGTGTTAACATTATTCCAAAAGCAGCTTATAATACCAATATTGCCCCCACTGGTATCAGCGATATCTATGTGTATATCATCCACAAATCGTCGGATTTAACCATAATTACCTAGAACTATACTGCACTTGTTTCTACAGTTTAAGTATAAGTAAAGACTGTTGTAATTCTCTAATAATAGACAATATATCGATTAACGACATAGCTTAGGTACCTAACCTACCACCATGGAGCAACCCACCCCGACATCCATCATCGCATATATGCTAGATCATCCTGAGTTTCTCCAGCAACCCAATAACCTTGCGGTTATAGATGCGCGGGAGCATATATCAGCCCCCAAAGGATCACTCCCATCACCCCTATTCGTCTCCGCTATCCTGTACAAGGGTGCTAGCATCGATTTCATTCGCGCCCTGTTCACAGCGTTTGACAATGAAAGACTGAGTCAGGAAACATGGCATAGTCACCAGGGACCGTGGATACGAGAATCGCCGTTAGTAACAGCCGTCCGGGCAGGTCGGGCTGATGTCATCGAGTTGCTGCTGAAAAACTTTGTGGAACTCCTCACCTGGATGCAATTTCTGACGGAAGATGAAAACCCCGAGTTCAAGCTCACGAGAGAGGAGAGAGAAGATCGCGAGAGGAACAAGGTCCCTGCTACCAGGTCACCTCTAGCCAGACACTGCGTAACTGCTACAGATTGTGCTGTGCAGTTATACGGCGTTGAGAAAGACGATGAGGCTCGCGGGAAAATTTATCACTGCGCTCTGACTTTGGTCACCTATGGGACGTATTTGTCTCCCCTCACACCGCAACCCACAATGGCGTTAATTCCCAATAATCCGCCTCGTTTTGTTCTTACTACCCGCCTCATTACAGCAATGAATTTCGGGATGGACCATTATGTTATCGCAGTAATAAGACGAACATTGGCCCTGCCGCGACAAGAGCCTGACCGGCAAGCACTAGTTAGTGAGGGGCTTTATGATATTCTACTCAGGGCAGCGAAATCAGGGATACTCCCTGAGACCATCCGGGAGCTCCTGGACCTCACGTATAGTTCTGACGACGTGCTCGCACTTCTTCCCTTGGACATGGCGTCGAGCCCAAATCCCATTGCATTAGCTCTTACTTCCAATTCCGAGGGTGGGGACCTAGATGCTGTCAACATCTTAGAGATGCTGAAATATCCGCTCATGAAGCATGCGGCACGAGACCACCGCCCGTGGGAGGAGTACGCGGTTTGGCTGATAACCGACGACACTGTAACGAATGAGGCGGCGAAAGCAAAGCACATCTTATACTTCAAAGAGCACATGGAATACATCCAGAAGTTCCTCTTGAACAGGGTTCAGTTAAGTGCCCATCTCAGAGTACAGTTGATGAAGTACAGGACTTCTCTTGTGCGGCGCACACTCATGAACGGGAAAAGCGGCCTAGCTAATTTTGCCCATGCTGTGGAAAGCACTATGGCCTTCACCAATAGGGAATGGATGCACCGAGCGATTCTCTGTGGCAACGCCGGCGCAGTCGAGCTTATTGTTTCCGTATGGGGCGACGCGAACCTATCCCTAGAAACACAGTTGCCTCCGGTAGACCCGATAATGGGCTTTCCCGGGTGCGAACGTCCCAGATCGGGGTTGAACGACGCGGTTCGACTTCGACACTTGCAGGTGGTAATAGTGCTGCTAAAGGCGGGTGCTGATCCGAATTCTGTTGAACCAGAAGAATGGGCCGCTCTCTTGGACGAGCTAGAAAATGAAACTATGAGTAGATTCGACTTCATCAAGAAATATTTCCAATATGGATTTTTCGAATGGGGAACGCCGATCGTGAGCCAAGAGGAGATGATATATAACGAGGCTATTAGAGAGCAAGTGCGACTAATTACTTTGATTGCGCGTCGGCGATCTGACCCTGAGTATTAGAATCGAATACACGTGTAGCTAGATGGAAATATAATTTTAATATAGCCATAGGATATCAAAGCCCGAGAACCGATCTTCTCTTCTATTTCACCTTTGTGAGGTATTGTACAATTCCTTGCTGAACTTGGCATCTTTATTCGTACCAAAAGTTAGCCTCAATCGTGTAGGCTGAAAGATAGGGGTGAAAGATAGGGGTGGATATTCTCTCTAGGTCTAGGTAGGAGGTAATCTGTGAGAAACGATTAGCGCAATGATATAAACATGATGTAGTTAAAGAGTTGTTGCTAAAAAGAAAAAAGAAGAAAAAACAATTTCATAGGCTGTTTGACATATTCAAGGACATATATTTATCCCTTTGCCAAAGTAATAAAACATTCTAAAATATGACGAATGTAGATTTATTGGTGGAATGGCAGAATGGAGACGCGAAAAAAAAAAAGAAAAAAAAAAAGTCTCACTTATCTAAATTAAGTCATAAGTCATTCTTAACCAAGATTCAATCTCGTATATTCCGTGGAAACCCGGAGCCTTGACGTCAGTGCGTAAGTTGTTTTGCGGGACCCTCGATACCCTCAAATGGGAGTATAATGATATCAGTATGAACGTATAAGGTACCTAAAGATAGGTACCCGAAATCAATTTATATGGATTAACCTTGTGTCGACGTAAAGGATTTATTTTTCCAACAAATACTCAATAGCTTCAGGTAAACATCATATCAATAGGTACCTAAAAACTATGGCGAGAAGAATTGATACACCCGAATCAACCAAACGAGACAAATTCGTGAACCTGTCACCGGAGTTACGAGAAAAGCTTATCGATATCGAAAACCAATTCAATGTTACCGACGAAAAGCTCAAGGAAATCACCCGATGGTTTGAAAAAGAGTTACGAGAAGGTCTCGAAAAGGATGGATCAAATATTGTAAGTTACACAATTTACACAACCAGCTTGAGGTGTACGGAATGAGAGTTAACAGCGGATAGGCTATGAATATAACATGGGTTCTTGGACTTCCGTCCGGCGATGAGATTGGCGACTACCTAACAATAGATCTTGGCGGAACGAATCTACGCGTATGCTTGGTTGCATTAAAGGGGCAACACAAGGAAATTGATATTAACCAACAAAGCTATCGCATACCCGAACAAATAAAGACGGGAAGTGCACGACAACTATGGGACTTTATTGCCGATTCCCTTGAAGAGTTTATCAAATCGCATCAACTTACAGAGAATCGCAACGATCGGTATGTGCCGATGTGCTTGTTAATTACTTGTCATATATTACGCAACTAGGTAAATGCCAGGTACCTAACTAAATGGGTTGATAGATTACCGCTAGGGTTCTGCTTCTCATATCCAGCCTCACAGGAATGTATCGACCACGGCGTTTTAAAAACGTGGACTAAGGGATTTAACATCGATGGCGTCGAGGGTGAAAACGCCGCGGGACAGCTCAAAGACGTCTTGGCCGAAAGGGTAAGGCGAGAAAGATACCTCAAGATAGTACGTACCTAACAATTACACGAAAACTGACGTGAATACAGAACTTGCCTTTGGAATTAGTTGCTCTTGTAAACGATACGACCGGTGCGATGATAGCCTCAGCCTACAAAGATCCGGATACAATTATTGGCGCGATATTCGGTACTGGTTGCAATGCGGCATACGTGGAAAACGTCGGCTCAATACCAAAATTGAATACCAACTTACCAGCTAATACGCCAATGGCAATAAACTGCGAATACGGCGCGTTCGATAACGCCCATCGCGTATTGCCACGGACTAAATATGACGTGACTATCGATGAAGATTCACCACGGCCAGGCGAGCAAGCTTTCGAAAAGATGAGCGCAGGCCTGTATCTCGGCGAAATCTTCCGACTTATCGCGCTCGACCTTCATAATAGCGGTCTCATGTTCGCAGGCCAAGACGCTGCGAAACTGAGCGAGCCTTATAGTTTGGACACCGGCTTCCTCTCGGCTTTGGAGAACGATCCCTTAGAGACGTCCCACACTCGCCTAGAAGAGACATTAGGTATAAGAGCCACAATAGACGAGATGAGTGTCGCGTGTCGCTTAGCAGAAGTCATCGCAACCAGAGGTGCAAGGCTCTGCTCATGCGGCGTCGCAGCGATATGCCGAATGAAAGGCATCGCATCAGGCCATGTCGCAGCAGACGGCACCGTCGCAAATAAGCATCCGAAATTCAAGCAGCGCTGGACGGAGGCTCTTGGTGAGATCCTCGACTGGCCCGAAGACAGAAAGGAAGACCCTATCATTCTCACAAGTGCGCAAGACGGGAGCGGTATCGGTGCAGCGATCATCTCGGCCATGACGCTGTATCGAATCCACGAAGGCAACACGGTTGGTGTTCAAGGATGATGATTTGAATTTGAAATACTTATCGCGGAACCGCGACTATCCGTGTCAACGTTCGGGGGTTTCCAAATCCATCGGACTTTACGCTTACATGCCTAGAAACTGTTTAATTCCGAAGCACCCTCTGTTTTGATGTCAGATAAGATACCTTTACAGGTAGATAGACATATAGTTCATGTAGATTCATAGATGTAAGATTATATACGAGATCAATAGTAGTCATCCATATCTCCATATAAGCCGTCGCGTGACCATAGTCACATACTTAATATGAAATATACCTCCCATGGTTCCGTATCTTATTTGTACGAGGTACCTATGTTGGTAAGAAACCCCGATGTGTTCACCACCAAACCAAAGATAGTGTACATAATATGTATACCCCAAAGATCTGGATCTCGACTTGGCGTCTCCCCCGCAAAGAGCTCCATCAAAACTCGCGGGGGTGCAAAGAACCCCACAATCTCCACGAATCTTACAAAGGCCGGTGAACACACTAGCACGTAATATCGAAAGTATCTCTAATGTGGCCGGGGGGGTGCTTCCAATGAAGTACATGATGGGGAATGCCGACAAGTCTGCCGATATAGCGATCCTTCGTCCCGCTCAGTTCTACCTATTTGTGCCAATACTATGCCAATTACAAGGAAACTCTTTATCACTAACCTCGGTGCGGTCATGAACCCAACTCAATACAGGGGTGGTAGTTACTTACCAAGATGCTTAAGTTCATACGTTCGTTCATCCTAGACCACGAGAAGCCACGGTTGGAAGCCATGTGCTGTTTCAATGCCCGTTGGATGATGCAATCCATCCATAAATCGTTGACCTTTCACCCCTTTATTCAGGGAAACCTGAGTCGTTTCTCATCCCCCGCACACGCCACCGATGTGACCCGCGGAATCTTGACCGCGCCCCCCCTCTAGTGCCTCTCAGTGGAATGTTCCGAGGGGCCCAGGGGTCTTATTACAATCAAGTCAGCTTTTCTCTCTCTCTCTATAAGTGCTCAGATGGCTCAATCTCACTTGTACAGCCTACACATTATCGACGCGTCTGGAATATTGTTAGCAACCTTATTTTATTTCTCAAAATACACCCGGATGTTATTATAGCACAGCACAGATTACTCATCCACCCATCATGGCTTCGAATAATGAGATAGCAGATTTTCGCAAGACTGTCGTTGGACATCATGAATACTGTACTGATAAAGAACTCCCCAATGTACCCGATCGCGCCGACGCCATGGTAACAACGCCAGAGCCAACTCTAGAATCATTCGCCGACCTGGACGAAAAGAAAATATTGAGAAAGGTCATAACTTACTTCCTCTCAGTGACTAGAAAGTATCAAACGCCATGTGCTAACTCTGATAGCATGTCTAGATGGACCTCCGCTTAATTCCAATGCTTGCGATTCTCTACTTGTTATCTTTTTTAGATAGAGGTAACATCGGGAACGCGAAGATCGAGGGCCTCCAAGAAGATCTGAGGATGAGTCCCGATGAGTATAACTGGTGTTTAACGGTGTTCTTCTTTACATATGCCACCTTCGAAGTACCGAGCAATTTATTGTTAAAGAAGCTGCGTCCTTCGAGATGGCTTCCACTTATCATGGTTGCGGTAAGTGAGCATCTCTTCGTCCAATTTAGCTATCTACCTCCTACTAAACAACGATCACTTGTGCTTTTAAGAATTCGCTGCTACATGTATCCCTAATGATGCTATGATGCACATTCTAATATGAGAGATGATAATTGCTAACTATTTTTGGTCATGGCAGTGGGGAGTAGTAATGACTTTGATGGGTATAGTAAGGAGTTATCACGGCTTACTTGTTGCACGACTATTTCTTGGTGTAACTGAAGCTGGTTTATACCCAGGGTGTGCTGTACGGACTCCATACCCTATCATAATATTCTCAGACTAATTCATTTTGAAGTATTATCTCACGATGTGGTATTGTCGCCATGAGATCCAACTTCGCCAAGTACGTTACCATATGAACAAAACGGCTTCGTCTACACGGCGAACTTTACCGCTATACCTTTCAATTCCTAATGTTACTTTAGGCTATGTTTTTCTCAGCGGCATCAGTAGCTGGAGCATTTAGTGGGTTGTTAGCTTTTGCTATCGCGAAGATGGACGGGGTTGGAAACCTTGAAGGCTGGCGGTGGATCTTTATTCTTGAAGGAATAGCAACAGTAAGCCTAGCCTTCTGTGTCGAATATCAACGCCGTGACTAAGTCATTCTAGATCCTCGTCGCTGTTCTTGCATTCTTTGTACTATACGACTTTCCCGAGACTGCTTCGTTTCTCACTGAGAAAGAACGGGCGTTTATTGTATTTCGCCTGAAGTACCAGGGGCAGCAACAAAGGAAAGAGCACGTGCAGGTTGCGCAAGCAGAGGAGTTCGAGTGGAAATACGTCCTAGAAGCTTTCAAGGACTGGCAAATATGGGTTAACTTATTCGTTTACTGGGGTGTAAGCTTCTTCACTTTTCTGCCTACCCGTCGCATGCATTATCCGAGACTAACTAATGCCGTCAATAGGTCGTATGTCCGCTCTACGGCATCAGCCTCTTTCTCCCAACAATTATTAGGAACCTTGGATACTCTTCTAGTACTGCTCAGCTTATGACAGTTCCGATATATGTCACCGCGGCAATTCTATCTGTCGTGTTCGCTTTCCTATCAGATCGAGTCGGAAAGCGTAGCCCATTCGTCATCTCATTCTTCTTAATAATGATCGTAGGGTTCTCAATGTAAGTGAAAGCTCAAAGATAAGTAAACGAGTGATGTAATAGTGACTAATGTTTTTCAGGTGCGTATCTAGTACCAATCCTCGAGTAGTCTACGGAGGCGTCTTCATAGTGGCTTGTGCCATTTATCCAGCATTCCCAGGCGTGGTTACATGGCTCTCAAATAACTTAGCAGGTAGCTACAAACGTAGTGCTGGAATGGCCATCCAAATCGGTATTGGAAATTTAGGCGGAGCTATGGCATCAAACTTTTATCGACAAGCAGATTCCCCTCAGTACATTCTTGGACACGGTTTAGAGTTGGGATTTATTGGCGTTGGCGTAATTGCTGCGGTAATTCTTGTTGTTGCATACACTGCTATTAACAAAAAGCGGGATAGGATAATAAGGGATGGTGGAGAGGAGCAGTTTACTGCTCAGGAGCTATCCGCCAAAGGTGATAAAGCCGTCACATTCAGATACATGATTTAACCTTCTAGGTAGAAAGGGTAGAGAATAGGACATCGTGGCCCAAGCAAGAAGACAATGGAATACTCTTTCCCCTATCGGGGCTTCGAGGCCCGCCTAGGTGCCTTGCGAAAATTCTTTACCCCTTTTTACTAGATATCAACTACTAAAGAAATTTGGTTTAATGGGTTAGGTATTCCCTTATCATAAGCCTATTGTTCTACATTGTTCCATTCTTAAACAAAAGAAATGAAACAAAAGAAATGAATAGAAAGGGCCATCATATCCCAGAGACAACAATAACGAGAAGTGCAAGAAGATTGACTCCACTAACACAAAGAGTTCAGGGACTATTGTTCCGAGCGAGAATAATAATGCTGTCTACCCTCCAATAAGTCCATCGAGATTGAAACAATTCGACGGATGGAATATTCAGTATCGTTGGACTTCCCGCTCTTCAACTGCTAGGTAATAGGTATTTGTTATTATGGCACACTCTCCACTCCTACGCACCGTAGCACGGTTCAAGCTGGATACTCGGAGTGTAGCATTGGTGAACTACGAGCTGGCTCTCGAAGACATTAGTACCAACTTACAATTACCGCCTGACAAGACCAATTTCGACGACACTCGATGGGCCAACCTTCGGAAAGATTACGAAAGTAAAACGGTGCGAAGTTCTAAGAAAAAACTATATGAGCAAGAATATGCTACATTACTTCTAAAGGGCTATAAATCTTTGCAGACGACCAGACGCGTGCCACGGCACTATTGCAACCTACTTCAAACCGGACAAGACGTGGTTCCAGGAGATATGCGCACGCTGAAAGCGACGCTTGAGAAATCTGGACTTACTGATTGGAAGCCCCCCGCATCCTCCGAGGGTTTACTATTCGAAAGCCAGCCCATCATTTACACCTATGGCCAAGTGTCTGTAGCGGAAACGGGAATAATAGATAGAAGACTCCTTCACGTGTATCTATCCCCTAAATATGTCCCGAAACCACATTTCAGAATGGAGAGAAAGCGGTTAGAAGCCAAGAGCGCCGAATTCGCGGCGTTTGTTGAAAAGCAGGCCTCAAATCCGAAGGTGCCGAGCCTTATCCCTCGTCCAGAGGACGATTCGTCTGACGAGGGTCTCCTGACTATGGACGAGTCTTCCGACTTGGAAGAATATTATCCAGTCAGGGCCAAGGGGTCTAAGGCCAAACTTGGTAAACGCAAGGCAGCCGCGAAGAGCAAGCCGAAGAAGCGCACGAGGAAGCCTACAAAGTTTGTCAAGCTATACGACAGCAAGGCTCACGATTACGCTCATCTCAGGGCCCAGGGAGTGAATTTGTATTCCCTGGTGGTGCAGAGACTGCCTCGTGCAGAAGTGCCGGAACTAGAAAAGGTGTACAGCGGACTATGCAAGATGAAGGTTACGTTACCAGGCCCCGAACCTGACGAGAATGACGCTCTTATAGATCAGCTCAACACTCATGGCCTCATCTTACCTATCCAGCTTCCGCGTAACGATGCTGAAGTGGAGGAGCAACAGCCTCCTACCTTTGAAGAAGCAGCAGAATACCGAGCGTGGAGAACGCAAGCTAATCAATTCTTCGGCGAACGGGACCGGTACATGCAGAGCAGGATTTTCCGCGAGGGGGTACGGGATAACAGGTTATTGCACGCTACGCACGAACTGATGGCGTTCTGGGCCAAGATGATGGTATAAAGAAGGTACCTAAAAGAGAGCTGAAAAGATTTCGTAGACAGAAGTAATGGGCCATGTAAGCGGCCTCTCCCTTAGGTTTGTATTTCCTATCTTAGGTAGGTTAGGTAGCTATCAATTATGAGGGTATATAAATAGAATAAAGAGACTTTTCTATTGTGCTAACTAACTATAGCTTGAACTTCCGATCATAATCAATACTATACACGTAGATCTCTATAAAATCGGTATCAATACAACTGATCGTCTTTAAGAAGCTATGGAACATACAAGTCATCAGGTCCTGTTGAGAAGAGATGCAGTTGATAAGGTGTACGCTGTGGTTGTGTTGTCTAGCTACCTAACCTATCTAAAATAGGGTAAAAAAGCCTACGTCCTCATCGAAAGCCTCGGCGAAAGACCGAGTTTCACGCCTGATGTGGGGGACACGGTAGCCATCATTGTCAATCGGGGTGTCGCTTTCGTCCTCATGGTAATGCCTTTGCCACCAGTGCGCAATGAAGCCGGAGTCGAAAGCATTAACAAAATCGAAATTCGTTCTAATAGGCTGTCCAATCTCCCACTATGACAAAAAAGTTAGCAATTGCACCTTACATCATGGACAAAGTGGGAACATCGAGTTAGGATGTATATGAGGCAGGTACCTAGACAGGTAGATAAAGGGGTGTGGGTGTGGAGGCAACGCAGACATACCTTTGACTTGGGGGATAGGTCAACCATCCCGACATCATTTTCCGGAAATTCGTACTCGTTCGGCTCATAGGGATGATATAACGCTGGAACAAGGATCCGGCCATAATCCGGGTTAGGGTGAGCCCTGTTATATTGCCAAGACCTTATGAGCAACATGAGCAGAGAGAAGCCAAACCAGTATCGGTCGGTCATGTCAGTAGCAGAGATATCATCGTAGAAGTAATGCCCGAACGGCCAGTCATAGTTCCAAATGTGCATGGTTTCTTCTCTATCCACGCTCATGCTCAAGCCGTGTTCATAAATAAAGGTTATAAACCGTACGGTGTGGTCTAGAAGAGTCCAGTTCGTCTTGTCGACGTTCACTTGCGTATAGAAATTCCTTCTCAGGGTCGCAACGTCTTTGTTTGCCATTGCTATTAAAGCAGTCAGTAAGAAATATGACAAGGTGAAAGGATGACGGAAAACAAATATAATGGTTACGTACCAGGCTGCAATTGACACCATTGAGGGTTTTCTGTCATGGGATGACTGTCCAAATAATCCCGGACGAATTCGATCCAAGGTCCCCTAACAGCGGGCGATCGTATAACTGGATCAAAGTTAGCTACATCGTTTGGCTGATAATCGACAATACAAAGAATGGGTGAGGACTAAGCGTTACTTACAGTCTTTTAGTTGCTCAACACCTGCATTGTTATATACCGGATCATACTCAGGAATCAGATTGTTTAGACCTATTAAGCTGAGCATTATCAACGACTGCCGATGATTGAAACGCGCAGTTTCAGCTAGATCCAGAGTAGAGTTTTCATCCTGAATATTTCTCAGGGAATCCAATTGCGGAAATCTATCCGTTAAAGCGGTGACTTGTAGGTCTCGCATGAAATCCGTCCAACTATGATAAGTAATAAGTCAGCTGGTGTTACGCCTATTGAAGCTGCAAGGGGTGTGTGTTGGGAGGTATAGTTAAGAAGCAAGTGGCGAGGAAAGGGCAATGTCACTTACAAGGCATAGGCTTTGTGCAAGGAAATCCGGTATCTCATAACTCTGAAGAAGTTGATTCGAGTACAGCCGTAAACATTCCCGAACAATTCTTCGTTTAATCCTTCTGCTTGCTGCTGGGGTCGCGTCCACATCCGGGCTATATCCATCATGAACCTTTTAAAGGGGATCCACGGCTCATAGGGATCGAGTACGAACCGGTTATGTTCTAGATCGTCGACATAAGGCCGGGAAACCTCGTGAGGGATCCCCCTACCACGCCACCAGGCACATTTCCTGGGTAAATCATCAGGACGCTCAGGAAGATCAGGATATTCAATATACCGACCCCGAGGCTCGTATTCATCAATTATGAGGGTGACATTTCTTTCCCTTAATCTTGAATATCTTTGGAGACCGAGTTGTCGTAGTCTGTGTCTTTTCTCCTGATCAGGGGGTAAAAATCGCGCAGCAGGAGTTGGCAATATAGGACTTTTATAAGCGACCGGTGTCGATCCCCCAGTTGGTACCCAAGGCGTGATCGAATCCATTTTACGATACTATGAAATATAACGGTTTAATGTAAGCTGAAATAAGTTAGGTCTTGAGGTAGTTTTCTAACTGCAATATCACGGACGAAAAGCTCTAATGATTATACTTTAGTACATCCCTAATATAATGAATGTCGCCGAGTAACAACTTACAAGTTCTTTACTAAACAATAGTAGTTACAGTTCATTACTATTCCCGCATAAGTTCAAGGTGATTGTAAGCCCAACGCTACCATGTAGCAATAATAAGGATAAAAGCATTTGTTGTGATGTTGAATCCAAAATATGACTTCGTTCTTCCCTACAATCTCTATTCCAGATTACGACTAAAACCTTCTATCACCTATGGGTAGTTCCGAAACATCGATATTACAGCCGAATTATTTCATAGTAAACGATCGTGTGCTAAGACAGTTCTATCTCAATAACAATTAGCTGTAACTAGTAAATTCCAAGCGCAACGATTGCGTGTGTCTATGTTCTAATTATATCTCTAGCTACTGATATGGCATCAGAAGTCTTTTGCACAAATTGAGCTGCAAGTGATATGTTTCCAGCTACTACCGCCTCTGTTATCCCTGGAAATGTTGTTGCTGCATAGCCTAGATAATCGGAGAATGTTAGTTTCAGCCTCAAAGGGTTAGATATGATGGGAAACAGACCGGTGTCAAGTCCTGGCGCAAAAATAAGATGTCGGTAAAACTCGCGGCCAGGCAGGCCACCCTGAGATACGAAGCCCCGTTGAAAGTCCCTATACTTGTGATTGACGAGGGTGAGGAGTCCGGAATCATTGCTTGAAATTGCTTGTTTCTCTTGGGCATCCACCTCCGCCGCTGCCGTCTTGAAGCCTTGGATGGATTCCTGTAACGTGGAAGTATCCAGGTCGTACTCAGTTGAATTTACCAAAGAGAGTAAATCCTCATAATATTTCTCTAGTTCTACACCCCAGTTTGGTAGACTGAACTGTATCGCGTCTTCGCTCGCAAGAGTATACGCTAGGAGTGTAACATACTAGAAAGGCATCCGTCAGTATTTCATTGCATTTTTTTTTTAAAAAAAAAAGAAGATTCAATAGAGGTAGATTGTTGGACCGTACCTGAGCCATGGACTTGTGGACAAGGAAGCCAGGATCTCCGAACGTCGACATCTATTATACCTATCGTCAGTACTACGTTCCGAAGATCATAAATGAAAAAAAAAAAATTTGAAAAAAGGGAAGAAAGAAAGGAGAGCTCAATTGACACTCCCCCTTATTATACTCACCCAATGATAAGAGTCGAAGTTACTATGATAATGATAAATGGGATCTGTCGCACCCGAGCCAGCGCCCATATCAATCTAACAACAGTTAATAAAAACCTCCTACACAGAAAATATCGATGATGGTTAAACTTACTGAACCGATGCCGTTGTGAACAAAAGAAGTATAGTCACTACCACTCCCTAGCACACCAATTGAACCTTGAGTATATTCAGCCCAGACGTCGTACATGGTGCGCCCATCTTTCCACAAGACTTTCTTCATAACCTCTTTAGCGATGTCGTGGAGTTCCGGTGTCGCTTCTATGTATGGCCACGGCCCGGATGTGCCAACGTCCTATGGCATAGGTATTTAGTTTAGATATTCAGAGAGATGAATTCAGGGGCCTACTTACGACATTCAGGTACGACACTGCAGTCTCGGTGAGCCAGGGAACATATTCCTCAACCCACTATAGCATATATTAGCAAGTAGAAACTTCTAGGTAGCATTAGTTCAAGGGGATGTAACGTGGCTTAGGGACGGGTTATCGTCAATCAAGTATTGCTAGCCGCGGCGGGTGAATAGGGGTAAAAGGATTCAAGTGACACACTTCAGTCGACCCCAAGAGACCGTACTCTTCTCCATCCCACGAAGCGATCTGTAAACAGTCAGCAATTATACAATCGAAGGTCCCAAAGAAGCCAATACATACGACAATATTTCGTTTCGGCCTCCATCCTTGAGATAGGAGTTTGCCAAACGATTTCGATAGCTCGACTAAGATTGCGGATCCGCTGTTCGGGTCAGCAGCGCCACCGACAATCCAGGCGTCGCGATGGTTTCCTATCACGATAGTTTCGTCCGCGATCGTGCCATTTATCACCCCAATCGCATCCCAAATTGGCGTGTACGTATCCTCCATGAAATTTGACAGGCTGATCGTTGTACCGGGTGCAGGTCCGGTACTGTACGACACGTTCAGCTTACCCACCCAACCAGTGCGGTTGACCTCGTTACCCGTCGTCCCGTGTCCATCGAGAGCAGCAAGGATCGGGATCGCGTTTGCATACGAGATTGGTATCGAAGGAATGTCTGGGAGAACTCCTGGGTGTTCTACGCGGGGCGAGCCTTCTTTCGAGGGGTAGCCCGGAGTAGTAGGGTCGCCGGGATACGTCGAGAGGAACTGCACGCTACCTCGCTGCACGGCAGTGGGATTGCGCGCTGGTCCATCTGGATAGGCCGCGTACCCGTTAGCCTCGGTAACGTTTCCGTCTTCAGCGGTATCTGTAAAGATGACCACGCCTATCATGCCGTTCTCCTGCGCGTTCTTCACCTTTAACCCCCTAAAGGGGCCTCCGTACCGAGCAACAGCAATCTTGCCTTCCAAAGGCACCCCTAGCTCGACCAGCCGGTCGAAATCAACCTGCTGGCCACGTCCGACGTAGACAAATTCGGCATCTACGCTGCCGCTAGCGGAGTAGCCGTGGAACGTGGGTATCGAGTTTGGATAGCTAGTCGTCTCGTCTTGGCTCAATACGGCTTCCTCCAAATACGGGCGATAAACAGTTCCATTCGTATACGTTAAGCTCAGGGACTTGTTGACCGGATAGTTCAAGTAAACATCGTAAGAGACCACGCTTGAGTTCCAGCCGTTCTCTTTCCAGAGATCCGCTGTCCACTGTGCCATCGTCAAGTTCTTCCCGGCTAGGTGTGCTCCATGGGTGTAGTAATAGGACCATTCTGAGATGCTGGTGTTGGATATAGAGTTCACAAGGATGGTTTCTTCTGGGCTCAAAGGTGATAATGGAGTAGTATCCCGTTTTTCGGCCAAATTTGAATGGAAGCGCCTCTCGTGCAGACAAGCATTGGTCCAAGTAAAAAGTGAGAATATGATGAAGGCTTGGCTCTTGCTAACACGAGGCCACACCATGATGTAAAAAGTTAGGTAAATAAAGGTAGATATAATAACTGCGTACGGATCCGTATAGGCGATGCAGTTGAACTGCAGGCTTCAATACGGTTATCAACTTATTATAGATGGCTTATAAGGCATGGTAAGCCAGATCCCTACATCTCTCAACCCCGCGACATATGCCGGTTTGACTCTCCAACGTAGATATGACGGGTCTAATCTGCGGGGGTGTCATGGAGTAGTCTAGGTAATCCGCTTCTCTCATTTCTTTATCTTGAAGCCATGAGATCATTAACGTTCGCTAAGATGCCCATTTGCGGCAACTGGCATTGATAGACTCTTAAAAAAGCACAGCTATTCGATGTCACCGGCAGACTCCTCAAGGATATATGGAGAACGTTTCGCATCCACCCCCATAGGTATGGTATGTATACGTTAAACCCTAAATGAAATTTATTATGCTTCGTATTCTTATACCCACATCGATTATAAATGTTACATAACAGTCCGCTCTTTTACTGATACAATGATACAAGAATAAGACGACACCTACTGGATTGAGATGACTGGGTTTCGATGCGCTTGCTACCTCTTAGTCTTTTCTTCCTAGATGTTCATCAAGCGATGATTGCACCGTTGAAGAATCAGTCGGTGTATAGTACGGGAATCCAGGGGTATACCTAAACCCGTCCGCGACGAAGTGCGGGTCGTTTGACCCTTCGTCATAAGCCGGAAGTTCCTCGTCAATAGACGCATATTCTGGGAAAGCCGAAGTTGGGCTGAGAGGTGCCGGGGGTTTGGGGTACTGTCTCTCGTTGGAGTATTCGCGAGAACGGCCCTCTTCTGCTGCAACTAGATCGCCCACGACGCTAGCAACTGCACGGAATTGTGCAATCTCCTGCTCCATGGTGGTAGAAAGATTATCCTCCTCCTCACTTTCGGATCTATGCAGTTGTCTCATAATGTCGTCTTTTTCTTCATCTTCAGCCTCTTGACGTCTTATGGTTTCCTTCAACCACCCAACGATTTCAGAATATCTGGTTCCAATAGCTGCACGCCTGTTGGCCCAGGCATTACGACGACAGTGGCGGCGGGCCTCCCGGGATTGACGTCGCCCGATGCACGTATTACGTCTGCTCCTACGAGATGCGGTACAACACCGCATACAAATGGCGCTAATAAGTAAAGAAAGCGAGACGATCGTAACGACAATATGAATAAGAGGTAGGGGGTGAGGTGGTCCACGGTGTTCAAAATGCTTCATCACATCAGTCAGTACCCAAGTTATAATATGGCGATAAAGAATGCTTACAGGGTCGTGGTGAGGGTCGTGGTGCGGGTGTGGAGGCATTTCTCCATGCGGCCCGAAATCCGGGGGTGGCGGTCGATGATGGTGATCTGACATTGGTGGAGGTATAGCGCTACCATCGCCAACAGTATGTGGCGATGCTTCGGCTTTGTCATCGCCAAATTTCCTAGTTGGTCGCTAAAGAAAATCAATATTGTACTTCATACTAAGATCTTCCCACAGAACTTACAATGTCATCAATAGATCCAGCGACTAATGCGAGGTTTTCTTGATCCATGCCATCCTCTAGGATTTGATGACTTGGTGGCGGATGAAACCGTGGGGGTTGCTCGTCGTAGGACTCGTGGGGTGGGGGTGGGGGTGGAGGTGCGCAGTGACAGAATGAAGGCGGCAGGTGAAAATGGGGAGGCTCATGATGAGGAGGATGAGGATGAGGTCGCGGGTGTGGATGCGAGTGGTTTCCATGAGCGCCATCGTGGGGAAACCAGTCAGGGCGATGACCATGATGAAATCGCCAGCCGGGGCTGTGCGGTCGACCTCCAAAATGGCCGTTGCCTTCAATCCCATGCCCATAAAGTCTACTAGCCATGTGCTTTGCACGCCGATACATTGTTTTCACAACGCATTTCAGGCTGTCACACCTCCAAACAGAATGCAATTCTTCGTGGCTGTTGACATCGTAAGTGTCGGAGATATATTGTACCTTGGAAGCAATAGCTTCCTCAAGTGCCACAAGTTGCCGCATCATCGACTTCAAGTCAGCCAGCTCGTCATCCAGCGTCGAAGTTTCCTTAGTCAATTTCTCTTCCGTAACCGGGGTCGGGATATGAGCCTCAGTAATAGATACCGTGCCGTTAATGAAGGAAATGGAAGGCGGTGCCATCTGTTGGAATTGGACAGAAAACCTAACATCGTGAACCTCTTCTTCATCTACAGAGATGGCATCAAAGGTCATCAACTGGCCCTGGAACTCGTCGTCGAGATGTACGCAACTAAAGGACCAGTTGGCGAAAATGGTAATGCCATTATCAGATATGACAGGCCCAGATCCAGCTCCATTTCCATCTTGCGCAAGCAATTGACCGTTAAGGGTCACATTTCCGTAACCGCATGGAGACTTGGACTCAAGAATATCAAGACGTAGAATCTAAGAAACATAGATTTAGCTAATTGATCCCCTTGGAGCGTCTTTGCCATGACTTACAGTGTCGTGATGATTGATTTCATCTGAAGTGGAATTGATATCGAGGTTGATCAAAGCATGTGGCCCCTTGACTACAAATGATGGCTATATGTTAGAAATTTGCCGCAGATCTCATGAGATTGGATGACGGAATTCTTACCCTCTTGTCCGGTCGAGAGAGTAGCGGCAAGCAGCGGTGCTAATAGCCACCGGGCCTTTAGGTGGCCAAGCATCGTGCGATTAGGCACCTAGAAATCGTGTATAAAGATATATAGAACAAAATTGCCTTGATATGGTAAGACTACACATTAACCATCCTCAACAACTGTGTTGGGGTGGAAAGAGAAACTTAAACGGCTGCCTAAACAAGCGACAGCGAGCAATATGTAAGATGCCCAAAGTCCTACGTGGAGAGAGCCGCGTGGACTTTCACTTTGGGAAATCTACCCGCGCTAAAACATCAAGGGTTAAAACAACACAAGATACTAAAGTCGTGATTAACTAGACCAAAAAGGAAAAGAAAAATATATTATATTAAGTTAAGTGACTGAACATAACCCACTCTGAAACTAGGTATTTCAACCATCAACGATTCGCCGTTGAAATGATAGAAACTTTAGTGTTGCCTTTGAGGAGGCAGTGTAAGCCTTAACTACGACTCGGTAGGGATAGTAAACCGCACCGACCAATGAGGTGTAATTAGCTGACGAGTCCTTCTAACCCAGCTTAAACTGGACTGGGATTACTATGTAATGACGACCAAAATCGGGAGATGGATTCGTACGCGCGCAGAAAATATTATATGCATATCTCCTACCTTAGATTAGGTGCTTGACAGATGAGTTATGTCCTATCAAGAGAATAGCAAGATGTATAAGCGAAAGCTGACTTCGCTCCCAAAATTGAGACACTTGTCGACCGGTATAGATACAGGTAGGAGGTAGGTATTCAAGCCAGCAACCCATTGAAGCTTCAGAACTGGAGGGTGAATAGACATGTCCATTATTAGACAAAGAACATGCAGAATACTTGCGTAGGCACTATGGAAGAAGTATGGAGTTTGGTGTTTGAAAGTTGTAAAATGGCCGGTGGGCTCATTAAAGCTTGATGGCTGATGATGTAACCCTTTTCAGCTGGGACTGTGGCTGATCATAAAGATGTACATTAGCGTCTGATAGGGGGTTACGGTAGCCGCATATATACCGTTTAATAAATATAACCGTACTTATCCAGCTCAATTTAAAGAGCGGCTCTAAAATATAACGTTTAAAGCATTACGCAGCTCAAATAATTAAGCAGTATTACTACCGCTTACGGTTAATTTATAATTAAAAAAAATGTAAATTAAATAATTACATTTAAAACATGAAAATAAAATATTAATAATTTTATTATAATTAAATTTTAAAATAACTTTAAAAATAAAATAATTAAAATAAAATAATATAATAAAAAACATTTTATATATTTATTAAATATTTTTTTCATTATATTATTTTATTTTATCGTTTTCCCTAAATGATTTTATCAATTTGTTAAATTTTCTGGATCTTTTAGATCTTATTAAAATCCATTAAATCTCTAAGATCCATAAGATCCATTCAACCGACGTTTATCCGAATTGTTGTTGGTCATAACCCCGCTTCCTCACTTGGTATGGCTCATCAGGCTGTTGGTTCGTAACATGAAGGTCCCGAATTCGACCCCACTAAATTCAAGCTTTCCAGCTCCAGCACCTTGTCACCATACAACATACAACATATCGTCACATCACCAACCAAGAATTCCTACTCGTGCAACGCCCACATAAAGTGCCAACCTTGTGCTTTACTTTAATTATTAAATCATACCTACCAATCTCAAGTGCGCGGTTCTTTTAAGATGGTAATTCCTACGCTTATTCCACCCACCTATTCATTACGCTAATGCGATCATATCCCAGTTGCCCCTCGGTCTCTTGAATGCGGCCCAAGGCCACCCTATGCTTGTTGAGCTCAAGAACGGAGAGACCCTTAACGGACACTTAATACAATGCGATACGTGGATGAACTTGACCTTGAAGGAAGTTATCCAAACCAGTCCAGTGCGCAATCCCTTCTTTTTACCATCCGACCAACGCCGTCCCATAGCTAATATCCCCAAAATAGGAAGGAGACAAGTTCGTCCGTCTACCCGAAGTATATATCAAAGGAAACAATGTAAGCCCCACAGCATAGGCGAAAAGCCAACTCCGAAACATAAGCCTAATAGAATACAAAGATTAAGTACCTTCGAGTACCGGACGAGATCATCGACGTTGTGAAAGAACAACAGCACGGTCAACAAAGCGGCTTTAGAGGTGGTCGCGGCGGACACGGTCAGCAGAGAGGAGATCACGGCGGTAGAGGCGGCGAGAGAGGCGGTCGTGGCGGACGAGGACAAGGGAGAAGTAGAGGTAGAGGCCGAGGGGCGTGAAGACAGTCAAGATAGTATGGCAACGTGGAAGATACCTATGCAGGTGGCAAAAGCCATTGTCAAGGCTCCCGAACAGTAGCAGCATGAGGACGTTATACATATCACGCCTCCGAAAAAGCTAGCAGAGTTGGGCCGCAGCGCTAGGATACAGTTCAGATGAAGATACCCAGCCCGCCGCGATGGTGTTGGCGCAAACAGTTGTTTATTATACTGTTGTGAACTCCCAGCGTAGGCCGTGGGGAGAGTTATAGCGACGAATCTATTTTATGATCTGAGATATGCCGCAACTTACCTAGGTACACACCTATGTGCTGTGGCATGTGAGACTCACTCAACCGCGTGATGCTAACTTGAAAAGGAAAAAGAGAAAAAAAGTACCTAGTTGATTGATATACCCAGTTGACGAAGTGCACCTCATTTATAAGGGACGGTATACCTTAGCTTAATGCATAAACCATTCTTGATATACCTCTCGGTAATTTATGACTACCTGTATTTATATACCTACCTCCTACCTCACAATGCCAGCTGCTAGCAGCCGTAGTATAAAATGGCAGAATGGATGTATTACTAGTATTATATTCTTTATCTTATCATTAATGCGACCTCCGCTATCTTATCAAATTAGAGCATATAGCACCTCCAGTACGGATCCGTACCTAACCTTAGCCAAGAATTAAGAATTGGCGACCGAAACATCCTCAGATCTCCTCAGATGGAGATATGTTAAATATACGTACGAACGTAAATGTTCAGCGCCAATTGACTTCCTCTTTTCTAGCTGCGCAATGCCGGGGGAGCGCATCGTCTTCGATGGGCTATGGCGATGTCTATGTCCTTCCGCCGATATATTCACGCTCTCAAGTCTAAGTTGCCGTCGTCGCGGTTCTAGACAGCGATCGATTCTGTCCCCCGGCAGCAATGCCCACGTCTCTGGAAGATTAGGTCGACGAGGGTACCATTTTGAGTACGATCGCATCCCTGTTCCTCCTCCTACTTATAAACCCCACGACAATTACCCCGAAGATGAGAAAGTACGCATTGAATATCTCAAGCGGGTCGCAAAACGAACCCCATGGGTTCCTGGGGAGCTCTTCAACAATGTCGAAAATTTAGTCCCACAGCTCCAGCATATTCCGACAGAGACCATCTACGCGGCTCTCAAGGAACTCGCAAGAGTCCAAGATACATATTGGTCGACTGTAAAACTAGTCGAGTACCTAGTAAAAGAAAGGAAAGAGAAACCGAATACCGTGCTCTACGAGTGCCTTATAAGGGCAAACGTTGATAAATCTCGCGGGTCCGCAGAGGTCGCCGGTCGACTACTCGAGGAGATGAGGAAGTTACGCGTTCCAACGACAGCACAGATCTATCAAGCTATTCTAGAAGTAAGATTCTAACCGTTTCTCAACCTGTTTCTTGACCCCTCAGCCTAACATCGCAATCCAGGTCACAGCGGTTCATCCTGATTATGTCCTTCGAAACACCGCGCTCTTCGAGATGAAAAATCGTTGGTATTCGCCGACGACAGAAGATTCGGTAAACATCGTCATTGGACTGTTGAGGGATAACCAATATGAGCTCGCGCTTGAGAAATTAGAGGAGCTTGGAAAGACTTCCCTCCATATTCCACTCTGGCTCTATGACATATTCTTATATACCTTTGGGGATCTAGGCTTCCACGAAGAAGCTCTCTCGATCCTCAAGCATCGAATGAAGGTCGAAAACCTGGTCAAAGAACCGTTATCCTTGAATTCCTGGCAGTTCCTTCTTGACGTATTTAGTAGAGATGCTTTTTACGAAGGGATCAAATTCATATGGGATCGCTCCGTCTCTCCCGGGTATATAAATCCACCAGATGGCACCGTTCTAAATATTATAAACGCGGCGTCGAATCATGCAGATGCGAGTCTAGCAATAAGCGCAATTCAGATGCTTTCGAACCGCGGAAAGAAACTTGAGTTGCATCACTATGAAGCTCTAGTAGACATTCACGCTCAGCAAAATGAGCTTTCAAAGGCGTTCACCACTTTATGTATCAGTGCCAAGGCAGATTTGCGTCCAAGTCTCTCCAGTACACGATCAATTTATCGGGTGCTACGCAACTCGCCAGAGGAAACAGATAAAGCCTTGGCGGTATTAAACGACCTCCGTTTACATCATCGTGTTCCCGCAGCTGCTTTCAACGTCGTCTTAGAAGCTACAGAACTTCATCACGGGTTCCAAGCCGCCTTGGATCTCTATCGAAGCGTACGGCAGATTTGTGCTGACGGTCCTGATCTCGAAACTTACCATATTCTCTTCAGCCACTGCACCATGAGAAAGTCGATGAACTTCTTGTTCGCGGAGATGCAGAATTTCTCTATCGAACCTACCCAAGCCACATACGACCATCTCGTTCGAATCTCTAGCATGCAAGACAACTACGAGCAAGCATTCGCATTCCTTGAAAAGATGCAGTCTTGTAAGACGGGAGGAATACCCAATAACTGGTGGATAAGTAGGGATTCGGCCCTAGCGCTCATCAGGAGGTGCATCCATTCCGAGGACATTAGGGCGCAAGAACTCATCGAGGAGTGCCGTAAACGGGGCATGTCAGTTGATAAAGAAGTGCAGCGGCTCCTTGAAGCCACCCGAGAGCGGAAAGAATCAGAAGAAATAGCTTTCAGTACCCCTATTAAACAGCTCCCGTCTACAGCAGCAGATACTACGATACCCCTGCAAGACGCTCCGAGTCCTGAGCCTAAAGAAACATCGGGCTGGATATAGAGTAGACTGGACATGAATAAAATAGAAACGAAGTCCATTCACCATATGATGGGCTTTGACCATATTATCTTCATATGTGATGCTAATATTATTATTTTTTTTGTCGGGACCCTCTTAGATTCAAGTATACACGAGGCTTTATAGGATTTGGAGTCGATATTCATATAACCCTAAACTGTTAAAGCCATCAGAAACATCCGCGTATACACTGGTTGTGCGGGTGTTCCAAATGATATCAGGTATCCTGCTTATAATATTGTCATCATTAGGTAGAACCAAAGATAGGGACACAATCTCGTTGACATGTGTAAGGGCTCGGGAAGATAGCTATCAAACCGCCACACTACCAAAGGGTAGAACGATGTCAACTCGAGGGTTTGACGTTGCTATCTCCACCTATAAGGACCTTCACAGGCGGTAGGTACTGTGACAACGCGTTAGAAATTATAGGATTACAACGCGAGTCTATGGCAGCCACCTAGCCTAATATTTATCCAGAAGCATATCAGACATTTCTGAGTGAGAGATTTCTCCAGTATACCATTCCCATAAATTACCGTTGCCCCTTGTTGGCTATTTCATTATAATCACTTACCCATTTCTATTAGCATTATTACTATCGTAGTCGGGAACGAGGCCTCGTCTTTACGTAGGTATATGGAAACAAGCTTGTGGCTTTCCTGTGAGACTATCGATGTTGTAAGTTTTCAGAATACCTACCCTCTTCGATCCTAGGTACTTTCGGTTTCATGATAATTAGTTACAAGACTAAATTTACTTTGATTATATTGTCTACTTCTTATGAAGGTACATACCTACCTAGGTATAGCGACGCCGAATAATAGCAGCAACACCGTGTTATACTTATACAATAGACATCCCCCAAGGTTCCCTCCATATTTTGAGAGTCTATTGATGCATTCTCCTCTCGTCGATGAGGTAGGATGAATAGGAGGTACCTTATCTGTTCCTAACCACTTTTACCAATTTTCAAGCTCCTTTAGAGCATACTCCTCATAAATATGATAGCAGGATAGGTACTTGATATAATGATTCGACGCGCATAAGACGTCTATATAAGAACGCAGGATTATTTTCAATACTTGTAGCTCAAAATGCCGAGGACTGGGCCGCCACCACGAATATTCCGCAATTACTGGTATCCGTACCTAAGATATAGGAATTTTAATAGTTCATATAACTAACTGGTAATTGTAGATACTCGATGTCTTATTTGGCAAAGGCTAAAAGTGTTAATAAAATTGTTTCTATTTAAGACCATTAGCTAATTACCCCATATAGAAAAAGAAAATAGGGGTTATCTGTATCTGTAAACGCGTGTGTGCAAGGTTTGAGAGCTTATGAAACAATAAAATTTCCATAGGTCCATCGGTTTGATGCACTGTAACCTTAATACGGCAGTACAGATAGGTACCTCGGTATTGTACAAAAACAAAGAGAACCTTGGAAGATTCCCGAATAGTAAATCTATTGCATAAAGGGGGCAATGCAGGTTGAAAAGGGTTCCCCACACAAACAACATGCCATCCCGCACCGAATTGGTGACCATTTTAATTTTGTAGCTAGGTACCTCCCTGCCGTTAATGTACCTTTACTCGACTCTTCCTGCGAACACGAACATCAAATGCCCAACATACTTCTACGCGCATAAGCAACCACATGCAGGCTATATATAAGATACATGTTAGGTATGTATAACAAAGAGGAATACGAGTCTCCGCAGAGGCAATATGACTAGTTTCTGCATCGTCGGTGCTTACGAACATCCACGATTTGACGATTGGGAAGTTAGTATTTATTATCTTCATGTCAGGTTGCTTTGCTTTGGCTTGCCTCGCCTTGCATCAAAATGTATGTAGTTCTCGATTCGCTCTCGTCTCCTTGCCTGTGCGAGGCTTGTACCTCACAATATAAAATTTGAGTGGACCATCCATGTGTAATGAGGTACCTTTAGGTGCGCACGGGGATAGCTAGGCAGGTACAGGTACCTACCTACGTAATTAACAGGCTTAACCTGCATAGGAATATACCTGAGGTATATAGGTACCTACCTATCATTTGAGTACCTACCTAGGTAAGGGCAAGCAAGGGAAATAGATTAGGTACTTGTTAATACATAGTAAATAATTCGACCTGATGATAATTAGGTCTTGGGCAAATAAAAATCGCGAGGGAAAAAATAACGAACAGTGGTGGAAGAGAATATTTGAACCGAAAGAAAAAGAAAAAGTAAATAAAGAAAAGAGTCGATAAAGATAGAAGATATGATGAGGTGGCAGAAAGCTTACCAGAGCTTGCAGAGCCGATGCAGAAGCGAAAAGCAGCTTTTCTACCCTTCAACCTGGACTAATTGATTAAATACTCCGCCCAATAACGACCCCCTGTTGATAAGTTCAGGTAGCTCTGTGTAAGGTCCCTAGCCACACCCAGGTAGGTACCCATAAGTGTCTTTAAAGTGCATCGGGTATCCTTGTCTCACTCGGCTCTAGCGCATTAACAGTGACAGGTAGTAGAACAGCTAATTGCCAGGTGTAATTTGGTAGTGAGATAGTGAGATAGGTACCTAGCTGGAAAGAGGGCCTAATAAAACAGTACTCTAGTAGGTACTATAGTACTAAACTTAGGCAATTTGGGACTCAGGTACAGTAATTGGTGTAAGTACCTAAGGTAGTAGGTTACAGGGATTGTTTTAAAATGCACCTAACAGGTAACGCGACCCCAAGCAACTTTAAGAGCCCAAGCCCCTTTTAAAGCCAAAAAAAAAACATCCAGGGCGAAGCCAGGGCCCCAAATTTGATTTTTTTTTTTCTGAACGAGGAGACATTAGAAACAAGGAGGTCGGGTTACACACCACCTTCAACTTCATTTTCCCACGTAAATTCTTCCCTCCGTTTAGTCTTCAACTTCTCCTAATTTGGTAGACTGGCAATATTTCTGCCATCCCAACCATCCCATTCATCCAATTCATCGTTTTTATTACTGCCACCCCGCGACATTCTCTAGATTTTGAAGAGATAACCGGTACGCGCAGAGTCCGTCCATCGACCCTTTTTATTTTATCTTTCTTTTTTTAACTTCTTCCGCTCGCTTCATCTCCAATATCCGTTTGAAAACGCTCTGCGACCTTTTGTAATTGACACGCGACTTAAAAAGCCATCTCCTGGGTACGTGAACACCGAAATTCATGTTTCATACATATCTAGACCCCTATATACAGGGACAAGCAAGAATACACAGGAATATACGCAGGAACAACGTCGGGGAGACACGAAGATGCATGGGAACATATACAACATATACAGGGTCAAACCCGTTCCGTTGAGCTTCCCGTGATCTGTGGTTCTTTTCATTTCGCAACCTTTTCTCAGAAGCCGGAACCCAGTTGTCGCGTCAACTTTCCCCGTCCCTTTCTTTCCCCTTTCCCCCCTTCCCTCTTAGAAGTCAACTCCCATCTTGCCCTACACATAAACAGCAACGATGAACCTTGGAATCTAGACTAACCATCTCGTACCTGTAGACTTAGATCTCGCACTTTCTCCGCACCGTATCTTTTAAGTCTTGACATCTCTTGACGTATTTAACTATGGGTAAGCCCTTTCCGATTCCCGCTGATGCAGTCACCTATCGAAGAAGAGGAGAGCAATATTGCAAGAGTCGCCGCCGTGATGGAAGCAGCACTTGATCAACCTACAAACCCTATTTTTCATTGCTTTGGCCAAAATGGATTCTATCCCGATCGAACACCTTCATCCTAATAGCATCAACTCCATCCGCTTACCCGACTTACCACCTCAACCTCACCTTTTTTTTGGTTGATCTATCACTTCTTGGGTCTTGACCTCTTTTTTGGTTCTTTGGAATATTCGACCATCGTTAGAAACAGTTGTTGTCCCATCAATTCAAAACCCAAGAAAAAAAAACAAAAAAAGAAGAAAATCTCAACAATTTGCAAGATGCCAGCTTTCCTTAGCCCTCACGGCAAGGCACGAGCTCGCAGTGTCCAATTGGACGGCACTCACATCATGGAAAATTTCTGTTTGCCTCAGAGAGAGTCGGTTCCGTCCCCATCCCCCGCCGTGAGGTCAAGCACCCGTTTAGACCAGGAGAACAGGCCCCCTTCCGTTCGACATTACCGTAGCATGTTGGTCGTGGATGCTCCGTCTCTTGGCCCCCTGAAGCCGATGTCTTACGAAGAACTTTATTTCCATCAACCGCTTGCTGGTATAATAACTCTTCTGGCAGCCTCTTGCAATTTGCTCTCCTTTTCACGTTGTCTCGTATCTGGTAAAGTACCATATCAATCATACTGACTAGTAGCAGCTGCAAACGGTACGATAGCATCGCCTGTGCCGACTGAGGGCAAATCCTCACCCAAACCGTCCATTACACCGAGTTCTGACCTCAAACCAACAGCTCCAGCTGCTGCCTCGACGTCGGGCCCGATCATCAACGACAACAAGAACATCGTTCGAAGGAAGTTGACCGGCTACGTTGGCTTTGCGAACTTGCCAAACCAATGGCATCGCAAGAGTGTCCGAAAGGGCTTTAACTTTAATGTTATGGTTGTCGGTAAGAGATCTACCATCTCCCTTTGATCAACCGGTTATAGAACTAAGCGCGGCCCTTTCTAGGTGAATCTGGCTTGGGTAAATCTACTCTCGTCAACACTCTCTTCAACACTTCTCTTTACCCGCCTAAGGACCGAAAGGGACCGAGCCTTGACATAATACCCAAGACCGTCTCTATTCAGTCCATCAGTGCCGATATCGAGGAGGCCGGTGTTCGTCTACGCCTGACTGTTGTCGATACCCCAGGATTCGGAGATTTCGTGAACAACGACGAGTCATGGAGACCAATTGTCGACAACATCGAGCAGCGTTACGACGCCTATTTAGATGCGGAGAACAAGGTCAACCGGATGAACATCGTAGACAACCGTATCCACGCCTGCGTCTTTTTCATCCAGCCCACAGGTCACTCTTTGAAGCCTCTGGATATCGAAGTTATGCGTCGTCTTCACACCAAGGTCAATCTGATCCCGGTAATTGCTAAGTCGGATACCCTTACAGACGACGAGATTGCCGGCTTCAAATCCAGGGTATGTATTCGTACGCCTTTACCTATTTTACACATTGCTGACTTGTCCGTGTAGATCCTCGCAGATATCAAGCACCACGGTATTCAGATCTTTGAGGGCCCTCGATACGAGTTGGATGACGAAGAAACGATTGCAGAGAACAATGAAATTATGTCGAAGGTTCCTTTCGCCGTTGTTGGCGCTAACAACGAAGTCACCAATGCCGATGGACGTAAAGTTCGTGGCCGTCGATACCCATGGGGTGTTATTGAAGTTGACAACGAGGAGCACTGTGATTTCGTCAAGCTACGCCAAATGCTAATCCGAACTCACATGGAAGAGCTCAAGGAGCACACCAACAACGTTCTGTACGAAAACTACCGAACAGACAAGCTTACTGCTATGGGTGTTGCTCAAGATCCTAGCGTCTTCAAGGAGGTTAACCCAGCTGTCAAGCAAGAAGAGGAACGTGCTCTGCACGAACAGAAGCTTGCTAAGATGGAGGCCGAAATGAAGATGGTATTCCAGCAGAAGGTAGCCGAGAAGGAGAGCAAGCTGAAGCAGAGCGAAGAAGAGCTGTACGCCCGTCATAGAGAGATGAAGGAGCAGCTAGAACGGCAACGATTAGAACTCGAAGAGAAGAAGTCCCGAATCGAATCCGGAAGACCCATAGAAAAGGAAGGCAAGCGAAAGGGTTTCTCCTTACGGAACTAAGCTCTTCTAACGACCAACCTATACTAATCTATGATCTACGCCCGGAGCCTTCATGATGCCCGTACAGTACCAGCCTGCCGCGTTCTTTCACTTCGTCATTCTGTCTATTCAACCCTCTGTTCTTTTAATTACTCACCACTTAATATACCTCACCAGACATTGTCAGCTGGACAATGCTCGGATGAGTAACTCCTGGCCGTGGTTAGCGGTACCGAAAAAAAGCACCCGGCAACTCCCATGAAAACGACAAGACCGGCTTTCGAGGGAACAAAGTTTCCTGATGTCTGGGGTTGCTTTTCCGGCGTTCTTGAACATTGCGGCGAGATATAGTTGGTTCAGGATTTTGACGACTGTATTCTATTCCCTCCGACGTTATGCACCAGGCTGCCTTATATGTCTCGTTAAACCCGCCTCGACTTGCTACATGTGATTCGGAGAGAGGCGCATCTACAGCATAGTGAATAGGTATGGCAGGAAAGCATCTATTTAATTCTTATTATCTGGTCGAAATGTCCCTCCTCACGAACGCTACCCTCTCGAAGACAACAGGTTGCTCGTTGCCTCCGTCAAAAGCTTTCGTCCTACCGTTTATTTTCCTTCACGATCATATGTGCTTGTTTTTTTTCAGCTGTCACGACAAAATACCCGGAACTGGCGGAAAGTCGATAGGCGGCTTGGTGTGTTCGTGGAGGACGCGGAGGAGGACGTCAGAGTTGTAATGCTCCCCTAAAAAATTTTTAGATGTCTGTATTTTAGGAGTAAGCCCCTTCTCTTGTCCAACCGGGTGGGGTGTATTCACCGGCCTCGCTGGCTGGTGCCATCCGACGAAGAGGGGGCCCTCTCGACTCACGCACATCTGGCCACGAACTTGGCTCACTCTTGGTTTTCCTTACGTCCAACCCACTGTCCTGTGTTTTCCTTGTGTTTTCTAGCCTCGATGTGTTTCTCAGTTTAGGTCGTCTGAATTAAGAAAAGGATGATTGTTTTTTTTTTCTCTTATCTGTTTGGTGCTTTTATAGTGAAGTGACTTGTGCGATTTGTTTATTGCCTTTTGATTTTTTAGGCTTTTAGACGTTGTAATAGTGGTGTGTAAATTTAACTTGGGTGTTGTTCTAAACCTGTTAACCTAGTGTAGTGTAATTCATGTTTACCTAGAGGTAGTATATAAGACAAATATACCTATCCATTAAAGTATTATTTGTTTAATCCTGCGAGACGAATCATACATTGCTTTGCCAGCAGCTTTTTAATGAGTAGAAGTAGTTTTGATTTGTACCATTCTTTTACACATATACTGGTCACTTTGAATACCTATCTATCTACTACCCGTAACCTGGTGAATCAGGTACGTAAATACTATATCTCTTAAACCATGTTTTCATACGTAATTGCTAAAGGCAACTCGTTTCAGAGCCTCTGAATACATTAAGGTATCTAGGTAGTTAGTTAGGAGCACGTATTCAAGTAGAGGCAGAGGGAGATCTGCTCGGCATGAACGGTAATTAGTACCTACCTACCTATCTCATATACACGACTACGAAGTAGGGCACAAGACGGTACCAAAACGACAACAGTTCACTGACGACGATACACATCATATTGTACATGCTACTTCTACATAGATACCTAGGTTTACCTAAGGTATATACCTATGCACCGAGAAGCATCTCCGCCGACCAGGCCGCCTTAATCCGACAAGCCCCTAGAGTAGCCAAACAAGCCAAGTTGAAAAAAGAAGCTATTTCTTAGCTCGTAAGCGTTCGTAATATACAATGTATGGTATCGAGATCTACCGATATGTCTTTTTTTTTCTTTCGTTCTGGTTGACGTTGACTAGGTACCTTACCTAGCTCGTCTTCATCCAGCAAGCACTTAATGCTAGGTTTTAGACTGAGTCAGGCCGAACCAAACCATTGACCTTCTCCCTCGAAAGGTGCCGAAAGATTTCAAGGTAAGCCTCAGCTCCCACTTCCAGCTGCTTTACCTTCTTCTCAGGTACCAGTTGAAAGCCAGCTGACTGACGGACTCGGGGAAGGGCGTGGGGACCTCGGCGCTGCCGACCCTGGCGACGGGGTGGCGCAGGTATACGGCGGCGCAGATGTTGTGGTTGACCTCGAGGTACTTGGGGATGAAGGCGAAGGGGGCCATGTAGTGGCGCGGCTGCCAGGGGGTCTTGTACGGCTTGCTCGGGTCCCACGGGTTCTCCTCCTCCTCGCGTATGTACTCGGCCATGCGCTTCTCCAGCACCTTGAGCTCGTCCTTGCTAAGGTCGTCGAAGGAGTTATTGCCCGTCGACCGCTCCGTCGCGGCCGAGGCACCACCCTCCGCGGAGGAACCGGAGAGGTTGAGACTCGCGACTAGGTTCGAGAGCTCCTCGGTGATGGCTTGCGGAGAGGCATCGGGGCGGCCGGCGCGGGAGACTAGAGGGCGTATTTGCTTGATGAATTTCCGCAGCTGCTGCTTCTGGCGCACGCCGAGGTCGGTTTCCTCGTTTAATATCGTCTTGGCCTGTTCGACCATGGACTGTATTTGTTGCCTCGTCGGCTTCATATCTTCCTTGATGGGTTCTGGCGCGTCGGTCGTGTCGGGGTCCTGTTCCGGTACCTCTGCTTCCTCGGCAGCTTCCTCTTCAGCGCCTGCCTCCGTCTCCTCTTCTGCCGGCTCCTCGGATTCTGTATCGGCACGCCTAGCTGCGGATTTCTTGTTCTTCTTTTTATTCGGATCGGGCTTGGGAAGGCCAGTTGCGTATAGAACGCGGTCGGGGTCGACTTGGAACATATCGCCGGGGTTTAGACGGTAGGAGGGATATGGCATCTATTGTGCGGTTCGTGTGTTAGTGGGCGTGTCTCTTCGATGTTCGATATTTCATATATTCGATACTAACCACTTTGCCGTTGACCTTCACAGCGCCGTGGACGCAGAACTGCCTCGCCTGTCTCGCGCTACTAGCGAACATAGCCCTAAAGACAGCGATATCCAATCTCCTCTCCATAGGCGCGAATGTCATCTGCATGTAGGGGGTCTGAACAGGTTTCGGGACGGTGGGATCTGACCAGTTCGGGGGCTTGTCCTTGCCGGATCCCCTACCGGCGGCCAATTCGGAACCGTCGTACTTGGCCATATACTTGGGGTCCATCTCGGCGACGCTCAGCAAGCGACGGCTGAACATGCGCACCCACTTGCGCTCGACGACGTGCTCTCCGTGGTAGTTTCGCAGCATGCCCTTTGCCTTCCATTTCTGCTGGAAGAAGGTTTCAAGGTCACCTCTACCGAGATTCGGATCTCTCATGCGATATATGTTGAAGAGGTTGTATTTGTTCCAACTTTGCCGAAGTCTCTATTAAAAATTAAAAATTAAAAAACGAAATCTTAGGTTAACTTATCTTATTAAGATGAGATTTATTTCTGTCGATTAGACAAGAAATTGTATTGGTAAAATTGGTGGTGACTTACCGGTCTTTTCAGACCGTGATACCTTCTGGGCTTCATCTCGGCTGTTTGTTCCCCGGGGTTCCGTTATGCGAACAACGGCGTCCGGTTGTTTGGTCGTGATCCTCAATTCGAGGTTCCGCGATTCTTTTTTGAGACCCTGGACTTTTTTTGCTGCTGCCCGCCAAAATATCTTAATTGGAGATCACGTGCGATGCGATGAAGTACGAAGTATGTAGTAGTACGTACCTAACCTACATGTACATGTGTGGTGGCCCAAGCTCAAGCTCAATTACTCTTATCGATAGATTAGGTCCGAAGCAACTTTTGGGTACTTGGATACTTTAATATCTCTCTTCCCTAACGTTATATCTCGGCAAAACCCTGTTTGGTTAGTTACATGTATAGCTCCTTGTTGAATACCTTGTTGGTTTGCATATGTGTAACCTCATGGTAGAGATATATCTGTCTTATCTTGCCAATAGGCTTTGAATTTTGAAGAAGCATTAAAATAATATTGCATCATGTTATGTTACTCTTTTAGAGTTGAGCAAGGTAATTATTGATCGGCGAGAGTAAATGATCGGCAACATTATAACCGTGCTGCCGTGAAGAAGTAACAGCTCTTTTGAGAGAAGCGAGTTACCCGATTCTGTTACACTTGATCTTCAACTCCTTTTAAACAAGATACTCAACTCCCTCTGCCTAGGTTAGGTATAGGTTATTATTTCTAACATGGTTTTCATTTCCAAGTAGCTGTGTCGTGTAAATAGGTAGGCAACTACCTACGCAGCTACGTTATGCCTGAGAATAACTTAGCGACTTAAGTATAGCCTCACTTCGATGTATAAGGCATCGAGGGGAGATATCGCTGATATTTCACGTCGCGAGTATATCTGAAAATTTATAACGAACTTGTCTGACTATAATGGAGATGCTAATAAGAGCTGGATAGATGTAACTCCGTTTCTAAACCCTGACCGGTATTACTGCTACTTATCTCCGTTTTAGGAGAGTCTTCACCGGACTTAGAGCGTCCGCTTCGGAAGGAGGGAAAATAACAATAATAATAACAGGTACCTAACTAATACTATTGGTAGCGATGGGGTTGGTAGGTAGGTAGGTGATATTCTGAATCTTAACCCGCACCGGTACCGAACCGGCACCGAACTGGCTTATCCAGTGATGCTAAATCCTCCGTCATCCCCCAAATCTGTTTATATCCGGTAGATACGACCATAGCCGAAAGGTTGGGTAACTAGCCCGCCTTGATTGGGCAATTCCAAATACACGTCCTTCATCCCCCGACCCCCCGATCTTACCTATGTAAGTCGAAAGCATAATTGCAGATGTCTAAGAGTGGGCTGTTATATGTTGGGAGAGGACGTACGGCTACGTAATGGATGGATCCGGTCTTTACCGCTAACCTATAGGTAATCTCCGTCTTGGTCCCTATTCGCCTCGTCTTGTCCCGTATTCCGCGACTGCAAGTACCGTGATTACAGTGTATATAAGAACGACCGCCGGAGTCTTCGTTTCGTTGCCATTTGGTGTTAGCGCATTATACTATTTTCCTTCCACGTAAATTTGGCTGAATAATATTGGACCCTATAATTTCATCTAGTTGTTGTACATACCTAGGTATATCTTGTAGTGTTGGAATAAACTCTTTGGTCAGTTGGAGAGTGGTGATGAAGAATTTGCTAGCGGGTAAGGAGGTCGGAGCCGAGAACGGCTCAACCGATGTTGAAGCCAACGCTGGTATGAGGGAGTCACGAACAAGCGATGAGAACGATTTAGAAAAATGCGACAGTCGCGAGTCTAAGCCGGACTCAAATAGTGACTCGGAGACTACTGGCGATAGTAGTATTCATCGCGAACCACACGATGCTTCCGGACAGCTCGTTTCGAGAACCGTCTCACGGGCTCTCTCCAGGACCATCTCTGAGGTACGAGATGGGATCGAATCGCGGCGAGATCTAGAAGATGGCCAACTCACGGAGGAAGAGGAAAACACTGCTGCTGCTGCGACCGCGGCGGACACCACGGATCCTAACCTGGTGACCTGGGCAGGCCCTGACGATCCAGAAAACCCCAAGAACTGGCCGTTTCCCAAGAAATGGGGTGTCGTCTTCATCGTCTCCATGTTCACCTTCGTCTCGCCCGTATCCTCTTCCATGGTGGCCCCGAGTCTGACTGCAATTGGCGCCGAGTTTGGTATTGCGGAAGGATGTGAGTTAAGAAAATCCTAACTAACCCCTAGTTATACTATATAAAAAGTCTAGTAAGACAAAAATCTAACAAAAAGCACCCCTTTATAAGTCCAGCAGAACCTTGTACTCTCGGTATTTGTCCTCGCCTACGCTATAGGGCCCTTGGTGTAAGTCGCCCCCCCCCCCTTTCCTTTTAACCCCTATCTTAGGTACTTACATATCTATATCTTCTGTTCCCAATTCCATGGTTGCTAACTCTAAGAAAACAAAACAAAAATACAGTTGGGGACCGCTTGCAGAGATTTACGGTCGAGTATCCGTGCTGCAGTACTCTAACCTCGGGTTCCTTGCTTTTACTCTCGGTTGTGGTTTCTCGCGTACCAAGGGCCAGATAATCGCCTTCCGTTTTCTCTCCGGTCTGGGCGGTTCTGCCTCTCTAGCTATTGGCGGTGGTGTGCTCAGTGACTTGTTCGTTCCCGAACAGCGTGGTCGCGCCATATCAAGTACGTAGCACTAAGTTAAGGACATATACATATATTTAATCTTCACATACAAGACATCATCACTAACTCTTGCCCCTACAGTATACAGCTTAGCTCCCCTCCTAGGGCCAGCCGTCGGCCCCATCGCCGGCGCTTTCATAACCGAGAACACGACGTGGCGCTGGGCCTTCTGGGCGACCAGCATCGCCGACGCCGTCATCCAGGGAGCCGGCCTATTCTTCCTACGCGAGACCTACGCCCCTCTCCTGCTGAACCGCAGACGCCAGCGGCTCATGGCCGAAACCGGAAACGCCGCCTTGAAAACGCCATACGACGATGCCAAGTCCGACAGCAGAAGTCTTCCCACGATCCTCGGCACGGCCATGACGAGGCCTTTCCGACTGCTAGCCACGCAGGTCATCGTCCAGTGCATCGCGCTGTACATGATGTACATCTACGGCCTCATGTACCTCCTGCTCGCGTCCTTCCCGTCGCTCTTCACCTCCCCGCCCCCGGCCGGGTACGGGATGTCCATCGGGATAGGCGGGCTAAACTACATCTCTCTGGGCTTAGGGTTCTTCGTCGGCGCGCAGACCAGCGCGCCGCTGCAAGACCGGGTGTACGCGGCGCTCAAGCGGCGGTACGGCGTCGGCAAGCCCGAGTACCGGGTGCCCATGATCGTGCCGGGCTCCGTCCTCGTGCCCTTCGGCCTGTTCATCTACGGCTGGACGGCCGAGTTCAAGACGCACTGGATCGGCCCCAACGTCGGCGCTTTCGTCTTCGCCGTCGGCGCTATCATATGCTTCCAGTCCCTGCAGGCCTTCGTCGTCGACTCGTACCAGCGGTACGCCGCGAGCGCCGTCGGCGCCGCTACCGTGCTGCGATCTCTCGCCGGTTTTGGGTTCCCGCTTTTTGCGCCTTACATGTATGATCGACTGGGTTATGGCTGGGGCAACTCCCTGATGGCATTCCTCGGTATTGCCATAGGTTGGCCTTCACCGATATTATTGTGGAAATAGTACGTGTTTTTCTTTCCTTTTTCTGTCCCGTGATCAATTCCCTTCAAGACATTATATATCTCCACTAAAGAAGTTGTTACTGACTCTTGTAACAGTGGAGAGGCACTGAGGAAGAAGAGCCCGTTTGCTGCGGGTGGTTAGCATAACCGTGTGGCACGAGCCTGTTACTTCGGTGGAAAGGAGAAAAAAAGGTATTTAGATGAGAAGAATTTAGAACTACCTCTCTTGGTTCATTTGAGTTTTTATCGTGTCTGCGAAGAGATTGTACATACTGACAAGCCAGGCTATGTCGCCTGCAGCGGCGAGCATATGATAGGTAACAGCCTCAAATCATGACCTTTTTTTCTTTTTCGTAGCTAGACGCAAATTTCTCATGCCTAGCAAGTACCTAAAGGTATCTAAAGAACCCGTGAACGCCTCTTCCGAACCCTACCAATAATTCCATTACCAGGTCCGACCTTGAAATGCAAAGCTTGAGTGCCTTGAGCGCAATAGCATACAGGAGGAGCTATGAAAATTATGGGAATCAATGTGAAATAAAGACGCATAGAAGGGGGCATGTCGTTTGTATGTGACGAGTCCATAACTTTTCTTTGGCTTGCTCATGCGGCGTTAGCAACAGCCTCCTTAGTGTCGACCTTCTTTGCGGGGGGTGTATCTGTGTGATCCTCATCCCTAGCACGCTTTCCGTTTGCCTGAGCTTCCGAGTTGCGCTTGGCATTCTCATCCTTCATCATCTTTTCGCTCTCCTTGCTCGTGTTGATCTTGGGTCTGCCATCGTCGCGCGGGGCGGGACGTTCTTGTTCCTTTGCACGACCGTTATCGTCACCACGGTCTCTACCCCGTCCACGATTGTTACCACGACCACGGCCTCGGCCGCGATGATCACGGCGGTCGCGACGGTCCTTGAAGCCGTTTCGCTGATCCTCGTCACGCCGCTTCTTCCAGTCATTAGCGTCAGAACCTCGATTGTTTCCATGAGATCCTCGACCTCGGCCACCACCACGGTGACCACGCTGAGGACGTCCAAAGTGGTTAGAGCCCTTCATGGGAATCTTGCCATCGCGGATCTCTTGTGCCTTGAGTGCCTTATACTCAAGCTTCGTCTTGATATCCAGGGTGTGCTCTTTCCATAGAGGCTTAGGCTCTAGAGCCATGAACTTATCCAGTGTTTCCTTGTTGGCCCATTCGACAAATACGGATCCCTTAAATGTTTTTGTCTCATCATCCGCTCTTCTAAGGCGCACGGAGTTAAACTCTCCGTATTGGGCTAGAAAAGCCTCGATGTCGAACTGGGTTGATGACTGTTCTTCGCCGAACCCTTTGATATAAGCACTACGCTCGTCGATCTGGTACTGCCTATCATCGGCCGGCTTGTAGGCTTGCTTTCGGCGGATTGTTTCCTCGCCCTCGGGTCCCTCTATAACAAGATGTTTGCTACCTTTGAGAGCTTCGACGACAGCTGAATAAGGCTTGAAACGACGCATGCGCGAGAAGTTGCAGATCACGGACAGAGGCACTGGCTTATTGTTGGAGCCATCGGTCTGAGCCCACAGGAATTTATCGCCAGGCAAGTTACTATCGCTAAAGTAAAACTCGACCTAGAACATGACGATTAGAAAAAATTGTTACGTGGGATACAAAAAATACAGGAACTATTTCTTACCTGTTTGCGAATTTCCTGGGGATTGTCCGAGTCGGGGAGAACAGAAGCGTCTGACTTCTGTCTGGTTTCGCAACCCTTTCTGTTGACCTTCAACATTTCCTTAGGCTGTGTAGCCGCGGATGCATCCTTATCAGCCTTGGTTTCTGATTCTCCCTCAGCCCTGTCTTTCTCAGCGCCAGCTGCGTCGGGCTTTTCTTGTTCCTCAACTACGGGAGCATCCTGAGTATCGGTCTTGGTCTCCTCGACAGCCTCGGCGTTAGTGTCAACAACTTCCTGGTTCTGGACCTCTGGAACCTCGTTCTTCACGCCCTCCTCGGGCTGAACCACCTGATCAGTCATATTGACTGAAGGGGAAATTATCGAAAGGTTTAGAGCCGCTTGTTTCAAACAAACGGCGAAGTATGTGATTGAATACGGACGACGAAGTAAAGATTGGACGAATACTACGGTTGACGCAAGATTCGAGACAGAAGGAGGTTTGGTGAGGTTTAGTGATGAGGCGGGGCAGAACAGATGGCGGCGGGGAGTCACTCGCGAAGGTCTCGCGCAGGATGCGACGAGATGAATGAGAATAGATTACCCCCAATCACTCGAACTTATAGCTTAGGCACTTGTTCAACTTAAATAAAGGTGATCGAAGCGACAAGACTATGTGTGAATTGGTTGAGTATTACCAAATGTGAATGTATTTATTGAGTGGGTGTTTGTGGAAAGAAGAGAGAGAAATTCTCACGAGGGAAAAAGTCGAAGCTTTGACCGTGACCCGCGAAAAGTTAAGTCGAAGGCGCGGGAAAGAAGCTCCAAAAAAAAAAAGCAGGTAGGGGTCCATCAATTTTTCTTTTAAGGTGGAGCACTAGCATCTAACCTTTAACTGACTTTTAACTTTCTGCCCCGCCTGCCTGCTAGCCTTAGGTACTTCTTTCGCTACTGTATTGTACATAGTACCGTACCTTAGGTATTGTATTAGAAGTCGCAGGTCATCCCGAGTCTCTCGAACCAGGTACCTTATTACATACACGGCGGGGTTTTATTTTCAATTGAGAACTCTGTATAAAACATTGAACTACCTGTATTGTAGGCAATCTCGGAACCCGGACATATCCATAATCAGAACTGATCCCCAACTCTCCAAATATTCCAAGCCAACATTAAACAGTTCAAACTACTTGCTGTTATACTTTAATCATAATCCGAACTATTCGAACTACGGCCCTAGAAGTCCGAGAGCTTCACGGCGTGACTTCGAATTTGGGTCAAAGTACGGTTTCTCGCCGATAGACACAACTCGGTTGCCTTGACGCTTTCCGATGTAGTCACTAACCTCGATGTTAGTCTTGCACATTACACGATGACAACCTAAAAGCTATAGGGGGTAACTTACTTTGTAGCCGTGTGGAAGACGGAGCGGCTAGAAAACGTTTGTTAGAGCCATTGTCTATAACAGGTACCTAGTTTTTTCTTGATAAAGTAACTCACTTGTCCCAGATGGCAAGGTCATTCTTGTTCCACCTGAACCGGACCTGAAGGTCATGGTTCTCCACGATTAATTGGAGGACTAAGTAATATCTTGTTAGATATTCTCTCTAGGTCTCGGCATTTGGCTGGCGACTCACAATAGGCCTTGAGTATCTCGCTCTCTCGCTCGGTGACTCCGTTGATCCATCCGTGCTCAACCTGACCACCCACGCCAAACAAGCTCTTCCACCCAGTCACAGGGTTTGTACGAATCAAGGGACTGGGCAGCGTTAACTGAAGACTCTAGGTAATAGTCAGATAAGTCTAGAGTATTGGACTTACTGCTCTGCTCTGAAATCGAGACCATTGTTCTCAGGAGAACCTCGGTTCTGGTCAATAAGCTCTTCACCGAAATCATTCTGCACTTGCACAAAACCTGGTTGGTTATGTGTAGCGGTTAGACTCTCTGCTAGTTTCTGGATAGGCGGAGAGAGGCGATCATAAGCCTCGTAGCCTGATGCCCACAAGGTGTCACCACCAACATCCTCAGGTGGTTGGATGATCTTGAGGATAGCGTAGTCCGAAGGGATGTTCTCAAACGTGATACTATTTAATGTGAGTAATTAAATCCTTTCGATACGCATAAACGCTAAGCACATACTCCGCATGCCAGCCATGACTAGCGATTTTCTTAGAGAAGGCCGTATATCGATCCTTGTAGAATTTGCGGTTCTGCTCGGAAGAGATAATAGATACTTCATCATCGAGACGGCCATTCTCATCAATAGGGATGCCTCGTTTGCCGTTTGAAAGAGCATGACGGTGAAGTTTGGACGTTTCCGGCTTGCCGGTCAGTTGTCCAAGTCGGTCGCCCAACAGCTTTTGGTCGTCAATGTTGATATCCTGGTTTCGGAAGAACACGACGCCCCTCTCAGAGACTTTGACAATTAGAAACTTGAAGCTTTACCAATGTCTGCCTAACATGACGGTCTTGCTTACCGAGGATTGCCAAGTCACGAATCTTAGTGTCGTCGTGTAAAATCTCACTGAGCTGAAGGTTGCTGAATTCGCGCCCGATGACCTTGGTGACATCAAATTGCTCATATGAGTCGAGACTTCCAGAGTATTTTAGGGGTCCGTCAAGTCTAGAACTGGTCGATGTCTTGACGGGAACAGGACCGACAGACTTCTTGGTAGTCTGTTGCCCCTGCACGTCGGATTGGACGTCAACATCCGCTGCTGGAGGTGCCATGATAATAGACTAGGTAGGTGCCTAAGTATCAATTAGTGTTCGAAAGAATATTCTTGATTAATTATAGCGACCCTTAGATTCCGACTCTAACTTTCAAATATGCCGAACTTCTAACTACCTTCTATATATAAGAATATCTCAACCCCATACCTAACTCCTACACCAAGTATAATGGTTGTATCAATAATTAGCTAAATCACGTCAATGGGTTTATTATCTCTTGGATTTGCTATCTTTGGCGAATCGTTAAGGCGCGATGAGGATATCTCTAAATGAGATCAAATACCCCGCGAATAACGTCAATCCGGATCCCAAAGTAGGTAGTCACCCCGTTGAGGGGTTCGCTATTTGTTCCTAGCAAATAAGACCTAACAAATAAGATTGGTATACTACACCAAGTTTAATCTCTAATAGGCCCATAGGCCATAATGCGCATAGCTTGTGTGATGCGATGGCTGATAAAGGTGTGAGAGACCTAACTTGCAGGTATATTGCTAAACTACCTTAGGTACCTAAGACTACTTCAAAAAGTTAATAGTCTCTAGCTGTTTCGGGTCACCCACGCTTAAGCTGATATCTTTCAAGTCCTCTAGATCTTTCTCGGTGTCTTCGAGGTCCTTCGCTATCATTCCCCAGGCATCCGGTCCTAGTGGCACACGAATCGGAATTCTCTGACCGCGACTTACAACTCGATACATGGCTGCAGCGAGATCATTTGGTTCTGACCACAAGCTACGGCCCCCCTCACTTTCCATGTACGCCAACAAGACATTCGTAGGGTAACTAGGGTCGGCATAGGCTGGGTGTCTCTTGGCCATGGGCTTGAGAGAAGACGTCGCAAAGTTGGTTTTTACACCTCCAGGCTCGATGTTGCACAAATGAACTAATCAATTTCAACCATCAGCAAGTTGTCCACTTGGTGTAGATATAAGCGGCTGCGCCGAATCTTCCAATCCAGTTATTCTTAAAACAGAGGATATGATATGTAGGTACTTACTGTTCCAAGAAGCCGGTAACTCCTTTGCCACAGCCTCTGTCCATCCTTCCATAGCAAATTTACTGGCGTGATAAAAGGAGCCCCCCGGAAAGCCAGACCAGCCACCCATGGAGCTCAGGTTCAGAATCACACCTCCTTGCTGTCCGGTTTTGGGATTCACATCCCTCATGATTCCCAGAGCTCTCTTCGTCACGTCTACCATACCCCAGAAGTTCGTGTCAAGCACTGCTCGGGATTCCTGGTCTTCTGCACCTTCAGTGTCACCGACGAGGGAGTAGCCCGCGTTGTTGACTACGACATCGATGCGACCAAACTTCTCTACCGTAGCTTGGAGGGCAGCCTCGATGCCGGGAATAGATGTGACGTCCAGCTCTAGCTTGAGGACGCGGTCGTTGTCTGGAAGACTTGATAAAGCTGATAGTTTGCGAGCTGTAGCTACCAAGCGGTTTGAAGTCTTCGTGATGAGCTCAGCTAGAGATTGGCCGATTCCAGAAGAGCATCCGGTAACTAGGTACACATTGGTTAGGGATTATACGGAAGACGAAGAAGAAGAAGAATAGGGTGGTGTTGGGTTACTGACTAAACCAAACGGCATCAGGAGGTAAATGATATGGCTTTGTGTTCGGAGCATCCATCGTAGGTGTATTTTTTGGGAGACGAAAAACAATCAAGCTGGCACAGTCAAGATACGTAGTATGAAGTATGAACGACTTTGAAGACTAATGAAAACATATCCAAGCTGGAATATTCCGTGCTATATATATGGCCTAGTTAGACAACACTGATGAGACGGAGGTGAGATTATTAGCTAGGTACTATCACTAGATTACAAACCAATTCTCTTTGTAAATAACGATGATCGCCTTAGGCGACAGGAAATCTGACGATGAGGTCGCATATTCTGTAGGATGGTAATGGTTGATGCTAGCCTTGCATATCATGTATTGTCTTCTGCGCAGATGGTAGAGCATTGTCGAACCCCCAAACGCTACGCAGGTCCTCGGATATTTGTGTCTTAAATCCTTTTGGCTGCATAAGTTACCGGACCAGCCTTGTTATGTCCGCGACGTTTCCCCTTTCATACAATACGAGTGACGGTACTTAATCTAATGCATATTCCGTCCATAATTGTAAGGATTTGAGGAAAAAAAGTGTTTATTTAGTACCTACCTACCTGGTACCTAACATAATATTCTATCCTGAGGCTTGGAGTCTACAGACTGTCCCTTTACATCAACTAGGTTATTTAATCAGTGGGAGAATCGTCTCTGCTGTCCGCGCTATCATAGCAGTGTAGTAATCATCCCTTAATACACCACTAGCGTGGTCTCTGAGAAATTGTAAAGTCCCTTCGTCGACATCCCACGGTTCGGCTTCCAATTGCTTTAACCCAAACTGCCCGACGGAAGACCGATCGATTGGCGGCATAGCTTCATGAGCCAAGCCACCATCGTATCCAATTTCACGTAACGTCTGCACGATCAAAGGCCAATCCAGGCTACCGTCGCCCGGAGAAAGACGATTGTTATCCCCAAGGTGGAAGTCGTAGACCCCGTCACCACACTTACGCAGCGCGGCGATTAGGTCCGGCTCTTCGATATTCATGTGAAAGGGGTCAAACGCGACGCCAAGATTTGGCACGTCGGCCTCGTCGATAAGCTTCAATGCCTGAGACGTATTGGTGATTATGTACGTCTCGAATCTATTGAGAGGCTCAATCGCTATACGTACCCCCTTCCGTAGGGCGTGCTGGGCTACTTCTCGCACACCCTGCACGACCCATCCCCATTCCTCAGACGCGCTCGCTGCCGGCTGAAGCTTGCCTACGGTACAAGGGACCACAGTTGCTGTCTTTGCTCCTAATCCAGCGGCTAGGTCGATGACACTCTTCATGTAGCTAACCGTATCCGCGCGCTGCGATGGGTCCACCGCAGACAGATCTCGGGAGCCGTACATGATTGTCACAGTGGCCCAGCATGATAGATCGTATTTCTTTAAGAGGGTTTGTGTCTCGGTAATACCGTATCGGGAGGGTTCGCCAGCAAGCTCGATCGACGAGTAACCTAAGGAAGCTGCCCTTTTGAAAGTCACCTCGAGAGGCTCTTGCCTCATCCATGTGTGTGTAGAAAGATGCATGTTGAGGTTTAAGAGTATTTCAAAGTGCGACAAATTCGGTTGAGCAGTTTCGAGTGTACCTAAAGTAAGGAATTAATGTTAGAGTTGATACTCGAACAGGGCCATGAACTTCGCCCTTTATATAAACATCAACAGATGCGACGATGCTCTATAGCACTATTCTAAAACAGTATTAATTCAGATCTACATAGTAAGAACATTTCGAGATCCAGAATGCTCTATCCCGTTGCGACATTGATATTGGTGGTTGATAGTGAATGTTCTATAGAGCTACGCAGAAGCCCATAACGTCGCATTACGCTGACGATCCGCGGACTTGCCACATCGAGAAGGTCCACGTCCACACACACCGCTAGGCCCTGCGGACTTTCTTGTGATTAATCTCTGTGGTAATCCTTACACTTTCCTAACAAAAAAAAACGACATGAAGAGAATCAGGTTTCTCGGAGACCCTAGCGACGGCAGCGGGTCTAAACGCAAGCAAGTAAAAAAAGCGTGTGAGCTATGTAGGAAAGGGAAACGGAAATGTAGCCACTGCGTTGGCGACGAGACCCCGGCGCAACAGGAGGGGGGAGCTAAGCATCCGGTAACGACGGCCGTGTCGGATCTGCTCGATGCGCAGTTCTCTGCATTGGGTGAACAGCCGTCCGAGTCATTGGAATCCAGAGAGATTGATAATGCCAATCAGCAAGCCTTGTCATCTAGACCGACTAGAGCACTTACAATCCCCTTCGCTGGGCCTTCGTCTGCGCACTCGCTTCTCTCTGCTTACGCGAATTTGGGTATAGAAATGGACCCGGCGCGACAGCTCCCTGGATCACGTATCCTACGCCCCTCCTTTCAGGATATGAGGGCACCACCTTCTGAGCGGCGCCCGGGTGTTGCTGTAGGGTATCTACCCATGGTAGTAAGGGCAGTACTGCCATATTTAGAAATCGAATGCCTCCAGGTTCTGCCTCCCAAATCGGATCTCGACGCCATCATAGAGATATATAGGCAAGAAATCCACCCAATTCTACCTATCGTTGACTTCAATGCGCCGGTACTCGTCAACCCAGTGAGCCGAGATAACCCGGCAGCCATCGTGTTTAGGCAGGCTATTTGCCTGGTCGTTTCTAAGAGCCCCTCGGCTAGGCAATACCTTAACCTTCCCGAATCCGACGACGGGCAATTTACCCTCAAGACTCCCCGTGAGTTTGCCGATAGGCTCTTCGGGGTCCTAAAAATAGCTCAGGATATCGGTCTCGTCGACGATAGGCTGGAGCTTGTCCAGATTCTCGCCCTGATGACTTTTCACTCTTATGGCCCAGATGGTGACGATGAAGTCGCCCGTCTATGTGGCCTGGCCGTCCATTTCGCATACTCCGCCGGGTTAAACCACTCTTCACGGCCGAGCGATCATTTTCTGGAACCACGTCGCGTGGAAGTACTCTGTTCCCTTTTTTCATTGGACAAGATCGTTGCCATGGTCACGGGTCGACCAACTATGATTCACATGAACAAAATATACTTGCCGCCAAAAGACGGTGTTGTAATGGAGACATTACCTCCGGGCCTTGCCTTGCTATTCCGTCTGTGTCAAATGCTCGATCGAGTTCTGGAGTTATACCAGGCGCGGCCGCCGGATGAGATGGCAAGAGAAGATTGCGTATGGGACGCGTCTTGGCCCGAGTTCGAAGAGCTAGTCGAGGATTGCAAGGCGCAAACCCTGCATCCATGTACGCAAGCTTCGCTGGAGCTTCTATATAATGTTATTGGTGTCATATCCTACCGTCCACCTCAGATCAAAGTTGGGAAAGCCAGCGGCACGAAAAGCACGTCATCCACCGAAATCCAGAGCTCTAAGATCAGGCATAAATACTGCGCCCAGCGGATATTATCCCTCCTCGACCAGGACGTATCGAGACTCCCCTTTATACCGTACGCGGCATCTCTGTCTTTGACAGTGGCCCTACGCAATTTAAAGCAGACTTCACTAGAGACGACGAAGAAGGTGGCTAGAGACGACGTGGAAAGAAGCCTTAGGGCTCTTGACGAACTCGCGGCGACGTATTGGCATGCGGAACAGGCTAGTGGAGTTGGTCGTCAATTGCTCCAAACGTATGATGCAGATATCTCTTGACCGACTCGTTACTATCGTCCAAGCTGCAGCAGCGTTATAGTGGCTTCGAATAGTGGCGTTAGGGCATCTTGGAATTTATGGAATTTGAATCGGCTTATATCATTAACGGACTCATTATACATTTAGATACCTTAGGTTAGGTATCTTAGGTAGGTATATAGGTAGGTAGGTACCGAGATATACTCGGCGTATAATTGCTATCATCATCATCATCATCATCATGAGTAAGCGTACCCTCTCCCGCCACGATTGCCTTGCCGGCTTGTCCGACAATGGCTCCGCTCAGGCCCGATCCGATTGCGGGCCGTCGACGCACGGCATATTGATAACGGGAAGACCAGCATCCTGATGGCTTTGGTTGCAACGAGATAAGAGGTACGGCAAGGAAGACGCACGTAATAACACATACGCGATGAGGGGTAGTTGAGATATCGCATGCGAGATCCCTATCGAGAACAGTTTTATTAATTTAATTTTGAACAAACGATACACCTTTACTCTCCCGTGCATTGATTTTCAATGACTGGCACGTTATTCTACTATATCACGATCTGAAGAAATCTCCAAGTATTCTTTCTCATTAGCCATGGCTCGATTAGAAACAAGCTTACCTAGCATATTTGCCGTGGACTTCCAAGATGCCGGACCTATATTGATCGCTATAGCGGTAGTCTTAGTATCTTACCTATTATTTATTGTAAGCTTTCATTTCGACAAGATCCCTCATTCTCAGGCTTCGCTAAGAACGTAAAGGTTACATGCAACACAGATATTCCATATATCAGGGGGATACCAGAGATCCCTGGCGCAATCCCAATATTCGGCCACCTTCTCAAGCTTGGTGGCGACCATGCCAGCGTCTGCGAGAAGTGGTGGCGTCAGTACAACTACTCCGTATTCCAGATTAGACTAGGGAACACTCGAGCCGTAGTTGTTAATTCGTTCGATGATTGTAGGAAGATGCTAGTTGGCCACCAAAACGCGGTTATCGACAGGCCAAAGCTTTATACATTCCATGGGCTCATCAGTAGCACCCAGGGTTTCACGATCGGCTCCTCGCCTTGGGATGATAGCTGTAATAGGAAGCGCAAAGCTGCGGGAACAGCACTAAGTAGGCCTGCCCTGAGAAGATATCATCCCATGTTTGACTTAGAGAGCTATTGTATCATAAGGGATCTATGTAAGGACAGCCGTAACGGAGAGACCGAGATCAGCGTGCGACCCTATGTTCAAAGATATGCGCTCAACACGACGTTAACCCTCTGCTACGGGATTCGCATGGACGCCGTCTACGATGACCTTCTACGCGAAATCCTCCACGTTGGCTCGGCCATCTCGCTCCTACGCAGCGCATCGGAAAACATGCAAGACTACGTGCCTATCTTGAGATATTTCCCTAATAACGAGAAGAATGCTCGCTCCAAGGAACTACGAGAACGGCGGGATGCGTACCTTAAGCTTCTTCTAGACAAGGTTCGAGAAATGATAAAGCAAGGCACAGATAAACCTTGCATCTCTGCTGCTATCTTGAAGGACGAAGAAACGAAGCTTACCGGAGTGGAGGTATCATCAATTTGTCTGTCGTTAGTCTCAGGCGGCTTCGAAACAATTCCCGGAACCCTAACTTCTGCCATCGGATCCCTATCAACCAAGGAAGGACAGGTTTGGCAAGCCCGCGCTTATGAAGATATTAAGCGATGCTATCCAGACATCCGGGATGCATGGGAAGATTCTTACGTACAGGAGAAAGTCCCGTATATCAACGCCATCGTAAAGGAGGCAGAGCGATACTACACCGTTAGTGCTATGAGTCTTCCGCGGAAGACAGTAACGGAGGTGAATTGGAACGGCGCTATTATTCCTCCCAAGACCATGATCTTGATTAATGCCCAAGCGGGGAACCATGGTGAGTAGAACATATTCGTAAATGAACATGTACCTACGAAGACTCATATCATCCAGATGTCGACCACTTTGGACCGAGTGCTAGTAAATTTGACCCTGAACGGTGGCTGCAGAGCCTTAATCCTCCAACGGAACGTGAATCCGCCGGCCTTAACCACCTAAGCTTTGGAGCTGGAGCTCGCGCGTGTTCCGGCCAATACATAGCATCTCGACTGCTGTATACTGCTTTAATCCGCCTTATTTCGTGCTATAAAATCATAGCGAGCGAGACCGAGCCCCCTAATACGGACTATGTGGACTACAACGCTATAAAATCGGCACTGGTTGCAATTCCTCGGGATTTCAAGGTCAAGCTTGTCCCCAGGGACGCTGCTATCGCAAAAGACTGTTTAAGTGCCGCGGACCGGAGAACCGAGGGGTATTATAAGGGGTAATGTGGCTGATATGTCTGACAGGTCTTATTAACAATTCCCTATATCTCAAAATAATCCCACACACCATACCCCCGACCCCGACGCTCTAGCCAGGGCCAGAGGTACGCCACATTGTAGAAAATGAGGGAAGATGAGTTTCAAATGTATGGCTGACGTGATATAAGAGCTAACTGGTTTCTGTTGGTTGAAGGATCCGCAATTAATGCATGCAAGTAAAAGGCGGTTGAGACGGGCAGAATTGATATCAGGTCCTAACAGGTATATATATTTCAGCTGGTACCTAATATATACGATATAACAGGTATCTAAGCTATACGATTCCAATTCTTGTGTTCGTAATTACCTCTATGACTACCTAACCTGATGTGGCTTTTGAATACGGAGACACTTACCCTCAAATACTTCAACGAGGCTCAACTGAAGGGGCTTTCGTTTGCGATTCTCTCCCACACATGGGGATCTGATGAGATCCTTTTCCATGAGGTACAAGGAGATCGGGCAGCTCTGCAGGACAGAGCGGGATGGAAAAAGCTGACCAGCTTCTGTAAGACAGCGCTGGCATATGGCTTCGGGCATGGATGGATGGACACATGCTGTATCGATAAGCGTAATAGCGCCGACGTCACAGAAGCAATCAATTCTGCGTATATGTATTACTATGACTCCGGCGCGTGCTTTATCCACCTCGAAGACGTGCACAAGTATGCAGATGAAGCAACAGGCTCGTCAGGAAGAGCAGAAGTGACTAGGGATCAGCTTCTTGCCAGAGTACGGACTACACGCTGGATAAGAAGGGGATGGACGCTGCAAGAATTTATCGCTCCCAAACGACGATACTTTTTTGCCTCCGATTGGTCTGACATTGAAGACGGAGACAATTTACTCGACGCCCTTGCTGAATCAACTAGGATAAGCATAGATCTACTGAAGGATAGGGATCTTCTCGACGGTTTCTGTACTGCGGAGCGGATGAAATGGGCATCTAGACGAGAGACAACACGAGCCGAAGATGTCGCGTATTGTCTAATGGGTATGTTCAAAGTCAACATGCCAGTCCTGTACGGCGAAGGGGCACAGAACGCCTTTAGAAGATTGCAACGGGAAATTATGCAGTTCTCTTTCGACATGACCATATTCGTATGGTACGGAGACTATGAGAGCAGCGGACTTTTGGCTCAGTCGCCTTCTGACTTTGCAGACACTCCCCTTTCGAGCTTATGGCCACCGTGGGATGCATCGGCATACTCGCTGACGAATGCTGGGCTTTCTATCTCTCTTAATATTATCAACCAACAGGAAATCGGCGAGTACGGATGCTGCGCAAAATCGGATGGCAACATATTACTTGCAACCTTGCAGTGTGATGTCCTGACGCCAGAAGGACAATGGGAAGTCCCCGTGATTTATCTTGAGCCAGTGATGTCTGCGAACACGGCCAGGGGTAGAAGATGGAAAACTTATCGGAGGATTCGATGCGCAGAGCGTATAACCCTACCTCCAAAACTAGTTGAGGGTGGTCATTATGAGGATCTCGTTGTTCTACAGGATGAACAGTATGAATTTGTACGCCGAGCTAAAGAAAAACATATACCGTCAAGTGGTATGGCTTCTCGAATGGATTTAACGATGTAGGCTTTTTTTTTTTTGCGATATGGCATGAAGGAGGTTGCGGCGTTGGTCCTCACTTCATTTTAGGTACTCTTCCAGCGCAATAGCGTATTTCGACAAACGCGCTATTCCCGAGGAGGCAATATTGGTTACTCTCATAGGTTAAGCGCTAGTACCTGAGCTAGCACTTCTAAAACGGCTAGAGCTACAAGACTAGAAGGATTTAAATCTCCAGAATACGAGCGGGACCACCTGGGAGGTCTTGTCAATCGGGAATCGGCAACCGGGAACTTCCATCACAACCTTATCAGAAGGTGTGACATGCGGTCGAACTCTACCCTAAGATACCTACCTAAGGTACATGTAGACTTCGTATATCTTATCTAATTCAATATTACCACTCCATCCGACCCATTCGCGTTTGTCAGTGACTTGGCTGTCGCTTGGCAATGAGAAAAAAACAGGCGAACGCTTAGAGGTTAAGTAGGCCATGTGCATCCGGTATTTGTAAGTAGATCCATAAAGATTCAATAGGCCAAGGGGGCAAGTTATGCATGACGCGGTCACATTCCACGGGGAACAATCGAAAATAAATAATGTGCGAAAGGTATTTAGTATATTTTCCTGAATTATTTCTATGATTTACCTTAATTACCTAGGTACATGCAGTACCTACATCGATCAGGCTTGTAGCTGAGAATATACGTACCCACCTAACATAAAGGATGTATTGTATTGTATTGGAAGGAATGCTTCAGACCCAGCTTACCGTCTGACCGTCTACATATATGTTACGTACATAAAGTAGTGTATGTAGATCTAGACGATCTTCAGGAAGCTGGGACTTTCTATAGATATAATTAGCCCAACCTTCTTATTCCATGCTGCCCCACGTCTTCGATGCACAGAGCCGTGTAGCGCGTACCTAATATTCAAGATCAGTTGCAAGTAAATTGTGAATATGGTGATACCAGACGGTGACAACTTCCCTCGGATGTATGGAATACATGGGAAATGATGTAACATGTGTCACTAGGCACATTAGACTGCGTAAGAAAACAGGACGGGAACCTGCAGCAAAGTTACCTCTTACATGCCATGTCAGGTTTAGTATCGTCGTACAGTAATAGTGTATGAAGGTACTTATCAAGGTATGAGTACCTAATCTCATCCTTCCTTAGGTCCTTAGGTACATTATTGTGTGTACAAGTACAGCAGGTGCGGGCTGACATGCAACGGCTAGTCAGCAGGCACTAGCTTCATTTCGCCGAAGCGTCGTCTCGTCCATTGCTTTTTTAGTGGCCTTTCACTTAATCTGGCTGTCTGGCTGATAGATTCAAGGTTTACAACTAATTTTTTTCCCCTTCCTCGTTCCTGTCTAATTCTAGCCGTTGCTCGTTAAGTTTTACGTACCTCTTCCTCCCATAGTTTCCGTCCCAGAGGTCACACTCTCAGATACACTCCCCCAGATCTAGATTCATTTGCCAATACTACCCACTTACCACTTACCACTTACCATTACCACTACCACTACTACCACAATCGCTCTCATTCGCTCCGTTCACTCCCTACCTTTTTTTCATTCATTCATTCCTTTCTTCTCCATTCTTCAACAACCTTTCCCCCCCGCGACAAGCACTTCCACGCAACGCAAATAATCTCGACACCCGCGCGATTCACCACATTCGTTTGATACAGTCTGAAGGAAAAAACTAGACGCGAACATGTCGCAGCTTTGAAAAAAAAAAAAAAATAAGGAACATAATAGCCAAGAAAACGATTTGATTCGTTCTTTTTTGCACCCTGCAGTTTATTGCTGCTATTACGAAAAACCCGACGAACCCGTTGCCGATTTGCCGGATCTTGTTTTTGCCCATTTGACTTGGCAGTCTTCGACGACTCATATATTATCACTCTAGCAATATTCGAATCCTTTCGTATCAGGACGACCTAGTATAATTGTATTAAACAGCTTGGATTGGTGATCAGGAAACGTGGTTGGTTCCCGGACTGTGAATACTACAATTCCTGTTGTGTTATTGTAACTCCATTGAATATCAAGAGGGTTTAAAAAGAGCATTGTGTACTTCCATACCTACGAGTCGAAGTTTTCAACGAGGATCGCCGACACTGTCCAATACCCAGGTCCAATACAGTTGATTATCTTTACGTCCAACATCTTTCCGTTGTCTCGCAGTCGCACCTCAATATGGGTATGCGTCCTCATCCCGTTCCGAAGAGTTAACTTAGGAGTCTTCTCTGGTTCAATGTATTCCTCAACTAACACATTTTATCAGCTCAGCAAACGCCCCCGGTAACAACGATAGTACCTTTCCAGTCCCTGCCTTCATGCGCAGTAGGCTGTGGTCCCCTTTACGATGCCAATGGCGCTTGTGTACCTCCCGCAGCCCCAGCTGCCGATGAAAATACTTACGACGCGTGTTTTTGTGCCTACAACAGTCTTCAACCGTTCAAACAGGGCGCATCCGGAGTATGCGACGCTGCTTGTACTGCCGATACCGCGGGCTTATCAAGTATACAAGGCTGGTTCACAAGTTTCTGTAATGAAAAGGCCGCAGCTACTGCGTCATCATCTTCGTCGACAAGCACAGCGACAAGTGCCGCGGGTTCAGGAAGCAATAGTGGCGGTGGAGATTGGTAAGTTGTCTCGATGATGATGTCTTGAATTATTCGGGAATCTAACTCTAATTCCTACAGGATGTCAACACATTGGAGATGGGTAGTCATGATAGTCATTGTTGTCGTCGGCATCGTCGGCATCTGGATTGGAGCATGTATATGGCGTCGCAAATACCTCAAGAAGAAGGATCGAATGTACGAGCTGGGCAAGGGCCTTCCCAGCAATATCGCGATTAATACCCAGGGTAATCTAGTCGGTCCCGGCGCGAGGGATAGCACTTACTCCAATCCGGGCGTGTTTATGTCCGGCTCTGCAGGTTCTGGATATGTGGAAAAGCCAAAGAAGGAGCGCAAGAAGTGGAATGTTACACAACGAACATGACCATCATAACATCAACGAAATGGTAGTCCTATATCATTTAAACGACACTCCTTTTAGATGCCAACATGGTATCGTTACTACCACAAGTTATCTACTATACTGGTCCTATGGCTATGGGACCATTCCTTAGCATATTGTCGATTCCGAATTCCACATTACGGGCGTTAAAGGTTGGAAGGGTGATTTTTGGTAAACTTTATACCAATGCGGGTTTCCATTGTCCGTTTCTTGAATAGGCGTGGAGGTTGATCTGGATAGACAAGGAACTGAGTCAGGCAGCATTGGATGGTTTTGATATCACTTTTTACAGTCCCCGATTTAACCGGGAGATATATGAGAACGGGAAGACTCGGGTATGGGCGTGTGTGGCAGCTGTCTTCTCGCTGGAACGACGACGAACGAGCATAGTAGAGATATTATTCTTCTCTACACATTAAAAAATCCTCGAATCGATACTTATTACCCGGTACTAAGACTTCTTGAGCCGTACAAATGGTTTTTTGGATTATTACATTCCGTTTCTCCCTTCGCTACACACGCGGCTTGCCTCACATTAACAAGATGAACAAGCATCCGCTTCCCATACTGTAGTACATACTAATTTCGCCAAATCACTCCCTAATAACGATACCAAGTAAGAGGTAGCCTTCATTTATTATAATGCTCTTTATTTTCTCACTTGGTATTTCGAATGATCAATCGGCATCAGGAACCAACTAACTCCCCAACTCTAATTATAATCTATCTACGCATTGCCAAGCAAAATTGATTTCAACTTAGAGGTACCTACCTAGGCTCACGATACCCCTTTTTTTCTTTTGTTCTAAGGGCCATCCATAGAACGTATGACATATAGGTCGCACGGTTGCTACGTACTTTGGACCAAAGACCGGCATTACGGCATTACGGCATTGTGAGTAAATTGGTATTGTACCAACTATACGGCTTCCCGTCGTCTGAGGGTATGGGGCTTCCGGAAATATATATCACGCTAGGATTGTTTAAATAGCCTACCTGTATTTACATTTGGTTTTGCTTAACTCGGCGCCAAAGGGAAATATTGGATACCTATTGGGAGGAGGGGGGGGTACGGTTGGGCATAGCTGCCACTCGGCAAATGACGTAAAGTTGAGATACAGACACCCCAAGGCTAATAAAGGAAAAGAATAAAACAAAATATGGATTTATGGTACATTATGCATGAAAAAGGGTTGACTTTTTTGAGCCTCCAAGATGCGCACCCTCCTATTGGTTAAATTTTACAGCGCTTACAGCATACCTCCCACCTGCAAAAGAATACGCCTTCGTATTCAATCAATTCAATCAATTCAATCAATTCAATCAAGCGTTAGGTATTCAATATAAGCAAGTTGCTAAGTCTCTAGTCTTAGTGTTCCTAATAATATTCGCACTGTATTAGGCTGACACTAATCATAAGTGTGGATAGTGGCTAATACGCTAAGATTTAGGTAGCTTGCCACTATAATTACAGGGGAATTAGCTACTACCAGTACTAGAAATACAGTACCTACTTACCTCCTTAGCTAATACACCCAAGCTAGAAGCAAATCCCCCGTACCCTCGGATACTCTTTTTTAGTGCATAGTGTACTATCTTAAGCGCAAACATGTCTTAAAGCATAGTAAAGAATCCCTGCAATTTAAATGCACCCCACGATTTTGAAGGGTGACCCTATAAATTTTGACCAACTTCAGGGCATTTGCCGAGTGGCAGCTATGCTCAACCGTAGGGGGGGTAGAAGAATAATAGGCTAAGAACGATAAATAAATGTAACCATCTCGTAATCATATTTCATATTTCATATTTTCGTATTTCGTATCCACGTATTCGTGTATGTTAGGTTCGGTACGTATCTCATCTCATCTTATCCAACTTTATCATATGTCTTCGTCCCTCGATATATATCCAAGTCTTCAAATATTCAGCCGCTCCAAGGAAACTCGCTTAATCGTGATGCGAAGCGGACGTTGTTCAAACTACCTCCAAATCTCGCGCCTTCGTTGCTTTAGGCACGCCAAATACGATACTCTGCCTATCCAGGTTATGAAGATAGTAATTACTTCATGCCGTAGTCAGCAGCGTCCATATATAAGTCAATGAGACATCCCGAGCTCCAAGCTTGCGTGGGGCTCGAATCGTTACAATATTGGCCGTCCTTCTGCGTGAGCTCCGTAAGTCCAGCCCACGGGCTCTGCTTGATCATCTCCTTGCAACCGCTTAATCGCCTCGTGACCTGCTGGAATGCTTCAACACGTCCATGTTGGGTGTCGCGTCGCATGAGGTCGAACTTCAACAGTGCGCGTAGGAAGAAGCCTGTGGGCCACAGCCACTCGGGCCCTTGGTGATAATTTCGGCCTTTAGATGTGGCGAAGTCGGTCGAATCTTCGCTGTTTATATAGTACGGCCGATAATTCAGGTCTGAGGGGTCAAGCGTTGCCATTCCGGTCGGTCCGCGAAGGACCTTATCTGCTAGGACGAGAGCGTTCAAAGCGTGCTCTGGGTCGAAGAGATCTGGAGCAACTGTCATGGCGATGGTAAAGTTAGGTCGAAGCTGGTAGTCTTCATATTCCTTCCCAGAGCGGTAAAGATCCTTATAAACGCCGCGTCGGTTGACAACCTTTGGATTCACATCGTATTGGTCATCGTCTGACTGGCTAACCGGTACGTAGTAGCAGCGTTCAAAATTGGACTTCACTAGGTCCGCCCAAGCCGCGAAAGTGATCTCGGTACCATCGGCCTTTGTCACGCCCTTGTATGGATATTTGCCCTCCGCATGAAGCTTGGCCAGCCATTTCAGTGTACTGTAAAGTAACCCGGTAATCTCCACAGCAGCGCCATCACGAGGAGTGCCGGGAATTCCTTTCGAACCAGCACGTTCACTCTCACCCATCTTGTCCATCCAGGTTCCGCAGTTAAACTGATTGCCACCGAAGATAATACCGTTGGACCAATCTACGTTAACTTCGATGTTGAAGCCCTCGTCGCGCATCTGTGAGTCAATACTCGGTCCTGCATTAGCTTCACGGAATTTTAGCCCTGTCGCATGACGTTGCAACGCCTCCTGGATAACCTCTTGTATGAGACTCTCTGTCGAGTACGCTCTCGGATCTTCTGAGTCAAACCAAACGTCGTCATATGGTAAGAAGCGCCGCTTAACTTTTCGCGTGAGGATGCTCAATCCATCTGGAGCATATCGAGTGTAGTCCTGGATACACTGCAAAAAGAACCAGATAGAGTCCCGACTGTTGTATCGTGGAAGCTTCCCGCTGCCAAGAAGGTTAGGAATCATGCCGTGCTTGAGCACACTAGCGAATGCGAATATGTGCTCCGCCGCCTCCTCAAATCGACCAGTTCCTAGGTATAAACCACGTAGGGAGATGAAGACATCGCGACCCCAGCACCTCGCCCATTCCACAGCAAAATGCGGCAGACCAGCAGCAAGTGAAGGAACGAGTTTCTTAGGCCACAGCGAAGCTGACCTGACCAAACCCGTCATCTGTATACTTGTCATGGCTAGGCTTTGCAAGAACCACTGACCGCTTTGCACCTTTTCATTCATAAGCTCCAGGCCTCTTTCCCATGCTGCCTTATAGGCAGTGCGTATAATAAGTGCAAAGTATCGCGGGAGGAGGAAATTAGGTATACTTCGAACCGCATCAATACGCTCCTTGAGCCAATCTGCGGGCTTAGCAAGACCAGCAAACTCCGACTGTTGACTCATCCTCTCGAGACGTCCAACCGTATAGTCTAGAGCCCATTGACCATCCCGAAGGTTTTGGCAGAGGGGATGGGCCAAGTTATTGTCCTTGATAACGTCCTTCAAAATGCTCCACCAGCCTTGCAAACCCGCATATACGATTTTGCCGTGACCCGGAATATCATAGGTGCCATCTTTGCCACCACTTCCATCAAGCTCTTCAGGTTCGCAGCGGTATAGCAAGAAGTTGAGGTCGACTAAGTTCAGCTCCGCCATAGCTTCCTTAGCACCAGACGTCACATAATTATCCAATCCTGACGAGTGCTCTGCGGCCGGAATCCAGGTTTCGAATAATGCAATACTTCCGGGCGGAAACTTGTCGCGCACCGTGATGATCGTCTCGTCCGCCTTGGATTCCAATCGAATACCAGGCACATCAAGCACGCGACTTGGTAGCCCTCGTAGGTATTTCTCGTCGCCTTCAACCTCCTTCTTTACTTCGTCGTTGATGTCAACCTCTAGCATCCAGCTTCCTAGATGCCGCGCTTTCGTGCCGCTAAGGCGTACAGCACTGAACGCACCATTTCCGTTTTCGTAACCCGGGAAAGCAGTATGAGCGATAAGGAAATATCCCTTCCTCGATTCTGGATGCACTCTATGAACGGTGATGTACTCATCTTCGTGGTGGATATGCGTTTCGTCGTAGCCATCTTTGCCCATTAGAGTGTGGATCTGGTTGAGCAGCTTCTTGACACCTCCGATACCACCTTTACCTCCGCCAACCTTGATTTCTTTAGCAGACGACGACTCAGATGTATAGAGCCTGGTCTCGTTCACGAGATCAACAAGCTTGGGGTATATCTCGTCGTAACCCATCACACTTCCCGTCGCACTGGAGCACATGCATACTAATGCAGCATTTGGTAAAGTATCACGAGCGTCTCGCTTTTGAGCAGGAACTTCATTGTCGTGTGTGCAGTCCATGAATAGGGCCTGGACCGGTACAGACTTGATCGTTCGAATGACCTCTCGAGGAGAATAGTCATTATTAGGACCGGGACTCGATGGAGCACTTGCAATCGGACCTCTCGAAATTTCGTCGACCTCAAAACTGCCAATGGGGCGCCCGCCGTGACGATGTACCAGCCTACTGAGTTCCGCCGTACTCCAGGCCTGCATCGCCTCTCTGATCAACGAGCTTAGGCCTAGCCTTTTCACAAAGACATAATCCATCTCCTCGGATCCGGTAAATAATTCTGCGACAACATATAAGTTGGGTCGAACTCGACGAGCCTCGTCAAGGATGTGCTCTGCAAGATGCATAGGGGTAGAGTGGCAGTTGTCTATTCGGAACCCTGCAAAGTACTTCGCCAACATGCGAGCATATTTCGTCATATGATCCCATAGCCACGGACTATCTTCAGGGCCATTTCCGTAACGAAGCTTAACGCAATCACCCCAAACGATGACTTCGCGTCGTAGGTACACTCGCGATTTGGGGCCGGCATTGTCGATCAGCGCGTTTCCAGCCCATACCCAACCGTTATTGACGAGAACTAAATCCTCAGGCTTCAGATGAGCAGGCGCCTTTGCCTTGTCTAGGCGTGTAAAGTATGTTTCAATCAGAGGGTTGTTCTCGTCGATAGGACCAAGCTTTGGGCCGTGGTCGTCGAGGCGGACATACTTGATCCTATTGAACAGCTGTTGGAGAATTTCCCCAATTTCCTTGTCGTACTCCTCGTAGAATGGAACATTGACCACATTCAAGATCTCAACTACTTTGGTTCGAATATCCGCCTCATCTGCCTCACCCCTGTACTTCCCGAACAGAGCAACGATCAACCCAGCAGAAACCTTCGGGTCGATGCGCCGCCTAAAGCGTTCGCCAAGCCTGTCATTCCCAATCAGGCCGTGCTTGACCAGGTATAGGGCTTGGTCCTTGACCTCGAGTTTAGTTAAGTCATCCTTCTGGATTTCCTCGGGACTGCTCGATTCTCCGGCTGCCCAGGATTGTATTGCCGCATCTGCATCTCTGTCGACGTCAAGCGCATAGTATTCCCATAAGCGAAGCTCAGAAACGACGTGCTTTTTTATGCCATCCATGATCTTAATGAGATCATCTGTAGATTCGAGCTCCTTAGGATATCCGAGCTCCTCCAACTTGGAGCCAAAAACAAGGAGTTGAGTATCCAGAACGTAGGCGGATTCTAGCCAGGGGGCGGTAGTGAGGTTATATCCAGCTTCTGGATGCTCCAAGAGCCACTTGGTGTTGTGCGCGGTATGGTTAAGGACTATATCAGTCAAGCTGAGAAGAGAATGGTTTTTCTCCAGACTGTCAACCAACTGCTGTACATCTTTCTCTCCTTGAGGAAAGCACGCTGGATCCCATCCAAGTTGGTCGTATAAACTGTACGGCGAGTTCGAGGCACCCCGAACTTGGAGAGGAGTAAAATGTATCATGTTGTATCCACGGCCACTAATACCTCGCAGATGCTTTTCCCAGTCTGTCGGGTATTTGCCCATAAACTTGCTGATGACGGAAAATATCGATAGAGCTGGTAGCGGCAAGGGTCGGCCGTCCAGCGATAGTCTAGGCGCTACATCGATGTAATATAACGGCGTCTTTTTAGATTCGACTGTGCCTGGTGCGTTTGAGCCCAAAGCAGAAGACAGCTCGGGCAGTTCAGCATATGTGGTGTAGAAAGCAAAAGCACCAGCTTCGTAGACAGGGATCGAAATCTCTATCGTCCGGTTGAAGTCGGGGTTCAGTCTGAGGAGAGCCTGTCAACAAAGCACCCAGGGATGTTGGAAATCGGACTTTTTTGCCTACTTGTATTCGCGAAACTGGTCTCTGCGGAACTCAGATCCTCTCTTGGGGATGTTGACCCATAAGCTACCTTGTCTACATATTGACGACGTGCCCTCGATCGTAAATCGTATAGTGATGGGGTCGTGGGTTTTAGGGGCCAGATAGATGTACTCGCCAGGGATATCGGGAGCACCGTCATCCTTTAGAGGTAAGATGTAGACCTCGTTTGAGGTAACCGTCCTGGGGACCATGATGCCCAACTATCTGTTCTTCCAAGCTTGTTAGGGTGCAAAGAGGATGTAAGGAGCTGGCGAGGAACTAGATGAGCATTTGTGAGGAAAAGAGGGGAGGAAAGAAATGGCTAAACATGGGAGTTGAAAACGAGAGATGTACGAAGTAGTAGTTAAGGTAATAGGAATAATACCTTGAGTAATCAAAAGGACAACTACAACCACTTAGATTAGGAGGCAGGTATTTATACCAGATCATCAGACGATGTGTAATGCGACAAGGAGCAGAAAAAAAAAAGATTCGAGGCCTTGGTCTTGTGAAGGTGGGGTTGGGTAGGTAGCTGGCAAGCTGGCAAGCTGGGTAGCTGCTATATGAGGCACCTTAGGGGGGTACCTAACCTAACCTATACTACGTACATGCATGCAATCTAGCTACAAACCTATCACCAACTATCATAGTACAACAGGTATGATTTGGTCAAACCAGGGTAAGAAGCCCACTAAAAGTACAGTGACGTAATGATTTGAATATGCTAAAAATGGCCCTAATTGGCCCCCCATATGGAGATTTATGGGATCGAATCTACCTAATGGAGGTGGGGCTATCCTGGTAAGGTCTTAGGTACAATACTTTGTTTTGTTTTTGTACCTGAATCTTGCCCAAGCTCCCCGTCCCAAAAAAAAAAGCTTCTAGGCCTGATGTACTCCCTACGCGCATCCCGGACTATCCAAACTCTCCTTATGACAACACGACCAGTTCTGTTTGACTTCCATATATTCTTCCATAGTCCACCTGTCCTTAGTCGACGTGTATCCATACTGGAACTCTCCGTGATGAACTGGTTGGATAACGTTAGCAAGTGGCCCCCCATGAAATAGATGAATAAATAAATAAACAATGCATAAATCATCTCACTTTGGTGTTTAGGACAGGCGTTATTGGCTCCAGGATCGAAAGTGACACCGCAGAACCGACAAACACGAGGTCCAGGAGGAGGAATATCGGCGGCCTGGGCGGCTTTAGTTTGATTTTCTTCTTCCTCCCTCTCCTTCTTGGCTTGTTGCTCTAACCACCTCTTCATCTTCATTTCGCGTCTCCTTCGCATCAAGATGGCCTGCGCCGTGCCTCCTCGCTTTCGGTGTAATTGCTGACCTCGGCCGGATGGATAATTATCTGTTCCTATATTAAGCCCTGGTGTTTCCGAAACTGACGGGCTTGTTATAGGTTGCGATGGTATTATCGGCGGTGGTGGCGCCGCAAGTCGTGACTCCCCTGGATGGGGAAGAGGAACTCCCTTGTAAGGAGTTCTTTTACGGCGGGCTTCTTGGGGTACCGGCGCTTCTGGAGATACAGGTAGTTTATCTTCCGATTTGGCTATGGCAGGTTCATCTTGTGGGCTATCCTTGACCTTGACCTTTGTTTTAGGTTCATCTTTGGATACGCCCTTGGAACTGCTATTTGACTTGCCTTTAGACTTGACTTTGGTTTTGTCTTTGCGTGGACTACTAGGTTTTTTTGCGCGAGCCATCTTGCCAAAGAGTCCTGAAGTGCAGGCAGCAAAGTGTGAACAGTAAAGGAAAGTAGGTACCTTATGTAAAGAGTAAAGTTAGGTTAAGTAGTCAAGTATCTATAAATTTATTATTGGAAGGTGAGATATACCTACCTTAGATAGGTTCCTACCTGGTAGTAGAAATAGTAGGAAGGGCAGTAGAAAGGGAGTGCTCTAACTCCTAGAATGACAACTGACAGCTGTTGCCATGTGGGCTGAATACATGTAGTGATAAGCTATATAAGGGAAGGAGCGAAGTTGCATGGAAGGTTTCCTAGGTTACTCAGAGGTACCTTATAAAACTTTTAAACGTGTTTTAATGCAGTGCAAACATTATGTACCTCCATGTACATAAGTTTGGGCAGGTGTTAAGAGGTACCGGGCCCTTTCGATATAACCCTATTCGGGAATAGCATCTTCGATTATTGTAGGAAACACCTACTCCAAACTAACCATATGAACTGATTCTGGACCTGTATCTGTAATAACATTTACTACAGATTGAGGAAAAAGTAGTTTCTGGCATTTCTTATTCATCACCACTAGCTGGTCTTCCCCATTACTATCCACGGCCTCTTCCTCTTGGTCCCGGCTCGAACGCCCTTGATTCATTATGTAGGTACCTACATATTATCTATTCTTTCTTCTCAAATATCTCCTGCCCTGAGGAATGCTCGCTTTCCAATGCATCGATTTGGGACTCCACGTGAATAACCCCTAATTTTGTCGCTTCTTCTCTAGTGAAGGTCTCGTAAACATCAACTTCGTCGTATTCACCCAGCCCCAAGACCGGAGAAAGCTTATTGAGAGCGACAAAAATCATAGCGCTTATAAAAAAGCCTAAAATAAACACCATGTCAGAAACTTAAGTTGGTATTCTATCACACACTGACAATACTCACCTACGAAGAAAGCCATGAAGTACAATTCGGATAGAGCTGTGGGAGCATCCGTATCTTGCCTAACAGTGACGATCAGACCGCCGATGGTTGAAACCCATCCACAGATCCATGCTACGATCGCTCGCCAATTAAAACCATTCCAATACCAGTATGACGATTCGGTTCCGGTGTATAAATGCGATAGTCGGATTTTGCGCCCACGTAGAATAAAGAAATCGGCAGCCATAAGACCAATCATGGGTGACAAGAAAACCGAGAATGAACTCAAGACCTGAATAAAAGTGACGGCCCTATTCACAAGCTGCCAAGGTTGGACAATCCAAGCAGCGACGAAAGTGATGATAGCGCCCCTTCGAATGTTGATGTAGTGGGGCCATAACCCAGCCAGATCAATACCACCAGATACAGCATTGCCGCAAATGTTTTCAAACATGCTGGTTAACCCAAATCCAGAAGCAAGGAAGAAGACTCCAGCCCGAGATGCTGGAGACCCGTTCCCGCTGTCCATCATCATCATTAGAAGGTCTGGTGGGTTCCAGTACACCTCGCCATAGATCTCCTGGGCTGCGCTAGTAGTCACCAGACCAACAAGACACACGAGGACACCGGTTATCCAACCTGACGTAAAAGTACCGACAACGTAGCCTTTACAGTTGCGTGAATATCGCGAAAAGTCAGATCCATTGGTGATACCTGCCGCAACGCCGCCCACTGTTTGGTTTATACCGGCCATCAAAAGCCAGGAGATGCTCCATGAACCTTGCGGAAGCGCTACGCCAGTATTAAAAAGGGAACCAACACCTTTCGCGGTGGCTAAAGACCATATCATCATAACAAGCATTCCGAGAGCGCTGTAGATTGATGTAAATAAGAAGGGTATCTTGAACTTCTCCGGCTGGATCCATAGCAGAGGTGTGGACAAGGCCCAAAAGACAATGAAGCCAACAAACTGATCGCTAGTAGCCGGCAGACTCTCGGGTAAGAAATTCCTCATCTTGGCGAAGGATGGAAAAATAGCTGTTAAACAAACAGCAGCTAACCGTCCGCCATTCCAACACTGGACGGCGTTCCAGATGAAATTAAGCAAAACTCGCTGCAATAGGGGTATGTAGCTCCCCCGCAATCCCCACGTATAACGGTTTTGGACCGTGAAACCAATATGCCACCGTATGCCGCACCACTATGAATAAGCTGATCAATAATCACTGGTTTCCTCTAAGAAGGCATGGATAAGAATTGGATATGCCCTAGGAGCAATGCATAACTCATTCGTCGACCTGATAAGAATAAATGACGGAAAAAGGAATCTTGGGCGTAACATACAGCAATCAAAATCGCAAAGGAGGATATTAACAGACGGCCGACGACAATTATCATCATAGCCTGAGGGACAGACAACCCCTGAGCTATGCTGACTTGTCAAAAATATACCATATACTAGTCGGTTAGAATTATTATTCAATTACTTACTCAAGAAACTACTTGGCGTCTGCCAGTTGGTGATATTCAGAGATGATAACGTCCAAAACCCGAAATAGTGAAGCCAACCTAAGTCACATCGCAATATGGTAAGCAAAGATCCAAAATGGGGTGTAATGGCGAAGTCTAACTTACCCCAAGTCCTTCGGCTCGGGGGTAAAGGGATTAGGTCACGATTGCTCCATTGATCGGCGTGCTCATGTCGACTTTCATCACCCTGTAGACGAATCTTCTCCTTGACTACGTCGAACCGAGATCTCAAACCACTACCCATTTTCATGCTATACCGAGTCTAAGGTTGAGTTGATAGGAATCAGGAAGTACTAAGCAGGGAATAAATATAGTACTTATGATGCAACCGGTTTAGTCATTCGGCGGGCAGATATATATTGCCTTCCGAGTATAATTAGTACGACTTATTGCCATATCTACTGCCGGAAGCTTGCATATAACGACTAGAGGGCCGGGATCCGGAGATAACAATGAGGATAGTGAACGATATGTGTTCCGACAAAGGCCGCAGATCGAGTTAGACCGACTTATAACTACCATGCAGCTGTGTGAGATAAACCAGGTATAGACGAGGGGGTGTGATAAGAAAGAGGTGCTTTTTATCAGTCAAGCTGTCATGGCTTTTACCCCACATACGTGGAATTGTCTTATTTACATGTATACAGGTTGGTTACACCGTTACTTGTTACACGTTACGTGCTACACGATCCGGTTTATGGAAAAGATAAATCGCTATCTTATCTGATCTGCCAAGCTGTCTGGGCTGTGGGGTTTTTATAGACCAAGCGAATTTCACACCCCACATGGACGAGATCCATTCCATTCCCCCCATCCTACAATCTTGGTACCTTACGTATCCCTCGCATTCAAAACATACGCGTGAATCAATTGTCCGAAATGCCATCATTATTGTCTATTTACATGCTTGCTATAGTTATGCGTATCAAGGCTAATACATTCTGCTATCGAATGTTAGGTACATAAACAATGTGATGAAGAATTATAAGTTACAATGAGGTACGTGACGAAGCTTATCAAACGAACGCGAGCATCACAAATGTCTTCCAATAACCCGAGTACCCCGAGAACCACCAATGCTAGCGGAAATGGAAATGGTAGATCTACCCCTTCCTGCGACTTGGTATAAATACCTAAATATCAGGTAACCTAACTGGGGCTGAGGCCGGTTTCGGTGTAGATAGGCCGAACAGGCCAAACCGTCACTTTCATAAGTCTGCGGAACTTCGGTCGCAACCGAAAGACGCATACATCTTGTATTATTGTCACATCGTAACATCTCGTTGTGTAAAATGGCGTCTATGGTTAACTCTGCCAAAAAGTTACGCATTGGCGTAGACGTTGGCGGCACCAACACAGATGGCGTTGTTCTCGATCCCTCACGAGCTCTAGAATCAGACAAAGGTATTATCGCCTGGCACAAGGCCCCAACCACGACAAACCCGAGCCTTGGTATCAACGATGCCATTACTACTATGTTCAGCGCAGCGGGGATTAGCCCAGATCAGGTCGCTAGCGTTACTATTGGGACTACCCATTTCGTCAACGCCGTCGTCGAGAGAGATGCCGCGCGATTATCTAAAGTTGCTGTGCTCCGCCTTTGTGGCCCCTTTTCTAAACATGCGCCGCCCTGCGTGGACTGGCCTGATGATATGCGCGAGCTCATCCTCGGCTACTATGCCCTCTTGAAAGGAGGCTTAGAGGTTGACGGATATCTCATCTCTGATATAGACGAGAATGAGATTAAAGAGCAATGCGCCATCATCCGCGAGAAGGGCATTAAGAGCATAGTCGTAAATGGAGTCTTCAGCCCCATCGACACCATCGAACAACAAGAGGAGCGTGTTGCTGCCATTATCCGTTCCGAACTCCCTGGATGCGATGTTGTCTGTTCAAAAGAAGTTGCCAATCTAGGGTTTCTTGAGCGTGAGAATGCTGCGATCTTGAACGCGTCGATTCTTGCATTCGCGCGCAAAACGATCCGTTCATTTCAAGAGCCCATCAAGCGCCTGGGCTTGGGTTGTCCCGTGTTCATTACGCAAAACGATGGCACGATTTTATCTGGTGATATGGCGGCGAAGCTGCCTATCCGGACTTTCTCCAGTGGTCCGACCAATAGCATGCGCGGCGCTGCGTTTCTAGTACAGAACGAACTAGATGAAGCAATGATGGTAGTTGACATAGGCGGTACCACGACCGACGTTGGTCTTCTACTGGCAAATGGCTTCCCACGCCAACAAGCTGCGCATAGCGACCTGGCAGGAGTTCGGATGAATTTTTCGTGTCCAGATGTGAAGAGTATTGGCCTCGGTGGCGGTTCGATCGTCCGAAATGGCGAGACGCTAACCGTAGGACCAGATAGCGTTGGCTACAAGATCACCAAAGAGGCTCGGGTCTTCGGTGGTGATGTCCTTACTGCCACCGATTGTACCGTACTGGCGAACAGCACGGTCGAAATTGGAAACAGGGAACTGGTAAAAGGCGCCCTAGATGATGAAGGAGTATCAAAATTCAAGGCTGTCGTAAAGCACAAGATCGAAAAGATCATCGATACCATGAAAACCTCGCCAGAAGATCTTCCCGTGCTTCTAGTAGGAGGTGGCGCAGTAATTGCCCCAGATGAGCTAAAGGGAGCCAGTAAGGTACTTAAGCCGAAGTGGTCAGGTGTTGCAAACGCCATTGGAGCTGCGATAGCGAGAGTCAGCGCCGTCATTGATACAGTTAAATCTACTGAGTCGAAGTCCATAAAACGCATTGTGGATGAGATCTCTAAAGAGGCCATCGAGAAGGCTGTGGCAAATGGCGCATCGAGGTCAACCGCCAGGGTGGTAGAAATAGACACCTTACCTTTACCGGTAATTATCTACAAAACGTCCTACTATCCAACTCGAATGTCTGCTAACAATGATATTAGTATATAGCCAATAAGTCTAGATTTACCGTACGGGCTGCGGGGGATCTCGATTACTCGCGTACAGATTTCTCAACCCTTCACTTTGAAGAGACACTTGCAGATACGGAGGTCCACATGGAAGAGTACGAAAAGGCAGCTAAGGACTCAGAAAAGCCGACGAAATTAGAGGTCAAGGAAGACTTCGATATTGACAACTATAAACCCAAAGTCATAAACCGCGTCTGGTACATCAACGAGACAGACCTCAGTTGGATTTCAATCGGCTGCTACATCCTCGGCACAGGTGGCGGCGGTAGTCCATATTCGTCTATGATCCGCCTCCGGCAGATGCTACGCAGGGGTGATGTAGTCCGTGTTGTAAGTCCGGATGACCTATCAGACCACGCAGCTGTAGCTACCGGAGGCCATGCCGGCTCGCCGACAGTCGGGATAGAGAAGCTAAGCGGTGACGAGATGACCGAAGCACAGGAAGAGCTGTACAAAATCTGCAATGATAACCCGACACATATTATTTCGATAGAGATCGGCGGCGGAAATGGTCTGCAGAGTATGATTATCGGCGCAAGTACTAACATGGACCTGCCGGCTGTCGACGGAGATTGGATGGGGAGGGCGTATCCGACGAAGTGGCAGGTTCGTATTCAAGCTATTTTTATTGCTCATTTTTAAATCGTTACTGACATCAAAGTACGAACTAGACCACTCCCGTCGTCTTTAATGAGAGGACTCCTATCTGGTCGCCTGTTGCCATGGCAGACGGGAATGGGAATGTGGTAGTTATGCCAAAATCAACATCAGACCTACAAGTCGAGCGCATTCTTCGCGCAGCATTGAGTCAGATGGGCTCGGGCGTAGGATTTGCCGACCCTCCTGTGACAGGCGCCGAATGTAAACGATGGGCCGTCGAGCATACCATCTCTCAGTCATGGCGGATCGGACGTGCAGTTGCCAAGGCGCGTAAATCTAATCGCGTGGACAACGTCGCAGAAACAATCCTGGAAGAATGCGGCGGCCCAGAGGCGGGCAAGGTGCTATGGAAGGGTAAGATCGTTGGCGTTGAACGTACTCTCCGCATGGGCCACATTTACGGGGAGTGTATCATCGAAGGCGCAGATGTGGTTGACGACGATGCGAGTGTCAAGGGACGAACCACCCCAACGCAGCCTCAATTCCAAGGTCGAATAAAGATCCCGTTCAAGAACGAGAATATTGCCGCTATCAAGCTCGTGCAATCGGTTGTGGAAGGAGAGACTGTTGAGACGGATGGTGAGGTCTTAGGACTCGTTCCGGATCTAATCACGGTGATCGACGCGCAGAACGGCGAGGCGATAGGGACTCCTGAGTATCGATACGGTCTTCTGGTCATCGTCCTCGGTATCACGGCTAGTGAGCGCTGGACTTCGGAGCGGGGCATTGAGATTGGTGGTCCGAAGGGCTTCGGCATGGACCATTTAACGTACAAACCCCTTGGTAAGTTCGTCAAGCCTAGAAGCGTGATAGACGAGTTTGATGTTACCGCGTAGAGAATCCTATCTTGGGAGAATACCTATATGAGTTGGACAACAAGTCACCAAGAATCACTGGCCTCTGATAGTTAGTCTGCTTAGAGGCATATAAGCGTATAAGGTACCTATTTATGGCAGAAATACTTCATTACAGGTCCCTAAAGGGCCCAGAGGTTGACCAATCTTTCGCTCTATTTTTTCTGCCTATAATATACCTTAGGTACCTAGGCAGGTACCTAATCCTACCTCCTAGGTAATCATACTCGTTTCCCCAATACTGCGTAAAGCCACTCGTCGAACCAATTATCAGTCCAGCTCTTGTCCCTTGCATCGTTGGGGATAGGCTCATACCTGCAGAAGTAACGGTTGTCTTGGCTTTGGCGTTCCCATCGTATGCTTAAGGACATGATCGCGGCTCTGAGACACGTTTCGTACCGCATGAATCGCACAACCTCAGAACTCATGGCAATCCTCATTCCCTGCTCCATCGACGGCTCCGCACGCCAGCGAGTGGCCTCGATGTCTCGTCTGCCTAGCCGGCTTAATTCCTCCCCTAATTCCAGCTCTTGCATCATCAAGGCACTCATCATCGGTTTCCACGGCATCGTGACTGTCTGTCTCGGTCCGCGGGTGCGTCCCTGATAGATGAATGGCAGCCCAAACAATACGTCGTTGTGCAATAGCGCAGGGTGATAAAATCCTTTCCAAGCTGGACGGCTGTCCCCTTTCTGCTGCCACAGATACTTGCCGAACAGTGCGAATGGCAGGTACTCAGATCCGAAAAGTTGTTCCATATCCCTCTCTGGGGTACCGTGAATTAACGAGCTGTCTGTCATCTTGTTTTCGAAGGCAGCCTGCGCATCCTCCAAGGAGAACTCGGCAAGCCGTACGACTTCCAAGCGGTGCATATGGACGGCATCGTAAAAGGAGCGACAAGTCGACCGGATCATATTGAGACCGCCGACATAAACTTGGAAACCGAGGTTCATGGCAATGCGGGTTTTGAAGACTTGCTCCGTGACGTCGCGGAATTGCCGAGACACGAGGCGCCAGGTGAACCACGCTTTGCGGAAGTCTTGCGGCGCCAGGCTGTCGATGATCAGAGCTTGGAGCTCGCATGGGAGGGTGTTCCATTCTGCTCTCGCCGCCACGTGCTGCTTTATGAGGCTGTTGTTGTTGACGCCACGGTCGGGGCTGGGATTTGGAGGCATTGTGAGGTGATTGTTCGGCTTGGTTCTTAGCTCTATGTTGACGTTGGTGGTGGGTATAGAGTCGCGATCGAAGATTGGGAGGAGGTGATGGGTTGATGGTTTTGGCATATCGAAATCCTCGGGGTGACGTATTTGTCAATTTAAATATTGCGAAGGTGTTGACTCTTCAGCTCACGCGTGAGTTTATAAAGCAACGACTTTTATTTTGCCTGACTTTTTACTGCGCTAGTTGGCCACGTTTAATCTACACTGTGACTGGAAACATGGTATGGAGTTGGATATGCGTCAAAATTTGCACCGTATGTCCACTAATCGTTCCTTACGAGCTTTTCTTCAAGTGATTCATTCCTTAAATTTGCTAGCAGATAACGATTACCTACCTACCTAGGTTTTTTTATATATAATTTTCTAGTGAATGAGTAGGCTAGTACTGGATAGGTGGAATAGGGAACGTATGTCACGTCTCAGAGCATTTAATAGGAAAACAACTTCGTTGTTCCGCAAGGAACTCTAACTACAGTAGCTTTGAAGCCAAAGCTATATACAAAACATTTCCTTTGTTCCGAGGAGTCTCAAGTGAGGCTTCTGACAACGTACCAGCTAGGTACCTACCTCTCCTTACTACCCCTAAACCACAAGACGCCATGAAATTACTACCATTCCCTGAACACGAATTGAATATTTTTATTATAATATATATAGTTCTAATTATGTCCAAATAGTTATACCGGATCCCATTCTTCAGTCTTATAGCCCCTCACGTCGGACTTCGGTCTTCGCACTTGATTCCACGCAACTCCAACACTCCGCCTTAGCAGAATTTCCACAGCTTGAATTGTACTGGGCTTTTTGTGGCCATGGGCAGATGATCCTGTGTTGAGTCTCCCCGTTGGAGTTATTAAACGAGATAGGCGAGCTGTCGGGTGCGATTCCTTCCTCCACCCACGCCTGGAGCTGCCCGAACAGGGAGTCGGGTTGGCCGAGACCTCCGAAGCAATGCCCGAGGCCGGGGGTTTCGAAAAGGCGAAAGAAATCCTCCACATTTTCCACGGTGTTAGAAACTGCTTCGTAGTATTTCTCGGTGCTCTTCGGTGGTATGATATTGTCGGCCTGCATTTTGAAAAAGAGAATGTTAACACATGCGTGTCCCTAACAAACAGATAGCGCGAGTTCTACTTACCAAGCCATGGTAGGATACGATCTTCCCCCCTGCCTTCTTGAATTCGGAAAGGTCAGGGTCTGATGTGTCGATGGAACTGTACTGGCTTCTGCTTGCTTTAAGGAGGGCTACGAGTTCATCATTTGTGATATTGGAGGAGTTGAAGTTCGGGTCTTTCGCGACAAATAGCGACAGCCAGCGCCAACCAAACGGGGTTGGGTGGTCAACGGTGCAGGTGCCATTGGTACAGTCCGTGGTTGCTAGACAAACTTGGCCTGCAGACCTGGGTAAGTGGCAAGTCAAATCGGCGCTTATCGTCAACCCGGGCCACTGTTACGCATTTATAGTTAGAAATCAATCATCTGTTAGATTAGGGGGTAAAAGTAAAAGGGTTTTTTTTTCTATACATCTCAACTGGAACGAAAGAAAGGGGAAAAGGGGAAATTTAGATTAGTACATACCAGATTCTCTCCAGTTGAGGACGTTATGCCTGTCCAAGTTGCATTGGCTACTTGAGCTGCCGCTGTTGTTATTTTCGCTGTCGTATTACCGCAATCGATGGTAGTATCAACGAGATCGAAGGGATTGAAATGTTCCCTGCACTCGTCTACATTCTGAACGATGCCGTCAACTACACCGTCTAATCCGTCACACTTCGAAACGGCTGCGGCAGTGATCGCATCGAGCTCACATCCGTTGGGGTATTCTTTCATTGTTCTCATCACATGTTCTGGCCAAAAGCTGTTCAGCATGGTGTTGGTCCAGTAGATTCCCGGTGCTCCTGCAGATATGCCGTTGTAAGCGTTCGGATATCTTTGAGCGAGCATGAGCCCCTGCCGTCCTCCTTGGGAGCATCCATTCCAATAGGAATATGAAGGGGGTCGTCCGTAGAAGCTTTCTACAAGAGATTTGGCGATAATTGCCTGGATTCGTATATTAGTTAGATGTACTTCTGCACTTCGGACAATTGGATCATCCAGGTTAGGTTAGGTTAGGTTAGGTAGGCATACTTGATCGTTTAAGCTCCTCGAGGTGAAATCCTCCAATAAATACCAATTGACATTCCCAGGACTAGTCAAGGCCCATAGATCTGGGTCAGAAGCGTATCCCAATCCTGCATCAGTAGTTGAAGCCGCGTATCCCGTAAACATAGCACCGGCCACGCCTAAGTAACTTAACTCGAAACGGCCCGCTACCCAACCTCCGCCTCCCAGAGATTGGAGCCGTCCGTTCCAGTTGTCGATAGGAAGCCATGTTTCCACGTTTATATTGTCGCCGTACCCGGGGTGAGTGTAAGTGACCGTAACATTGCAGAACTTGGCATCTCTAACTTTGGGCGATGGAGCCGTTAGCATAAGGCCGTCTGGAATATCCAGGCTGTAATTTGTTACGAGGGACACCGAAACAGATAGGATCTCTGCACCGAAGACGACAGGAGAAAAGGTGCTTGGCACGCAGCCGTCGGCGAGGGATGCCAACGCCATCTTTCTAAGAGTTGATAGACTAACAATATGAGGTATGAGGTATGTATGAAAGGAGGTAGGTACCTAAGACACCGTGGACAATTCAATACTTACTACAACTACAAATCCTCGGGAGGGAGATGCCCTTTTATGTTAAAGCTTTCACAGCCAGAGAAGGTACCTTTGAATGTGCTTGGACATCTCTACGTCCCGCCGCTTACCGAAAAGCGAGTCATCGGCGTGCTTATTTGGCCGGGTCAAATGACTCCTTAATGCAGAGATGGTGGCTCCCTGTAAAAAGATATTGGTGGATGCTTTTTTTTTATAAAAAAAAAAAGAAAAGAAAAAAGAAAAAAGAAAACGCCTAGAGAGTAGGCAATGACGATGATACTGATAATATCACTAGTAATAGCACCGAAGAAACTATCCGCAAGGAAACATAAATTGACGTGTAAGTGGATCACAATGGCCCGACTTTAGGAATATGCCAAGGGTACCCTTCCATTTCAGACCCCTATGCGGATTCCTTAATGAAAAATCCTTATTGCCCATGGGGATTAGTTGCTTTGGTATGTAGGGTAAGCCGTTTACAGCGCGACCTCTAACCCCAAAAAGGTAACGAGCTTAATTGCAAGGGCCTTCAAAGCCTCCAGTTTAAAAGTCTCCGGTCTATAACCTATCGCGGAGTCTATAACCTATCGGAATTATTAATCATGGTATAAAGGTCCGTGTCTTTCAAACGTGAAGACACCCTTCGGGTATCATAATAGTCCGAGTTTACGTAAGATTGATGATAGTCTTTCCCTTTCTCATGGGCGCATTTTGTTGGGAAGTTGGCCCAAGACATTATTAACCATTAAGAGATCGAAATTGTTCAGCCAGGCCCAAATCGCTGACGGGTATAGCATATCCTAGTGACGCTGCGATTAACGCGGCCTCCTATTCATAACGACTATGGATGAGAGGTAGTATAATAGCCTAGTTGGATAAATTTGGCAGTGTATAATCGCAAAAGTGAGGCCCCAAAGTCCAATTACTTACTAGCAAACGGCATAGAGACCTAGTCATTATAGCTAATAAGCCCATACTCTTGTCTCCCCCCGTGCGTCTCTCACCCCCTTCTTGTTCATCCTCGCGTAATATAACCTCAAACAGAGTGCTATTATCGCCACGAGAAAGTCGCACGCTGCGCATACGAAGTTCCCAGTAGGATATCCCAGTTTCGCCTCATCGGCTTTCCATATCCACTGGGATATGATCTGTCCTATGCCAGCACATGAGTTATTCAAAGCAATAGCGAGCGGGATTGTCAACAAGCTCGGCGTGTTGCACGTCACCCAGTTCGTCATCGAGGGTGCTAAAGGAAAGGCGCCCGCCGCAGCTAAGCAGAGACAGCCGTATCGCTCAACGTAGGCAGTTGGCGGTAGCAGCCCAGCTGTTAGCCATCCTAAGCCACCGATCGTTGACATTACCGTAATATGGAGGCCACGAGCTTCGAATCGATCTGCCGAGTACGAAAGAGCGATGGCTACTACGAACCCAATTACCCACTAGATGGGGAATAAATTGTTAGCATCATGAACTCGTCCCAATCCATTCAAGAAGTGATTGGATCGCGCGTATAGCGAAAATACATACTGGTGGAACTGTCATTAGTTGGGCGTGAATACTCTGATATCCTAGGCCCGACACGATACTCGGAGCAAAAAAGGTAAACGAGCCTTGAGTCACTACGTTAGCCGCATAGGCAAAGTAGTGAGCCAACATTCGAGGGCTGAGAAAGGTATCCAATATCTCTTTCCGTGTAGCGTGCTGTCTACTCCATCCACCTCCTCGATTTTTGACGCGATCTTCTGCGAAGCTCTTTCCTTCTGCGCTAAGAAATTTGGCGCGAGCTGGATAATCGGGGAGAATAAACAGGGTGGGTAATACAGTGAGGATAGTTATAACACCCTCGACTATGAACAGCCAACGGAATCCCTCAACTCCGGCCGCGCCGTTTATCGTACCCATTCCATAGGCAATGGCTCCTCCGAAAGCTCCAGCCAGGTTACAAAAGGCGATAACATAAGCTATTCTGACCGCTCGCTCATTATGACGATACCAGATCGTTATAAGATAGACGATGCCTGGAAAGAAGCCAGCTTCGAACTATATATGTCAGGTCAGCAACTAAGCTCTGTCGGTATCTGGTTTGCCGTATTAGGTATTAGTCGTAGGATCTTGGACTTACCACACCGATAAGCAGACGCAATGCTAATACCGTAGCGTAATTCTTGACAAACGCAAACCCCAAGGTCAAACACCCCCAACTACCTAACAATATCGCCAACCACCTAGAAGGGGTCACATAATGTTTCATTATCCAATTAGAGGGCACCTCAAATAGCGTATATGCCACGGAAAATAGGGTTACCGTAAGAGCATATCCGGTGCTTGTCATTCCGGTCTTGTGAAGGAGATCGTCTCCAGTCTCTTGGTTCAATACTCTCGCATTGCCTATATTGCCCCTATCTAGGAAGTTTAGAAGATATAGCCAACAACATAATGGGAGTATCCGAAAGTCGAGGCGTCGGTTTAGGAGCTTGCTACGACGGTGATCAAACTCTTCAACTTCGGTTTCTTGAAGCGACGGCCTGGCTTCTTTTCCCTGCGTATTATTACCAAGTTAGAGTGTTCAAATTGTCATATGCTTAATTCAACTGACCTCTTCTACGTTACCCTCGAGGTGTTGCGCCTCGATCTTTTCCATTTTCTCTGGCTTAACGTCTTGTGAGTTGCTTTTGGGTATAGTTGGTTGAAGAACATACCTATCAAGTTGTCAAGCCAAGCTCACTTTATAAGGCCATGCGAGCGGCCATTCAGAGTTACTCCACGACGACCTCCGCATTCCATTGTGATAAGGAGTGTAGGAGTGTAGTAGCCGATTCATCTCCGCATTATCACCCCCATACTACCCCACAAAGCGGACACGGTCCGTCTCCCCAACTAACCACAGGTGGTAAGCCGGCAGTCCGTCTTGTTTGAGTAGGTACAGTACCTTAGGTTAGGTACGTATGTGGGTGCGCTACTATCCGACGAGGGGTATTTCCCCGGATTCTGGTTTCATGACAGGCTCTGCCCCTGGGTCGCGAGAACATATGCCGGAATGACGAGTTGATGTCAACCTAAGGGCTGATTTACTCCCGGGGGAATGTACATGTAAAATCGGGTAACCGTATCTTATAACAAGATACCAGGTATATTATTATCTTGTTTATCTTTTCCAATTGTATTGGAAAAGGTGTTGATAGAAGAGGTACTTTAGGTTAGGTACATTAGCTAAATTCTAAAGAAAAAGAAAGGTCGGTTATGTAATCTCTCTAGTACTTCGAACGCAACTGATCAAAAGCCGCTTGAGGATAACAAAAACTGACTAATTGATAAGAACAGTTCCACTTTTCTAAACATCAACAGTTTAAAATATTTTACTATATAGATTCCAATTGGATGAATTCATATTTGTACATGTAGTTGCCCGTAATCTTAATAATTTTCTAGGTACCTAACCTTTTACACCCTTTTTTTCTTTTCTTTTTTTTCACTCTTTCTTCTTTTCGGGACGGGAAGGTCAAACTATGAATGCTAAGCCCTTATGGTTATTATTCAGTGACATTCATTTCGGATCTCGTGATCTCGATAGAGTTATTCGAACCGCTAACTGGATCGCCTCTCTTCCTCAATCTCATCAACGCATTACTCGGGCGGTGATATGCGGCGACTTACTCACAACACGCACTTCACAGCCAACTCATGTTCTTTCAGCATGCTACCGCTTCTTAAACAAATTGGTGGATGCTGTACCGCATGTCGATATCATCCTAGGTAATCATGACTTGGCTTACCGTCTCGATTACACCACTTCGGCCTTGGAGGCGCTCTCTATCAACCGACTAGCTCCTTTTGTGACCATACATACACAAATAGGATGTCACGAATGGGATGGGCGGCAGGTGTTTGTAATGCCGTTTCGGGAAGACCAAAGTCAAATTGTTAAGGCCATACATGACTTAGATCCTAAGAACGCCGCCAAGACGGTGGGGTTCGGACATCTAGCCATAAATCGGGCTATAACACAGAAATACACGATTAACGCTGAGACGGGGAAATCTAGCTTCTCTGTAAGGTATCCAGGTCTCACCGGTGTAGGTGGATTTGCACCGTTGGCTAGAACTTTCACCGGTCACTTCCATTCCCATCAAACAATTCTCCAAACGGACAAGGAAGATGGGAATCTTCAAGGGAGTGTAACATATATCGGAGCGCCATTACAACTTACCTGGGCAGATCTATTCGACAGTGAAAAGGGTGCTATCTTATTCGATCCCGAAACCCTACAGAGTGATCTTGTCCGTAACCCTCACGCAGTCGGATACGTTTCTGCCGAGGTACAAGATATCCTCTCTGGCCACGTAGACGAAGATCATATCCGCGACAAACATGTCATGATTACTGGAAAGCTGTCAAGATATACCTATGTCTCCGCTAAAGAGATTCTGGCCAATCTAGGGGCGCGCAGTGTGAGGGACTGGAAACCCCATGAACCACAGTGGCAACCTCAGGAAAAGGGTCTCGGCAAGACTGTGCTTCCCGCTGATGTCCAGAACCTACCTAAAATAGAGAGGACGAACCAGCAAACAGAAAAAGAAGATATAAAACCATCCGATCAAGGACAACCCTCAGCCAGTTTTTTACCAACTGCCCCGCAGATAGAGCGCAAGCCAATTGACCTAGGCGAAGCTACCGGAGAATATGTGTCTTCTCTAAGCCTCGGACCTACTCTCGAGAGTAAGCGAGATTTGTTAGCCGCTGTGGGAAAGCGACTCGTGAGTATCGGAAGTTCAGCTCGCAACAAGTCTAGCGATACGATTAAGTACCAAGATATCCTCGATTTGTCCACGTCCATAGCCGTTCCTTCGAATGAATCTTCCCGCATTTTTTCCGCACAACCCGTTTCCATTGAAATTACAAATTTCCTCGGCGTCCAGGGCACTCTCCAGCTTCAATTTCAGCGTCATTTTCAACTTGGAATGAACTTTATCGTCGGAAAAAACGGCTCTGGAAAATCTACGATCATCGAGGCAATTGTATGGTCTCAATTTGGCCAGTGTATTCGCGAAGGCCTCGGAGTGAACGATGTTGTTAACGACATTGTCGGGAAGGACTGCAACGTCCGTCTGACATTCGACAACGGGTATTCTATCTCTCGGTTTAGGAAGCATAGCAAGTATAACAACCGCGTAATTGTGGAAAAGGATGGTGTCGTTCAGCCGCAGTTTGAAGGACCCAGCACCAGAAGTTCCCAAGCGTCTATCAATGAATTACTGGGTATGGACTTCGACACATTTATCAGAACAATTCTACTGGGTAATGAGAGCACTCGGAGCTTCTTGAGCGCTTCGCCACTGCAGAGGAGGCAGTTGACCGAGGCAGCCTTGGGCTTAGAGGTACTGGATGGGTGTTCAGACACCTGCAATTTGATGATGAGCCAGGTAGATGAGGAATTAAGAAAAAAGGAGTCACGGCTTAAAGAGGTTACCCATACAATTCAGCATCTCAAAGGTCGGGTTTATCAGATGGTCAAAACCCTCAAACGATTATTCACCGAGGCAGAAGGTCTCATCGACAGGCTGGGACGTGAGGACCAAAAACACTATTCTGATTTAAGAATAAACGAATCCAGAGTGAAAGAGCTGCGGGTTCAACTTGAGCGAGAAAAATTACCAGATGTAGAGCCGGAGCTTTCAAATCTTCGAGGAAATGTTTCAAAGGCACGCGACGAAGTGGGAAGACTCGGAGAATTGGCTAAGCTCGCACAGGCCCGTTTAGCAATTGATCGTAAGGGGGCTGCTATTAAACAGGAAATAAAAACAACTGTTACGCAACTGGAACACTCCGAAGACAAGATTAAACGTCTTCTAGATGAGAACCAAATACTGGAGGTGCCACCTCCACCCGCCAAAGAGAACTACAGAGAGGCGCGTAACCTACAAGAACTCCTACAGAGTATTTCGGTTACTTTCCGAAGAGTGTGGACGTCGGTGCTTAAATTCCTCAATGTGGAAGATAAGTTTAGCATTCGCGCTAGGGCAGTAGAGCGGCGGTGGCTCGACCACGTTGGGACAATCGCCGCCTTCAACAACACCATAACAGAAATGCAGAACCACATCGCTGCTATAGCGGGTAAGGTAACAGATTTCTCCAAGGATACTTCTCAAAAAGATATCATGAGCATGACTGTGCAACAAGCGTCACACGTTCCCACTCAACTCGGCGGCGCTATTGACGAGCTACAGCATGCTACAAACAAATACGATCAATTCCAACGGCAATATGAAGCCCAAAAGAAAAAGAGGCTTCAAAAAGAACAAAATCTAGATAGACAAGAGAAGGAAATCGAGACGGCGAAACAAACATGGAAAGTGACGTTAGATCGGTATCACCTAATGATCGCCGGTAAGCAGAAGGAGATCGAAACGTACAAAGGACACCTCCAATCAGATGCCGAGTCACTTTTTGACCTTGTTCGTCAAGCCGCGGTCTTAAAAGAAGAGGCTGCGGAAATATACTTGCATAGAGAAATATTCGCATTTTGGCAGTCCGCCTTGACGCGACGGCAGGTAACAAAGGCTACGTTCCGGCGATATGTAACTGAGCGACATCTAGGGGAGCTGAACAAACTTCTGGGGCAGATCCTGCTGGTCATGTATCAGGATGCAAACTACGCGCGCAATATGACCTCGGGTACGCTCGGAGCGCTCTTCAAGGAAAACGAAGAGGGTGATGATCACGAGGCGAATCAGGAGAGCACATCTGTCCTCGAACCATCTCTATCAATAAACCCAGCACTAGATTACGCGAAGCGAAGCGGTGGTGAACGGAAACGCGTAGATCTAGCGCTATTCTTCGCGCTATTTATGATGGCAGAAACTAGAAGTTCTCATATGGCGAGGTATATGCTCGTTGACGAAGCATTCGACAGTTTAGACGTAACCGGACAAGCTTCGGTGCTCAAATGGTGTCGCTGGATGACGGAACGACTATCATACGTCTTTGTCATCACGCACAGCCCTAACCTCGTCAAGCTCGCCGAGGATGAAAGCAGCGCTAACGGTGGCGTCGGGGCAAATGTTGTCAGCGTCAAGGCGGGTAGCAAAGGCACCGAGTTGGTGGAAATACCGGAGTCTATAACTACTATCACCACGTTCTCGATTTAGCCAGTCCAGCATAGTTCTAAGCTGCTAGACTATGATACAAAATCTCCATTCTTGAGCCTTGAAGTGTCCAGTAGCAGAGCCTTTTGTGATGGTTAGTCGTATCTTCAAATATACTCGTAATTGTCGGCTTTCTTGTTGACTAGAAAAGTTGGTGAGAGCTGTCAATTGTCCATATTCATTGTCCAGAGGGGGGATTAAACTCTAAGAGGGGAGTTGCAATCCTATCGGTCTTGTCTACCTAGGTAGGTAGGTACCTAGGTATGTTTCCCAAATGGGAATACCTATTGACGGAGCGGAACTTGGCCAACGAATATCACCATTTTATTGCCTGGCATCATGTAGGATGTCTCGGAGCATACGAGAAACTAGTTAGACAGACCAGCGCATGTGTGGGTTAGGTAGACTAACCTAGCATATTCGACTTACATTATCTTGCGCAATTGGTGGTGCGTACTGGCAACCATCGTTGGTAACTCAAAAGACCTACAGCTCAGCCATTTCCACAATTAAGTCGGCGAAAAGGATTTGGGACATGAAAGCAGAAACCCCACCAATCCCTCTCATTTCACCAATCCCCTAACCACGGACCACAGAGGTTCCCCGTACCAGGTTTGGGCGATGCGGATTAACAAGGACGACGTTGGGACGACGGATGCAACCTGGCCACGGGTGGAACCCAACAGGAAGGTCGAGATGCTACGAGAGAAAAGCTTGTCTAGCTCGAACGAGCTTTTTTCGTCAACGCCATTGGTGGGTTCCAGGGCGACGCGAACGGGGGTTCGAAATCGGAACGGCACTCTATCTCCAGATTGCCATATTCGGGCGGCTCGGCCTTGGCGCAGGTTGCAACATCACCTCATGCCTTTGCCTTACGAGGGGCGCTTCAGCTGTGGTTCGAGGCGGGCTAGGGAAATCGGCCTACCATGTCCGAGAGGTGGGATCACATGGGACGGTCAGATCCAGAGCTGCGGAAAGAGACGACATGTAGTCCGAGACTAGACTTTTCTATGTCGCTAAGAAAGGGACGGTGCCAAAGCGGTGGGCTGGTTGCTATGATATGATACCGTCTGTATACTGAAGAAAAGGAAGTTATGTTGGAGGGGTGGCTACGATTATATATAGGGTGCCATCCCCACGATCTGCAAATGGCCTTTCCTCAGCCTCAGATTGCGTGATAGAGATCTGCACGCCTCCTACGGTTAAAATAACAAGTTCACTATGAGATCGACGCTCTCAGCTGCCGTGGCCGCCTTGGCCGCTACCCACGTTGCCGGTCATGCCACCTTCCAGGACCTCTGGATAAACGGCGTTGATATGATAAGTACCCATACTCTCACATCAAATATTCATAGTCACTAACATCATTAGCACGGGGCCTCGTGCGCACGATTGCCGCAATCGAACTCCCCAGTCACAGACGTAACATCGAAGGACATCATTTGCAATGCAGGCACCAAACCCGTCTCCGGAAAATGCAGCGTAGCCGCCGGGTCGACTGTCACAGTTGAGATGCATCAGGTACGTTGGAAACAGTATATTCGTTTCTCTCATACCCTGATACATACAGGCTAATACGTCCGTCCCAACTAGCAACCTGGAGACCGTAGCTGCGCATCGGAGGCCATCGGTGGTGCTCACTACGGGCCAGTCCAAGTATACATGGCCTCGGTAGCAGACGCCTCGGCAGCCGACGGATCTTCTTCGTCGTGGTTCAAAATCTTCGCCGACACGTGGGCCAAGAACCCGTCCGGAGGAAGCTCCGACGATGATTTCTGGGGCACCAAGGATATTAACACGTGTTGCGGCCGTATGGATGTCAAGATTCCCACGGATATAGCTCCCGGCGACTACCTTTTGCGAGCCGAAGCCTTGGCTCTTCACACCGCGAGTCAGAAAGGCGGCGCGCAATTCTATATGACCTGCTTCCAGTTGACCGTCACAGGTAGCGGAAGCGCAAAACCTGCAGGCGTTTCGCTACCTGGCGCCTACAAGGACTCTGATCCTGGCATTCTCGTGGATATCCACGGAAAACTCGGCTCGTATGTTGCGCCAGGCCCGACGGTCTATGCAGGTGGATCCACAAAAGCTGCGGGCTCCCCGTGCTCCGGCTGCGAGAGCACATGTGCAGCTGGAAAAGGCCCGTCCAGCACCGCTGGCGGTAATGCTCCGACTGCCACAGCAACGAGTACCGCCTCTGCACCAACAACCACAGCCGGGTCCGGATCGGGATGCAGCGTATCTTTATATGGCCAATGTGGAGGGAATGGCTTTACCGGGTGTACGAACTGCGCCGTAAGTTTGAAGTTCCTCTCCCTTATCGAACATACCTAACTAACATGGTGTCCAGAGCGGAACGTGCAAAAAGCAGAATGACTACTACTCACAGTGTATCTAGGTAGATAATTTAAATATAAAGAAAACCAGAACATAGGTGTAAACGAGAGGGCCTGTTAAGATGGGTCAAATGGGCATCGACATCAAGTGTTCGCATTGTTGAGTTAGAGGTACCTATACGAAGATTCGGCGTTAATAGTATTTTTATTATAATCTAGTTGGTTGCAATCGCCGGAGCTCGCGTCGTGTGCATCGGCTTAGGAACTAATCCACATTAGTATTCATCACTACCCCTATCCGCACATAAGACTAATGATGATAGTCATTCACTTCTTTTGGGTATCATATTGGAATAGTGAGCATGGAGCGGTAAATAAATGCCGGTAGACCCTTCTGCACGCAAGGCGAGTAGATGCACGCTCTATTTCTAACGTGTTCGAAACGAAAACATCACGTCGGTGGGCCGGAGTAGTTCTTACGACCCCAGGCAAGATACCATGCGACCGAAATCGCCGAAAAGCCTACGAAGACCACTGAAGCGTAGTTCATGAGAGAAGGATCAACTACCGGGACAGTGGTAGGCATGCAGAATAACGGAACTGCCAACAGAGACCAGCCTATGCTTTTGTTAGCCCAGGGGGACGATGGCCGACGTAAGAACCGGCACGGATGGATAGGGAATACTTACATAGAGACACGATGTTGCAAAACCATCCGATCGGTCCGAGGTAGAAGCTGCCGGTGCGCACGGTCTGACGTCCGTTAAGCATACTGATAACGATAGGCGCAGCATAAGAAGCCGTCAGCGCAATAACTCCGACACCCGAAAAAGCATTGAAAGCAGCCGAGGAGCCGAAATAGATGAGACCGAGAACTATTTGGACAACCATGCTAAGCATCATCGCGTTGAAGGGAACATCGTCGAGGTTATGGTTGATCTGTTTCCACCACTTCGAACCGGGAATAGCACCGTCTCGAGCGAAAGCGTAGATGCACCGCGATGTGGCGGTGGTACAACCGATGCCACAAATGATAGCCAAGACAAGAAGGGGAATAAGTAGACCGAATGCGCCTCCCGAGTTTCCTATAGCGCTTTTGATGATCGCCGGAACAGGTTGCGCGAGAGTAACCAGGCCTGGTATGTCGGGGAGAACAAACACCAGCGGAATCATGAACATCAACCCGGCTAAAGTGTTGATGCAGACCGTCAAAACCATGGCTTTGGGCACTTGTGTCGCTGGCGCTTGGACTTCTTCGCACATACTGTGATATCGTAAGAATAACGAACTACTAAGAGATCATTGTGAGATTTCGTAACTTACGAGATGATCATGCCGGTAGAAGAGGTAGCATAGGCAGCATGTAGAAGACCAACAACGAAAGACCAACCAGGTGTCCATCCCGAGTTAGCTTCGAAATGCGTGAAAACCCAACTGGCATCGTGACGTCCTTCTTTAGCGATAGCTAAGACGCAGACCATGATAGCAATTACACCAGCGAAGGTCCAGAAGATAGCAAATGTCTAAGTTTCCAAATAGTTAACATCAAGTAGGTGTTCACAAATGACAAAGAGAATTATAGATTTCGTACATCAAGGATAGGTAACCACTTATTGCCTAGCGACGAAACGGCGTTACATAGGAGCGTAATGCCCAAGAATATAAGGAAGACTTGGTAAGGTTCGCCTGCGAGTACGTCTTGGCCATCCTCGGTTTGGAAAACGTTAACGCATCCAACCAAAAATAGAGTTGTGCCAAAGTTGACAGCAAGCGTAATAGTAACGTTTCCGACCACGTAGAGCCAACCGCAGGTCCAAGCAGCAATGCGACGCCACTGAGGGGGTGCTAGCATGAATGTCTGGTAATAAACGCCACCGGCGGTCGGATACACGCTCGTGATTTCACCCAGAGATGCGGCGACGCAGATAATGATTGCCGATACGGCAACCCAACCCCAGATAATGTTTACTGGTCCACCTCCGACTAGAGGGTAATAGAGAGTCGTAGCCAAACCATACGGGATCGAAGCCAGGACGAAAGACATGAAAGCAACCTGTAAGGTAGACCGGTTCCGCGACAGTTCGGGCGTGTAACCGAGAGACACGAGCAGTTGGTCGGCGGATCCCGAATCGGTTTCGATGCCCGGCAAGTCATGAACCGCTGCGCCGGCCATGGCGACCGGTTTCTTGGTATCGTTATCCGCCATCGTCTAACGGTTCGATCTAGACGCACGGCCGAGTAGGTAAAAAAGAGGAGCGTTCGCTAAACGCCACCGCAGCGAAGATAAAATAAAATAAAAACCAAATAATGTATAGAGTATCTAGGTAAACTTTAATTTAAGGCACAATCCATATGGCACGATGTACATGAGATAATGGTGTTGGTCAAGTAACTTTCCTTAGGAGTCGAACATAAGTTGGTGGCATGAGGAATAAAATAATAATAAAATAAAAAAGAAAAAGAACGAATGGAAATAAGTCGTCCAAAAAGAGGATCGCGGATTACCTAGGTACGGTACGGTACGAGAAAAAAAGAAGAGAAAAAAAAATAATGCGGATTGACATCACACCTGAAAGTTGCCTGCGTGTCCAGCAGCTTGGATTAGACTAGGCTTTCTAGATGATCCCTGTAAATCTTTAGATAACATATCTTTTCCCTGCGACCGCCTTACCTTTTCCCAGTTAGCGTCCTAGGCGTCCCACGCGACCTTGGGGGCGCCCCTTTCCCAAAGATTCCCTAACAGAGGAGATCCCTGTTACTTTTTTATGTGACTTGAGATAAGAAATCATGAGAATCGATTTACATATACAGACTTCTTTTTTTGGCATGTGATTGGAAAGTTTAACAGATTCTATATTGAATTGACCCAGAGTGAAACTCGGTAGGACTCGACTCGACGCTCAAATCGAAATTCGAATAATTGATATGAAGGGCCACTATTTCGATTAGTGTACCTATCCGAAACAACCTTGTTTGCCCGTCCATCCTAGCAGCCTAGGAAATCTCGGTCTAAGTGATCTGCAAAATGGTCGGCCCGTCTCCAGCGGCCCTTCCGGCCAATCATGTAAGTGTATAAAATACGCTCCCGCATTAGAAGCCGCTAGTACCGGGGCCGAAGCCGTTGAGCCCCGCTTTTTCTTCGGGCCTTGGGTCCTTACAGACACGATGAACCGTTGGAGAATGTTAAGTCAAGTGTTAGATCCAAATTAACAGGTTTCGGCATTAGCGCTTCGGATTGACGGCAACTTGATTCGTATTACTGTCGTAGCTGCGTAGCGTTGCGTAGCGTAGCAAAGCTGTACATAATATATGAAATAGCGAGAGGTACCTGAGAAAGACTCCAAATGCGCTAAGAGCAACTTTACCTTTTATGAGATTCGGTCAGGTTGAATTATTTTAGTAAGAACAGCCAAACTAAAAGTTATGTAATGTAAGGGAATATCTATAAAGCAAACTTCATCCAAAGGAAAGATCGTCCATTTAAATAAACATCTGGTTACGTAAATTAAGGTCGACCGAATATTCATTGAAGAACTCGGTTTACATCATACATCATACCTGACTTATCTGCTTATATTAGGTACTTTGCGTGTCATACTGCTTAAAGATCTCACCCATCTCTTTCATCCTCACCACGGCATCATGTAATCGAGGCCAATCCCGTTCCTCCGACAAACGCCCAGTAGGTCTTCCACCATTCCACCAATGCGCATACCTCTCATATAATTCTGCCACGATCCTCGAACGGTACGGAAGCTCCTCCTGCCAGTCCTCCCAGTCCCACTTCACATCCACCACCTCGTCCGAAGCGTGATCGTGGATTTTGATTCCAATCAGCTCCCTATAAGAGTCGGAGTGTACGTATGCGCCATTGGCAGTGACCATAATCTCTCCTGCTTCGCCATTAATCGTCCACACGAACCCGGGAGTTCCCTTGAACTGCTGCCCGCTTCTATAGGTGAAAGATGACGTGGCATCCTCCGCGATATCTGCCTTCCCCTTAGCCAGCCTCCCGTGAACAGCCAGGAAATCCGGTACGTCACTTCCCATCTCTCCAATTCGAGTACCATCTTTTCCCAGAATCTCGACGATAGGTCGTTGTATCTGCATCCGGCTCTGGAACGAGACAAACTCCCTAAGAACTTCGTGGGCATAATCGATGGTGTGTCCGTAAGCAATAGTGATAGGATTCCCTCCAATCTTCCGGTCTGCGAAGTAGGACAGGCCCTCCGGTAGCGAGTCCCTAGGTAGGAGATTACCATAGGCACGGATATCGCTGCTCAGTACCCGGCCTATTTGACCCGACTTGAGGATCTCTTTGAGCTTCAGAACGATAGGCGAAACACGTCCTTGCAGTCCTATAATGCTATTGTCTAGGCGTTGGTTGCCTGTCAAAGCAATAGCCTCCTCATAATCTTGCACGAGGGGCCACTCTATGTACACGGCCTTTCCAGCCCGAAGCGACGGTCCCGTCGTGAGGCTGTGAGTATCAACTCGAGTGCAACAGACCACCAAGTCAACATCCGGATCCGAAGCCAAGTCGTGTGGGTCGCCGTAAGTCTTCACGTTCGAAGGAAGTGAAAAGTGCTCCCTTGCCGCTTCTGCAGATGCAACACTCGAGTTGAGGAGAGCAACAATACTATATTGAGATTTGCCTCGAGGCGATAGAAGATATGGTAAGTGACCTTGGGCAGCCCAAGAGGTCTTTGCAGATGAAGAGAGGCCAATAAGGCCAACGCGAATAGGTGCCATATCGAAGGGAGCAAAATGTAATTGTTGAACGACGAGTCTCTGATGGTGCTACATAAAAATTTATCGACATCACGGATCACCTTTTATATTCACGTCAATGATACTCATGCTTTAGAAATCACAACGCCAAGCAGATGACGACTTACCAATACACATAGTATCTAAATAAAGTCAAATACGGTGCATCTCATAGAAAGTTGAGTGGTAGAACTCAGTACGAGCTGGGATAGACAACATAGAGAAGCCCCGTTTATTCCCATTTTAGGAAAATGGTCCTCGGAATTTCTTACGTATCCTGATAGCATCAGTAGCATCAGCATGTTCCTAATATTCTCACACATCTCGCTCCGAGAAGAACACAGATAATCACAACCTTGGCCCATAAATCTGCATAACTTAATATAAATCCGAATCCCAAAATGACGCTCCCATAAATAAAGAAACCCCACGAACAACTCCGACAACGACGACGATCATGACGTGCTTCAAGAGGACGGTTCTAGCAGTCTCCTCCCCATCCCAACTGGCGGTTCACCTCGTCCATGGCGCTGATACCCGCCCTAAACAGATTCACTGCCCCGTTAACCGCCACGTTCCCGGAATCGAAAGCCGGCTCGGGCTCTTGGGCTCGTGCCAGGTCGTTCTGGTCCAAGAGTCCCTGCCGCTTCCGCAGTACCGCCTTATGTATAGCCCGACCCCACATGTTGAACCACTGATCCTCGCTGACGCTCACGTACTCCTTGGTGCCATTATCGAGGATCCTCGAGAAATGCCAGTCGGAGATGGCAACCTCCCACCTCTTAGTCCGCAGCCACAAGTACGGCCAGGTAAAGATGAACAGGAGGGTGACCATAAACAGCATCCGTATCCACTTCGTCAGACGCCACTTGTTTATCCACGATTCGTTGTAGCACTCGATCAAGGAATCTTTCACCACGAGCTGTACGTTAAGATGGCCACGGTAATTTGTGCTGTATACCAGCTCTCTCAGCTTCGTCTTGACGCCCTCCGCGTCAAAGCCGCATATCCTTCGTTGTAGCGTAAAGACCTTTAAGCCTGCGTGGCTAGCAGAGTACCGATGGCACCACTCCTGCAACGTAGGTTGCGGGGTGCCACCGAGCTCGATGCTCTGGTTCGAGCCGGGGGCGCGCTTCTTGAGTATGGTGCCGCGACGGGCCGTCTCACTGTTCTCCACGGTCCGCAGACAACTCCACGAGCGCTGATACTGCGCATCAGAGTAAAGATACGGCGTCAATTCTACCGAAACGTCGAAGTCGGTAATCGTGTTCTTCTCCATCTTGCCCTTGCTGTCTCTGGTCGTCTCGGTATGCGTTCCAACAAGCCTGATGTAGGGTCGAGGGGGTATCGCGGCGAGGTATTGAATATGTTTCTCAAGATTGACAGGGTCTTCGAGACTCTTAGCCATCCAGTACTGGGCGCCCGTGTCAGGGTCCTCAAACGTCGTGGCGTTTTCGACGAACGGCTTCCGACTCAGGAGCAAGCCGCCAGCGGCGGTAGCAGTCTCAACATCGAGCGGTGGGAGCAATGATTCACTTTCTGAGTAATTCGGCGGCAGGTCATCAATGTCAACTTGGGGAATGTCGAGAACATCGTCGTCGATGTAGGCCGCTCTGGAACTCTCGCCGGGATTGGTATGTAACGAGACGGCATCGTCAGTCTTTTTTTGATCTGGCTTACCCATTTTTTCCACTGGATGGATAAGAAGGGGTCGAGTAAAAAGGTAACTGAATTCCCACTTGGTGAGATGTGGTCGTAAATAGTTGTTTTGTGTTTAAGATGTAACAAAAAAAAAAGTGTGTGTTTGGGCAAAGGAAGAAGTGCCTAGGCATCAACAGGTGATTGAGAGGTAAGGCTGAATCCTGTACCTGACCTAAAAGGTATTGTGCTTGGCTGCCTAAAAAATAGTGGCCAAGCGTTAAAAGAGACCCCTGGCATTTGACCTCAGGCTCCTGCCCTGTTAGGAAATAGCACATGGCGGGGCGGTGTGGAACAGCCTTAACAGCTGAGAGCCTAGGGGAAAAATGGAAATTAGCAGGCTAGGTACCTACAGGTACTCCCACCAAGGGTTCACCTAAAATAGCAACTAACCGGCAGACAAAGGCATTGGAAGCATCCATCAACAATAGAAGTGATAGGTACTTTAACTTCGAATACATTTAGATACAGAAACAAACGTATTGTAACTCGGAATCATCAATGCAGACAAATAACTCACATAATATGCCTAATACAAGGTTATATAGTACCTAGGTACCTAGGTGTATATATATAATCACCAGCATCCCCGTCGAGACCTTCTAATATCTTGCCTTTTTCTTTCCAATACCGCATAATAGAAGGTAGGTAATATTCTATTCTAATAGCAACACTAAAAGCAACACAACCTCTCTCCATCATGTCCGTCACATTCACCACCGTACAAGATCAATCCCAATCCCCATTCTTCTCTCGCTTCCCAGGCGAAATCCGCAACGCCATCTACGAATATTGCCGCATCAACGCATCAGCAACCTATCTTTGCAACGGCCCTCTCCGTTCTCAGCGAATCGCGTCGGCGCTTTCTAACTTGACTAGTCTTCATAAGACCTGTAAGCGTATATACAATGAAGTCTACGAAATGCTCTACGCATCCCACCTACAGCTCACCAGCATTCTAGACTCCAGTTTACGTCAAGGACACGTCCAAATGGTGAGTGACGGTCTGTTTAACCCTTCTCGTCTTCGCTCGCTGGATATCTCGTACACACACGGTGACGGATTCTCTCATAATCTGTGCTTTTGCTTCTGGTGGCTTTCCTACAACGCCCCTAATATCCGCCAAATAAGAGTCAGAATCAACCAAAGTCACTCCGTTACGTGGACACAACGTATATCTCTTCTAGCTCTCTTCAACATGATCATCCCGGGCTTCGTAGCGCTGACGCAGCTTGAACTGATCGAACTGGACGTGCCCTTGACTATCGACGTGGTCCAGCTCTTACACACCACACTGGTTAGCAAATCCGTGACCGAACAAGTGAAACTATGTAAAGTCATAGCCTGCCAACACCCCGGAGAACCTATAACGTACAGGACCGTTCTATTAGAAGCGTCCGATCTGGAAATCCCCGAAGAAGAGAAGATGCTGCATGCCATGGCGAACTCCCATTCGGACGTAGCACAACTAATTCATTGTGGAGTGATGAGGGTGATGGTCAAGGAAAAAGAAGAAGCTGAACAACAAGCGACAGAACAGCCCACATCGGGACATTAGGTTAGGGGTTGGCGATTGCTACACTCATTTTATATACCTATATTAAAGAAAGAGAAAAAAGAAAGAAAAGAAAAGTGTTTAGTCAAATAGAAGAGTAACCCAGCAATTTTAGTATTAAATATACCTTAACCCGTAAGATAAGTTACGTTGTTATTTGAGATGTAGGTTAGATAGTTGTGTGGCGGGATGAAGTTGAAGATTTCCAAAAATAAAAAAATAAAAAACCTCCAAGGTACATTACTTGAAAGTTTCGTTGTCGACACACGAACGACAAAAATATTAAAAGAGAAGCCCAACGGGGGACTCGAACCCCCAGCCTCTGAATTCACAACACATTCATTTGAGTGACAGTAGAAGTTCAGCGCTCTGCCATTGAGCTAGCCGGGCGACGGACTGTGAAAATTTCTTTGTTATTTGTAATTATATCCTCCTAGTCCAACGATCTTTCTTTAGCGATTTGTGGGCATTCCAGAGCCGAAGAATTTTTCCATCCCTTATTTATTAGACGCCTCCAACTGATTTTGCTACGCAGCCGCAGCCGAAAAGGACAAACTCGTCATGAATCGTTCCCCACACGGTCTTAGCCCTAAGACGAAAAGACATTGGCGGCGTGGACCGTGCACTAGGATTAAGTGGGATAAGATTCAAAAAGAATTTCAGCAACGAAGTAAGGGGCAGAGGGGTTGAGTGAGGATCATGGAAGTCGGGAGAAGGGAAAAGAAAAGATGAAGAGGGGGGAAAAAACGAATTAGTGAATCAACTTAAAAAGTTGAGAAAAAATGCAAAAAAGAAGTGACAAGAGTGGGACTTGAACCCACGCGGATTGCTCCATGAGGATGTAGGAATTAAGGTGACCTTAACCTCACGCCATAACCAACTCGGCCATCTTGCCGTGATGAAGTGGCTTCTTGTTAGGGTATTAGTACTTTGTACGTAGTAGCTTGTAAGTGCGGAGGGAAGTACCTATGAAAGTTTGTGCGTCTAAATTTCCGATTGGACAAGAGCCTCGAGCGGAATTTGTGCTCAGATTCATGTACTATGTACGTAACCTCAGACAAGAAAAAAGAAATACGCTTTAACTACCTAGTACCTGTCATTGTTCCCCTAAAAAATTGAGTCCATTGGTAAATGCCAAAGCTATCATATCTGACGTGTTTCTTTACACTTGACTGAGGAGTATACGCTTTGAAGAAAAAGAAATAATTCAGCAATACCAGGGAGAGGATAGGATCATAAGGATAGATACAAATAACAAAAAAAGATTGCCCATCACAGGAGTCGAACCTGTTGCCTCCTCATGGCCACGCATTACCGCCGCGAAGCTAGAACTCGTAAAGAGTTTAGTTACTTAGAAGTAGTACTAGTGAGGCGCTCTACCGGTGAGCTAGACGGGCCATGTCGTGGAATTGGTCCACTTGAAACCTAGATGCTGTGGATAAAGTTCTCGTTTGCTATGAACCATTATCAACCTTCTTGCCGTTTTAAAATGCTACGAGAATACATCCTGCTGTGATATATACTAGCCGGGGAACTTCATACACAATGATACCTATTTCATAGTGCCCACGATCATATATCATGTTGGAATCCGTCTGTGTTGAATCTAAATCGGGTCTCTTGGATCAGCCTTATGCCTTTGTATGGACCAATAGAGCAATTCATACCATATTTCCAAGGCTGCATATTCGAACAGTCACAGTATCGTTGATCTGAACCGTATCCGTCCTGGCTAGGTACTATAGCTTCAAGTCACCTCCCCTTAATACCCCGTGTATTGTAGGTAGACATGTATTAGCGTCGCTTAAGGATAGGTAATTAAATAGCTTTTGTTGCCAATGTGACTCGTTTTCAACACCGACATTTCTCCTCTGCAATGTATGTATGACATATACGCGAACAGACACGAAGGCACCTGGACTTTTGATTCCCAGATTAGGCTCATATAGCCAATTACAAACAATATGATAAACCAACAGGGACAATGTCCAGATCCCGGTGTACTACCTAGGAGGGTATGTGTTTGGCCCTTCTCCATGGACAAGCATCGGATCAAAGCGCATTTTAACGGCAGTTGCATAACCTCCAAGTTATTATGTCACCGTACAGCCCTCTACACGGTTGTTATAATCTTGAGTATCAGTTGTATGACATCCTACCAAGACCTAACACGGATGTACGCCCTATTGTTTAGGAAGGAGACAAGACTTGATTCGTCCTCGGATATGATATCCAGCAGTCATTAGATACTATAAACGGAAGGCATCTAGGTAGCTATTGCATACTCATGTGCATCTGCCTAGGTTCGAGACGCAGACGGATCTATAACCATTGATATGGCCATGGCTAGAAACTCAACTGGGCGTGGGGGCTAATTTACCTATATTACTATACCGATTGGCTAATGCATTATACGATATGCAGGCCACCGTCTCATTCACGTCGTAGGGTGAACCATATCTATTGCCTATTATACTACGCCTCATCTTGCGTCTCTCTCGGTGACAATTTACTTTTCCATGGTTACGAACACACTTGCATAGTAGCAAGGACTTTGTGAGAATGAGGCTATCAACACCGCGCCAGGAGGTACAACTCTCAGGGCGTAATTGGCGAGTATTCGTATAATCGTAGCCTCATATCTTATGGAGTAGATGATGTAAAGGCTACTATCCTCCTATATGCCGTAAAGTGTTCGCGTAAATTCATCATAATGACGATCTGTAGCTATAGGCAACGAGACAATCTCACATATACCCGGACTATCTTTTCTTTTCATAGGCTCACCGTATAGTTCCGGCTTGAGTGTTTGAAGCATGTGTAACAATAGCCGGGGTCCCATATTGGCTTTCGACCTCGAGTGGTGGAGGGCACGTCGTTCGAATTGGCCAAAGGAAATCACGGGTTATTTGTTGCAGGGTGAGATACGATCTTCTCCAATTCCCCCCTCGTCGAGTGCAGCAATCGAATGCAACGAGAGGATAGTTCTGCACCCCGAGTAATACAGGCAGGATCTTCCAGTGATATGTTTTAATCGGCAGTTCGACGTCGTGGCAGCTAAGGTGTGTAGCTGTTCGTTGCCGGTTGAATTTGGTCTCGATCAACGTCGAAGTAATCTCTCGGCTTACCCGGCATGAAATCATGACAATGGAGATAGATACTCGAGGTTAAATCCCAGGTTAGCCTACTATGCCTGTCACTGTTGGAGAATTGTTATGACTCAAGAGCTACTAGGAAGTACTAGCCAAGCTGAAGTCAAGAACCGGCCAACCCTAACAAACGCGTATCACGTTGGTCAGCTACAAGCATCAAGCATCGAACGCTAAGGTACGGCAGGGTAGCTATTGGTGCGAACTACTCATGCAAGCTGCTTCCTTTGGATAGACCCAACGAAGTAAACCAAACTATAATAGTCAAGAAAATGCGGGGGAAGCATGGGGCACAATACAGATTGAATACAGATTGTCGGGTATTTGACCTCACGGTAACCTTCACCCCGCATTATACGTTCGTCTTGCATACGAGCTGCATCTGAATTCTGAACTGCATCTCCTAGTGGCCGGTGAATATGCAGATATAAATGTAAAAATTCCTAGTAGAGCGAAGAGGCAGGGGTAGGACGACCACAAGGCTGTGAAGATAAACTTTCCGAGCCCCACCGAGATGCCGCTTGCCGCTGATAGGCGACATCATATATTGAATTCTCCTATACGTCAATTTGGACTCTTCCTATCTATTACTGTATACGAGTTGGAGAGCTGACGTAGATAGTGTAGACTAGGAGATCCGATGTGAGGTATCTCGGAAGCTTGGAGAGTAGGTAATTTGGGCCAGGCCGTTTCGTTCTTGGAAGAATGTGACCCTTTCCACGCTGCCGGAGAGTGCTCGATTGGGATTGTATCTCCCTTCTATCCGACCAGTTTATCTCTATGATTGGGACCCATGCAGAGATGTTACATCACGAAATATCAGATGACCTACCTCTAAGAGGTATGAGTTGGCAGAGATGTCGAGCAGTTTCCGGGGAAAGGGGGCACTGCCGGAGGATATAGCTTAATGACAAGCTTAGGCACGTAGCCATGAAGGGACTATTGGCAACTCCCAAGGAATTATTCAAGTGCAGGGGTTCCCCCCTCTCCTTACGAATATTTGGATCCTGCTCGCCCGGCTCTCGAGAAAGCATAAGAACGCAACCGTCACCCTCCAGCACAGTCGCACAACATGTTCTCCAAAATTTTCGGCTGGGATCAGAAACAGCAAGAAGATATGAGCCCCCTACCTGAGGAATTCGATATTATCGTGTGCGGCGGTGGGAGTTGTGGATGTGTAGTTGCCGGTCGGTACGTGACTTTACCTATTCTCAAGTCCTATCGGTGAAAGAGTGTCGTCTAAGTGCTCATTCTGTATAGTCTGGCGAATCTAGACCATAACCTCAAGGTTCTTCTAATCGAGGCTGGCGAGAATAACCTCAACAACCCATGGATTTTCAGGCCTGGGGTTTACCCCCGTAACATGAAGTTGGACTCGAAGACAGCATCCTTTTACGAGTCCCGTCCATCTAAATGGCTCTCCGGCAGGAAAGCTGTGGTTCCGTGTGCGCACATATTGGGAGGTGGCTCTAGTATCAACTTCTTAGTACGTGAAGGACTTTTAGTGAAAGCCACTTACCACTAACGCTTTGTAGATGTACACTCGCGCTTCAGCTAGCGACTACGACGACTTCCAGGCTAAGGGGTGGACGACTAAAGAGCTACTTCCGCTCATGAAGAAGCATGAGACCTATCAACGAGCTTGTCATAACAAGTAAGCAAACAATATGGATTCCAGGAGACGGGGGGGTTACTAATAGCAAAAGGGACCTTCATGGATTCGAAGGGCCGATCAAGGTTTCATTCGGAAACTAGTAAGTCCACATTTGAACCTCGAGCTGGAAAGCTTGAGAACTGATGGGGCTATCAGCACGTACCCTGTAAAGGAGGACTTCCTCAGGGCAGCGGAATCCCAAGGTATCCCGGTCGTCGATGACTTACAAGATTTGAGTACCGGCCACGGTGCTGAACACTGGCTGAAGTGGATTAATCGCGACGTACGACCTTTGGCCCTATTCAACATTAGTACATGACTGACGATTTGTGGTTGTAGACTGGCCGACGGAGCGACAGCGCCCACGCATACGTCCACTCGACCCGTGCCGTTTATGACAACCTTTACCTGGCCTGCAATACCAAGGTCGATAAGATTATCATCGAGAACGGGAGGGCTGTAGCTGTCCAGACAGTGTAAGGCAGGTCGAATATCGGACTCGAGGCAGAGTGCTAATTCGTATCAAGACCAACGAAGCCGCTTCACCCAAGTCAATTAAAGACTCGCATCTTTAAAGCTCGGAAGCAAATCGTCGTCTCCGGAGGCACACTTTCTTCTCCGCTAATTCTTCAACGATCGGGAATTGGTATGCTGCTATAGTGGAACCCGTGAAGTTCATATCACTGACATCTATCTCATAGGCGATCCCGAGAAGTTAAAGAAAGCCGGTGTGGAACCTATCGTCGATCTTCCCGGCGTGGGCCTCAACTTCCAAGACCATTATCTCACCTTTTCCGTATACCGCGCGAAACCCGAGACTGAGAGCTTTGACGATTTCGTTCGGGGTGTGCCCGAAGTGCAGAAGGGTAAGGCACCTACAGTATAAGTATCATGCTAAGCGTTTATGTTAATAATCAGCTCCAGCCGTATATGATGAATGGGCAGCGAAGGGAACCGGACCACTTTCTACCAACGGTATCGAAGCCGGCGTAAAGATTCGCCCAACCGAAGAGGAACTTAAGGAGTTCGAGTCGTGGCCGACACCACAATTCAACGAGGGATGGAAATCATACTTCAAGAACAAGCCGGACAAGCCTGTGATGCACTATTCCGTTATCGCGGGTTGGTTCGGAGACCATATGCTGCTTCCCGCCGGTAAATTCTTTAGCATGTTCCACTTCCTCGAGTACCCGTTCTCTCGAGGGTTCACGCATATCAAATCCGCCGATCCCTACGAGACGCCAGACTTCGACCCGGGGTTCATGAACGACGAACGCGACATGGCGCCGATGGTATGGGGCTACATCAAGAGCAGAGAGACGGCGCGACGCATGGAAGCGTATGCGGGGGAAGTCCAGGCGATGCACCCGTTCTTCGACTACGACTCCCCAGCAAAGGCAAACGACATGGATCTCGAGACGACTCGGCGCTACGCTCTGCCCGGGAACCTAAGCGCCGGTTTGCAGCATGGCAGCTGGAGTACATATAACCCCGAGCCATCGAGGAGGCCGGAAGCCAACATCCTCAACAGCAATAAGGCGGATATCCGAGACGAGCTCAAGTACAGTAAGAAAGACATCGAGGCGATTGAGGAATGGGTTAGAAGACACGTAGAAAGCACATGGCATTGCTTAGGTGTAAGTACTGCCTATCATTTTATTCCCACGGGATCATCGTTAACTCACATTCTATGTCAGACTTGCTCCATGGCCCCAAAGGAAGGCAACAGCATCGTCAAGCACGGGGTCCTAGACGAACGCCTAAACGTCCACGGCGTCCAGGGACTGAAGGTGGCGGATCTCAGCATCTGCCCCGACAACGTCGGCTGTAACACGTAAGTCAAGTCACCTAGACATAATACTGTATATATCTTGCGTCGCGTTCTGACATGGCGCAGATACTCTACCGCTCTTCTCATAGGCGAGAAAGCGGCAACGCTGATCGCTGAAGACCTCGGGTATTCCGGCGACGCCCTCGATATGAAGATCCCGACGTACAATGCGCCAGGAGAATTGGTACTTCCGTACCGCGTATGAAATGTACTTTTTTGACTGTTTCAATTTTTTTCTCCCCTTTGTGTTGGAGTAGGCATATGTAACGGTTGGTATGATTGCCTACCTCTGGCTAGGTCTATGGATAGCTGCACCCAGATTGACACACCCCTTGGTCAATCACCCCTTGGTTAATCACTGAGACTTGCCGTTCTGTTTCTATCCTATCATGTTGGTACCTTAGGTAGTGAATGGATATAACATACGTCGAAGATCTCCTATATCATATCATAGGACTCTTACACTGATCGGTACTTGAGAGTTCTTTTTTTCTTCTTTTTTTTTATGGTGACATCTTCGAAGTCACAAGTACGCGTTGGCACGCATCGAGCCAGATTAGTATTTACAGTCTTGAATACTGTATAGCACACGGTACCTATTTATCTTCGCCAAGGACATCTTCGCCAAGGACGGGACAGGAGCAGAAGGATCCGGCATAACCACTAAACGCATGCGACGGCAGCCTCATCACAACGCCTTACATGAATCTTGTAGTATGGTTTTTGACCGGCCAAAACGACGTCTGCATGAGACAGACTATCGAGTCGTCCGTGCAGCTTCACCCTATAAGAGCTAAGGTAACTGCATATGGCGCGCTTGGGATTACATGGGGTCGAATTCGCCGGTTGTTTTTCAATTTTTTCTTTTTCCTCTTTTGAAGATAAGCCTACCTAGGTAGTATAACAGAATTTGCCGTCCTATTCATTATTTATACCAGGCTGAGGTCCGATGAGAATGAGAACTCGAGAAAAACCCTCATCAAAATCTTTCTTCTTTCATATCTCAATTCAGGAATTACTTATCGAGTCTTTACATTTAATAATGGCGTTTAAAAAAGACAGTAAGAGCAAACGGGATGACGCCATTTCCGTCGCTCTCGATTCTGCCACCGAAGCGACACCGCTTCTAGTATCGCCAGTTGCGGTAGCCTCCGGAAGTGGTACTCCGAGTGCAGGGAATGGCGAGTCTAGTGAGGAGTCGCTACCCAAATTGCAGATATTCCTACTGTGCTATGCGCGTCTCGTTGAGCCTATCGCGTTCTTCTCCATTTTCCCATATATCAACAATATGGTACAGAAGAATGGCAACTGTATGTACTCCTATCTTATTCCCATCCCCATCCTCACATTTCTATGGCATGAGATATAAGATAATGAGTAATGGTATAAATGCTAATCTAAACAATCCAGTGAAGGAAGAAGACGTAGGTTTCTACGCTGGCATGATCGAGTCCTTCTTTTCGCTCACTCAGATGGTCGTGATGATGTTTTGGGGACGAGCAGCCGATCGCTGCGGTCGTAGGCCCGTGCTCGTATCGTCTCTACTCGGCGTCGCCATCTCAGTCTCATTGTTTGGACTTGCGCAATCCATCTGGCAGATGATTGCGTTGCGCTGCATAGCCGGCGCCTTCGCGGGTACTGTCGTTACTATCCGCACCATGATTGCCGAGCACAGCACGCCGCGTAACCAGGCTCACGCTTTCAGCTGGTTTGCCTTCGCAGGCAATGTCGGCATGTTTCTCGGCCCCCTGGTCGGCGGTGCGCTTGAGGACCCGGCACACCAGTACCCCTGGGCCTTCGGTGGTGTGCCGTTCTTCGAGAAGTATCCCTACGCACTACCATCGATTGTCGCGGGATGTATCGGCTTATCAGCCATGGCAATTTGCGCTCTATTCATCAAAGAGACGTTAAAATCAAGAAATACTCAAGGCGCAAATTCTAGTGGTGGTGAAGCAGGCACAACGACTAAACCCGCGCCCCCTTCTACCCTAGAGCTTATCAAATCCCGCGGTGTCGGCATGGTATTGTATATCTATGGGCATTCGATGATTCTCGGTTACGCATACACTACCGTCATCCCTGTGTTTTGGTATACATCTGTGAAACTTGGAGGCCTCGGCTTCGTTCCTTCAGAGATCTCCTTTTGTATGGGCCTAACCGGCTTATCTCAGGCCGTATGGCTGCTCTTCGCATTCCCGGCCCTACAACGTCGATATGGAACCAATGGTGTCATACGCGGCTGCGGAATCGCGTACCCCTTCTTTATCGGTGCTATGCCTTTCCTCAACCTGATCCTGTATCAAGGAACACCCGTCTCTCATACTGCGTTCCTGATCCTGCTTTTCACCCTGCTAACAATCGGCCTGGGAGTCAGCATGGCCTTCACCGCAGCCCTGCTAGCATTAACCGACGTATCACCATCTCCCGAGACTCTAGGCACGCTCAACGCCATAGCTCTAACTATTGCAAGCGGTCTTCGCTCCTTTTCTCCCATGCTGTTTAACAGTCTGTTTGCTTTAAGCGCAAAGTATCAGCTCCTCTGGGGCTATTTCATATGGTTCATCGTGGTTATTCTGGCCTCTGCTTTCACTGTTGCGACAAGATATTTACCGGCGGCTAGTGAGAAGACCCACGATCCTCCGGCTGGGCAGGCCGAAGATAATAATTAAGGCAGAGGGCTAAAGTATTAGAGATTGATCGCTTTGGAATCGGAGTTAGGATATAGGATATAGGTAGATGAAAAAGCAACACAAATTCCCGAGCGTAGGTAGCGATGATTCGGATTTGAATGTGAAGAGGGGGTAACCTTGGGTAGGTAGGTACCTGGTAGACAAGTACAAAAAGCGATAGGAATTGAAATAAAACAGGTTGCGTCTACACTGCGCTGAATGGATTTCCAGTGATAAGACCCGTCGCCAGAACCAGCATATCGTAGAGTACTCTGTCGTTAACGTATTCATATTCGGCAGACACGTTCACAGTCTTCAACGTCTAATCATAACCATAAATCCTGATGGTATAAAACAGATCCTCAACGCCATCCTATGCAATTCCGCTTTCGATGCATCCCTCTAAGTAGTCATTTAATCCCTATTCCGATTGCTGAGCCATCTCTTTACAATGAACTCCCTAACTCTGTACCGTTTGAAAATCTCTGCCGCTCCGAGCCCTTCTTCAAAAGGAGGCGGTACATCTACATATGCTAGGACCAAAGTCTTTAGGGCTGTGGCTTGAACACGATTCATAGTGTGAAGCCAGTGCCATGACTTCCGAGGAGGTTGACGACCCTGAGCCTTCCACCAAGGATCCGTGTACGCTGGTAGGACAATAACAGCAAACTCGGCATGGGAGAACACCGGGCCACGGTTATACAACATCCAATCAACTCCAAATTTGATACCAGGCCGTGTCACCCAGCCTAGAGATCGAAAATGGTGGTACACAGCATAATGGATAAGGAAAGGGTCATCGGGTTGAAGATCAATCTTCTTGGGAGGCATGTATGATACCTGACGGCAAAGTGCAAACAGGTCCGCCACAGTCATAGGTTTACCGGTGGCTGGATCGAAAACGCTCAGAACTCCTAGAACGAAGACGAGATAGAAAGCCTCTTCCGGACACAGCTGAAGGTGCTCCTTATCCACAAGCTCAGGCTCAGGCTCAGGCTCTACCTGAGAATTAGGTTTGGCAATGGTCTCATTTTCAAAGACAGGCTGCGATAGACCCAAGTCGGTCGGCCGGACTAATGGAGAAATTCCGTTCGACACACTGCCGTTAATCGCGGTCCCATTTGTCAAGGCGCCGTGATGGGGACTTGGTGGATCGGATAGCTGAAAAGTTGTAGACTCCACCTTGGGCGAAAATCGCACCGACTTTCGCCTTTTAGGTGGGTTAGTCGGAGTCTGCGGACGGGAAGAATGTCCGTTTATGCCTGACGCAACCGCAATTGTCTCCTTTTCGGTCGTTGTTATCTCGGTAGAGGTTTTGGATACGGCGGTATCTACTGAGATTGGAATGCCATTGGAGACCGCATTGGTAGCCTCACTGACATTCCGAGTACTATTCAAGATCGGAGTCCGAACCAAGGTTCCGTTGGCAGAACCGTTAGGGTATATGGGCTTCAAATCATGCCAAGAATTTGGAAGAGCCAATAATTCGGCGGGACCTACTGGAGCTTTCCAAGCTTCCAGCTGTCTAGTCCGCTCGATTGCTTCCTGCTCTTTTCTGGCACGATCCCACTTCATCATCTTACGCTCCTCTCGCCTCTGGGCCGTTACAGCTTCAGCAACATGACCATCATGCTCGCCTCTTCGAGCTTGTTCTCGCTTGAGCCAATTTGGTTCGCTCCTGCTGTAGTTGCCTTTACCAAAGAACCCTTGCTCCCATAATGCCCGTATCGACTTGGGATCCTTAATATGAACCGATCGAGTCTCGGGGGACCATGTGCCTTGATGAATTACAGCAGGCTCGGCCGGAGGTGGCGACACGAGTTGGCTCACCCATGCGTAAACCACATGAAAAAGGGATAAGGGATTACTCGGATAGAAGGCTGGTAGGGGAAAAGTGCGAATAGGCGCAGGGAGCGCATAAATCTGATGAAGCGGAGGTCCCTTCGGAGTAGTGGGACGGGGCTTGGGCTTTACTTGGGTAGGTTGGTCTGAATTCACAGAAGCTGGAGGAAGATCATGTTGGTTCGGGGTGACGGACACGGTACTGGGTGTGTCTGCCATGATTATTGCTCATCATTTCGACCTACTTTGATAGCTGTCAGCGGACTTGCCGTCTTCACGTCGCAGCTAATGGATTCGTTTTTGGAGAAGGCAGTATATCAAAACACTTCAAGACAGAATAAGATATTTATTTCTATTCTTCTTAAATAAATAGTATAATAATTAAATCGCTCAGATACCGTTGTAGTCTATTTTGGGACACTCATCGAGACTTTTTGAAGGTCTCTAAGCACCGAATAAAAAAAGGTGTCATCACCGCGACCGAATCCAAAGAAAAAAGAAGAAGAAAAGAAAAGAAGAAGAAAAGAAAGGAAAGGAAATTCTTCTACAGAACCAAAGCTGATATAATGATACCAACTGCGCCGTTAGAAGTTTTGAGAAGCTACTTACATGACTGGTTAATATCTAACTTTGAAAGAGTAGGCCGTTCATCGCTCGTCAAGCTATCCTGACTGAACTCGGGGTCTTTATGGTTGAAGTAAACGAGTCAACCCTTTTTGAAAGATTTACAATTTACCAAGTTGTGAATGTGAAGGTGAAAGGTGAAAGGTGAAAGGTTTTTGTTAGCGAAGAGGCCGCAAATAAAAAATATCAGAGATGAGTTTTTTTAGGTCTTGACGGGTCCAATTAGATTGTCGGGCCGGTATTGTCCGTTGAGCGTTTAGCACGTGTACCTTAGGTTATCTCAGTAAACTCAGACCACAATTCAGACAACGGGCTTCGCCCGTGGGCGCCTCCCAAACGTATGGTCCCTGTGTTTGTATCTGTGGGGCTTTTTGAATTTTTATCCACAATCCAGTGTTTGATTTTTCCCTATTTTGAGCTATCTGATTGGTTGAAATTTGGTGTGGCTAGAGGGGTACAAAGAGAAGAACACTGGATCTGTGGTCTGAGCTCGCTGAGATAAACCTTAGGTTCAGGTACACCGAGATTACCTAAGATTATGTGCCCTGGTTCCTGATTACCAATTACCGTACCTAGGACCACGCTTTCCCGGCCGGCCTGTTATCGGCTTTGATCACCTGCAACATTGGATTGACCTTTTTTTTTTTTTTTTTTTCCTCTCTCCTTTCATTTATTAGCGGGTCTTCCACATATATGGCCTGAACGCAGGTGGACCTGAATTACCATGTATTAAGAATCCTACATCCGGTCGTCATTAGCTCTGACATGGAAATCCCTATTATCTTAGAGCATCCACCGTCAAAAATTGGTCTGTTAGTTAGCTTCTCTCTGCTGTGTCACTGGAATCATCATCTAATTACTTCCTTGCAGCTCTCCCTTCTCTTCACCTTGATATGGTCCAATGCCATCGTACATCGTTCAGGCGTTAGGTAGCGCCGGCCTCGTATGGGGTCTCGTTGTCGTGATTGTTCAAAGCATAGGTATCTATAAAATGTAAGGACTCTTCCCCTCTTCACCTCTTCACGTTTTAAACCTATCCGAGATGTATTCCTAACACCAACTCTCGAATAGCTTCCGCAACTACTCGTCGATCCCGCCCGCTCCGGTGTCCCCTTACCTACCGAAAGACGAGGTGCCGCACGTAACTATCATCCGCCCTGCCAAAGGTCTAGAACCCGGCCTTTACGAATGCCTCGCCTCCGTCTTCCACCAGTCCTACCCGAAAGACAAGTTGACCATCTACTTCTGCGTCTCCTCCAAGGAAGACGCCGCGTATCCCGTCATCCTAAAGCTCCTCGATGACCACCCGGACTTCGATGCCAAGGTCTTTATCGAGGCCGAAGACCCTTACCTCCACGGCCACGGCGGCCACGTCGATAATGTCGGTCCAAACCCCAAGATTCGCAATCTGAGCAGGGCGTATAGAGAGGCCAAGGGAGATATAATATGGCCACTCGACTGCAACGTGTGGGTAGCAAGGGATGTGACTGGTCGTATGGTCGATAAGCTCTGCGGATATCAACCGAACGGCAAACGAGCGAAGCCCTACAAATTCGTGCATCAGCTACCCTTGGTGGTAGATACCGTCACCTCCATGAGCTCTTCAAACGACGAGGGACAGATGCTACTTTCCGGATCTTCCGTCACCGGTGGTTCCGACGCCCAGTCTAGCGTCGACGTGCCATCCTCCGTCTTGTCTAGGTCTTGGGCTCACGGAGGCGGGAGACTGGAGGAGATGTTCATGGCTACGACCCACGCCAAGTTCTACGGCGCTATTAACACCGTTGGCATCGCGCCCTGCGTTGTCGGGAAGAGTAATATGTTCCGCAAGTCGCATCTCGATCAGGTCACAGATCCCGCTCGAAACCCGATCCTGACGGGCAGAGCCGCAACTCTGCCCAAGGGTCTAGACCACTTCTCGCTCTTCATGTGTGAGGATCATGTTATCGGAGATCTTCTATGGCGATCCGACCTACCCGGCTTCGCAAACCATGGCCTCGTTTGGGGTGATCTGGCCATTCAGCCTATGGCGGGAATGTCCATACCCGCTTACGTCGCACGTAGGGTGAGATGGCTGCGCGCTAGAAAATGGACGGTATTATCAGCTACTCTAGTCGAGCACGGCGTCGAGAGCCTCGTTTGCTGCTTCTACGTGTCCTTTGGTCTCACTAGCGTCCCCTGGATTCACGAGTATCTTGGCATACCACAAACTTGGACGGCTTTATCGTATCTCTGGCTCGCTGGCGTTGCGCTCTGGATGGTTGTAGACCGCATCGTATTCAAGAAGCTGCATGCAGGACACAGCATAAACGTGGACGAACAGACGCCATTATTTGCCCGGGGCACGGGTCGCGGCGGGGCCGAAAAACGTCTATTCGGCGAGTGGTTCCTGGCCTGGCTGGGACGGGAGGTCCTGGCTCTCCCTATTTGGACGTGGGCCGTCTTCCTCGGTGCCACGGTGAATTGGAGGGGGGAGAGATTTCGGGTCCGATCAGATATGACGGTGGTTTCGATAGACCCGGAGCCTGAGGAGCGGGCTTCGGCGGAAAATGGGCATAGCGCCAATGCCAATGGCGTACCAAGAGCGAGAGGGAAGAAAGATTAGACCTAAGATACCCCAGCATTTAGATTGGACGAACCTAATATATAATTCATCACGTCAACCATGTCGTTGGGTCGACTCAGCACCCAAAACTATTTATATCATATCTCTCCTACGTAGTATCAGATTTTCCGAAGTAGCCGATCTAGCCCGAGGACAGCCTTAACCAAGGTATATACCCTGTTTTCATACCTAACAGAATGCTCTGCTCTCCTAGGGGTCCCAAGTAATATATTCATGTCCCGAAGAGGTAGACCATTGGTTAAACCTAATTTAGATTTGCAACTTCACATGCAACACAACTATCCTTCGGTAGGTACTTTAGAGGTAGATACCCAATTCTGATCTCATCATAGAGCTAGCCTTACCACGGAGAATATCCATCCATCCATCCACTTACATTTCAAGAATGCCTCATTCTCCAGTCAAACACTCAGACGCAGAAGCCTCACTTCAAGAAAGAACGATAAATTTGTCAAAATTGGGTTTCTTTCTTTTTATTGAGCTCTCAAGATAAAATAAAAATTCCTATCTGTTTGGTATATCCACCTCATCCGCAGTAGCGGTTCATCTATATATGGTATGTAAGTAAATAATAGTAAGTAAATAAAACAAGGCGGCAGAGTATCAGTTAGCAGTAGATAGTGATCAAGTAAAAGTAAAGATCTGGGTATAGTTTCCCGTTCGCAATATCATCATCGTCGTCATCATCCTATCCCGTCCTACCCGACAACACAGGCCAAAAAAATCAATTTGAATAATGCAACGCTTACACGAGTATGAAAATAGTAAGTAGTCCTGGTACAGCCCGCCGATTTTCCAATTCGGGTGAAGACCGTAAGAATAATTCTCAAGCCAGCAAAACAAGGTATAAAGTATGTGTGCGTGTGCGTATGCGTATGCGTGCGTGCATGTATGTATGTCATGTCATGTCATAATCCCGGTTCCAGCAAATCCCATTTCGTTACGTCCTATTCTTTTTGACCCTCGTATCCCTAAGCCCAACGTTATATGATTTAGAGGCCAGATAGACCATGGTTGGGTATCGATTTTGAAACATTCAACAGGCAAGAAAAGCCACGCCGAGGATGCAAATAAGAAAAATGAAAATGAAAGTCGTAGGTTACCCAACTGACAAAAGGAAATTGTGTGTTGAACATGTGCATCTGCATCGCGCTCTCGGTAGCATAGGCCATCGTCAAATATGCTGGACAAATAACTCCGCGAGGGCAAACAGATAGAAAACGTAAGACAGGTAAGTTGCAGCAGTAGCAAACGTCAGCGTAGCAATCATTCAGAGCCCCATCATCTCGTTCTGACCAAGGAACGTTCTGGCCAACTCGTCTCCGCCACGTTCGGCCTCCTTCATCCAGTGGATGGCGACGCACATCAGAGTCGGGTCGCTCCTAATGTCACCGTCCATGGTCGTGTCCTGCATTCCTGAAGAGGACGGACCAGCCGTGCCCAGGTTGCTTCGGCTCCGATCAGCAGAATGACGGGCGCTGCTCCCGGGTCGCGGTCCGAACTTCTCCATGACGGCTTGCTTAAATACGTCTCGCGGCTTCGACAAAGGCAACGTACTCCTCTCGACAAGCTCGGGGTTGCTGAGGTTAAATAGGCCCAGCTCCCGCTGCGCTGTGGCATTGCCCTCCTTGGCCGCGATCGTCCACATCTTCGCCGCATCGCGGAGAGAGTGGATAGGCGGCTGGCGCATCATCTCCGGCGCATCGTCGCCGCCGCCGGGACGCTTCCTCGACGGCGTGTAATAGTTTAGGATCTCATCCGCAACCTCGACCATCGTCGTGATGGTGTCTTCTTTGAGCGAGAGCGCCACCACGACGATATCCCAGAAGGCCTTGTTTCGATCCATGTCTAACGTGGATGGGGATACAAAAGAATTAATGAATTGTAGATCGCGGAACAGCGTCTTGGGCCGTATACCCGCGTCTTTGAATAGAGACCGAAGTACTCGTGCGATAGCGTCAGTGTTAGTTGCTTCCTTTACCGAGACGATAGAGCGAGCATCAGCATTCTTGGAAGACCGAGTTTGGCTAGGAAACATGTGCGACTGGAACGGTTGGGAACGTCCTCTGGTATTATCGCCGCCTCCTGTCTCGTTCGCGTCTGACTTTCCCGGTACGCTGCTGTCATCGTCGACGGACGCGGTCTGGTGTCTTGCAGCCCACCGAGACCTGCGCGAACCGCTAGACAACGAAGCAGATATGAGCCGCTCCAACTCGAGGAGTGCGTTGAGTTTGGTATAGGGGTTTGGATGGACGGCGAACATCCCCAACAGCCTCTTGTAGGCTTTCGTGTAGGGGAATTCCGGAGTTTCCTTCTTCTTCGAAGACCTAGCACGACTTGAAACTGTATCGCTCGTGGCAGAGCTGTCGTTACTCCTCCCGGATGTGCTTTCAGGTCTGTCCGAGCCTAGGTCACCCCTCGAAGCCTCTCCCGCCTGTCTGAGGTTACCAAAACTCTTCCTCTTCTCTATCACCCTCTGCTTAGCGGAACTCTTGCTGGTACGCTCCCGCTTTACCGAAGGCCTTCGCGCTCTTCGCTCCTCGGCATCTCGGCGCTCGATACATTCTTGTCCCAGGCTTCCAAACCAACCGTCAGTTTCGGAACCGGACGCGAACACGAGGTTACCAAGCTCGGAAAGTAGCAGACTAGTAAGGGTCTGGCGAAGTTCTGCCAGAAAACGTTGTTTGCCTTCTGAGAGGCGGCGGAAATGAACTGTCTCGTTCGATGATACGGATGCACCAGACCGCGAAGCCGAATGATGAGACGGTAGCGGTTGGTGATTCGGTTGAGAAAACGTGCTAGAAAGATTTGTGACGCTAGTCGTAGGCGACTGCGCACGAGAGGTTGCCGAGCTGACAGTAGATATGGTGGACTGGAAAGGAGACCAGTATGTGGATGCCGAATCAATAGCGTGAATAGGAGATGAGGCTCCAAAGTAGTCATGCGAATCGAAGGTATCAGACATCGCTGTGCTGGCCCTAGAGAAACTGTATCGACGGTGGGAGTCGATGGAGATCTGGCTTGTGTTATATGCGGATATACCTCTGAGATCTCGTGCGATGGAAGCGGGACGGCGTGTGGGGGATGCGTATCGCCTTTCGTGGTCGCTGCTAATGACACTGGCTGCATCATCACCCCATACGCTGCTTTCTTTATCCCGACCGATGCGAGGGCCTTCGAACGCTCTACGATCCCGAGAGTACAGTTCGCTAGACCAAAGCACAGGTCCATCCACGATATTATCACCAACCAGCTTCGATACGCAGCTGTCCACTTCACAACAGAATCGGTGTATACGCTCCTCACCTTGACACATGTTCTGGATGCCGAGCTGCTCTAACCACTTGCTGGTTATCTCGGCTTGGGCATCGCTAAGCTTGTTAGGGCCTCCCTGCTCCTCGCCAGCTGCTAAAATATCCAACATCTGCGATTCGTTCCGATATATATAAGCGGCAGCAGGACCTCGGGCCAGCTGGGCCCGATTGCGTTGGAAGGAGCCCCATTTCCGTGGCACACCCATTATCTTCAGCGCGCTGCAGATATTGCGGGTTTGCTCGTAGGGAGCCGAGTTATGAACATCCGTCACATACCACATCTTATCTCTGAGCGCCTTCAAGCGCTTCATCATGGTCTCGATTAGGCCTTCGTGCCTCTCTTGGCTCTGCTTCAGCCAGACTAGCCAGGCATCATACTCTTCGATCGCGGAAGCAGACCGGCGGATGGAATCACGAGGACCTCGGGAAAATATATTGAGCAGAGTTGCAAACCCATTCTTACGTAGAGAGGGTGATGTCAGAGCATTGAGCTGCTGCAGTGTCTTCCAATATAGATGCGCAGACACGAAGTCTGATTGGATACGCGATTGGGAAGAGGCGGCGGAGAGCATGGTGATCAACACAGACGACGAACCAGCCTCGTCCGCTATCTCTTTTTCTTCGGAAGCATGAGAAGACTCTTCCGCAGCCTGCTTCGCTTTCTGTTCTTCTTCATACTTACTGCGGAAAGGGTTACGGCTTCCCATCGTCGTCCCTGGTGTAATAATTTTATTCTTGGACCGATACTTCTTAAGCCCCGAAGCTCGGTTACTAAATGTTGTCTTTCCGTGGTCTTCTAGACCTTGAGGAATCTCGAAATCCTCAACAAGTTTCAAAACAGAGTCTCGCAGCTGATGGTAGTCTTTGTCAAGCTCGGGTTTCTCATCCGGCTCGTCGTCCTCTGTGTCACTCGTGGTAGAAGAATTCTCCTCTTCTGCCTCATCATCAGGGTCGTACGTCATCTGTAAAGAAAGGCTATTTCCATCAGCGGAAATAAACACCACTGCCCAGCGCTCGGCACATGGATGACATGAGCCCGACGTCGCCTCCGGGCCTAGAATCTGAATCATCTCATGCATTGCCAATCGAAGACGGGATCCATCTTCTTCGTAGTTGTTAGCATGCTTCTGCCTTGCCCCGTCAGACATAGGTGGCGAACGTCTTTGGGGAGTCCCGGCTACCTGATCTTCGAGTAGAGGATCGCCCGAAGTGGTTCCATCACTAAAAACGGACGAAGCACTCATACTGAGGACGGATGCCGTCTCAAAGTTACTCCTGGACGTGGCGATGGATATCGGCTGCGAGATAGCAGAGAAGCCAGATATCGATGGCGCGCCAGACCGGATGCTACTTGAATGAGCAGACTGGGGCCTACGCTCCGGGAATAGAGCATTGGCAAGAGTAACAAGGTCAGCTGGGCTAATCACCAAATAAGGATGGACTTCAGCAGTCTCCCTCAGGGAAGTAATGGACCTAGCGGGGAGCAATCTACCAGTCCTCCTCCCCGACGGCTTAAAACGAGCCAGTATGTTCTCAACGTGGCCTTTGATCTTGCGGGGAGTCGACGCGGGCTTCGAGGCACTACTGTTGGCAAGCATCTCCACGACGTAATGCTGGGCAAGGGTGGCAACCTGCTTGAGAATCTTCTGGCGGCCGTATTCCGTGATATGATACTCGGTCATCATTCCGTAACTCTCCGGGTGGATAACAACGGCAAGCAACCAACTGGAAAAGAGCCACTTGTATACAAACCATCTACGCGTGGTATCAACGAGGCCGCGCGTAGTATCCTTCATCTCCAATCGGCGAAGGATCTCATTTCCAAGTTCAATCACACCTTCCGGAATACCAGTGGCATCCTCGTCATCGATAATAGCGAAAAGATCGTTGACGGCACGATCGTAGAACTCCTCGGCAGCAATGCTATCCTTGGTAGTCCAATCGGAGAGGTTAAACCTCGTTCCATTCTGGTCCTCCGCTCGGTCGAGCAAGAACGCGCCATCCTCAAGTATCTTCATCAAGTACCATTCCATGTTGGCACGTCCAGACCAATCACGCATAGCAGACCAAGCATTGAGGATCGAGATCAGGACCGGCTCGCTGGTAGATCTAGTGGAGATCAGACGAGCAAAGGCGGTAGCCCAGACTCCCGTCCTCCGTTTGTCCTCGGCGCTGTCTGGGCCGGCCGAGTTAGCGAAGCAAGTATAGATAAGGGCAGATAAGGGATCATGGCGCTGGAAGGAAAGGAGCCGCTCGACAGCATTGGGACCCTGTACCGTCTGTCTACTAGGACCGCTTGAAAGCCCGCGACCACCGGCGGAACGGCCGTGGTACGGCAAGACGGACTCTATGGGCTCCAATCCCTGATGGAAAGTGGTAAGAGCTTGGAGCTCCGTGGTGTTCAAAGCGCACAGCCGAGTGGCTAGGTAATCCGGGTTTGTCCGAATCTGAGTAAGAAAATTTAAAAAGGCTTCCCTGGCAGAAGCGGAAATATCATTAAAAAAGGGGGCGACGGAGCTACCGGGACCAATGCTTCCCGTCGTGCTCGGCGGGGGCACGAGCGTCTCGACAGACGCTACTCCGGACGATTGCAAAGACTCCATCTCGGGCTCCAAAAGAGCATAGCGACGGGTGGCGTCACAGCTATTCCGAACATCATGGATAGCACCGTACAGGTTAGCAAATGCCCTCTTGTCATCGTTTCGGAAGCTGTCCGCTAGGTTGCGCAGCGAGGTCTCTCCGCACCGGGTCAGGCGCGCCGAGAGGGCAGTGGAAATCAGACTTCTTTGAAGACGAATACGAGTATTGGCACACTTGCGCTCTTGGTACTTGGAAAGGCGGACCAAATGGGCGAGTTCTTCGAGGGTGGTGCCTTCATTCTCGACGGTCAGATGGGGGTTCGAATATAAGGATACGTCAGCCAGGAGCGTTCGCGGGAGGGGCCCCGAATCTTCTTGGTCTTTCAAGATGGGCTGTAACGGGCTAGACGGGGCGGGCGGGCTAGAGGCCGGAGACGGAGGCGGAGGCGGCTTCGGTGGGCCTACGGCTTGGTCTATTACCGGCTTCTTAGGCGCACTCGCGCCGGCACCGGGATTGGCGCTGGACTGCTGCTTCGAAGTCGCATCGCGAGGCGTCTCGTCGGTACCAACTTTACGAACAGACCCCGAGGATTCCCTCCGGCGGTGTCCGCTACCGGGCCTACCAGGGCTTCGCGATCGAAATCGCCGCGGGCGCGATACTTCGGCTCTCGTCTCGGGGGAAGGGGTCGGGGAACGTGATGGCGGACTAGTGGCAGAAGGGGACACGGCTGTGTAACGGCAAGGCGACAAGTCAGCAAGCTGGAATCAAGAAATCGGATATATCGATACCGGGCACTTCTCTTTAGTGCTCCTCTCCTGACTGGACTCACGTGGGGAAGAATGTATGCACACGGGCGACGACAGGGATCGCTGCATGGAAATCATATTGGGCGCATGCGATGATATTCAACGAGCGCGCGCCTTTCACCCCAGCACGACCAACAGCACCCCTTCAGACAGAGAGCTGCTAGGTAGCCACGGTGGATGCGATTGCTCGATCGGTAATTCGACTTTGATAGAGGTCCTTTTTCAGATTATGTCATCTAGACATGAAGCTGAAGTAGTAGTAGTAGTATGTATGCTTTGCGACCTTAGCTTCGACAAAAGTAGAATGGCGGGCTGCGTGTGATTCTGCGTGTGCGTATAACGCGGGTAGGTCAGGGTAGACCAGAAAAGATAAGGACGGGTAACTGGGGGGTTGAGGTAGGGTAGAAGTTAGGTTAGGTAGGGCGGAGTTGGGCTTCAAATAAGTAAGAGAATATAATTAGAATATGGGATAGAGCTTCGGAGGAGGGGGGGGCCAACTGAGGGACTGATGGACTGGTGGACTATCGATAGGTAGCAAGTCAGATCCGAGTCGCGCAGTCGGTTGGGTGATCGCGGATCAACAACATAAGGCCGAAAGACAAGTTGGAAATTATATTATTGGGTAGCGCGAGTGTGAGTTGTTGTATAAGCAGGAATATGCTCTCTGTTTCTCTCTCTCTTCTCGGTAGATATTGGGTAAATAATAATGACCTCAGCTCATGCTAACCGTCAAATCACAGTATTAATCTTGATTAGTACGTGAGTTGTCAGGTCTGGTTCGTCGGTTCGCTTGATGAAAGGTAGGTTAAGTTAAGCAAATCGTTCGTTTGCGCTTCGACGGCTCCGGCAACCCGGTATATAGTATATAGACGGTATAGGGAAGGTAGATTTTAGATATATATATTTAAGGAAGTATATAAGTATACGGCGGTGTTGTTCCCGCAGGATCGGGAGGGGATATGAAGTAGATGATAAAAAAAAGAGTAAGCAAGTAAAGTTAGGTAGTAAGTAATAGTAGGTAGGTAGCAGTAGCAGGGAAGTGGAAGAGAGGGGAAAAAGCAATAACAGCATTAACAGCATTAACAGCATTAACAGCAGCAGCAGCAGCAGCAGCAGCAGCAGGTGCAGCGCAGTGCAGCAAAGCGCAGCAAGTGCAAGCTCAATTGCAGAAGCCGCGCATCAGAGACAAGATGATGTGTCTTGCCGACTCGCCTTCATTCGACCATCTCTACCCTAGAAACCTTGTCCAGCTGTTCGAAGGCACTACCCAGTTATACCCAGTTACACAACAGCATTTAGCTGTCGCACTGTCGTTGGCCGACGTGGGGTAAATCAATGAGACCGCTTAACACCGCTTGAGACCACCGATTAAGACGGTCTGTTCTGTTAGTCCTCAGTTTATTAAGTCGGTATCCACATATTTACTTTTCTTCTTCATCTTTTATTATTTTTATTGTTCTTTTCGAATGTGGTGGCTATTAGCTGGCGTACTAACTTAGTTGGCAATTTGGGATTAACTGACATAGGGAATTAATTAGCTGGCAAAAGTTGCAAGTTGTCACCTGTTGCCACAATAGGTATATTGTATTGTATCGTACCTAAACATAGGTAGGTACCTAACCTTACTATGTAGGTACCTCTTAGCGCAGGTAATTTAGGTCTACGGGATATGTACCTGGTAAAATCAGCAACCTAAAACCAGGTCCGCTATCGTGGCGTGTAAGCGTTCCCAGCTTTTACAAGTGCCGCAGAGTCCGTGCCAACCCTTCCTTACGGTCTTAAGGTACATGTAATGTACTGGACCTTTACGAATCGTACCGTACCTGCGTACCTACTTTAGGGTCATTTAGGGCCGTCTAAGGCCCTCTCCACACGGAGCCACCCCTTCTTCTTCTTCCCCTCCGAAGCCTTCTCTACCTACTTTGTATCTTCCACCGCCAACCCCCCCCCCCCCCCCCCCCAAAAAATTTGCTGCAATGCTGCAAATACTGCAAAAAAGCTGGATTGAGATGGACAGATGGATCACCCCGAAGGTTTGCCAAACAATCTGTATGGATCTACGCTTTTAATGGACCAATTACTGACCCCCATCAAAATCTCGTCCCTCATTTTTGGCGGGTGTGTACAACACACAAGGCGACCAGAATGATGACGATGCACATATGCACACCCCGTCACGGAGGCAAGGTCGAAAGCCTGTAACTGGCCAGCCCGATATAGCCTGGAAATAGTCATCCTCCTTACTTTTAGCTTGTTGCTCCTGATGGTTCTCTGGTGTTTCCTCGTAAATAGCCATCTGGTCTCTCTCCCTCCTCCCCCCTCCCCCCTGGTCATACTATAACACAGCTCGAAGTCGAGTCCTTCTTTGCCCCGCGGCTACACACCGAAAATAGCTCGAACACAGTATGACGAAATGACAAAGACAGTCTATCAAATGTCTCTGCCTCGTCTACGTTTTCAAGATGATCTGTCTAAGATATTCCTTCCAAGTTGTTGTCCTGTCCTTCCTCGGCTCTTCACATTTGACAGCAACGCGCAAACAGCGCAAAAAAAGGGGGGCCGCAGTCCACGACCCAAACAAGTATTGACAAGCAATGGAAAGCTGAACAAGAAAGGATAGTTACCAGTACCTCTCTAGATGTTCTCCCCATTCCCCCTCTGTCAGGTATCATCGATAGCATCATCCAAACAAGACATGCTTCACATTACGAGATGCAACAGCTAGAAAGCCAGATATTCGTAAATTCTCCGATATTGTCTTGTCGTCCGCTCCGGATATGTCTTTCAGTGGTATAAAAAAAAAAAAAAAAAAAAAAAAAAAGACGGCTCCCGGCTGGATGAAAGAACGATGAGCTGGCCCTGCATACTGCATTGCTAGGGCTTCTTTCGCTTCTTCGCTTGTTCGCCTTCCATGCCTCATCAATTTCTTTTTTCCCATCTTACCCGAATCGTCACTTCGCCCTGGCGGCTGGCGATCCAAGGCTACATCGCCCGAGACGGCGGTCAACGTTGCAGATCCCATCGTAGCCTTTTGGAATATCTCCCGCCCGACAGTTCGCTAATAGATGATACATAGTAAATAAATTAAAACGTACGTTTGATAAACCTACTAACTTACACCAGTAACTTACAGCCGTCCCCACGAATGAGCACTTGGACAAAAAAAAATTAGAACCCTTGGAGACCTTCCTGCTCATCCAATCCCAATCGTCCACGCGCGTGCCATGCAGACCGACTCCTGCCAACGCATCCAAACATCCAATTGACTCCTGGGGTGTATCCACATATTCCATTTAACGCGTCCACCCGCTCTTCCTAATTTTTCTTTCTTTTTTTTTCTCTTTTTTTCCTCGCCCCCGACCAATCACCTCCGGTCTATCTTCTTAAGCACCGGGAAACGGTTGGCTGGCGTTACTGATAGTCCGTTTACGGCCTGCTCGTGGTCTCTCAACCCATTGGATACCCGGCTGCAATGCATGATGACCAGCGGCTGATTAAAATAAAAAAATAAAATAAAATAAAATAAACCTCGATATCGGGCAACCATGGACAGGGTTTCGGGCAGAGTCGTGTCCAAGGTTTCCTAATGCGGCCCAACTAAATCCCACCCGCATTCTTTTTCTGGATGGAAAACCATGCGATGCTAATATGCTCAGCTATCCGATTCCCCCATTCAGCCTTGTACAGATCTCGTCGATGCACGTCAGTTACACCGTCCCCGGCGTCCAGTGGAGCCTCATAGATACATAGTAGTAAAGAACGCGTTCGTCTGAAGTTCGAAACTCTCTATTATAAGAGATTTCATATGCATACCTCCTATACATGCCTACGTAACAGCCAACCGTTATTCGAGAAAAATAGTTTATACTGCCTATTTTGGTAATGACTTCTTCTATCCATACGCATTGGTAGAGAGCATGCTGGAACGTCGCGTCGTAGTACAGACGTCTTTCTCGATAAGCAAGAAGCTGATCAAGAAGCTGCTGCATTCCGATTACGGTGCTACGCCAATAAGAAGAGATGGTTCAAGTTATTGAGAACAGTCATATCTGCATAGCACTGAGGTCGCTCTCTCTTTCAGCGGCCTGAGTATGCGTGTTCCGAAACAGTTCCGGTGTATAAATATGAATGGAAAAGAAGCAAGAGCAGCAGCAACATTCCGGCAGGCTACAGAGTGGGACTAGACGCATAAGTAAGAGTTCATCACTCACTTTTGAGTCATCTCACAGATCGTTCCCAGGGTTATAGATTCGGGAAGATCCACAGGGCGGCAATCAACACGAGATTCCAAGGCTCAACCGGCCGAGCCATTTTTACGATCCACGAACGATATACTCGGTACGCCCTATATCCGAAAGGAGGATTCAAGCGTTCGTCATGATGCATGGTTTGACCTGCGTCTACTGGCTGCCCGAGGTCTACAAGACATATTGGGCATGGCATGGCCATCGAAAGTCTATACGGTTTAGTCTACAGCAGGTAAGAGTAGATTAGAACCGTATAAAACCCAAACTCTCCAGTCTCCAGTATAACAACATAGCCATGTGCATACCCCGTACTAGAGCCCCTGACATATAATCCACTTCGACCACACGACCACACGACCACACGACCACACGTATGTCGTTATTCACCCATTAGTATAGCTATGGAGCCCAACTACTTACCTACCTCAGACTACCTATCTAGCGAACTAGGCCCTTTCCTATCCTACGGCATCGTTTGGCCTAGGCTGACCAGTTTGTGAAACCGAGCTCCTATAGAACATGTGGCTAACCGCTGTCGGTGTGGAGCTGCATCACGCCTAAGAGGGTTGAAGTATAGTAAAGGCATTAACGATGGGTTCAACCCAATGCTAGATGTGTTGCGCATACACTTTTTACGTCAGGTACCCTCCAGGCTCTAGGCTCTAGTAGACAGAACCTTGCAGTAGGGCGGGAGTAGCCATCTACAATAAGCTATTAGTAATGCGAGAATCACGGTCAGTATTCGCCGGGGTCCATGACACGTTGTAATATTGCCTTGTTTGAGACCGGCGTCTGTTCCAGCTTCCATCTATACTATAAGAGGACAAACGCGCAAAAGCAAGGGCACTAGGTAGCAACCGTCCTATCAGAGGTGCACCGGGATTACGAACTGCCTCACCTTCAACGGGTGGATATCTCTTCTTTGTTTGATCTTTTGAACAGCCTCAAAAAACGGAACCTTGGGACCGTCCCAAAAGGAAAGTCTCGAGCAGATCCACTAAAAAGTCGGAGAGCAGAGATCACCTTGGATCTAGATGGTCGCCCTAGATATTCCGTTGTCCGGATAGCCTCGCCCAGCATGGCCCTGCCCGTCCTGCCCATCGGGATCGCGTCGTGGCACTGCAGACATATACCACGTAATATCGACGTATATAGGTAAGCAACGACGGCTTACTACAACCTCGTTTTCGGTACAGAAGCTTGATTCATTCAGACGTATTAGGATAGCTCCCACTTCTCCTGGCCTGAACGGCGTCGCGGAGACCAAAGAGCGCGTAAATTGGGTCTGGACATACATACATATGCAGCCGCATAGTCACCGAAAACACTTTAATAATGGGTAGGACGTAATGATTCTGGGTAAACATAATATCACGTAAATACCTACCTAATCACGTAAACTTTCGAATATGCACACGCCCATAGTAACGAGAGCTAAGGGGGTGTATTCAGCCCGTCTATAGAGTTACTCTGCCTATCACGGTTCTAGGCCATAGCTATCCCAAAGTAGAACGTAAGGCTACATAATGAGTGAGGCTTACCTGTATGAGAATGACACGGTCTATGGACTTGATCCCTTCGTACTTCCTCTTGGGGATAGGTATCTGTGGTTTCGTGTAAGTCTAAATACCTCTTCGTGTGTGTTGATATGTATCAGCAATACGAATATGGCTATGGCCAATGTGAACAACTACTTCAGGTGTTATATCGTGAGCTATTTTATCATCGTGATAGCTACATTCAACCTTAAACTTTGGTCCTGCCTGATACATCTATCTACCTACCTCCAAGGTATACATGTGTATATACCTAAGGTTAGAAACTTCAACACGAAGGGCTATATTTAATATCATAACAGACTATGTTGATACACTCACTATCCACCGAACCTGACTTTGACCCTGTAGCTTTGGGTTTTCGTATTTTGACATTTTAATCATTACAATTATTGTCCTGTGAGCCTGAAATCACGAACTTAAGCCAATAGCCACGTTAGAGTCGAGTCTATCAAGCTGTTTCGTATAAGCAAATCAATCGCTCTTCTCATTCGTCACCTCTTAGCTCGATCTTATGGCATCGGACGAATGATATAGCATACCCGAACATCACTATACTAGGTATTTGGAACGGGATCATCTACAATAGCACCTATTTTACAACTCATTCTAAGTACTGGTTTGATGCTGCTACCATACGGAAGACTACCATGGATGAATTGCTCGGCGATTGTTCTACGCTGTCCTCTCTGAAGGATTCACGTTTTCGGCCCCAGCATCGCGTAAAACAGCACATGATCTTCGTAGCCCGACAGCAATCTCTATCACCATTGAGCCTTTTTTATTATTATTCGAGTCCTCCGAACTACACGTTTTGCCTGTCTATTTGTTCTTTCCGGTCGGGATGCAGAACAGAACAACCTTCTTATCCCCATTCTCGTCGTACGCCTTGTCTACGCGATAGTACCCTCTCCGCTCCAACTGGATAATATCATCCTGCTTAAGCTTAGCGACACCCTCGTCGCAGAATGCGTCTTCCTTAGTCGCCGTTACGGGGTTTAGGAACTGCTCTAGGTCGTCATCCTCCTCGAGCTTGTCCTTGGTAATCAAATAGTCAAAGTCCCAGAGCTCCGCATCGATAAGCTTCTGCCCCTGCGTCGAGAGCCACGTAACCTTCTTCTCGGTAGAACGAACATCTCCCTTGAGGTTCAACTCGCACGTAATGCTTGTAATTGGGTCACCGCTGGCAATAGCTCTGACGACCGCGTTGCCCCATTGCATTAGAGTAATCTCTTCGCCGTCTTTGAATGACTTGGCATCTTCCTGGTCCAGGATCAGTTCTTTGCTAAAAGCTACCTTCTTAGTCCCGACGGCGGGGTTCTTAGGGTGGAGTGGCTTGTCTTCGGTACGTGGCTCGGCAGGGGCTTCATCTCCCATGATAGCGACTTTGACGTGGTCCTTCTTTAGAATGGCGGTGTGTCGTGGCGCAACCGGGTCAATCTCCTTTTTGTTCGTAGCCCAGAAGCTAGCCCAGTCCATGGACACGACATTCCTGGACGGACCCTGCTTCAAAATAAAATCGCGGAGCGCGGCGATGGTCATGCCTCGTCTGCGAATACCCCGGATGGTCGGCATTCGCGGGTCATCCCAGCCCCAGACTCGGCCGGTGTCAACCAGCTTAGCGAGCTTGCGCTTGGACAAGAAGGTCCGGATGAAATTCATACGAGCGAAATCCCACATGTACACCTGGCGTAGCTTAAGCGTGTCGATGAACCATTGGAACTGAGGGTTTCTGTCCGTGTATTCGGTGGACCTGAGCGCGTGCGTGACACCTTCCAAGCTGTCGACCACAGGGCATGCGAGATCGTAGGTAGGGTACATCTTCCATTTGGTGCCGGTGCGGTGATGCGGATCGTTGGGATTGCACCTGTAGATGACGGGGTCGCGCATAGCCTTGTTCGGGTTGTCGACCGAGATCTTTGCGCGAATACAATTCTTCAACCCTTCCTCCGTACCATTCTTCATCTCTTCAAATATGGCCAAGTTCTCCTCAACCGTTCTGTCTCGTCGCTTGGATGCGATACCCTTTCCTCGCTCGTCGCGCATGGTCTCTACGTCCGTGTCATCAGCATATGCGTTACCGCTCTTGATGAGGGAGAGGCAGGTTTCGTAAAGGTGGTCGAAGTAGTCCGAGGTATACGTGACGACATCCGGCTTGATTCCCATGAGAGCAAGATCCTCGATGATGGCATCCTGGTACTCCTCCTTCTCTTTGCTCGGGTTCGTATCGTCTAATCTCAGACGTAGCTTGCCATCGTAAGCTTGGTGCGCAAAGTAATCGCTGAGTAGCGCGGCTTTGGCGTGTCCAATGTGAAGGTATCCCCTGCGTTCCAATTAGAAATCTGCCAAGCCATTGCTTCGTATATGCTATATAAATAAGGAATAGGGAATAAGGAATAAGGAACAAGGAATTTCTTACGATGGCTCGGGAAGGAATCGAGTGACGACTCCCTTATCTGTCTCCTGTAGTGCTAAGTTATAGCTAGCACCAGCTCGACTAGCCGCCTGGACCTTGGCCTTTCGTGCCGAGTCTGCAGCTTTGACTTCGGCTTGGATCTCGGGATGGACTTGTTCGACATAGGTGAACCATCGGTGGAGGTTTGGGTAGGATCCCTTCCGGACGAAGGATACAGCGACGCGATTTCCCTTGATGGCAAGCCAGATCTTAGTGTCTAGTTCGCTTAGAGTGTATCCGGCAAGGTAAGTCCTCAAGGTGAGATGCTTTTCAAGTCGGATAAGGTGAGGCTCAATAGACTTGAAGTCTCCTCCAAGAGAGGTCGATACGGCAACGAGTTCGTCTGCCTTCATTTTGGCGGCTACTGTAACTACTCGAAGCTAAATCTGACCTTGGAGATTTAGGGGTAAAATAGTAAGTTTGCGTATAAGTGAGTCCCAGTCTCCGACTCGGCTGTTTTGAGTCAACAAGCAGACGACAGATTTTGGCGGGGTCACCCCACCGAGAGCACCTCTATAAAAAAAAGCTGATAGAGGGGTAAATTGACTGATTAACTGATTAGATAGCTGCATATCTCTATAGGTAGGTACATATAGTATTATCAAGTACGATAAGAAATTAAAATGTGGCTAGTGATAGTCCCCACTTCAATGTTCAACATGGCTGAAAAGTACCCCATACATGTACCTAATCCTTGTCCTTATGTAAATTTGTTTCTTCATATCGATCTCCAAAGCTTCATATCACTACGGTCTGACGACTGTCGGCAACCACGGAAACGTCACCATGGCTTCCACAAGTCAGTGCATTGCTTCGCTGGCGAGGCTAAGCCTCTCTACATCTATAAGGCCTATGAATGCGACCATCCCTAGGTTCCTGGTTCCGTCCATAGTTCAGACGAGATGCAAAAGCGCAGGCACAGCGGCCATGAGGGCGCGCGAGAAAGAAAAGGAAAAGTTGAAGAGGGCCAAAAAGCAGCAGCGATTCAAAGAATACAAATATGCCACACCTAGCAAAGAGGAGAGGGTTTCGCTATGCGATGCTATGAGGTGAGATATTCCTTGAGTCCATAACTCGAGTCTCTAACAACTCCCATTCCTCTATTCTTGTACTTGAACTTACAGGAACTCTAGATATCTACGAGCCGCCGAAGTTGGTCGACCGCCATCGTCTGTTACATACGAACTCTCCTTAAAAATAAGAACGCCCAAGAGCAGTCCCGTGCTTCGAAATCGGATACGATTGCCTTACCCCGTTAAAAACGACACGCAGATCGCGGTCATTTGTAAGGAAGGCAGTGGCGCGATGCACGATGCCCGCGCCGGTGGTGCTGTCGCTTTCGGAGAAGAATCCCTATTCGAACTCATCAAGGCGAATCCGAACAAGCTACCGTTTAACCGTCTGATCTGCCACGTCGATTCGGAACCAGCCCTTAAAAAGGCCAACCTAGGTCGTATACTAGGTCCCAAGGGTCTTATGCCCAGCATTAAGACCAACACCATCACCAGGAGTGTGAAGACCCTGATGCACGAGATGGTCGGCGCCGAGAACTACAGAGAAAGGGTCGGCGCGATTCGCATGCCCATCGGGAACATCCAATTCACACCTAATATGCTCTCCGCGAACGTCAAGGCGCTTGTGACAGCGGTAAAAGAACAAATCTCGAATATGGAAGATAGGGTCAAGAAGGATCTAGTTGAGGTCGTTCTGACATCCACCAACGGGCCGGGTTTCAGCTTAAGCGGAGCTATCAACTCTACCGACGAGAAGATCCAGCCAGCACACCTAAGCACAGCCATGTAGATATTTATACTATACCCCTTAAGGCAGGACAGTGCATAACATAATTGTACCATATGCTTCGTAAAAGTTATATCTTCGGGGGTATCTTGCTAGAAATATGCTTATAAATAATAGTGAAAATGCGTCCTGCTCGCTCATTAAGCGCTCTTCAATACCTTTACAGCTTCTAGTTGGGCATCTAATCGAGAATAGATGCCCATTAACTTTAGTAGCTTGGCCTGTCCTCTAGTACCTGCCTTCGTGGCTTCCTTCAACGCCGTACCAAGGTCTAATAAGATGGTGTTTCTACATCTCGTTAACCTCTCCTCCGCTTTTCGTACAAATGGCGTATCCCTTCCAATGTCGTTGGCTAACTCGTCCACTACTGTATACTCGTTTGCTAACCGAGTCAGTTTTGCGGTACTGTTTCCCACTGCTCCCTCCAATTCGTTCTCATCGTTTCCATCATCCTCGTCGCTATCATCGCTATCTGGCCCTGTACTTCCCACCGCTAGTCGACCCTCGAGTACGGATAACCTCTCATCTAACTCTAGCATTTTTCTTCCGGTTTCGATTTCACTTCTTACGCCGGATAGATCTCGATTTAAGCTCGCAACTTCGGTTCCCCTTTCTCTTACTCGGCCCTTGATCTCTTCAACCGCTCGCCGAAATCCCAATAGCGCCACACGGACATCCTCGACCTTCTCTTCACCGCCCTTAAGCTCGTCACCTAAGCTCAAGAAACTCGTGTAGTTCGCATTGACTAGTTCCAGCAGCTCGGTACTAATAGCGGCGCTCCGCTCCCTCAGGTCGGATCGCAGGTCTTCTAGGGTTTGGTGGCGGTTCGCGAGGGAGGAGAGGTATTCCGCCGGGTCGAAGTCGGGGGCTAGGAAATCTGAGCGAGGAAGCGCAGTAGGGAAGGGGAGCGGAGCGTCGTCTTCGTTGTCTGAGGACTCGGACGACGACACCAAGGCGAAGCTGCGAGAGCTCACCGGTCTTGCTGGTGACGGTGCTGCGAGATGGGACATGTCGTCTCGAAGTCTAGAGGGAGATGATCAAAAATGGTGGATGTCGTTAGGATAAACTGCCTAGGTAGGTTTTGTATAATAAGACATTCGAGATGATTAGATTTTAGGTCTGATTGTGGTGAAGATATATTCCGGGTTTTAGGTTCGGTCTGTGTTCAGAACGTTGGTAATTTATTCCCGTCTATCGACCAGTTGCATTGCGTATCAGCCTTATGACGATGCAAGTAATTAGATTATCACGAGCACATTTCGTAAGGATAGCTCTCGTTGATGTGCAGGTCGCGTCGGGGTCAAGGTGTGGTTGAAGTACCTAGGTACATGCTGAATTGGCTTTAAGGGCATTCATTGGGACCTCATTATGTGGGGTAAAGTTAAGAGTTGAGGATGCGCTAAAGGCCAATTCACCGAGTTCACCTTTAAAGGTTTACATAATTAAGTGGAACTTGCCGAATTCTCCGGTACCGGCCTGGCTGGGCGCAGATTTCTCCCGGTCGCACCCGAACGTCACCAATTTCCATCTCACCAATTTTTGATGTTTTAAAAGGTACGGTACTATTTTACGCCATACATAAACTTTTAATCGAATAGTTGGTCGCAACAACGAGAGGAGTTAAGAGGGGATAAGAGGAGGTGCAATTAAATGTGATAAGGAAAAGGACAGGATTATATGCAAACATCTATCTCCGGCTTGGAACGAGTTCGGAATCCGAGCAACCATTAGTGGGAGTGGTGGAAGTGGATCGACACTCTTTTTTTTTTTTTTTTTTTTTTTTTTTTTGTAACAGGCTGCCGAGCCTATCCTATCCTATCCTAGCCTTTCCTCCCCATGTGACGTTGTTGGCTCGGATTAAAACAAGTGGACTGTGGGCTCCAGGCTACAGGCTACAGGGCCCTGGCATAATCTTATCAATCTGATCAGTGACCATTGATCTCGAACCATCAACAACCAGTCTACCACAAGTCGTCAGTCGAGCCCCGTCCTCTTCCCACCCAAACAAACATAAGTGAACCTTACCTTATTTTTCTCTCTAGGTCAGATCAATCAATATTGAGAGATCGTCTGCATGAACCCCAACATCTCTTGCAACACCCCCGTTGCCGATTGAGAACAAAGACATCTGTTTGTTGACTTGACTTGTAATAAGGGGATAATAAATCCTACTTTAATCCCGTCTCTCAATCAACGAATTGACTGATCAAAAATCTGTCAAACGGTCATCCCGTCTGTCTCATTTTTTCATTCGTTAGTCACACCTATCTCACACCAACGTGGAGAACTCAATCCTGCTCATTTTCTTTTATTTTCCAAATTCTTTTTCCTATACCAAGTACAACAGATACTTGGCCAAACCACCTTTAAGCACAATCAATTAGGCCCTAACTCGGAGACCCTGAGGGTAGCTCGGCCCGCTCACTCGCATTCAGTCACTAGGTACATCACTGCCTATAACCCCCCCGAAGTTTGCTTGATTCGTGGGAGGGGGACCCTCTTAATTGATTTTCTTTCTTCCCTTGAATTGACGAAGTTAGATAACCTACCAGACACACCAAAAGAATACAGCCTATAGCTAAAGGCCAAGGAGAGATATATCGACCGTCATAAAGTAACCTTCTCTAATAGGTATACCTACCTACCTCTATTTACCAGCTCTGATACCATCAATCTGCACCCTTGCGGAGTCAATCCCACAGAAAATCCTAGAGCTCAACGCGTGTAGCACAGCAAATAGGATCGACTAAATGGTTTTCCCGTTTCTCTGCTCCAGAATCGGAATAACATGGCGACCTCTGCTGCTACCATGTCTCCCGCTTATCTCAACGGCCACTCCAAACTTCAACCAACCAAACTCTCTATAACCCCTATCTCAGCTGCATCTTCCCCCGCCTCAGCTGCCTCACCCATTTCGAGCGTGTCTACGCCTACTTCAACCCATCAGCTTGCCATCAAACCTGCAACCGCAATTGCAGCCGTAGCTTCGCAAGCCACCGTAATGGCTTCGAAGGCCTCAATCACCAGCAAGGAATGGGTAGTTCCTCCGAGGCCCAAACCTGGTCGGAAACCTGCCACGGATACACCACCAACTAAACGTAAGGCTCAGAACCGCGCCGCCCAGCGTGCATTTCGAGAGCGGAGGGCTGCTCGTGTTGGCGAATTAGAGGAACAGCTAGAAGAGCAGAAGGAAGAATACGAGCGAAATCAGCAACAGCTTACCGAGCAGGTACATGACCTAGATGCCGAAGTGAAAGCCCTACGAAATAAATGCGTAGTCTTGGAGGATTTACTAGAGAAGGAACGTAGAGAGCGCATCAAAGCGACAAGCGAACTTGAGGAGTTGCGACAACGATGGAGAAGAGAAGAGGCGTCTTCAAGACCCGGAAGTTTTGCCACGCAGCGCGGAACGCTACCAAACCCACTAAGCTTTTCATCCCAGCATCCAACGCCACGAGGAAGTCTCACTAGCAACGCACCAGATCACCGTAATTCGGCCACAGCCTTTTCTATCTCGCAAATCATCTCCCCTCCCGACTCATCGGGTTCGTCGGGCGCCCCGCGGGAATCGTCAACTGATCCGACAGGTTGTGGCAATTGTGAAATCAACGGACCATGCGCCTGTGCGGAAGAAGTTCTTGCTGACACGACTATCGGATGCAGCAAATGCAGCATCGGTTCCAAATGCGAATGCCTCGAAGCTATGGTGAAGGATATGGCTCCGAATTCGGAAACTGAGCTTAAGCGGAAGAAATCTTCCCTGTCCCTCATGGCTCCCGAAGAGAAGAGGCAGAAGATACCCGAGCCATACCCCCACGAAGTCGATTTTACTACTGCCTTTGCTAAGAAGAAGGATCCTGTTCCAGAGCCGATTTTGTACCAACCCCCTACTCAGCCGACCATGCCGCCGCGAGACTCTTGCGGCTTCTGCGAACAAGGCACCTATTGTATGTGTGCCGAGGCTGCCGCATCGCAGACACTCCCTGCAGCATCTCAACAAGTTCAGACACCACCTCCTTCCGAAAATGACGTCGGCCCTCATCCGATAGAAATCACATCAACCGGCGCCGTCAAATTACCAGGTATCAATTCCTTGAATCGCGCTCCGATACCGGCAGGCCGTCCTTCGGGTGGCTGTGGTCCCAAAGGCCCAGGTTCTTGTGCTCAGTGTCTAAGAGACCCTAAGTCTGGCCTCTTCTGCCGTAGCCTCGCCGCGAACTTTGCCCGCAACTCAGGCGCACCCAGCAGAGGGTGCTGCGGCGGATCCGGCGGATCCGGATGCTGCAAATCTACCGAAGCATCAGCATCAGCATCAGCATCATCCGCCGAACCATCGACCAGTGTTAGCCTTTCATGCGCAGATGCGTACAAGACGCTGTCTAGCCACCGAAACTTCGACAAGGCTGCTGACGAGATTGGCACTTGGTTGCCTAGACTTAAGGCTACTCCGCTACCAGCGAATACGGCAGGTAGAGCACCCATCGAGGTCCAGGTAGCCAGCATTATGGGTGTGCTGAGAGAGTTTGACGTCCGATTCGGAAGGGAAGCTTGATCGGTTTAAATAGATTCGGGGTTACTGGGAGGTCTGACTACTCTCTGGGTATTTATTTAAAAGAGGGTATATAATGAGACATGGCGTCAACGAACCATTACATCCTACGGTGTTGATAGGAGGAAGGGATGTTGAAAAGAGTTTCGGTCATGCATAAGGAGTGATTAATATTGCATATTTTGCGGCGGTCACGTATTCACGTAATCGATAAACGGAGGTTAGATTTCGATCTATCACGATGGTTCACTGTTAGAAGCAATCCCAACGGCAGCATCGAGATGCACCAAGGGGTGTTGTGATACATGTACAGTTTAAATAAAAGTTAAGGCGTTGATGTCGGATTAGTTTTACACACCACTCGTATGGCATTTTTTACGGGCGTGGTAAACGGAGTGGAATGTTCAGATTACAAGATGTTCCTAGATGGCTTCTTTGAAGGAGATACATTGTAGATGCTCCCGTGTATGTTACTTATGATCTCGATAGCTGCTGTCTTCTTTGAAGTTTTATCAGATCGGATTAACCATGTACGAATATCTTCTGGGCATACCTTGGTAGCCGAGGTAGCCGAAATCATATATAAAACTCGAGATAGCATGTTGGTATGGTTAAATAAATATTGGACCACAGGTACCGCATCTATCTCATTTGTTTCCTGGTCCCCCAGAGTTGACTGCGATGAGAACCGGATAAGAATTTAGAAAAGCGAGCTCGGCAGAATAAATACGTCCGTAATCATATTGATATATCCTATAGATGCGATACAATGCTCCCCATATAATATCAAAAAAGAAAGAAAAGAAAAGAAAAATAGATAACCAACCCTAGGTACCAAACAATAGATACCATCCTCTGATCATGTCCTATCATACCTCCTAAGGCATGTACGTCTCCCATACTTTGTATCTCCGCAGCGCTCCCTCCGAAGACGGCACTCCAGCCCTGGCAGTATGACGTTTCCCACCAACCTCGCCGAGTGGCTGATGTCTATTCCCGTTTGTCATTAGTGCCGACCAAAACTCAAGCCGCCCGGTTTAGTTCGTGCACCCGTCGTTAGGCGGCCGAGTCTGCCCGTTGTCTCCAAAGCCGCAGCCGGTCTTCCCAGCCTGGGTCTGCGCGCCGAGGCCGGAGCACAAGCCAAAGCTCTGGCCCGACACTCCCGCGCAGCACGTCGACGCGCAATCCGCCGAGCTCAGACACTGCCCGCCGATGAACTGGATGCCCTTTCCGTTGCCCACGTTCTTGTCGCCAGCTGGGTCGGGCTGGAGGGGTGCCGGGATGGCAGCGACAACTTGGGAGATTGTTAGCGGTGAGGTACGGGTTGGAGAGGTCTATGTTAATGCGAACTTACCGGAGAGAAGGGCGAAGAAGGCGATGCGAACCATTTTGTTTATTGTTTCGTTTTACGCTTTTGGTAGGTAATGGTAATGATAGTAGTGTAGGAAGTAACTGATGAAACTCGAACCGGCGTTTGCAAAGATAGATAGGATGATGAAGTGAATGAGTCAAGCTGTTTTTGTATGGAAGTCTGTGATCTTGATGCACTTGTTGTAGATCCCGAAGCGATCATTCGGATGTTTATATATTCAGACGAGAGCTGGTATTTCCATCCCCTCTCGAAAGTTTCTTGTCGTTTATCCCTGATGCCGGGTGGTCGAAAACGGCCACGAGGCTAAGTGCGGATGTTGATGTTTCCGTTAGGCCTGCGGCATCAGCCTCGGAAACACACCCCTTGTTTTGATACGTCGCACATCATCATTTGGCCGAATGGACGTTTATTCCCAAGATAGCCACCCTAGATACTGTCGGCAAATTCATGCTTCGCAGCGTTTGGTCGTTCGTATGTCCAATTGCGTTTGGAATAGCAACGCGTCCAAAATGTATTTTAAGACTGACATACATGCCTTACTTAGCCCCCGCAAAGTTTACCTACCTTACACAAACATCTAGAGAGGCTAGTTAACATATCCTATGCAAGTTTAAATATACTCAGATGCATATCCCTACTGAAAGTAAGTCTGCGTGTAGGTATCTGAGTTAAGTGCTAAGTTGCCGTATTTCTATCGCGCTGGCATTAACTAGTAAAACATCATAGCCCAGATCATCCCGGTGAAGAGATTAGCATATCATAGATTTTCCATGATAAAACTATCATAAGCATCTTGATCGTCGAGCTAGAAACACCCAAGGGACAATTCAGGGTTCAAATGTAAGGCTTCTCAGCTACCGATTATAACCTCTTCCTAGGGGGACTCGCTACATTAGATTCCGGTCTGCTTCCCTTGCGACAATTGTTATATGTGGGCTATGCGATCGTGGCTGCGTAGTAAATACCTATTCAAAAGTTCGGATGAAGGTCAGAAATCATGGGCATCATATTCAGCTGTCGCAACACTAATACAGCATGGTAATATGTTGTAACTGAAGTTTCGAGATTCGTCAAAGTTGAATGCAAGGGATAAGAGATCATCAAGGTCAACATAGAAGGACTGTTATTGACGATCATTTAGTCAACGGAAAAGTTATAAATAGATGGAAGCGGTTTATTGACGATTAAAAATAAGAAACTTTGTTGGTCTAGGGATTGTGTCACTTCGGTCGGGATCTGAAACTATTTTGGGGTTTCCGCATGGTCCCGGCTTAATAGACCAATCACGTCTCTCCAACAGCCCCTTTTCGGACGTTTACTGAACAGACGATGACTAATCATTCCTATTTCTTGTTGAAGGCAATAGGATAACTACTTAATATCAACTACACGTTCAATGGTTTAATCAAATTTGAAGGGATGGGACAGTTATGTTAATCATTGCAATAACAGGCTCTGATAGACTTGTCTGGATAATTTGGGTAGTAACATGTAGAAGACGGAACATTGCGTGAACATACATGAGTATTTTAAGATGATGGTCTTGATAAAGGTAAGAGTCCACAACACGTCCAAGACGGCATAGGACAAACAAGTAACTTTTGAATGTATGTTTAATTTTGTGCAATAAAAACCTTTGAGCTATTTTTATTTTATTAGGCAGTAGGTAAAATTGATAAGACGGCGTGTTATCAGCTAGAATCACCATGTTTGATAACATATAGACAAAATGGAAAGCACGGTATCATGTATCATGTATCGTGATATTATTTTATTATTTTATTTTAAGGCCTTAGGTACTTTCGTAGGAACTTAAGTAACAGGTAGTTACATGTATTGCACTTGGAAGGAAAGCGCCGTGCTGATTTTACTGATTTTACCTGCTTGAGGTAGGTACAGAACGGCGCAAAATACAATCAGTAATGCCAAACTGAGCTGCAAGGCAGCAAATCAACTCGCTAGAAAAAAAATAATAATAAAATATGATTGCACCAAATAATTATTTCGTTCTTTCCCATTAATATTTTTTTTTATTTCGTAGTTTCCTAAATTCGTCAGGATCAACCGTTAACTTAAAATCAGTACATCGCCTACCACAACGCCGCCAAATATAAATACATGGCCACGCCCCCCGACTTTCTTGTCATCCTAACCATTCGTTACCATTCATTACACCGAAGTACAACTTCAACTCCAACTTCAATAAGATATAACTATAAAATTACAATTAACTCATCATTATCAACACATACTTAGACTATCCTATTAACTATTATTATCAATTATTTCCACCACAATAACTATTATTATTACTAGTTACTTTCACCCAAGTAACTACTACTGTTACTAGTTACTTCCACCATAGTAACTATTATTATTACTGGTTACTTCCACCCAAGTAACTATTTCCTATTCGGTTTGCTCATCGCGCCTACTTTCCTCGGACGAGAGGACTCCGACAACATTGAAGCTATCTTGGCAGGTCAAGGTCAGGGTCAAGGCCAAGGTCACGGCCAAGTATAACTCAACAATACTTCAACTGCTCATGAGTTCGTCAAAAAAAAAGCAACGAACACCGACGATCAAACACCAATAAAGGATGAAAATGGCTTCGGTAGTCAGTGCGTTAGCTCATCAGCTCAGCCGAATCAATCGGAGCCTCTCGACGAGAGCTAACACCAAAGGCTGAGTAAGTTCTTATAAGTCTGATATCCTAAGTATTATTCATCTTCCGTCCTCTTGATACTGACTTTGAAAGTTTCACTGAAGGTCATAATATAATCCACTTCCACGACGCCTTACCTGGCAAGATCGCTCTAGGAACCACATACAAAACACTCGCCTTGTCCCACTTGTCTCACGCCTAACTTCAGCGCTGCCAATTGTGCTGCAGACGGAAATAAAAATCGACTATTAATCCATTCCAAGTACCTTATATTGCTTTCCTATCCAGAATAGACGACAGGATGCGCAATATCTTGGGAGGTGACTGAAACTTCACAAATATGTATCATAAAGAAATGTGATAGTGTCACTTAGATCTTCTGGTACGTGCTACAACTCCCACTATTATGAAAGATTCTAACCTATTTATAGCAGGGCCTTAGCACTCAGTACAAGCAAGGACTTGGTCAAACATTTCAAAGAATTTAGATCGACTTGCGATGGATTACTACTCACACCGTTCACATCAAACCTAAACGGGCCAATTGAGCAACGGATCTTTTGTCCACACGGAGAGTTACATTGTTTATAGAAGCAGTCTTTATTACCTTTATTACAAGATGGAAGCTAAAAGGGTCGGCGAGCTAGTGACAGCCCACAGTTTATAGATACCAGGGAGGTTTCGATACACGATACACTACACGATACACGGTAGTTACATGTTCTACACCATCTGCGGTGAACTGGAATTACACGAGGAATAACAAATCAAACTGCAACATTTAAATCCGAGTACCCTTTACACATACATAATGTCTTATATGCATTGTCACGATGGGGCTGAGTGATACGCAGATACTCTATATAGGACCTAGCTACTAAGCGGAAAGGTTGTATAGGAGACATTGACTTCATTCATCCATACCTAAATCCATGACGTGATGCTCTGATTTCTCACAAAAATGTAGAATGCAATTAAAGGACGCTGAAAGAGTTGCCACACAAGCCAACGCCGCAGAATTACGTCACGTTACTTTCATAAAGTTAGCAGACAACTGAGACAATAGGACATCGTCAGCCACAATGCTGCCGAAACAAACAACAAGTTGGTGGGTACCCCTTTATCTCGAGTACGATTTAAAGAGAAAGAAAGCCCACGGTATCGAGATAGCGTATCTCATTTATATATATATATATAAAGTTGTTTTTAAAACTGCTATTCTCTCCTATTTCCTCGCTCCTTAGCCATTCCCACTCAGCATGATCTAAAGCTGTACCGCTTGTCCCAGCCCACCCATAGGTCAACACAATCAGCCCACCGTGCCTCTACGGAACAACGTCGCAGGTACCATTCTTTTTACGCATTTACGATCGATGGGAAGACAAAATGCCGACCTTCGTAACGCACGAGATGTATACCTGCTCGCACACCGTAGAGACGGTCCACCGGACATTCGGCCTCGACGACGGCTTCCGGCTCGAACGGCTCCAGATCCCGTCGATGTGCGCGCTGTGCTTCTGCCGGGCGCTCCTGCGGAGCTCGTACGAGCTCGAGTTCCACGACGACGACGCGCGCGACCGCCGCCGCATCCTCACGAACCTGATGCTTCCGTACAAGCGCCAGCTCGCCAAGCACCTGCACCTGCTGGTCGAGAACAAGCGGTGCGCGAAGACCGCCATCGGCATCCGCGGCTGGATTTCGGCCTCGAAGCAGATACGGGTGCTGGAGAAGTTGAGCCGCATAACCTTGACGGCTACGTGCCTAGGTGAGTTCCAGGCTGCGCTTAGATCCCTTATCGCTATCCAGGAGAGTGAGCCTCGATATCCTTCCTACGTGCGCATGGTAGGAAACGTCATTGCTATAGGTAAAGGTCCTGTAGTGGTGTAGGTAAGGTTACTCGTTCTATAGTCATTCTATGTATGGATTGTGTATATGGTAAAGAGGGGTTCCAGGTCAAGTAAAGGACGGCTTGTGGCTGTCGGTCTTGTTATCTATACACCGTATATCACGCACTCTTATTCTCAATCAATGAAATGATTTCTCACTACCTACGTTGGATACGTTGATTGTATCATTTTTTGTCTATTTCGTATTCGTGACTGGGATTGCCTGTGATCACTTTTTGGTGGGATTGGTAGGATACCAACATCGTGCTAGGAAAAGGAGATGGCCCTTGTGTATACATGTTCAACTAGCCAGACTTGTTCCTCAAGCCGGCTATCCGAATTTTAAGCTTAACTCAACTAGAACAAAGCTATTTTGTAGTGCTAATAGCGATGGTGTCCCAGACTACTAGGGTTAAATGATCAAATACAATCGCTACGCTCATTACAACATTAAATAGGTAGGTAGGTAGGCAGGCAGATAAGGATCAAGACCTCGAGATGATGTGCTCAAGAGTCGCCGTGGTAAAGCATTTGCTTGCACGCATCGAGCCGACCGCATGCTTCCTTGAGTAGCTCGGAAGGTGATTCGGATGTAAGCGTACCGATGGTATCAAGTAGATTAGATAACCCATCCTGGAGGTTCGCTTGCAGATTCGTGGCCGAAGTATCGAGCTCGGAGAGTTTAGTTACTTTACAGAGGTAATCATAAACATTCGTCGTGTTACGCTGTAATTGCGGCGGGAACGGTGGAAGGGTATTGGGTTGATCCCTGGAATGAGTAAGTGCTCTTACGAAAGACCAAATACTCAAGGTAGCATAATACATAATCCAAGGTCTATGAGGATCAGGATCTCGTCGACATGAGTACTGTACCCCATGAGTATCAACAGGGGTGTTAGGATATCCATTGTCCCTCTTTTGGCGGGGGTCCGCGAGGATGCGATGAAGAAGCTTGAAGGCGTGGAGTATCGCATGACGGGTTGTCATCTGATTTGCCCATACAGACATTCGAGCTACAACATTCTTATAATCTCGAGTAGAGACTTTGCGACCGAGTAACCTCTTCGCTCCCGTGTAGACTTGGCAATCTACAATGTCGATATACAGACTGATATGAGCAAGGTGATAGAGGACAGATGCGCTTTGGATAAGTCCGTTGGAATGAGCTTGTGGTCCAGGGCCATCCGTCTCGGAGTCACTCGAACCGACAGCCACATCAAAACTGGTCTTCCAATCATCAAATGCTTTGAGGAGCATGTTACACCATTTATCCCTCGTATCAGAGGAATTAGCACCAAGCTCCAACCATTTGAGATGCGTGTCGCGATGTCTCAGGTGCCAACCGACACTTAGAAGGCCACACATAATAATCATGCGACCAAAGGCGTGGGTTCGAACTTCCTTCCCGTGGATGGCACATTTTAATCCGTCCAAGAACGAGACAGCCTTGACACCATATAATCTGAAATTCGAATCATTATGACGAACCGTCTCGGCACTCGAAGCCAACCATAAAGACTCGTCGCAAGGTAAAGGTAGACGTATTTCGTGAGGAGCCATATCAGCCGCATGTCCAAACATAGCAGCGTGGATGATATCCATCATGAATGCGGCAAATACTACCCTACGCATCGATTCGGTCCTAGCCCATTTCGCCCACCACGCCCTCGCATCTGAAGTCGCAGGTTGATTGCTTCCATTCGACTCGTCGGATGGCGAATCAGAACCCGCACCTGCGATCAGCGGACTACCTCGTCTAAGCAGTGTCAGGGTTACCGAGTGATAGACATGCGCTCTCTCGTGAAGGTTCCTAGACGAGTACATCTTCTCGTAAAATTCCACTAAGAGTAAAGCCTGTGCGACCCAGAGATCAACAGGGGGAGACGCTTCATCAGCCGTTAGAATTTCGAAACGGACATTAGAAATAATAAGATCAGCTAATGCTTTATACTCCGGCATTTCCCGAGTCGATTCACGACTGTAGATATGAGCGGCACCCAAAGCAATCATAACCAGGAGAAGGAAGATGGAACATTGCGCGGAAGAGAAGGTTGGTTGATGGACGATGGGAAGTCTCGGAGATACGAAATCCCAATAATGTCGCATACAATCCCGCAAGAAATCCAAGCTTAAACCTGACGTGTCGTCGCTTGTCTCGTGCATCAAATTAGCCAGCTTCGAGTCGAACTTATTCCGTTTCTGGTAAAACAGTTTAATATAGTGTAGAACTTCCACCCGACGATACTCGGAAATAAGCTCATCAGGCATATCGGGGTGTCGAGGAGGTGTAAGATCAAGCTGAGATCGACTGGCAAGCGATTCGTGGTCGTAATGAATGTTATTATTGAACGGGGACTCCAACCCGCCTTCGAGAAAGGGTACGTTGGCGAAACTCAAGTCTCGATACGTCTGATGAGGGTCAAAGAGCCACACACCAAAGTTCTCGCGAATCCCAATCTCGTTCGCTTCAGTCGACACCGGTACATTATGATAAGGAACGAACGTAGGATGATCGTGCATGGGTGGTTGTGGTTGTGGCTGTGGCTGTGGTTGTTCACGACCGTAAAACCCAGCCTTTTGACGAATGATGTTAACACTATTTATCGAAGACATCCACGGGACGCTACGTGGAAGCGGAGTTGGCTGTGTAGGTGCCATAGGTGCCATAGGTGGAGGTGGTAAAGGCGGAGGGTGAGCTTGAACCGGGGAATCTGAGGTTAAGAGTACAGCTGCATTCCGCGGAGCATTCCGCGGAGCACTCGCGGGCTGTTTAGGGAATGTCGTCGACCGCGGTGGTCCAACAGGATTCGGGGCGATACTAGGTGAAGGCATTATAGGCCTATCCTGTGCAGATTCTTTGGTGGCCGTGCTGGAGCTGCTGTTGCGGTTCCTAGGGGTGTACGAGGCCGAATGGCGCTTCCTGTGTCGCGCCAATAGATCTGCCCTCACGAATGCTTGCGTGCAGCCAGGGACATCGCACGTATAAATAGTTCTGGGATCATCTTGTATTCATGTTAGTATTGTCTTTATATGTTTATATATATCCATGTAACCATCGATGCAGATCCACAAGAGTGGATGGATCTCTACCTGGGTAGGTAGTCTTGGGATCACACTTAGCCTTACGATTCAATTGATGCCTTTGAAGATGCTCAGCTCTCGAATAGATCTTGTCGCACCCGGGCCAGTCGCACGAAAACTTCCGGGGAGCTCCCTTCCGACTCGCTCGTTTGTATGTACTTCCTCCGCCACCAACAGCATTAGCAGTTCCTCCTCCTCCTCCTCCTAATGGTGATTGCTGCTGGGACTGTTGAGACGCCATTTAACCGCGGCATCGCTCGTCCATACTATTATAATAATAGTAACGGATGATTTGCATATGCGTCGAACCGTTCCGCGGGGACTTTCGAGATGGGGGAACAAACGCAGGGAAGACGCAGGTAAAGACTTGATGGACTAAAATAACAAACCGGGGGAGCGGAGTCGATGGGGGTCCAGTCTGGGTTTTCAACAGGAACACGGCTGCGCGACAAATTTCCCTCCCACTTGCTCGGGACGGCTGAGAGATGGGAATATCCGCCAAGGAATCCCGAACGCGGGGGTTGTCCCCTGCCCCCCAGGTGACCGTGGGGGGGCCTTCTCCAACTCTTAATTATCCGGGGTAAAATGCCTCCTGTTGTATCCTAGCGTCGCGTAAATCGTGGGGGGTTTTAACCATACTTACTAACCGGTTAAAATAATACATACAAGTTTATAACCTTTTTTCATCATGAAATCATGACCTAATTGTTTAATATAAATTTAAAGTTAATATTTTAATTTAATAAGTGATATAAGAAAATAAAATTATATTAATTTCGTTTAAAGTTTTTTTAAAATTATAAATATAAAATTAAAAATTAATAAATTTATTTTATTATTTAAATTTTACTTTTAATATTTTATTAAATAATTATATTTTAATAATATATTATAATTAAAAAAATTAAATTAAATTTTACGTTTTATATTTTTTAATAAAATTAATTTTTTAATATTAAATATATTGTCACGAACCAACAGCACGGGAACCATACCTTGTATGGAAGCGGGGATCTTGAAGCGTACGATCCCAAGAACGGATAAACCTCGGCAATCCTGATGGAGGGAAGTGATCTCAGTGAGATCACCGAGATCACCAAGATCACGAAGGCTTCAGGCCTAGAGTAAGGAAGACCTACGGGTATTTAAGACCCTCATGTATCTAGACACTCATTTACGTTTCCTTAGCTATCAATCTAAGTCTTATATCTAACCCATATAAGGGGAAGGACTCCAAGCCTTCCTGACGAACACTTCAACGTTTTATTGACACTTGACCCGTACCGCTACTGTTTACCTAAAATCAAGACCCCTGTTACTACACTCTAACGGACCTGAGTGTAGGTTCGTCACATATATTATAAAATTATATAAATTTTTTTTAATATATTACGCAATTATATTAACGGTTATTAATAATATAAATTTATAATATTATTACGTAAAAATTAATTCCCGAAAAAATATTATTATTAAATGTATTATTAAATTAAATGCGTAAATATTTTATATTTAAGCTTTTTATATTAAAAAAATAATTAATATTTTATTATAAAAATATAATAATAAATACGTTAAAATTAATTAAATTACGAATTTTATTAAATAATAACACGAATTAAATTTTTAATTTAATTATTATATAAATTATTAATAAATTTCTTATAAAAACTTTATAATATATTAAATATAATTTACGTTTATAATTAATATTATAATTATTAAAAATATTATTTTTAAAAATATATATAATTTTAATAAAATAAAATTTATAACAATTATTATAACTTTGGAAAAATATTATAAATGTTATTAAATAATATTATTTTATATTTTAATATTATAATAATAATATATTAAATAATTAAAGCATTTTAATAAATATATTAAAAATTGTATAATAAACTGTTGTTACGAACCAATGTTACGAACCAACAGCACGGGAACCATACCTTGTATGGAAGCGGGGATCCTGAAACGTACGATCAAGAACGGATAAACCTCGGCTAAGCTGATGGAGGGAAGTGATCTCAGTGATCTCAGTGAGATCACCAAGATCACCGAGATCACGAAGGTTACAGATATCGGAGTATCTATATGGCACCCGGACAGCTTTGCCAAGTTTGAGGTAGACAGTTTCCATTGACAGATTAGGGAAAATATATCGTATCAGAATCAACGTGTGCTGGGCAATCCCGAAGCATTTAGCTTTGGCCGTACTGAGCTTATTACCTCCACTTAGATAGCTACGAAACTTAGCGATGTCTTCAGTTCGCCCATGATAGGAGCCCGAAAAATAACAATAATTGGACATGGTGTGAGCGCAACGATGCGACTATTAGAAGAATACTGGAAGCCGCTAGACTCTACAACATACCTCGATACTCAGAAAATATGGCAATTCCAACACCGACAGTTTGATCGAATCGAACTTGAAAAGGCACTCGAGACGACGCCAGGTGTAAGGTTCCATGGTCACTTGCTTTACAACGCTGGAAACGATGCACGATATATATTAATGCTGCTTCGAGCACAAATTCGAATTGCCCACTCGTCTACCTAAAGACCGAGTTAATGCCTGTATATATTGTCTAGGAGATAAAAGAAGCTTCGCCGAGCCGCATTTCGAGGCATATCAGGGGGAATTATACATGGAGTTTGGGGTTTCCCGAAAAATAATATCAACAACTAGTTCTGGCTGGCCAAATAAATCTTTCAGCACTGTTGGCTCTGCCCGTATGATTGGGGTCTTCTCATCCTTCTCGTATGATAACAACTTCTTTCTGTACGCTTCTCGTAGTCTTTCATGAATCGAATACATAGCACTAATGCTGTTACAACATTCCCTAGACTGGGTGTGCCTATAGCTCTCGAAGAGACAGGACCACTCCTCCTGGGAAGTCATATTGTTACTGACTTCGAGGTTTGGGTCAAAGATAGTTGTATACTGCCATTTCTGGGGAAACAAACACTCATCCCAAAACACTGAGAAGATTACAGAAAGATTGTCGCATGATATGAGAAAATGTGATAGTGTTGAAATGCCTCGATGTTTTAGCTGAAGAATAGAAATGCCACCTAGGGGATATACCTCCCTGAAGATCTGCCCGTCAAGAGTCATTTTCCCCGATGCGATCGTAAGCACAAGCTCAGATGGCAAACTTGAAACATGCTTTCGCAAGCTCTCGAAAGGATCCTTGAACTTTTGTGTGGCGTGAAACTGATATGTACCCAGACTCAAGAATATCTCCACCGGCGTGGAATGTGTCAAGGTTGGATATGAATTATGAAGAAATACCATAGACGATGGTTGGTGGATCCTAACATATGTATCATCATTAAGATGCTTTATGGCAATCCAAATTCGAAAATGCCTCTTCAACTTAATTCCGCTCGGTAGCTTATAGTGGCGAGCTTTTCTATGCAATTCTTTGACGCAGTTCAGCCCGATTAAAGCGACTCCTCCAACTGCAGTTTTAATAAGAGCCATTTTCATCGATATTCCTAGGTTCTTGATGGAATAAGCACTTTCAAATGTTTCATCGTTTCTGACTATCGATCCACTAAAACGAAAAGCAGTTGGTGACGGTGCTAAAGCACTTGTCTGAAGGTTGGTACACGAGGGTTCCATACTCCATGCAAGAATGCTTTGGTCGTTAGACATGCTGATGATCTCTCTTTGCAGCCTGGTGAATGCTTTTGTTCCCTCTCCATAAAGTAGAGGCATGTTTATGTCGAATATCCCAAGGAGACAATATGCAATATCCTCTAGGCGTGTTGTCTGACGGTCGGCCGCCCAAGACATGCGTTGGGCAATAGAGTAGTCGTGAATTGTTGAACGGTCTTCTAACACACCAATATGGATCTTGGTGATATTAGTGACTGCTCTTGCTAGCCCGCTCCTGTCCCCAAGCACCGTCCAGTGTTGATCAAAGAACAAGACCTTACTTGGCGCGAGTAGCTCCTGCAATGTCCAACCCCTAGTGAACCATCTACTTCTAGCAAATGTACCTGACCCGGCCTGGACGTTATAGAGGTAGGCGTAGCATACGATCGAATCACGGTACCAAGCGAACATGCTGTTGATAGCCTCGCTGAGTTCCGCAGAGCTGGACTTGTCTATGCAGTTGGTGTCACACCAAAGATATTGTAAGCCATCGGCCCGCGCGCGACGACAAGCCCCCAGGATCTTGGTATAGCCCTCTTTGCTCTTGATGGTGTCATCAACGGCAGCGCGCTGCCACTCCTGGAACGTCACCTCTGTGTCGCCTTTCCATGTATGTGACAGAATAGCATACGGGGGCGCCTTCTCACTGAAAAACTCCTTCAGTTCAAGAGTGTTGACATCGATTAAGCGTATGATATGGGTTCGAAGTACAAAGGTGATAGCAACGAGGTAAAATAATATCAAGGATGACTTATGCGCAAGACAGGTAAACATAGAGCTGTTCTGATTTTGGGAAATGGTGTAGGGTAGGACGAAGGGGAGGTATATAGAAAATCACTTGGTGTTGTTGTGATCAACATCATTCATCGCTTACCTAGACCTTCAACTCTTACAAAGCGAGTGAGAAAAGGGCAAGAGTAAAGTTACGAGTCGTAGTAAAATGTCAACTCTCACAATTGACATAGAGATATGTCTCGGAACAATTTGAAGCTCTTAAACGTGCCATCGATGGGTCGCGGGAAGATGATCTCGGGAGGCCGCAGGAACAGATCTGCCAAAATAATGTAATTAAAACGGGTATACGAACGATATTTGGAACGTCGTTTAATATTCATGCCCGGCGTCGCCACTGACTAATTGTAACTTATCAACACTACCTGAAACTTTTCTCTAGACCTGTCGAAAAGTAACATCCTCGTTAGAAAAACATTATAGGTCAACCGCTGGGCGCCTCTCATACAACATCCGGTAACCGCACAGCGATATCCCCTGACTGAGTAATATATCTAACCCAAGGTAATGACGGGTATTGCAACTAGAGATGAGGTCAATACGTATGTGGCTGGGTTAGAAAAGGAGGAAAACATACCTTAGGCTCTGTGATCTTCAAATATCGTACTTGAATACCGCTAGTTGTGAAATAGGGGATCTCAAACTTGACCTGGATGGGTCTCTTGGAGCCTTTGCCTGCATTGACGCCGCCCATACTTCCACCAAATCCACCTGTCATTCCACCTCCATGTTCGTCGTCACCTCTCACACTAGGTAATCCTAGCTCGGCTCGCATGAGGAACTCCTTGCCACCGCCGAACTGCTTAATCTTCCATACGATGGCACTCTGCTCAGGGGCGTAATGAACGCTGCCGATGTTCGTTCGGAACCGAGGTGAGTCGGCGTCATCTGGTACCGGAACAATAATTTCGACGTTATTCGCTGTGCTCCTCCTCTTAAATTGCGCCTTTGCTTTAAGCATATACTCGATACGCGACCCTGAGTGGCTCTCGACCACACACTCAACCCAAATCAGAGGTTTGACTTGGGTGTTCAATCGGTAACTCATCAACTCGAACTCGCCGTCTGGGGGGATGAAAGAGATTGTTCGGTCATTCTCAAAGCGCGATAATCGCACGCATTGATGGAACTTGACATCCTCCATCTCGATAGCCTTGCCTCTTGTCGTCCTTCCCGTTGTCTCGAACATGACTTTGTCGTTTAAGCCGAGTCGCAGTTCTGGCATTCCGGATAGATAACACTTCATCTTGATCGCGCCGAGAATCTCCGACCTTAACACGTTTCCGTTCGCCGATACTAGTAGGTTCAAGCTTTCGACGACATCCAAAAACACTTCGTTCTTCCTGTATCTTATGCCCTCGGACCGCCACGATACGGCATTAGTGACTGCAATGGGTGGCCGAGCTTGTACTTCCAACTTGTGCGACTCCTGGGTGATGTATTCTTGGAGGATCTTGGACTCTGTCGTTTGAGGGTAGCCGAAATCCATCATCTCGTCTAGTAACTCGTATATAATGACAAAGTTGTCGCGGATGGATTCCTCTTCTAGCGCTTTGAAATACTCGGTGAAGACTTCGACAACTTTATGTAGGAACAATAAGATCTCGGCTGCATTCGTGTTTCGCTTCGTCAAGGCAAGGAGGTAAAGGTTGTTATGTCGGATATATAAATACTACTAGAAATCAGCATCGGATGCAAATACAATTCTTGATATGCTACACACATTGATGCCTTCGTGGGAGAAACATGGTGGTACGGCAGAGGACTCTTCTTCGGCTTCGCTAAGGAGGATAGGGAACTTTTCGACAGCTGACATGGGAATATCACCTCGGTAGTTTCGGGCAAGTAGGGTCTATATACAGCCATGTCAGCGAGTTTACAGAAATAGAGAGTATACGGGCAGTTATAATAATCGCACCTTGCCCTTTAGATCGAGGAAGAATACAGCTGATGCCATGATGTCGGTCTGGCGTCTAGCGCTTTGATTCAGGGGCGCGAATAGGAAAGGATGTCAATTGGCACTTAGGCCAGACAAGAAGCCTCAGAAAGGCTCAGTCATTCAACGATGGGATTGCGTGTGATTTTCTAATGCGCATATGAAGTCATAAAATAATAAAGCTCTTCGCCAAGTGAAAAATAATTATTTCGGTAGATCGCATACCAAACAATTCATAGGACAGCATTCGAGAGACCCCACGTCGCTTCAATTATGGAAGTTCCTAATCTACGGCCTATGGGCCTAATCTACGGGAAGCCAAGCACCTCATCCCTTATCAAGCCACATCAACAAGCCCGACTAGCCTACTAGCCTCGCCTTAAAAGCCTGTTACCTAAGATGACGGGCTTGTCCTAAAGTCATGTGACAAAGCGGAGCCGACTCGAGACCCACCCAACTTTCTTTCACGATAACTTTTCCCAGCTCAATTTTTTTTTCCCTCTTCCCTTTCTTCCTTTCTTCTTCAACGCGTCCATTAGACAGTGCAGCTCATTATTATTTTTTTACCACACAATTGGTACCGGCATTCTGTTGGTTTCCTACCGTGTAGTCGTTGATGTAGCATGCGATTTCGAGGCGCGGAGAAGGATTCAATTTGATATGGTGCCATAAGAGCTGCCCGAGTATTATCTGCCGTATTGGCAACATACTGTTGCTTGGGCAGCGTCAGAGGGACCGAACATACTATTTTAACATACCTTACTATTCTCGATTTTTGATTTGCTCATTTCAGCTGTGGGATTAAATGAGTGAGTAGTATTACACGCGCGGCTAGATTACTTACCCTACCCTACCTTACCTTGCTCTGTAGAAATTTCAGGTCCCGCTGTCATCCGTCTGACATCCGTACCTATGAGCCTCGAGGCACAGTTTTACAGCCGAGGGGTTTAGCAATAATTAAGTTAGACATTTCAACAGGATGTTTCATGATTATTATGCTTAATTGTGAGCGGCTGATAATTACTAAATACGAGCACAGGAGACTGATCTAGGTCGTGAGATTGCAGTTCTGTGACGTTCGCGTTGTGGCAATTGAACTCGAATTTCCATGTCAATCATCATTCAGTCAATTTCGCTACGGGTTTCAATCAGTTTATTATCATGTATGCGTTTGTCATGTTCTTAGTCGATGCGCTATGCCAACTAAAGTTTCAGTTCTACAAGTTGTTTGTTGGGACATGAGTTTGAAAATCCAACTTAATCCCACTTGGTCGGCAGCTAACATCGTCAGTTCGCGCACGCGGTCTGCAGCTGGGACCGAGGGTGCTTCGGTGACGTTGGGATCTACAATAGCCCTAAGTGGGAACTCTTGGGCTACGTAACCGTAACAAGCGTATCCCTTCTTTAAGTACGGTTATGACTACGGCTACAGCAGAGGGAAAAATGTATGGGATCAATCTCATGAAAACACATGTTACAAAAGGATTCGTAAGTGGCTGCTAGATAAGTAAAGGAGAGGTTCAAAGGATTTTAGATGAGAGATCATTTGCTCGTTCGGTACCGGATATCGTTGTCTCAGATCCCAATCCCGAGGGGGTGCGAAGAGCGACCTGAGCAAAAGCGAGGAATTATCATATGCTTTTGTTTCTCGTTTCTGCCTCTCACAGTGCCAACAACGACAGGATCAGCCTCTACACTGCTACTCCTAGTGGCTAAAGAGGATATTAATTACATGTGATCACTTGGATTAAACCATACAACTTAGGCGGGTTGACACGTGCTTGTATCGTCTCATCCAGTTCCATTCTAACTTCTCTCATCGGTCACTCATCGGTCAGCGTCTACTTAGCGCGATAACCCTTTTGCTTTTTCAGTTGCATTATGATAGCGAATACCATATGATCCATATGATTGCTTTTCAATTTATTGTGTTGTAACGGCGGCCATGAATCAATAAAGTCAACGGATGGGGTACCCGGCACATGTCAGCCGAGTCAAACATGACATGACATGGTAGGTGGTAGGAGGTAGGTACCTCCTAAGTAAGTCGGCAGTCAGCCGGATTTATCTACGGACTTAAACTAGATACAATGCATGAAACATAAAACATAAAAATCACTTCTCGATTTTCGTATTTCGCCGACAACCCGTTCTAGAAGGGAGACCGGCGTGAGCAGAGGATAGTTTAGGTAGTAAAAGTTGTACAAGGCAGAACGATTTCCATCTCAATTGGGTAACACGCTCGTGTGGTACTACGTATATCGTAAGGTAGGTGAAGCTTTCACAAGCCGATCGGGTTAATACAGTGTTTCTTTACTGTACAACTAGTATACGTGCTATCCTTGGGGAAGCTTGGTGTGAATCTACTATTACACCATTAGGCCAATCATAGCTAAGACCAAGTCAAGATCAACCATTCAGAAGCCCTTTCTCCCTATAGATACTCCACTAGGACCCCTGCTACCAAGGCTAGCTACCGCGTGCTTTTACCTCTTCCCCTGCCGAACGAGGTAGCAGTGGTAGTAGCGGTAGATGGCCGCCTGATCAATTGAAAATACCACTAGAAGGGGCCTCGCTTGGGGGCAATTGCAGGAGTTCGTATAGGGAGTCAAGGAGCCTAGGCTTTCGTAACGACCTGACAGAACGATCGAAGAGGTACTTACATGCTACTTGAACATATTACTTCGGTAGCATACGGTGACCATACCCCAAAAAGTCCTTCTTAAGTTACTAAATTACTCAATGCGCAAACCTTTCCCACCAATTTACACCTTTTTTTTTTCTTATTGCCTTTCGTAATTCCAAGTTCACCACGGTCCACTAGGTACAATCCACTACGGTCCACCACGAACACCTGCATATTGGATAGCCCGGGGACCCCATAACGAAGTTCATATCGTACATGCTTCTCTAGCACAGGCCCCCGTCTCTGACATCGCTACTTACAAACTCTAGACTTCTTACTATTACCTCTCTCACCGAAATCTGATCTGATGAGGTCTTTTTTTACTTGACCTATTCATTGTAACTACTATTACCTACCCGAGACATTCATAACCTCCTCTCACTGTCACCGCCATTGTCATTTTCACTCTCACTCTCACTCTCACTTATCACTATTAACCTATCTATTATACCTACGAATTACAGCTTTTTTCTTTTCCTTCGGTAGTAGTGTATTTGTGGTTTTTTATATTTTTTTTATTTCTATCTTCTTCGTATGAATAATCAAATAATTTGATTCGACAAGTCAATCTAGCTCCCGACATCTCCGGCTTACACCCAGCGCCCTTAACGAAGTCGATCTCCTTGTCTGTATAGTACTATATCACCTTTCGGAATACCCATGCGCATTCAATATACGTGATACCAGACATATCCGAATCAAAAAATTAAATTCCTTTGGCCGCTACGCAAATGATCGCCAAATATTTCCTTTTCCCCCGCGACCTATCGCTAAGCTAGAGTGTCTTCGATAGAAGCGCTTTTGGCCGTGTTCCCACAGAAAGAAACGATGGAACAGCAGAATCACATGTCTCTTCCTCCTCTGCCGACTCACGATCAAAAGTATATCCTTCAACATTCCGTACCTCAACACGGAGCGCCGGCGTTAGATCCGATAGTTGGAACGTTCAATCAGTTTGATCGGACCTTTAAACTTCCGTTATATCCTCCACCGTCATACGCGCAATCCCACGACCCTGCCGGCTTAAGGTTTGACAACCCCCCAAAAACCGAACTCGCTCCCATTAAGTCGATAAATCTTCCGAACAGCGACGAGAAGAATTCTGAAAATAACCATCTACCATCTCTATCATCCTTAACAGCTTCCTCTGCTCCTTTATATACTCCGCCCCAACCTTCAGAGCCCGCATACTCTCCGGCGCCGCCACCCCTCACCCATTGGCCGAGCCTAAATCCCCTCACAGCCTATTATACGCCAAGCCACGTACAGAATGCAGACTCGCCTATGCGAATGGATATAGACGCAAGCAGCAGCAGTGGCGTAAGCGCCCCATCGCCGGATCGCTTTCCGGATGGGAGAGCCAGTAGTGTCAGTCTGGACGATCCGGATGTACGCATGGCGGCTGAAGCTTTAGGTGACTTGAGAGCGGGTACGCGATTAGCCATCACTTCTCATATGTGATAGTTTTCTCAGTTTTATTTCCCATCACATATGCCGCCTACGTATTTCGGAGTACAGCACTAACCACTAGACAATATCCGTAGATTTCGTATCCTCTCCCCCGAATAATCATGTTCCTATTCCCGGATCTCCACGCTCGCAAACGAACCGTACTCGTCCGGAACCCCTCATCTCGTTATTAACTACTTCGCACCCTCTCCTAGCTACGACTATCGAAGGAGCCACTTCCGCCTATGTTAATTCAAAGAACTACTCGCCAAGATTCAAGTCGAGCGCCGAGTATGTCGAGGGTTACGTGATCCCTATCGCTAACACTGTAGGGTCTGTCGGTCGTGTAACCGGTGTGGAGGGCAGCGTTCGATGGTTCCTGAGTGGTGGAAGGAGGCACAAGTCTCAGAGCTCTGACCTCGAAGCCACGGATTCGGGTTCTAACAAACGCCGAAGAGTTGACGGGACCGGTACATTCAAAGAACCCACCCCAGAGCTCGCGTCCGGCGTACAAACACCGAGGGCGTCATTAGACCATTCGCGCGATCGTCGACTTTCGGTCGCAAGCACCGTGGACACCTTACCAGCATATGACGATCTTCGATCTCCACCTTATGCCGAACATTTTACGCCATCCGAGTCACGCCCAAATAGCGCGGCATGGCAATCCCGTCTTATCATGTCTACGTCAGGATTAAGTATCGCTATGAGCGAAGAGAGCTTGCGCAGCCTTAAGTATTGTCTGAGCTGGCTACGCTGGGCCAACGCACGCATTGGTAACGTCATCAACTCTCTGAAATCCACCATGGAGAAGTACGAAAAGGCCGAATCTAGACAATCAGACGGCGATCATTCCATGGGCGGTACATCAACTGAGGATTTCGTCGACAGAAACCAGCTCGCAGCGAAGATTGCAGACCTCAGGATGGACGTGCTCAGGACTCTTCAGGATGCTATCAACACAGTCAGCAGGTATGCCGGCGGTGCTCTACCAGAGAATGCGCGAGAGCTTGTTCGACGTCACTTAACGAGCCTGCCCCAAAGATTCCGAGCTGCAAGCATGGCCGGCGATGGTCAACAAGACGGCCGCCGCCCCGAGGTTGATGGAGAGGCAGGTCGAGAAGCACAAGAGAAGGAGACGCGAGAGAGTGCTCAACGGGTGTTGGTCCTCGCCAAGGAGGGACTTGATATGATGTACCAAGTATCAGGGGTTCTCGACGGCACTATCACCAGTGCTGAAGAATGGTGTGAGAGGTTAGGCAGGAGGAAGCGAGAGCAGCGAGAAAGTCTGTTTGGAGCGCCTCAAGTACCGCAGGCGCCTTTGGATGAGGTCAAGATCGGGTGAATGATATGAAAAAAAGAGAAAAAAATAATACTATGAACAGTACACGGCGTTCTACAGGGAAGACAAAAAAAATATGATGCACATTAAAAAAAGGTGGAATTAAAAATAGGCGACGAGAAAACATACATCGGGGGACGAGATGAAGAGCCAAGATCCTGAATTCGGCTAACTACCTACCTCCTAAGGTAACTTACCTAGCATAGGACTCGGATCTAAGCTGCACGGGACGGGGGACGACTCACCACTGTCGTTTCGGAGTTTAAAGAACTTGTCTAACCTGACCTACAACACTTTTCTTGCTGTTAGGGATATTGCTAGAGATACAGCTTATACCCACGTAGCAGATGATCTAAGACGCTTGCTTCTTCGTCAAGCGTCGCTGTCCTGCTTTTGCTGTCTCTCCTGCGGGATTTTGTTTCTATTTAACCTGTTATACATACTATTGGGACGATTCTGACTTTGGTGACTTATACGATATTTCCTAACACGGATTAACGGCATTTTTATCTTCAGAGTTTCTAATCTCTGCCTGTACTATCTTCCCTGTAGGACAAATGGTTGGGGGATTATGTGTCCAAATAGTACCCGCACATACATAGCGACATTGCGTTGCCATAGACTGAATAGATCCCAGTTCACGTTGGCAGCTAGCATATCTGATGTTGTTAATTCTGTTTTTAGTTGTTGGTGCTTTAACACGAGTAATCATGTCTCTACGATGGTGTAGGCGGTTCCTAGGGTTGATCGGCTGCTCAGCCATAACTTCAACGTCCGTTGTAGCAAGTAGCCTGGGCACCGGACTTGGCCAACCTACCTGGCACAATTGCTCGTGTTATCCAGAATATCTACAGCGTGCCTCTATATTTCAATACTATTTTTATGAACTGCTAATCCCCCTATCAGCTTTGTGTACTAGACTTGAGGCTCTTCCGTGATCGATATGGGTCATTCGGCGTTGAATAACCGAGGGAGTGACTGCAATGTAGGGGTGGCTGCAACTCATTCCGTCGAGGAACCATCGTGTACTATGAAAAAAAAAAACATACAGGATGAGCAAAACAAGCTTTAAAGCCGAAGTCTGTCAATGTACGCTTAGGGTATTTGATTAAAGTCATACGAGTTCTAAATGTAGGCCTCTGCATTCTCCAGGGCGCATTAAGTGCAGTGGGCATGTTACATGTATTTAAGAAGCAAAAAGGAATTGCAAAAAAGCTCAGTCCGGAGGTTAAATCCAGGACCTACGAAAAACTGCTTTGTAAATGTCGTACTGTCTACGTCACGGGCATACCGGTCCAGCATATGACACCACGGTGCAGTTTTCTCTTGCCTCCAGTCACCCAGGGATACTTCCTTTTTGCGGGGTCGGCTGGTAGGTTTGCAGTTTATTAGGATATATAAGTTTTACTTCGGTACAATAGGTACTTTGGCAGTTGTATCTATCTTGTTGCCTGGGAGTTTTGGTTTTTTTTGGCGGCCTAGGAATCCGTCTCGATCCCGCATGGCGACGATGAGGACAATGAAACCAGAGATACGCACATATTCTCATTGGCAACCCCCAACATATGGGATAGTTCTATATCAGTTCCATACAGAATTCAATAATGCAATTCAGATCCTTAACTCGACAAGCTGTCAAAGACGGTTGATGCGAAAACAAGCAGAGAGTTTAACGACGTCGTCTTTATCGTACGTGAAAAGATCGACCCCTGACAATGGCATTTTACTCAAACGGCAGAGTGAGGACCACACAAGATATGATTCACTCACACCCTACTGTTCCTGGTGAGTACTTAATCATCGCAAGAACGCCCCCGGTTTTTGTTGTCTGTCTTTCTTCATCGAGCAGTCGCTTGACCTTACTCTCTTTCATTCTTCATACTATTCCGGTTAGCTTCGTCTCTTGTATTAACACCACGCTCTTTGAAGCATTATTCTCCTCGAAGTTACTTCTTGACTAAGCATGTTTAATCAATGCATATCTTCAAGGAGCACACGTGTCCCTGCAGGGCCAACTGGACGAAATATAAGAGCGTGTTACGGAAGCTTCTGGGCTTGGGGAAACCAACCAGAAGATTAACTCGATCCGGTAGATGTGTTGATTGCGGTACAGCACCACATCGAGAAGGTCAAGTACTACTTCAGCTCCCGGAAGACGTCAAACAGCTCGTGAGCAAGGACAACCCCGAGGGAAACATGAGAGGATACGATGACGAAAACTTGGTATGCCGTCTCTCGATTCTACCGGTGATCGTCAAGTACACGGACGGGTTGGAATACGAGGAAGAGGTCGGTCTGGCCGAAAGGGTCTATACCCAGCTGAAGATGGAGGGGAGCCCATTAGTCGATCCGAGATGGGAGGATAAGATCTGTCAACTCCCGGATATGGTGTTCCAGCATTTCTACGGGGTTGTGAGGAACCAGGTGGGAGGTTAAAACCATGGAGATGGTAACTCAGGTTATCCTAGGAGGATTTCGATTCTCGCCTGATTAAAAAGGCCATGATGTAGGCTTCTGGCAAGTACTACTTTCATCCTTAGTACTTTTAGCATGCTATTACTGCATGCAACCTATTGGATTTCTTAATAGTAATATAATGATTAATGACCCTGGAATAAATCGGACTGGAGCAGGCTGTGAATGCAAATTGGTGTACTATGGGAGAAAGTTCCAACATCACATGTATCTCTGTTTGTCTAATCTCACGTCGGTACCTAGTTGCTGCTTGAGCTACGTCTTCTTTGCTGGTCTCATCATGAAACTCTCAGGTCGCTTTCCATCGTCGAGAAGGATCGTCTCTATCAAGTTAAACCCATGCTTCGCGTCTAGTGTATGAGGTCATATTGTGTTAGCTTTTCACTACGATCTTAGAGTATTTACCGTCCTTTGTTGATCGAGTCAACAAACAAAGGGCTGTAACACTTACTACTAGACGTTAGCTATTGAATGCTTTGTAATAAGTCAAGTCTATTTTGGTACGATGCTAGAAATCATATCTCAAAATAGCAACAGGAGACGTTTTCATACGTACCAAAGAGGAGCTCCAGCTGGGCTCGCAGCAAGAAAAGCTTCGAGTTTTGCATCATCGGCTTTAACCAAACCCCATCGTAGTAGCTGCGTACCGGCACCTTTCCCTCGACACTCCTCTCGTACACCTAGAATATCTAGATACCAATGTGGGCGATCTCCCATAATATTTTTGTGCATTCTCTCCACGGTCCCAAAGAAATTCTCAACGCAGCCTAGGTCAGCATCTTCCGGCCAGCTGACAGGTGGTAGTGGCGACGGCGACGGAAGAGGGGATGTCGTAGTAAAGACCTCCCGCCATATACAAAATGCGATGATCCTTTCCGGAGTAGCGGAATCCGGGTCAGTTAAGACCATGAAATGCTCGCCTGGCTTTTGTTGGCCCGAAGCCAAAGCGTCTAACCAAAACTTTCGCACATGCTCCGGATTCGAGTTGAATACACGTCGAGTAACCGGGTGGTCACCGAATGCGTCGAAATAGACGTCTATAAGGGATGGGATGTCCGACTGGTTTGCTTTTCGAACTTTGAACGGCATCTCTGTTTGAGAAATGAGGTATTTTACTCCAACGTTAACACTGCGTTACCGCGATGGTAAAGGGGTCAAGAAGAGAACCCGCTTGGTGAGTATGACCGCGATAGTTATCAATGCTCGCTTGGGCAGGCTTGACTTAGCATTACTAGATCCTTCAATCGCCGAGGGGTTTGATAGGCTATAGCTTGGAGATATCTCATTCAATCTACTTTGAAAAGCTATTGGTTAAGATAGCCTATACATTTATCAGTATCGAAGCCGATACAGTAAGTCTTTAATATGACTGACTCACCGCCGAGTTGCTCTTATATGTATGACATGGGATATTATGTGTTTGAACCAAGTCTAACATAACAAAATGTTTCAAAAGCCTATGCGCTGTTTAAAAGCACTGCGACTTTCCGTATTCGGTATTGTACTCAAGACGTAACTGGACCCGACTCGTACGATGTGAAGCCGATCAACTGGATATCTAGAATAGCGAAGCCACGGAAAGTTGAGACAAAGTTTCCCAAGCCCTAATTCATGTCTATCTTATTCTTTTGACTCTAAAAATACCTCTCGTCCCTATCCTATTATGGTGGATTCGATCTTGGCGATCTTCCCGTGAATGCAGAGAGCGGACCCACAACAACACTAAGTAGTTCCTTTCAACGCTATACGAATATTTCACATGTGAAGTATCGTGTGTCATATGAATAAAGCTTATCTGAGAATTACATCCTTTAGATTACATAGCTTCTAGGCTTAATCTACGGCGCTTCGATATACAGGATCATCATAGCCAGCATGATAAACCCAGGAGACGGAGTCTTAAAAGACAAAGGTTATGTCTTGTCCCCGAAATCTATCCGGGTAGGCTAGAGTCTAGAGTCTACTCTATGATATTGTTCAAGGTAGCAAGTAGACCGACGATCTACAAGTTTCGTGAGGGGTTCTCGGTTGCACTTTAACCTAGTAGTAGTCTAAAAACTTCCCAAACTTCCCCAGATCTTCGCCAAGGTGAGAATATCCGGCCAGCGGGCTAGCGGACCTGCCCAGACCTGCCCAAATGCCGGGGTATATATGCCATAATATAGTGCATCTTTACCTAGACATGTCCGGAGTGACATACCGGCGTTGTTGTAGGGGGTAAATAAATACGATGCCTCTGATTGGGAGATGCCCCTCATATGCATCACGACTTAGACGGGGTAACGACGAACACGACGAACTGGGGAAATGCAACCGGATCTTGCAGATTCTTCTTCGGGTGATACTGATAATACCCCAAATCTGGGGTATAATAGAGTAGTCATAATCGGTACCTCTTAGGAGGGGTGTACATTTAAATGGGTATTGGATCGCAGATAAACCGCTGAAGGGGCATTCTTACCTTTCAAACTTCATGATCGCTATATGATAATAATGATGGCATGGTCTTTACTCTTCCTAGGATTAAACTTCTCGATACTTATCAGCGGTGTTATCTCAACACCGTCACCACTTGTTGAGAGAATATGGAAGGGTACCAAGTATGGTTGCAAGTGCTACTTTGGCGACGAATGCTGGCCGAGCGATAGTTCTTGGGACGAACTGAATTCAACTGTCAATGGAAACCTTTTGGTTCATATCCCACCCGGTGCATCCTGTCACAATGTAAGTAGATGGAGATGTAAGCTCCAAGCTGATTTTCCTTGTCAATAAGAGGAAGCATATTGATTTAGATCGTCCTAGACATTTGAAGGTCCTCTTGGTACAGTCTCAACCTACGACGCTGCCACTTGTGCGGAGGCGACATATAAGTGGTTTAACGAATCATGGACGTGAGTTTTCCCTTTCATGCTGGATACGAGATACTGATATGGGAGAGCATAGTGTCGAGAAACCCGCAGCAGGATTATGGACATACTTTACAAATGATACCTGTCGCCCCACTGCTGATCCAGCTGCCCCTTGCACACTCGGATACTATGGAGTGTATGTGATACGAGCTCAGTCTAAAGACCATATAAAGGCGGGTGTGGATTTCGCTAGAGAAAATAACCTGCGACTGATTATTCGAAACACCGGCCACGACTTCATCGGACGTAGTACTGGCTGGGGAGCCTTGGTAATTAATACGCATAGCTTCCAAGATGTCGAATTCACAACCGAGTACGATGGTCCTGGTGATTACAAGGGAGGTGCTGTAACGATAGGGGCAGGAGTTCAAGGCCGAGCTCTACTCACGCAAGCCCATGCTCAGAACCCGCCAGTAACGGTTTTAACGGGAGAATGTCCAGTGAGTAGATGATGTATACGACAAGAAACAGAGGCTAATGAGTTTATAGACTGTCGGAGTGGCCGGCGGACTTGTCCAAGGTGGTGGTCATGGCCCGCTTACGCCGCTACATGGATTAGTCGCAGACACCGCGCTGTCTTTTGATGTAGTGACGGCGGATGGTGAATATTTGACCGCGAATTCGGAAGAGAAATCAGACCTATTCTGGGCTTTGAAAGGAGGTGGACCGTCTGCGTTTGCTGTTGTGCTCGCGGTAACCCTCAAAACGTTCCCGGAACAGAAGACAGCGGGCGTCTTCCTCAATATCAACTCAACACTTACCAGCGACACGGATCTATTCTGGGAGGGCGTTAGGTCATTCCATAAGTACGCGAATAATATCGTAGCAGCCGGGTTATATGCCTACTTCGAACTCATGACATTACGTCTGCACGTACAACCTATCGTCGGAGTCGGGAAGACCGCGGCGGAAGTGGAAGCTATCCTCCAACCTGTATTTGACGAGTTCAAGGCTAAAGGAATACCTTATGATACAGGTAGCAAGGATTTTGATACACTATTCGACCTGTACATCGACATGTTCGAAGACGAGACTTCCGGTACTTCAGCTCTTACGGGTGGATGGATGTTTACTCACCAAGATGTCGAAGAAAATAATGACGAGATCATAGAGGCGTTCAAGACAGTCGCGTCACCGCGCGATGACTTGAAGGGTCAGGGATTTATTATCGGTCATCTCTGGGATGCTGGTCTGAACATGCCGGTGTCGAATAGCGCGACAAACCCGCGGTTTAGACAGTCTACGAATTTTGCTATCGTCGCATTACCGGTCCCATACGGGGCAACTTGGGATCAGAAAGAGGATCTCCAGAACGTGCTCACCAACATCCAAGATGCTGCTATGAGGAAAGCTGGTCCAAACGGATGTGCCTACGTGAATGAGGTACGTGTGACACCGATGAACGTGAACTAGTAAGCCCGGGTGATACTGACAACGTCCATAGGGAGACCCGTATCAACCTGATTGGCAAGATCGGTTCTGGGGTACTGAATATCCGAAGCTGCTGGAAATACGCAAGAAATGGGATCCGCAGGGGGTCTTTTATGCGGTCGCAACGCCGGGAACTGAGGACTGGGAGGTGATCGAATACGGTACAAGACTATGCCGTAGAATTTAATGAGTGGTTGACTGTAACTAGGACAGAGTTGTAGGAGAAGCAATCAAAACTACTAGAAGTTGTTGTACGTATTGATTTGCCCTTTGCGACACGTCTGGATTATGCTAGAAGACGGCTGGTTCGTGATTTAAACCAGACCGGCGTCTTCCATGGCGAAGAGAGGTGAGAAGTAAGATGAGAAGTGAGAGGTGAGAAATGAGATATTATAATCGAATTCAAGTTTGAATGGTAGGATACCCTCATATCAATTAATTTCCATTCGTATCCATTCGCAGCGCGATGTTTGCGATATTTCAAGGTTGGGAATGTTTATAGCGACGCATTTCAATGTACAATTATCTGTGGTTTTACTCTCTTGGAACATATTTCTTCTAGTTGCATATCCAACGCTAATGTACAACCATTAATGCACATGACGTAAGGAAATTTAAATCTCGATTTCTTATGCAGTTATCCCGCTAGAAGGAATCCCTACCTAAAGCTTCCACCCTTAAACGAAAACCCCACCGTTGACATCCATCAAAGTTGAACGTCACGAGAGCTATACGTTTGTGTTTAGATGAGCTGCATCAGAGGGATATGAATCAAGGAATTTACCCATCCTATTTTCCACAGTTCTAATTTTTTTCCCGATTTTTGAAAGCATCTAGAGATGCGCAACCCGACTTGATCTCATCTTCAACGTCGCGTCGAGACCATTGCGGCTTTTGGCGATACATTGCTTAATATCACGGGATCAGAGCGCACGCGCTTACTCTTTCGTTAGCACAACATGACGGACCTCGAGGCATCCGTACCCAGCTTGGGGATGTCTACCGACGTCCGGAGCGAACTCAAGAAGCCCAAGAAGAAAAAGGTGCTCCTTATGGGAAAGAGTGGTTCTGGCAAGTCGAGTATGAGGAGCATTATATTTAGCAACTATATCGCTAGGGATACTCGACGTCTGTAAGTAACAACTCCGAATTTCTCATAATTGAACCCTACCTACAGATATTGACCAACGTATCATATTAGCGGTGCGACAATCGATGTCGACCTCTCCCACGTCAAATTCTTGGGGAATCTAACCTTAAATCTCTGGGATTGCGGTGGTCAAGAGGCCTTTATGGAAAATTACCTATCGCAACAGCGTGTACACGTATTTTCCAATGTGGGCGTCCTTATATACGTCTTTGATATAGAATCTCGAGACGTAGATCGAGACATGGCCACCTATGTATCGATCATCTCCGCTCTAATGCAGTATTCACCTACCGCTAAGGTCTATGTACTAATTCACAAGATGGATCTAATCACTCCGCACGCTCGAGAGGCTGTCTTCGTTGATCGTGTCCGGCTAGTCAGACAGAAGACTGCCGAGTTCATCCAAGGAGCAGGCTACGCGGGCGAGCTGGATCTTATCCCCTTTGCAACCTCTATATGGGACCAGTCGCTATACAAGGCTTGGGCAAGCATCATACACGACCTCGTACCGAATCTGTCCGTGATCGAGTCCCAGCTAGGATCTCTCGGCGTGTTGATCGAAGCAGAGGAGCTACTTTTGTTCGAGAGGACAAGTTTCCTAGTAGTGTCAAACTGGACATCAGAAGAGGGCCAGAACAACCCGACAGGCGATCGACAGGAGCGCATCTCAAATATCCTCAAACACTTCAAGCAGAGCATCAGTCGGTTTACCGGTACTCCCCGCAATGCAGAGCAATTTACTCTAATGGTAAGTAATTGTATTAGGTGCCTACCTAGGTACCTACCTCCTACCTACCTAATTTAGCTGGACCCTAATTTAGCTGGACTATCATTCAAGTGGCTTTACACTACCAGGAGATGGCTAACTAGATGACTATAGGAACACAAAGCTGGATCTAGATTCTCCATGTTCGCTTGCAAGTTCACCACCAATACCTACCTCATGGTTATTCTTCCTCCTGGAGAAGCGAGGTTTAATTCGGCCAAGCTGAATTGTCAAATTGCGAGGGAGAGCTTCAAGTTCCTAGATGGACCTGCGACTCCAGGCCAGAGCTACAATTAATAGCCCAGACCAGACGAGTTGAAGTACACCTACTTTCTTGAGTTTTTCGACCTTGTATACCCTTTGTATTTGCTTCTGACAACTCCTGTCATGCATCTCGACTCGTCACTACTCACTAGAAACCAATTTCCCTCTACTATAGCGCTGCGAACTTCAAGCCAAGCACAAGCACGCCTGTCTAATCACACAACGAGCCGGAGTTGTCGAGATGCAAGCCATTCCCCATTATAGTCGGGAATGTTTCGAGTCTGTAATATCCCGTCAATACAGAGAAAAGCAAGCTCATATATCCAACGCCAGGAATCCGCTCCATTATTTCGGTTGCGGAACCATTACCAAATTCAGGACATGATGCCTCGATACGGCGCCACTCTTAGTATAAGCTAGTATGAGCGATGTCTTCTTCGGCGAGAGTCGTGATGGCCGTATCTCATATTGTCAAGACACGTTTATCTGTTGCGACGCTTTTATTGGCCTCGAAGCCGACTCCGGGAGCGGTAGTTCTAGGCACGGCGCTATGGTCCCTGACGATCGGCAGACCTCCTGAATTAGGAAGGTTGGTATCACAACAAACCGACCAATCAAAGCGGTCTATGATGCGGTATGCCATGCACGATTTGATAAAAGGGTAGTTTAGTTTATACCCACGGATGGAGAACGATTATGGATTAAGTATCTTGGAATTTGAAGACGTGATACGTAGGGGTATCTAATCTTGTTTATCGATGTACTATGCATGTCTCTAGTTATCGTTACGTATTGTTCACCGAGTTCTGCATTAGGACCACGTGAATCTACCTATCCTACCTTAAAGTCTCACATGCTTGCCGCCCCTTTCCAAGGCACTACTATGTAGGCTAGCTGCTGAAGATCGTCGCCCCGTCCATATCTCAGCACAACTTTGATACTACCCTTAACTACCCTCAACTTGTTCAATCCGGCAGGTCAGACTCAGCTTCGCACCATGTAACACATTGATTGGCATATCTTAGATATGCTCTCGGCGTAGTACGCCCCGCAGGTGCTTTCTGCTCTTCGTGCTATCACCCTCCTATGAATGTCCGACTCCGTAAGACCTGCTTGGATACATACTCCAATTGGTTGAAGTGTGGTCTTAGGGAAGTTGAAGAATGGTGGCTACCCACGTAATAGTACAGGATATTAACACAAGCGGGAGAGATTGGCGGACACTTATATAAAGTGACCGCCGTCTCTGAGACCTATTCTCGACGTTGGACCTGAGATAGGTACCTACCTACATAGCTGGTTCGGTGTTACTAGGTAGCCCACTATATATCTCCCTCTATCCCATCCAACAGTATCTCCTCACTCGCGAGACGTAACCAAGCTGTTCAAACTTCGGTATCTTCAACATGAGGTTCTCATTCACCCTCGGCGGTCTCCTATCCGCGAGCGCCGTCCTCGCCGCGCCGGCGCCAATCCCGGTTGCCGAGCCTGTTCCTATGCCTATGCCCACTCCCGTGTGTATCCATCCATTCCCTTCTTTCATGCCAACAAGCACAACAGCCATTCCCGTGAAAACCAGCTGACCGACCAATGCGCCTAGCCCGGCATCCCATCCGCCTCGTCAGCGAAATCGCAGCTCGCCAGCCTGACCGTCAAAGCGGCGGTCGACGACGGCGCATACAAGCGGGACCTGTTCCCGACGTGGGACACCATCACGGGGACCTGCAACACGCGCGAGTACGTGCTCAGGCGCGACGGCGCCGGCGTCCAGGTCGGCTCCGACTGCTACCCCACGAGCGGCACGTGGACCAGCCCCTACGACGGCGGCAAGTGGACGTCCCCGTCGGACGTCGATATCGACCACATGGTGCCTCTGAAAAATGCCTGGATTGTAAGTCACTCCTCCTTCTCCTCCCCTCCCCCTCCTCCTTTCTTATCCACGTAGCTAGCTACCTACGTAGGTAGCTGTAAAGACTCCCGTCTCGCTTCGCAACGTTAAAACTACCTAACAAACTAACTAACCCCCCTACGAAAAAGTCCGGCGCGAACAAATGGACCACCGCCAAGCGCGAGCAGTTCGCCAACGACGTCGACCGGCCGCAGCTCTGGGCCGTGACGGACAACGTCAACTCGTCCAAGGGCGACAAATCCCCCGATGCGTGGAAGCCGCCTCTACAGAGCTTTTACTGTACTTACGCGAGGGCTTACGTCGCTGTCAAGAGCTATTGGGATCTATCTATTACTTCGGCTGAGAAGTCGGCTCTAAGCGATATGTTGAGTACTTGTTAAGTGAGCTACGCTACGCGGGACTGTTCAGGTAAAGCTGGGGGGAGGGGTGGGAGGCATCAGACTCGACTTGTCTTAAAAGCGCGAGGTATTTGGCATGATTTTACGCGAACCGATATAAGGTATGATAACAAACAACATAATAAAATCGTAAAATCATGACTCGGGCCTTGTGGGTCAAATTAGTCCTCAAATTACAGCAATAAGAGATAACTCTCTCGATATCTATGCGTAGCTGCATCTCTACTAAAGAGGCAGCAGGGAAACCCGTATAGCAACTATAGCTCTATCGTTCAACGATCATCTAGCCTATCTACTCCTAAGGTTATCCCCCCGCTTATTAGATCCTCTTCACCATCGCGGTACCACCCTTCTTGAATTCGGCCATGTCGCCCAACACCAAGGACTTATCCGTGTGATCCTTGTTGGGAAATGTGGTGGCCAATACCCATCCGCCCGCTCGCAGATCCGGAGACGATCGAGATATGAAGTCATATACGTCGTTGACCGTGTGCGAGGTGTTAAATCGCGCCGGTAATCGTGTACCATCAGGCATCTGGATGCGGATCATTACAGTGGGTTGAGAGTTGTCTACGGCCGCACCTGGAGCTGCCGAGGATGAGGCAGCAGCAGCTGTGGTGGAAGCGGACGGGGTAGGTTGAGCTACAGAGGCGATAGCTGATTCGCCCGGCACTGGGCTTCCCAGGCGACGACCTTCGCCGCTAAACGGCTTGTAGACCTTAGGGAGCGGTCGATAGTTTTCTTCGTGCTGCTGGAGATTGACATCGAGAGGTTCGTGAAGTCTAACGTTCATTAAATGAATAGGAGCTCGGCCTTGCTGTATCATGCGTAGAGCCTCGGTATTCTGGGGATCATCAAAGCGATATAACTCTCCGTCGTCGACGCTAAATCCGTCGCGCCATAGATGTAGTGTTCGTCGTTGAATCTCACCCGTAGGATGCGCCTGAGCATCGGGAGCGGTGGGTGCAAGAGGATCGGGAATCGTTCGACTGGGAGCGCCTTCGCCCCCGAGGGTTTGTCCGGTACCGCGGAAAGAAGCCGAGCTGGACGGGCCAGCACGGGAAGAAGTCTCCGGATTCCTAGCGTTGCTAAAAAGATCTGGCATTAATATACGCATATGGTATCAGGGAGGATCATAAAACGAAAGAGATTTTTACCTTTGCGCCTTGGCGAGGATATCGTTTACGATTTGTCTACTGTCCGGGCGCTGATTCGGATCTTGAATAGCAAGCCCACTCTTTTCACCTCCGGCGTACGTGTCTCTGTGAGACTCATCGTCGTCGTCGTCGTCGTCCTCATCATCGTGATCATGTCCGTGGCCGCCACCGAGAGAGCTTAGTGTGGCAAGTCCCTTCTTCTTGGGCGCTCGTTTGGAAGAGCTGGAAGTGGTAGGAATAGACTGCGGCGCGGGACGTCCATCGAGAGTGCGCGGTCCAGTATAATTGCTATAGTCTGGAGTAGTGGAAACGTTACCAGAAGTACCGGCGTCGTCCTCTTCCTCATCGGCGAAATATGCTTGGGCAGCAGCAGCGAGATCCCAATTGTTGGCGGAGAGGTATTGGGTGGCCTAGGTGGATAGGTTGCGCGTTAGCATGGAAATGATTATGAAGGATGAGGATAGCTAGGTATGGTAATGATGGCTATTCGTTGCTCAAACATGGCTTATAGTTACCTGTTCCGTGGAGATTCCGGCCATGGCCATGAGCTCGCTCGTAAGAGCATCGTGATCTACGTTGCTCGACATTGCGTATTTTTGAAGAAGAATAGAGACAGTAGGAGGGGGAATGAAGGTGGAATGCGAAGGTTTGGATGCGAATGGTCGATCAGGCTCTAGAAGTTAACATGGAGATGTTGAGAATCTCAATCTTTTGCAGCCTTGAGGACTAAGAAAAAGAAGAGAATAATTTAGAAAAAAAAGTAACGGAATCTTTTAATGTGACGTTTGCTGTCGGAAGGTACACTCGAGAATTCTTAGGCAGCTTCAGCGACGACGTCAAGATCTCCACAGTGGCTTAATTACCTGTCTTTACTTCACTGTTCAATTCCATTATTTACGTGGTGTAATTCGTACGCGGGGAGTAGCGGGGTGAGATATTGTACGTCGGGTACTGCTCTCACTGTAGTTACTTGGAACTTTAGGTACCTAGGTAGGTACCTTACTGTACCTGATTAGCTAAAGCCCCTCCATCACTGTGAAATGACGGACAGCTGCCCTATCAGTCCCTCGAAAGTGGATATCTGGGTGACGTAACTAGCCCATCCAGGCAGAACTTGTATAAGCTCTTTACTCTGATAGGTTTAAATCCGTAACCATGTTTCCAGCTGCCGACGTTAACAATTCACATACAACATTAAACACCGGGTTCCGACTCACACACTCCAACCGTTTCAACTTGGAAGAGTTGAAGTAATCTCTGCCAGTCATTGCATTAGAAAATACAGGCAATATCAACAATCAACGACATGAGAACCGAGAGCTGAGGTGCATTATTATTAGTTAGAGGTATCATTTTTCTTTTCTATTTCCGACCAGATCCGTCATGTCCTCCGAAGATCCCCATCCCCTCGCCGGTTCAGGCGTCACGATGCACTCCGACAGCGAGCAATACTCGGCGGCAGAGGATTTATTATCCCCGCCATCATCTTCCTCACCACCTGTCATACTCTACAACCCTCCAACCGTCTGGTCCATGCTACGAGGAGTGGCTATCAACCTATTATTACCATTCATCAACGGTATGATGCTTGGGTTCGGCGAGCTGTTTGCGCACGAAGCGGCCTTTAGGTTAGGGTGGGGAGGAACAAGGGTAAGTGATTCTACAATAAACCAAAATAATAAATTACATAGAAGCGCTTTGGACTAACTACGTAATAACCGTGCTAACTAGGTCTTCCCTCTTTCTCGACGGAGAGCGCATCCTATCGGACCGGGTATCGAGATCCGTAGCCGACCTAAACCACGACCTGATTTACAAGACCTAACGAGCCTCGAGTGATTAACAAGATGGGGGTCGATATTTGTACATATGTAGAGCTAAGGCGATGGAATACGTTGCTAAGGCTTATGTATTGCCTCTCATACGGAAATACCACGTTAGAAAGGTGGATGGATAGCAAGGAGGAAATAAAAAAGGCGTCATATTTAAGATAACCTTTCGTAAGAGACCATGATTGCATGACATTCTCAACAGAATAAGCAGTTCGGGATAGGGTGAAGGGTGTATTTCGAGCCATGGTAATGTCATGCTAATACCTATTGGGCCACCCTCAACGGTAACTAGAATTTGACTAAACTCGGTTCTTACGAGTAGTGACTCGTGAGTAGTGAGTAGTGAGTTATAAAATCATTCTAGGTACCTAAGGTAGTAGTTATACCTTCTATGTGATCAGTTTGCGAGGTTAGTTGTTGTCGATATAATAACATTGACATAGATCAAGACCAGGTCAAGCAAGGTACAATGCCTTAGGTACGTACGTACCTAGCCTATTAAATTGGAGTTGGCGTTGCGGACAGCGGAAAAAATCAGTCCTATCGGGTAGATACCTAAGGCTTATAGGTGCAGGTGCACTTAAACATCCGTATCGATAAAGAAAAGTGACCCAGAGCGGGAACATAAAAAATTCCCAATGGAATTTTGTCTCGTAAGAGGTCGACCTTAAGCTTCTACAGCCTCAATTATCGCCATGCTTCCGAGCAGAGGACTTCCGAGATCAGTCCCAGCCTCCGCGCTGCGGAATACCTGGTCTGCTCGGACAAAGGTACGACAACATATAAAAAGCAAATATCCAATTGTCCAATTGACCAACTGACACAGTCGCTTTTCGTCCTTCTCTTATAGCCAACTACTCGACCTTTACATGTTCCTATAAGGCACTTTTCCCAAGTACAGCCTCGATCGACGCCGCTGATCCGAGTGGGAAGTCGAATTGGAAATATCTCGTATGCGCAGACGTCCCTTTTCACCTCCCCGGTAGCCGTTGCTGCTGTTACCGCATCCAGCGTCTTCGCTCAGCGCTCCGGAGCTTCGCGGAATCTTTCGTTATGGCCTTTCTCTTCTAAGAAGCCATCCGCCGTCGAAACAGAGCCTGCCTCTTCCTCTCCGTCTTCCTCTCCCCCAGAGCCTTCGGGGCTTATCGACAACGCCGAATCCTTCCCAGAACAATCCGTCGCGAGTGCGAGTGCGAGTGCGAGTACGAGTACGAGTACAAGTCCGGCTTCCGCTCCCGTAGATCATAGCCAGAATACCTTTAGCGACCTAGATCTGACGTCCGTCCTCGACATTCCCGAGCAAATCGGATACTTGAAGAATCTCGGGTTAGAGTTCGGCTGGGGCCCGACATCCGCCTGCGAATGGGTTCTCGAACATGTATACATATACACCGGCATGCCGTGGTGGGCCACGATCGCCGCCGTCGCTGTCGCATGGCGACTTGTTCTGTTTTGGCCCACCTTGACCGCCAGCAAGCATGGCGCGCTGCTTCATCAGCTCGAGAGAAATCCGGCCTACGCCCAAGCCAAGGCGGAATTTAACGAAGCAGCATGGAAGACTCGCGATCGCGTCGCTCAGATGCGAGCTCAAGAAAAGATCATGAGGTTGAAACGAGAGAGCGGCGCGAGCGCTATGCGCATGTTCATACCTGCCTTAACTATCCCTTTTAGTTTCTGCATGTTTCGACTGCTCCGAGCCATGGCTGCCTTGCCCGTACCCAGCTTCGAGACCGGAGGTCTGGCCTGGTTCACCGATCTGGCCGTTCACGATCCGTATTACATCCTTCCCATGACTTCCATAGCCCTGACAGCTCTCATGTTCAAGGTAAGCCTTTCTATTTAAACCCTCCTCGCTTGCACTATCAGCTAACAGACTCCTAGCAAACGAGGGATGCCAATCCGGCACAAGATCCGGCAAGGGAAAGCATCACCAAGATGATGATGTACATTCTACCTCCCGCCGTATTTCTGGGCACGGCTTGGCTCCCAGCTGGCATTCAGTGGTTCTTCCTAACCCTCAGCGCCGGGTCTGCCATCCAGACGACCGCCACTCTCAACCCAGCTATCCGCCGCGCTGCTGGTCTCCCTCCTCTCCACGCTATGCGACCCATTTCGACCCCCGCCGCCATCACTCCCACGTGGCAAGCACCAACATCCCCTAGCCAAAGAGCCGCAACCGATAAAATGGACACGGCTAAGAAGGGACTCGGCGCATCAGCGATGAGCATGTTAGGCGTCGACAAGGAGAAGGAGCAATGGAAGAAGGCTCAGCTCTACGAAGAGCGCAGGGCTGCGGAAGAGAAGGAGAAGGCGTACCGAAGGATGGAGGATCTGCGCCGGAAGCAAGCCGAGAAGGGGCGATTATGAGAGCGTGACTACCGACTTAGCTAACAGGATACGGGGGGATAACGCATCGAGGGTTGTATCATAGCATAGACGAAGCGTTAGTCTTGGACCACCTAGCGGCATCTGCTACTTGGACGATATCACGGGCTATACGTATACGCACACGTACATGTACACGTACACGTATAGGGTGAGGTATAGCACCCGTAACTGTAATTGCAGTGTATATATATCAATCAATATCAGTACATCTCTGTGCAATACCAAACTCCAAAACCCCCTTAACAAAGTTTAAATCGAGGTTACAAGCATAAAACCCACGTCCTTTGCTCGACCCCTTGTAATCCATATATTTCTAGGCCTCAAATATACCTTAGGTTAGGTACTTATACTGCATGGGTTTATATTTTTGTACAGGTGATTAATTAGCTTCTCCAGCAATACTATCCTAACCAAAAAAGTTTGATCAACATCTTTTTTTTAGATGTGATCATGCCTCGACAAAAAAACAAAAAACAAACAAATAAACCAAAACGCGTGGAGAATTACCAATAATCGCGCCAACAAAGTGGTGTTTGGTGTCGCCGTACTGTTCTTGCCCGTAGAACCTAATATCTTTCTTTCACTTAGATCTGTTTAAATAGCCTAGCATAGGTTATAAGTATGTTTTCCACCGACGCTCGAAATGGGGGGGCGGTCTCTTTTGCTTCGAACATTTAACAAAGGGGGTATGATTCTCAATTTAACAAAACTAGCGGATTTCGCTTTGTATCGTGATGAACCTTAACACAAGGGGATCGAAACGAATAACAGAAGAGTAAACGGGACGAGACGCGAGACGCGAGATCAAACGTCTCAGGTTAAAATACAGTTCCATCGGAATCGATTAGAATCGGCGGTTCTTTGGTGTTTGGTCGGCTGACCTCTGCGATTTCGCGACCACCCTATGAGTATCATAATTAGCTCTCGTTTAACAGTTCAACAACTGTAGAATTTGACCGGTGCTTACCTTCCAGCTTCCCGCCTCGAGCAGCTGTGCTAGCGTTAGCTCGCCACCATTCAGCTCCTTCTTCAGAGCCTTGTTAACCTCAACTAAAAGCATGTCGAGGAAGCCCACCGTAACGCCTCGCCACTCCACGATCACATCATCACTAGGTTCGAACATAGGTGCTACCTCGACACCCTTTGTCCCCGTTCGTTGACAGTAATCGTTGTAGTGCTGCAGACCGCGCTCGAGATCGTCCTGCTTGAGCGTCAACACCCCGAGGTCGATGAACAGACCCCCGTTCCTGTACTCGGGAAGTCCCGTTAGGAGTTCGGTTCCGGCGAATTGGATCCTAAGCAGGTTTTGCATAGGTTGCATCAACGAGTACGTGAGCCACTGCGTCAACTTGTGGAAAGGTAGAATTGATTCCCAGGGTGCGGTGCCGGAGCCTGATTGGGAATTGGGGAACGGAGAGAAACCCGGAGAGCTAGGCGGTGGTATGTGCTGCGGCATAGAAGAGCACGGCCATGCGTCACCAAGAGAGACGCCGTCGATAGCTGTCCGCGAAGGGGGCCAGATAGAAGCGAGTCCGGACATTAATACATTCCAAAGTACGGGGAGGATTACGATCGGAGATGAAGAAGCTTGCGTTGTCGGGTGCGCCAGGAGGTAGTCTACATATCCATCACCGGTCAGTCAGACGCATAAAATAGGATACGGGACTCGTCACATACCGATCATGTTACCTGGCCTTCCGTCGACACCGAAGAAATCCGTCTTTTCGGATAACGCATTGCCGAGTCGTATCAACAGCTGCGCTCTGCCCTCTAGACCGGCAATCGTGTTACCTGGGCGCGATTGCATACCCTTAGCCAATTGCTCGACGGTCAAGTTTTGAAGCCCATCCTTATCCACTTGGAACTTGTTGCTCGGATTCCCAGAGAATAATCCCTATTCCAGATATACCATGTCAGCAAATTCCCCTCCAAGTCAGCAATCAGCAGTCAACAGCTAGCCGCCAGCAGCCACTACTAAAGACCCATAACCCACAGAGCGCATACGTACAGTCTTGAACATTTCTAAGCTCGCAATCGCTAGACCCTCGGATCTCCTGTAGATGCGACCATTCTCGGCACTCTTGAAGCTCCATTCGGTTCCTGCTCCAGCATCAAGCAGCACGCTGACGAGGAATAAGTCGATCAGACGGCGACACTTTTCGGTATTATCCACATCCTCGGGAAAGGTCGCGAGTAGGTTAGCGATGCGATCCCTTCCGCCGGCGCAGAAGTGCTGGTATCGGCCGTGGGGTGGGATCGACGAAAATGGGGCGTCATAATCTCGCTGTTTTTGTTGTTCCTTCATGTCAGCAATTGCAATTTTGCCAGTAGGACACGATTCAATAAAGTAAGCGTCAGATGTTTTACCTTGATGATACCGCATACAAAACTAGCGACGTCGGGAAACTTGGCCATATCGACATCGAAATGATTCAGCTCGTTACGCAGAGCTTTGTCGGTCACAATCTTGGACCGCTCGCGAACGGAACCCAAACTTCTCAAGTAACCGGCGGCATCGAGGACAGGGTCCGGAGGCTTTGGTAGATTGATTCTGGACATCGGATGTAGCGTCATAGGCGTCATCGGGGTCATTGGAGTGGGAGGTACGCTGCCGGCTGATGCGCGATGGTTGCTGTAAGACTGCGACTGTACTCGAGAGTTGCTGGAGGATGACCCTTTGATATTGGAGTTTTCCGAGTTCAGGCTGGCCGTATCGTTTGACCCGTTCGAAGCGGAGGCGCTGACTGTCTTGGGCGCCTTAGGCTTTCTCGAGAAGAGACCCATATTGGTTTTTTTTGGTAGAGTCGGTAACAGATAACGTATAACATATAACGTATACCTAACGTATAACGGATAACGTATAGTTACCTGACGTATAAACGTATGAGGTATGTATGTGTACACGTTACGAAATATGTATGTATGCCCAATTTGCTTTTTTAGTTTATCTTGTCTCTCTCTGCTTGTTGCGTTTCCTCCACTCGTCTTTGGTCTTTTTTTTTCTTGTCTCTCCACGCGTGACAAACACCTTCCTAAAGTCTTGTAAGATCTTGAATTTTTATTTTTAATTTTTTTTTTTTTCCTGTCTTATTAGGTTCCTTTAGTTTGGAGGGACGTGGTTGGCTAGCTAGCAAAGTTTTGATATAAGTGCAGTCGGGCAAGTCAACCAGATTAAGCAATCAGATCGACCGGATCAGCAGCACGAACGGGGGAGAGAACTGGGAGAGACGGGAGGGGTAGGTACCCGTACCTAACTGAGAGAGCTAAAGGTACAATACAATACAATACAACCTTAATACAATTACCTACTAATGTCCAGTAATACAATGCTTGTACAATATTGGTTTAGGTATAGGTACAGTACCTAAGTACCTACCTAGGTAAGCCCAAGCTAAGATACATGTATTATCATGTATTATAAAGGGGGAGCCCCGTTCTTCGATTTCGGGCAGGTCTACTCAGCCAAGACAGCTAAAAGACCTACTTAAAGTAACTAATCCTCATATGTTCCTGCGTTCCTTGTAGTTTCTGATGGTACCTTATCTCGACAGGGCAATCGGACAGCTTCCAGCCAAAAGAGAGTGGAGAAAAACGATAGAACGGAGAAAAAGAAAAAGAAACCTTATATTAGAGAAATAAAAAAAATATTAAAAAAGTCCAGGGGAAACTTGTTTGAATAATAGAATAAGATGAACGAGACTGCTACGCTGTTGATGCTTATTTGGTAACAATAGTTTGCTCGACTTGAAGCTAGACGAGAGGGATGCGTTAAAGAAATTCGACACAAGCAAAAAGCAGAAAAAGCAGAATAACCCAGAGTTCATGCGTGATGCATTGCTACCTGGGGATATATGCATGTACATCGCATCTAAGCGCATGTAAAGGGAGTCGTATACGCAATCATGGCCAATGGGCTCAACAAGCGGGATATTTGAAATGATAGGTACCTTTACTTCATTATGGTAGGTGACAATCATAAGAGATATGTACGTTAGGTACAATTAGAGGTAGGTACATACTAACTAGTATGGACCGGTTACCTATCGATAGTGCGGATTATGTACCTAAGGTAATAAGTAGAAGCCGTAGCTAAGGGATCTAGAACGAAGGAGCCGTGATAGCGGCCCGGTCTTTTATTTTTCTTCTGTTTTAAATCCTCGTACGATCGTCCACAACTACGGCTACCTCCTAAGTAATAAACAACGCCATAAAAATCCCCGGGGAAGTCCTATAGTATGTCCAAGATTGAATTGCTTAAGACTGAAGCCTACCTATATTACAGTTTTTAAACTTTTCTACATAGGTAGGTAGCATCCTCAGGAGATCGATCAAGCAGTGGAGCAGCTCACCGGGACCCATCAGTGACCCATCAGTGACCCATCAGGGACCCATCAGGGATTCATCAGGATCAGCAGGAACCGCCTAACTGGGGACGGGGAAGACCAGGGATGTCAGGGGCCATGTAAATATTGTCAAGGGACCCCGAGCTAGCTTCCTATGTTAATCTTCTGATTTGTTTCCCGCCGCGCACTTACATAGTAGATAGCGCCACTATGTAGCGTACAAGCAAGGTGATAGCTCCGTTAGGGGTTTAGCCAAGCAAATCTTCTCTCTGCCCACGTTTAGGGACCTCAAAGGTAACATAGTATTTTGACAAGATGGAACGAGAATATGCCTCATGTGTAGAAGCTGGGTTTATCTTACCTACCGAGGTAGTAATAGGATCGTAATCCTCTACCAAATGGGTATTCCATTACCTACGCAAGTTTAGGTAGGTTTGGTACTTTCACATGTTCGACTTGTCGATTGTTAGAAAGTAGCATCTTCCTCTCCATTTCCCGGTCCGAACTGGAACTGGAATCACGGTCCCGTATAATCATATAAGAGTACGAGTCCTAGATTAAGTATTAGTTCAATAGCGTTTATTTCATACCCAACTCAGCTTGACTTTGGGTAGTAGTATTGCAGTAGGTAAAGGGACGAGATGACATGCAGAGATGCAACCCTACCGTACCATAATAGGTAAGTTGAGCTTGTTGTCAAAAAGCTACCTAGGTATTGTACCTTAGGTAGGTAGGTGCCGTTGTTAGGTAATCTTCAACTCAAACAACCCCCTGTAAAAAAAGAAGAAGAAAAAGAGAGAGAAAAAAAAAAGGGTCCCGCTTCATATCCTGTACGAAGCACATACGTATTCCCTAATGTCTATTCCCTAATGTCTGTTCCCTGATGTCTGTTCCCTCTTTGCGCCCAAACTCTAAAATTTTCTTTTACCCGTGCCATGGACGCAATTGTTATGGCGCCATTTTGATCGCCCAATCAACAATTCCCCCCCCTGCATCTCATTCTTGCTTAATTAAAAGACTTCGGTAACGGCAACTCAACATGTTCGGCAACGTCATTGCGTTGGCATAAGCTTTACTCGAGTTGTTTGCATACCTGTAGGACTCGGTCCGGAAGTGAATCCTTTACAATATATAACCTCAAGTCTCAAGTCGACATTTACAAATATCATCACTTACCTAAGGTTAGGTACCCGCGTATATTAAGATGTCTCTCTCGTATGCGGAAATGCGGAAATATTTAAAAATCCGACGGACTCCAGCTACAAGTCGAACTTCAAGCTTCCAGAATCGATGACAACTCGATTGACTCCCCCTAGCACGTAGAGCAAGCTATCGCTAGTATGACAGCTATGGCGCGACCGGATCGAGCATCCGCCAGTCCCAGGAGGGTCGAAAATGAAAGCAAAACATTATTAACTTGCGGGGAAGGATGGTCAACCAGAACTCGGACCCATTCTAGGTCCTCGGGCAATTACAAGGTACCTTACATAGCAGACCCGGGTATTCGGTTGTTCCACCAAGACAGCTTAGACTAGAGGTTTAGTCTCCAGCGTAGCTCGACGCGAAAGCCTCTGCAAGGTCGACAGCTCCGGACGTAGCTGCGTTGGCCGAGCCAACTTGGCCTGGTACTAGAGGTGTCCATGCAAGGAACAGACGCTCCATCCATGCTTTACCACGCTTTTCGAGTGCGTAGAATGCCCATGTCTCGCATACCACTGACAGCTCCAAGGGAGGACCAGAGACCAGATTGTATATTGCAAATCGCCAGGTAGCCAGTTAGATCCATGAATCGATTGTCTATTCGTACCAAGTAGGCAACATAAGGACGGCAATCATATAAATGATCCAATCATTCGTTGAGTGTACTTTACAAACTCTACGTCGAATAGAACGCGAGTCGAGCGTGCCGGAGCCTCTACCCATACTCGCACCTAGCTACAGTGCGCAGTAGAACAGCATAGATCCTAGTCATATACTATCGAATCCTAGAGGTTGAAAGACTTGGCCTTATCTTTACGAAGCTGGGATTACGATAAGCAGCGGGAATGGCCTGTTCTCGTCTTCATCTAGAGCATTGAAAACCCATAGAGAAGTCTTTTGGCAGGAAGTATCACTTGCGGCGTTGACAGTCTGAAGTTTTCGGTCACGAGGTAAATTCATGAGAGCGGGAAAGGCGTAATCCGCCTCTCAGTACTTAAGCTCAATAGGCTATGGACCATCTAAACACCAAGGTCTACTACGGTCTCTCCAGGTACCTAAGGTAGATACAGATACCTTAGCTACCTATTTATCTCGTCCTTGCCGCCCGGATCCCCTCAACCTTACCAGTATTCTCATGATACTGCGAGTATATTGGATCGCGCGGTGAACGCATCCAAGTCCTTCAGACCAGTCTCGAGAATTTCCAACTTCTTCCCAAGCTCGGCACGTTCCTTGATAGTTGCATCATCCTCAGATCCCAGCTTCTCGACATCATCGTCCATGAGATCCCACACAACGTCCGGCGAGAACCTAAAGCAAAGCAGTTAGCAGATACGTCGCTGTTAATCAGGTATTCCGGTTATACTTACACGCCTGGCAAGCATTGGATCAAGCAAGTCTCAATTGCATTGACGCTAACATCGTCGATGAACTTCTTCAACGCAACCTACAGATTATCAGCATCAAGATCGAAACGTTAACAAGTCATCAAATGGATACAAAGCAAAGCATACCTGGTAATACGCCGCAGCAACATCGGCTGCGAGCGAGGCCGAGTATTCCTCGACATTGGGCCGTGTTCCCACTTGCAGGTGAGTGAGTAGCTTGTGCAGAGCTACGGTGGTGGCTTGGGCGGGCGCGGTCTCCGTTGTATATCCACAGGCTTCTTCCGATAGCGTATCGAAATTCCTGTCGTGTCGCTCAGTCTGGATATCTTGTACCGTTTTGGTTAGGTAGTCATTGTAAGTGATGGGATGGATCGATAGGTGAGGTTCCAGCAGCTCGTCAACCTTGTCCTTCAAGTCACCACGAAGACGATGCAACGCCGGCTGGATATGATACTTCATGAGGCGGGTCTTGGTGTTGTCATCACATATCTCGGTGGTAATCCTGTTGAACGTGCTAGCAGCCGCCTCGTGGATCTGCTCGACAAGATTCTGGGTGATCGGCTCCCAAGGCTTACACTGCCTGCTAAATAGATCTCCAACGACGAGAGGATTGTACGTTCCCGGAAGCTCACGACCTCGACATTCCACCATGAGCTCTTTTACCAGTTCTAGGTAATCCGATCTCATCATATACCTTCTAAAAGATGCTCTGGTCGGTTCTAGGTCATCCTCGACGATCTCTAAAGCATGCCCATCAACACACATCTTCTCGGCGTAGTCGCTAAGGATCTTCTGTACATGCGCGCGTAGACGTCTCTCGAAAGCATCCTGCTGGCCGGGGAAAGACTCGAAAAACCGATCGGCGTATACCCCATCGATGCCTGCCTGAATCAATTTGGATAGGTGGCTACTAATCCGCTGGAGGTAGCTATGCTTCTCTCTCATGGTGCTACGGGCCTTTCCGAGCAGCGCTAGCTTGGTCCTACAGTCCTTGATTCCCGATTGTACTTCGGTCTTGACGCCCGGAAGTCCAGTCTGGATCTGCTTCCACAGAATGTTTCGCAACCGAGACCTCAAAGACTCCACGCCAAGATTCGACGGGTCGAGCGCGTGCCAGACGGAGTTTTCAAAGAACTCCGCCTCCCTCTTGTTTCTCTCCTCGATGGTATCGTTGGCGGTGACGTGGCTCCTGTTGCGCAGAACGTGCCATCCGAGATGCAGCTTCACGTTCTGGTTCTGAGCCAGCTCTACGTAATACCGCTCGCTCTCCGAGTCACTGTCGATCTTGTCAGGCTTTGTGATGAGACCTAGCGTTCTCAAACCAGACGGGTCGATCTCCCGAGCAAATTTGGTCACCGGCTGGTTGGCAAAGGGGTTGTCGGCCGCAACAACGGCTAAGATGATGCTACGGCGCTGCCGCATATACGATACCACGAGGTCCTGGACTAAGGCAGCGTCATCGTCTGATTGATTCTTGTCGGAGGCACCGAATAGGCCTGGCAAGTCAACCAGGGTCAAGTTGGGCGCGGAAGGCGACGTGCTCTCTATTCGCAGGATGTCCGTGCTGAAGATCTTGGATCCTTCTCCCGACAGGCCCATCGCCTCCTTTGCCGCTTCGATAATCTTCGGGAAGTCATGCTGGTCCTTGGTCTTGCCAGTAAACGACAACAAGCGTGCTCTCTCTTCCTTGTCTCGGCTAGTGCTAGGCTGGATGTGCACTTTGATCTCGGGCTTATCGCCGCGACGGAGAACCAATTCTGTAGCGAAGCGGGTGCATAGGCCTTCCGCGGTCGGGAAAGCGATTCCGGAAAGCGACTCGAGCGTGGAGCTTTTTCCTGACGATTGACTACCGCACACGATGATCTGAGGTAAGTCTACGTAGTGGCTGACACCGTGGGATCTGAGAGAGTCGACAATGTCGAGCAGATCTCGATGGTTTCTGGACTGTACCAGCCCGGAGGTCTTCTGAGAGATGTCTCGCGCAAGATCTGCAGCCATGTTGGTGTGTTTGCCCACGAGCTTCCGTGTAGAATTAGAGGTGAGAGGGAACGCAAAAAATAGGGAAACTTCAGGGTCCAGGTTTTAAGCTAATTAAGTACCTAACTTAACCTAAGGTAGCCACAAATAGGTAGCTCAGCCTGAGAAAGGTCAGGCACGAATGTAGGTAGGTATTAGATGCACCTTTGTTGAGCGGACAATAGGTACAGATAGGTCATGTTACACATGCGATATATCTGATAGATCACCTGCAGCTTTCAATGTAAGTGGACCTAAGATGGATGGTTTTGGATAGATCCGAAAAGAAGACAAACGGTAGCCTAGCTACTCTTTTATGCGCATTTGATATTTTAATGTTGTCTACACGAAATTGGGCTTAGAGTTTGGAGTTGAGGGATAGGAACAGCAGATACCCACAAAGCATGTTTTTGAGGTAAATGAAAAGACCTTGATGGCTTCAAACGATCGATTAGTACGTACAGTATCTACTTAGGTAACCTAAGGTAAGTCCTAGGATAAAGATAGGACTTCGCTTTACGATAAAATATAAAATCTATAGCTTAGTTTTTCAACGGCTACAATATCAAGAAACGGTTGGCTGCGTTTGACGGTCTAGTAGTGGTTGATGTGCAAGTTAAAAAGTCGATGTGAGGTTTCTAGAGACCTGTGTACCTTGGAAAATCAAAACCTTGGAACAATTTGTCGTTAAGCACTGTGAGCTGCTGACTGCTATGCCTTATTCCATGTAGCAAGCTATTGAGAGTGATTGTTGTAGCTGATTCTATGGGTTGTAGTGAATTCTATGAGTCACGTTGGTGAGGTTGAGGTTGTGTACACTGTAAGATCAGAGAATTGTATGTGTCAGTCTCTTAATAACATTAACAGCAACCACAAATACACAAACAGCTGCATTTATCTAGGTAGGTACCTGGTATATATTCACTGAGATACCCACCTTATGTATTTTAGTCACGTATCTACTTGAGCACCCAAGGTGAGGTATGTTATAAGTTAAATATATTATGCGCACCGTAACCACTTAGGTACGCTCGTAGTAACCAAGTCAAGTAGAAAGTCGTTAGAAGTGAGGTACCTAGCTCTTTACCTTAGCGTCTTGGTGGGGGTTTATTTAATAGTATATATTCAGCTCAATATATCGAATCGTATATATACGGCTTATAATAATGAACGGCTCAAATTTATTAACGTATCCATGTTTCCATGATTCATTAGTTGAATGGTATCCTTGCGGCTCCCCTGCTTAACGTTATAAATTTATAAAACGTAAACCTTTTAGAGCCATATAGATACGGCTTAATTGAATTGAGCGGTATGCTTACGGCTCAAAAAAGTTGAACCGCTCAAAATTCAAGAGGCTTAATCAAATAAGCTGTATGTATACAGCTTAATAAGCTTACACGTTACGATTCAATTGATTAGATTTAATTGACTAGATTTAATTGACTAGATTCAATTGACTAGATTCATTTCATTCAGTTGACTAGATTCAATTCAATTAATTCAATATGTGTGGCCTTGCACGTGGTGGTGGTGGTGGTAGGTGCGAAGCTGCCTATTAGATGCATTTATACCCCAATAAGGATGTCACACGTACGCGCGCGTACCGTAATATCTAACGTAAACCTTTTGTAGTCATTGGTCTATTTGAAAAGAGCTTGTAGCCTGTAATGTAATCTTGTGACTTGTGTAAAAAAAAAAAAATAATATGATAAAAAAAAAAAAAGTATCGCATCATTCAATTAGTATGGTTGTACCATATAATTGAAATGGTGCGGTACTTCTTTTTTCACATATGCTTGTAAACCATATAAACGGCTTAAATTTTTGAGCGTAAATATACGGCAAAATAATTTTTGAACTGCTCAAATAGGTTTAACGTCTAAAAATATAAGCGCGATGTTTTCCATTTACGGTATAAAGTGTTTCAATTTTTCGAGTCGTACATAAGCGGTATATATACGGTTTAAGAAACCCCCCCCAAGACGCTAAGGTAGTATTATGCCTAACCTAAGGCAACCTCTTAACGCCTTCAGGACCCCACCGAATACAGTGCATTAGGCAGCTCTAGCTTTGCCTTACCTTAAAAACCTTATGCATTGCAGCTCAACGCCCCACTTTCGTTCCTTTCGTTCCTGCAGCAGCTGAAAGTCATAGGGCTGTTAGTGACTTTACGACTACCCGCACGTTACCACCCATTGCCAGTCAATGCCGCGATACATACCTCAGAATCTTGCAACAAGCGTTATTAAATTATATAAGAGCCTCTCTCCCGTAACCAATTCAATGATTCTTCTTGCACACTACGCACTCAAACAAAATCGTCTAAATATCATCTCCAAAACAACCCGCCGCAGACACTCGTTGGCAACCGTTGCCCAAGATGCCTTCTCTCGGTGACAACCCTATCGAACTCATTCTCAATACGGCACTATATCTTGACGATGAAAGCCTATCGTCTCTCTCTCAGACCTGCCACGAACTCCACAACACGCTCACAAACACTCTCTATGCCCGGCACGATGAGAACCCTGCTCTCTTGACTTCTGTTTTCCATTCGGGAAATACCGGCGCCGTGGGACATTTACTCACAGCTGGTGCAAATCCTAACCTTGTCATGATGTCAAATCGAAGTCAACCCCCCATGCACTTATTCAGTCTTTCTTCAAATCTGGCTAATGGCGGATATTCGCATCATGACCAACAGGATAACCTAGTACTGCATGAAGAACCCGTTGTTCCTAGTGCCAGATTCTACTGGAGCCTTGTTCACGCCGCTGCAAGCATGGGTAGAAACGACATGATCGAGCTACTGCTTAAACATGGAGCAGAGATAGACGCCCTCTCCTACGGATATTGCAAATGCGCCATCCCAACCGGACAACAACAATTTCCCACCGGAACCAACGACGCCTGGCCTCTTTGGACGCCTCTTCACACCGCAATCTGCCATGGACACGAATCCACAGCAAGACTTTTACTGTCTCGAGGAGCCTCGATCAACGTCTCTCCAAAGCTTCTCAACGATGGCCGTAGCTACGTCACTGCTCTCCATACCGCTTGCCAGTTGGAAGACGCTTCCATAGCCCGATTCCTAATAAGCCAAGGTCATCAGACAGACCTCGACGTCCAAGACCATTGGGATTATACACCTATGACTTACGCATACTACGCCAACCGCTGGGACACTATCGAGCTCCTAGTAAATGCCGGAGCTTCGATAAACGTTCCTCTAGGATATACCAGCCTCATCCAACACGCCTGCAATTCCTGCCGGTTTTACGAGGCTCTTCGATTCACCAACTTGGGCATGGGCACAGACTTGGCAAAATCTTTCCCAGAAGATCAAAACGACGCCGATGCTGTTTCAGCTATGCTCTTCGCATGTTGCGAGAGGATGCCTGTCAAAGGGGAGCTTTTCAAGAGGGAGGAGTTCCAGGAGCAATTCAGGATCCACATCATCGGAGCACTTATCAAAGCAGGTGCTGATTTAGAAATCCGAGGCCGAATCATGCCCGCCACCGCTGATGAACGACACCACGTCGGAACCCCTCTCATAGCTGCGTGCAAGCGAAACCTCAGCAAGATTGCCAACATCTTGCTAGGTGCCGGTGCCAATATCGACGCTAAGGATACCCTTGGCCACACTGCTCTGGTGACAGTTTGCGCTCGGGAAGCCCAGCATGATCCAAACCTTGCCAGGGAGAAATTACGCATCGTAAAGGCACTGCTCTCCCACACCCCGCGACGTTACGATGATATCTACCAGGCTCTGCTACATGCCTTAATTTTTCATTCGGAAGCAGAGATAGCCGAGCTGCTCATCGACCACGCGGAACCCGGCATACTCGATAACAAGGATAGCTTCAAACTTATCGAGCACGCATTGCGCAAGAACTCCTCCGAGATGTTCGATCTTCTCGTGCGAAAAGGCATCAGAGAGCTCACTTCGGAAGAGCTCGACTCGATAATCGACAAAGTAATGCCCTTCAATGCCGAGATCACTTTCCAATGCCTCTCCAAGCTTCAGCAGGCACACGGCCCCTTAAGGAATCCACAACGCCTCTCGCATTGCATCCGAAAGGGATATTCCGTATGGGCCAAACTTATGATCGAAGCTCAGATGCCTCTTAACACCGAGTCAATCATGGTAGAGGCTTGCGCAGCCGGAAATTTCGATATCGTCGAGCTGCTCTTACGAAAAGGAGCCGATCCCAACAAACCTTCAGGCCCCGACTTTCCTCTTCACAAGGCTATCGTGGAAGACAAACTCTCCGTGATTGACCTGCTATTAGAGTACGGCGTCAATGTCCATAGCTACCCCGGAGGCCAGGAGCCCGGTGCCTTGAACTTTGCCATTACCAGAGGCCTCGACCGCGTCGTCGAAAGGATTTGCACCCACGTCAAATACCAAGCCACCCAAGAGCAACGTACGGCCTATCTAGAAACGGCTATAGGCACGAACACAGCCCATGCTCAGTACGGCAGGATCTTGTGCTCGGTACTGCGAGACACAAATCCCAACGTGGTATTGCCCATCGCAGAAGTGACACCTTTGCACCTAGCCGTAGCGCGAACCCGCCGCCTCGCCATCGTTCTTCTAATCAAAAATGGAGCCAATATACACCTGTGCCTTGGCCCGGACAACTGCTCGTCTCAATCTCCTAAAAACTCCGCTTTCTGGGGGAAAACGCCGCTAGAATGGGCCATCGATAATTCGCCCGTCGCCTGCCTTCGAGCCTTGATTGTAGATCCGTTTGAGGCTGCTCCGTACACACGCAGCTTTTGGCCCAGAACTTCGGACGTGCCGCGGATCCGTTACATCCGAGCTGCTTGCCGCAGAAACGAACCGGAGGCGATGGCGCTATTACTCCGCGAGATTCACCCCATCACCTGCGACGAGGAGGGAAATTCTTTCTTGAGCATATTCTGCCAAACTATCGACGAGTTCGGCCCGCTCATAAATCCGCACTGCCCGGTAAAGGTAACTGCTGACAACGCAGTCAGATGCGTCGTCCTCATACTCTATACCGGTGCCGATCCGCATAAGAAGAACAACCAAGGCGTCTCCGCTATGGACCATCTACGTCGCATGATGAGTTACGACGGACCTAGCACGTTCCACCAGGAGATTTGCAAGGAGTGGAATGACAAGCTGTTCTCAAATGACGAAGGCGTCCACGAAAAGGATTAGCCATCTCGGCACATCTATTTCGATGACCGGATTCCATCCTCCCCAGGAGAATATGTAAAGACCAATGGCGCTCGACCTATGCATACGAACGACGAAAGTCTCGACGTACAATCCTGATACGGAGCCGATACGGAGCTGACACGGAGCCGACCTTCCTAATCCTCCGCATGTATGGATAGTTTCCCGTACCCTAGGTACCAACTAGTTAACTGGCCCTATTCATGTGGCTTTTAAGTCGGACGTTCGACCGACAAATTTCGAATCGACTCTTCCGAACTTAGGTAGATAAATTCCACGAGCGATCTTACTCACATACGAGTTTGGAATCTCGCTAAGTTTTGCCCCAACTCCCTCCAAAACGTGTCCAATGCTGTAGTCACCTAAGCTGATGACTTGAAAGTCGATTCGTTCGTAGATGACGGTAATAGTCCTAATAGTCAACGCAACCGTACCCAGAAATGGCTTCTAGGCTGGCCGCAGTAAGCTATAAACCAAACGTCCACAAGTGCTAAATATACATACGTCTAGATGAAGATAGAGCTTCCGATGCGTACAACGTAGTTTTCACCGGCTGCTTTTCCCCATTTCCGTTCTTGATGACGATGATACTGACCTGTTATTAGTACGCTATCAATAAATTGTCAATTCAGCTTTCGCATCTGCTCGTCCATGTATTCCGAATGGAGCGTCGTTACAGGATTTGGTATCTTGTCCATTATCGTCTGGACCCGGTCAAAGAAACGGCCCTGGACTGCAGTCGTCATGACCGACTTGGCAATTATCCAACACGCGAGTATCGTGTAAGATGACGCTTGTCGCCTTGGAGCAGATAGCCATCACGCTCTCTTCCACCTCATGCGCGATAGGGAGCCGCCAAAGACTCGCGCTTATCAAGCAGAAGGTTATGGAAGCGAAAATTATCGACTCACACCGTCAGCCCATCAGCCCATCGTCAGGATAGGGTTGTAGGACCATATTCCTCACCATTGATATCGGGTGCAAATTGAATTTGGTCTACCCCGATTAAAAATATCTCCGCTGCAGACTCCAGCACCATCCTCCTAGACAGAGCCGTAAAGTTATCGATCCTTCCATCCCAACTCCCACGATATCCATAAGAACTGAGGCATTACCTCGTTAGATTCTCTCTCTAGCTTCTCTCTCGCCGCTTTCGACTTATCCGATCAAGGGCCTAGACAACCCGTGGCGTCGTAAAATTCGTTAACACAGTTAAATCATACAGCTCGTCGACTGACAGCGCTTTGGGCACCTGTTCAAACTGCCCGTGCGCGATGGAAAGCAGAACCGCCACCGCGGCAGAATTATCTTCGGGGAGGTCAACGACCCAATCGTCTCCATATTTGCCTTGATTGGACCGCCCTTCTGCGAAACCTCCGTACAACATACGGTCGAAGACTGGCGACACGCGCGCAAGAGACCTAGAACATACGGTGAAGACAACGGCTGCCGAATCGCGGTCCTGTCCGACTCGAAGTCTGACGTCACCTCGACGATCAAATCTATAAGCTGAGCTGACAGGTCTTCCTGGGAATCGTTGCTGAGGCTCAGGCTGGGGCTCGCATTACGATCGGCGAACGCGTCCTAATATACCTACATCCATTAGGGACCACGTCAGCAACCTTTAATCTTCGACATCAACCCGGCTGCCCGGAGCGTGTTTTAGTCGTAGGCTGAGTTAGTCGCCAAGAAAAGGTTTACATAGTAAACTACGCGTCGAGACAGCGCGAGCGGTAAGTACCCTAAAGTATCGGTAGAAGTAAATAACCAAAGTCCCCTAAACAGCCATATTAAAGAGTTACCTATGGATTAAACACAGCCTTATTCTAATGAGCCTCGAAGAGGAGCAGAAGGTTAGGCCACTGATACCTACCCCGTCACCTACTATGTACGAATTACCCGTCCAAACGCATTTGCAAATTCCCATGCGCCCGCCCCTAATTCCCTAATGCCGATCGCGCTGTCGCGCCGATACCTATGATGAGTTTTTGGCATTTTACCAGGTGCACAATCCGGAGCAGAGCACCTAGCCATACTCATAATATCGTTTACCCATCTAATATCGATCACGACAGCACCGCATCAAGAGCTTAGATAGTCCCTATACGCCATCCTGCCATTCGGGTAAAGGTAAAGAGTACCTAGTTGATGCTTCACCTTGAGTAGCTCATATGTTCCGAAAAGCAAAGTCGATATTTGGGCGGTAGATTAAACCTTGCCAAATCAATTTGAGACAATTGAAAAAAGGGGTTTCAATATTTGTCGTGCATCTTTTCTCCTTAAGTAGTTGAGTGGACCTCACGTCTTTAACAGTGATGTAGCATTATACATATACATTATACATTACACATGCCGAGGACTTGGGGAAGTGGAGAAGACCTCGTTTCGAACTTGTTCGTACCGGTAAACCCCGTTCTGCCCGTTCCTGAAAATGTTATGTAAAATCTAGGTACCTACAGGCATGGCATAAAAGATGCCCACAAGTCATTCGTATCCCCTAAATAAATAATTGAAAATTTGTTATTCTCCCACTGTGAGAAGATCTCTTGAAACACTAGTATGTCGGTGACAAATAATATGTTGTAATCCGGTTATCCATAGTCACATCTAATAAGCTTATATTCTATTCGCGAGAGAAGTACATTCGTCTCGGTCGCGTATTAGGTATCTATCAACATTGCATTGACGGCTAGTAATAATACATTGCTTACATCGCATTATGGGTGTGTCATAGGTAGTCGATTGCTATTATTATATGGTTAAACCCGGGACTGCTAACATGTTAACAAACATCCAGCAAAACAGTGGATTAGAAACATCGTCTCAGATAGATTCACATGTTGCTATGTCGTGATTATTATTTTTTTATTATTATTCTTATTTTTCTTATTTTTTTGGCACGAGATGCTTCTTAACATCATTAACATCACAACAACTTAGACATTGCCAAAGTTGATCATGTGGCTCTGGGAAATGTTTCGTTTTTAAATGCCGACCGAAACCAATAGAAGATGGTAGATACGTCTCAGCGTGATGGTGGACTGTATTTTAATTCATGTTAGCGTCGGTGGCTTCTGATCTACATACACGTAATACCTAGCCAGCTAGCGCAACCCCCCAGCCCCCTTGGCATCCTCAAGTACCTAACCTAACCTATCCGCCTATACCTTTATAAGTTAAGGGATGTTCTCAGGTTGACCGGGCTGTTTCGTCGCATCAAAATTCTGGGTCCTTCAACTAGCAGATCTTGGCCCCAACACCTCCGATCGAAAAGCCCCTCGTGGTCTACCGAATCAAGATATTCTCATCGTGACTTACATGCCTAAGGTGACCACTGTTTAATCGAAACACTTTCAAAAAAGAAGTTATGATGGTCATAATGGTAGTTCTAATAAAGTTTTACTCAGATTTACCAGGTTAAACCCTCACGCCCCGACGTTGGCAAATTCCCGAAGCTGTGGAACTCCAGGCATTTATTATTAGCATCCGGATCGTGATTCTCGGGATTCTCGGGTGCCAAGACGGCCGGTCGCATAAGCGTCCCGCTTTTTGGATCTCGTATAAGTCACAGCCACTCAATGCTTTCGACCAATCGTCCCGGCCGCCGATAATTCATAACCCGGGCATTCAGCCTCCCACCATCCAATGCTCGTATAGAATAAACGTGATTGGGGCTCGTTTCCCTAAGTGACAAACATACGCATAACGCATATCTTAGGTACCTCTACCTAAGGTACCTAGTAGGTATTACGTATTATACACTACCTTAGGTAGATATAAAAACTTGATTTGCTCGCATAAATGGAGCATATACGCATATACACGCTACGTACACGTGCCCGTACCCGTACCGTGGGAAGAAGGGTGGAAGGGTGGAAGGGTGGAAGGGTGGCCACACAAGAACATACATAGTACCCTTTAAACAATGCTGATCATGGTGCCATATGTCATGTTTCCATTTGGTCTTTCACGCTTCCTTCTTTTTCTACTTACTCTTCATCCTTTCGCTCTTTGATCGGTTCCCCGAGTAGTTCTTAGTCTACTATTCTTGCTTTTTGTCGTAGATATCTGCAATAAGAAAACTGGGCGAATTTACGTCTCCATTTATACACCACTTGTATCTTGCATCTCGCATCTCGCATCCTGCGACTTCATTCGCTTCACACTTCCCGACGCGCTACTACTTGTAATGAGAACTTAAGATGGATCCCCCAGACCACCAGCCCTATTCTAGAGGGTACGAGCTGAGGGATATACCCCCCGGAGAATCAACTGTACGTTCGACTTCCATCCCACAAATAACGAATAAAAAAAAGACCTTCTCTAACCCGCATCGTAAAAAGGATCACCTCAACTACCCCGAACAAGAATCATACGCCGACAGACCCTACTCCCTCCACGATCCCCCCGTCCACAGCTACGATTCGGAGAGGCTCGACCGTCCTATCTCCCCCGCATCCATATATAGCGGCGACACTGCCACCCGAGGACTATATCACCTGCCTCCCGCGTCGACGGTGACCCAAGGTGCTGACGATTTCGAGCACAATAACCTCGGCGAGGGATTCGCATTTGGTAGACCTCCATCAACCTATAACGAGCTAGAAACATGGGCGGAACGACAGCAGGCTCCCCTCGAGACCCTAAACGGAGGGGGGATCCGACGTCGCAACACTCGAAAGATCAAGCTCGCTCAAGGTCTGCAAGGTTCGGTCCTGAGCACCGAATATCCGGTACCCACACCTATCCGCAACGCCACCGAAGCCCAATATCGAGACATGGAAGAGTTCAAGACGATGAGGTACACGGCGGCCACGTGCGACCCGGACGACTTCACCCTGATGAACGGATACGATCTCCGCCCGCGCATGTATAATCGGCATACCGAGCTCGTAATAGCTATCACCTACTACAACGAAGATAAGATCCTGTTCGCCAGAACGATGCACAGCGTGATGCAAAACGTCCGAGACATAGTAAAGCTCAAGAAGACGACGTTCTGGACCAAGAGCGGACCGGCTTGGCAGAAGATAGTGGTCTGCCTGATATTCGACGGTATCGAGAAGGCTGATAAGAGCGTGCTGGACGTGCTAGGAACCATGGGAGTGTATCAGGACGGCGTTCTGAAGAAGGATATCGATGGCAAAGAAACCGTCTCTCACATATTCGAATTCACCAGCCAAATCTCCATCACCCCCGACCAGCAGCTCGTCCTACCGAAGGAAAACGACCCCGCCAACCTTCCTCCCGTGCAGCTCCTGTTCTGCCTGAAACAAAAGAACAGCAAGAAGATCAACTCGCACCGTTGGCTCTTCAACGCTTTCGGCCGCATCCTAAATCCCGAGGTCGTGATCCTCATCGACGCAGGAACTAAGCCGAGTCCTAAATCTCTCCTCGCCCTGTGGGAAGGCTTCTACAACGATAAAGACCTCGGCGGCGCGTGCGGCGAGATCCACGCCATGCTGGGAAAGAAGGGTAAGAAGCTGCTCAACCCGATCGTGGCTATCCAAAATTTCGAATATAAGATTTCCAACGTCTTGGATAAGCCTCTGGAGAGCTCCTTCGGTTACGTCACCGTCTTACCGGGCGCCTTTTCCGCCTACCGTTTTCGAGCCATCATGGGAAGGCCCCTGGAGCAGTATTTCCACGGCGACCACACGCTGTCGAAGCTCTTGGGTAAGAAGGGTATAGACAACATGAACATCTTCAAGAAGAACATGTTCCTCGCCGAGGATCGAATTCTCTGCTTCGAACTCGTGGCTAAAGCAGGCCAGAAGTGGCACCTAAGCTACATCAAAGCTGCTAAAGGAGAAACCGACGTTCCCGAAGGTTAGCATCCCCCTCGTCTGTTTTTGTCCGGCAAGATTGACTCCCATCTCGCATAAACTTTGCTACTTTGCTACTTTGCTCTCGGATACCTATCGCAAAGTCCGAGTGTTCGCTAATCCAATAGACGACTCGCTAACGTTGAATAGGTCCCGCCGAATTTCTCAGCCAGCGACGACGTTGGCTGAACGGCTCCTTCGCGGCGACGCTGTACTCCCTGATGCATTTTAACCGGCTGTACAGGTCAGGCCACAGCATCATTCGGATGTTCTTCCTGCATATCCAGTTCCTCTACAACATCGCCCAGATCCTGTTCAGCTGGTTCTCCCTCGCTTCCTACTGGCTTACGACCATCGTCATCATGGACCTCGTCGGCACTCCCGTTCCCGAGTCTAACTACCACGGCTGGCCGTTCGGGGACGTCGCAACGCCCATCGTCAACGTGCTGCTGAGATACCTCTATCTGGTCTTTATCCTCATCCAATTTATCCTCGCTCTCGGAAACCGACCCAAGGGTTCCAGGCACTCTTACGTCGCTTCGTACGCCGTCTTCGGCTTGATACAGGCCTACATCATCGTCTTGTCCTTCTACCTCGTCTTCCGCGCTCTGCAAACCCCCATCGCGGACGAGATAGATACGTCCAGCGCCGCGGCGTTCTTCGTCAGCATGTTCGGGGGCGACAGCGTCGTCGGCGTCATCCTGCTCGCCATCATCACCATCTACGGCCTAAACTACGTGGCCTCCTTCCTCTACCTGGATCCCTGGCACATGTTCCACTCGTTCCCTCAATATCTGGTGCTCGCATCTACCTATATCAACATCGTCATGGTCTACGCCTTCAACAATTGGCACGACGTCTCCTGGGGTACGAAGGGATCCGATCAGACGGCGGCGCTACCGTCCGTACACGTCACCAAAGACGAGAAGACCAACGCCCCGATCATCGAGGAAGTAGAGAGGGAACAGGAAGATATCGACAGCCTGTTCGCCAAGACGGTATACAGAGCTCTCGCTCCGGTCGAAGAGGAGGAGGTCGTGGAGAAGAAGGATACGGAAGACTCGTACAAGTCCTTCAGGACCGGTCTGGTAATCACTTGGATATTATCCAACCTGCTGCTCATCGTCCTCGTTACGAGCGACGAGTTCGAATCCTTGGGCGTAGGGGTAAGTACCTACTCAGCAGCCACTCTCCGCAACCGGTTCGTCGCTAACGTGATCGTACAGAAAGCTTCCGACACGCGAACTCCCGGGTATTTCCGCTTCCTCCTATACGCTACCGCCGTGCTATCCATCATCCGCTTCATCGGATTCCTGTGGTTTTTGAGCAAGACCACCATCATGGGCTGCTTCGCTAAGAAATAGATTCGGTTACGAGCGAAGCGCCAGGCGTTTGGGAGGGGCGGTTGCATCGCTGGATGGTTTTCTATATAAAGAAAAGTGATTTCGATAGATCTGGGGCGCTTGGGTATCTGGGTTGGACATCTTGATTGGAACTCACGGAACGAATGGCTCTCGCCGGTACGATCTCGTTTGGGTGAGGTCTCGGGAGGCATAGCTGTCGAATCTAATATCATAATTCTCAAGTATTTATTTTTTCGTCATGATATAGCATGGTGGACTGGAGCATCGGAGCTAGCTATTGATAGTAATCGCTGCATCCCTGAATCGGTAAGGTGATCAGGTATAAGTTAGAAGCATTGATGATGGTAGACATGTAACTGATTTATTGGGACGCGAATCATATTGGCCAGGGAATCAGATAGTCAGCTTGAGGATCCTCACTTTCGGGGTGCCTTTGTAAGTTAAGATTGATACCGTAGCATGAAATATTGTTTGTATTACATACCTTCTCATGTTACCGCTATGGACATGCGCACTCGTTGGGCCTTGGCGAAAGCATCGTCAAGATTTAATACGGGTATTGTTCTCGATGTGCGCAAGGTATATTTTAATAAAAAAGCTAAAGTTGTGCTTTAAATAGGTAATATGCTCCACAAATTAACCGCTTAAAATTTAATATATTTTTAATATAATTATAAATAATTTAATAAAAATAATTAAAAATTAAATTAATTATTATTATTAAATAATGTTTTTATTATTTTATATTGTTACGAACCAACAGCCGAGGAGATCACGTTCAGGCCTGGAGCGGGGTCTCAATATCCCTTGGTACGGATAAATCTTGGAATAACCTCATGGAGGGTAGTGATCTAGGTAATTTGGAGTGATCTTGTATAATCTTGACCAGATCAACCAGATCACACCAGATCACATAGAAATGCTATGAACGATAGCAACAGGAAGTAGAAAAGGCATTTCATATAACTATCGAACATTTCTCATATATCTATTCATTCATTTCAAGCTCATCAGCTATCAATCTAAATCTTATATCTAACCTATATAAGGAGAAGGACTCTAAGCTTTCTTGACGAACACTTCAACGTTTATTTTGACACTTGACTCGTATCGTTACTGTTTACCTGAAAATCAAGACCCATCGGCACTATACTCTAACGGACCTGAGTGTAGGTTCGTCACACCTATTTTAATTGAGAGGTTTGCTAACCACACTACCAAGAACTGCTATCAAAGGCTTATCCGCAATACTAACAAATACATACAGCACCACATCTACGTATCAACCTATACACTCGAATAACTTTACATCGAAGGCCTCAAGATAGATATAGTATATATCATGAGAAATGTCTAATTAATCCGAAACTAGAAACACAACTTTCGTATCTTGCATCCTAAAGGTAGTGTAAAAATTAAGGTAGATACGCATAAGTGGTGGTGGTGGTGGCCTTAGGGGATACCACGTGATGCCCCTTTTCGCGAAACACCCAACATTTAATTGATTACATTTTCGAATAGCTTTTGAAAGAGGGCATGCATCGAATCGGTATTTATATTATTAGAAAGCCCTAACTGATGCGAAAGTAGCGATATAGATTTTATATTGTACTTTGAGATTGATGAGGATATAATGGTTGATGCGGTGGTCGCGGTGTTTACCTGTTTTTTAATAGGTGTATCTTTGAAGTGATAACTTGGCTATTGCCTTTTTTTACTGTTGGAAGGATTTAAATAGACTTTATAATTTTAAATTATGGCATATACGCCTAGGTCTATTCGACCGGGAGAAATATAACCACTCAACATGCGCATCGCTAATGAGATATAGCAGTCGTCTAGCTTTATAACCGTTAGTCGCCGTTCACTTTGACTACCGTCTTTCCCAATTTATTCCCCTGCAGCATCTGAACAAACGCGACCGGCGCGTTGTCGATCCCGACCACTACCGCCTCCTTAGTCTTGATCTTCCCCTCGGCGACCCAGTTGATCATATCCGTCGTGAAGGATTCCAGGTACTTGCTGATGTGTTGCGGATCGGAACAGACGAACCCCTTGATGGTGAGGCGCTTCAGAAAGATGTTCATCCCCGTCTTGATGCCATACTTCTCCTCGTCGAGGAGATTATACTGCGACATCATCCCGCTCGCCACTGGAGACACTCCCGGTCAGCATTCACATCCCATCAAAACACAAGACGCGTCATAAATAATGGGAGTCATCACCTATGGTCCCGTAGTCTTTCATCGCCGTCAAAGCAGTCTCGAGCTGCTCGCCTCCTACATTGTCGTAATAGACATCTATACCCTCCGGTGCCAGCCGTGCCAGCGCGTCTCTGGTTGTCTCCTCTTTATAGTTCCACGCCCCATCGAAGCCGAGCTCATCCACTAGAAAATCAACCTTCTCGGAGCTTCCGGTACTGCCGATAACTTTCATCCCGTGCATCTTGGCTAGCTGCCCCACCACCTGGCCTACGCCGCCGGTGGCCGCCGAGACCCAAAAAGTCTTCCCCGATCGAGGCTCCGGCACGAGCTCGAAAAAGCTGATATATGCCGACAAAGCCGGTACGCCAAGCGCGCCGAGTATTGCCGAATGAGAGATCGTCGCTCCCGACGGGAGAGGAGGGCATGGACGAGTTATATTTGCCAGCTCTGCCGGTACGGCGGCATACTCGCCCGCGTTAGCCATGGCCAACACGACGTCGCCCGGCTTGAATCGCGGGTTGTCGGACTTGAGCACCGCAGCAAGCGTGGTGAGCACAGCTGGTTCTCCTTCTACCCAAGCCGCAGAATAAGTGCCCCCCTCCGTCGGCAGACGCATCTGGCCCCGCATGTAAGGATCGAGAGATAAATACATGTTCTGAACCGTAATACCTCCAGGAGGCGGAGCGGCGTCCTCGTCGAACGGGCGGGACTCGACCGTCAAATGCACCCCGGGAACCGGCGAATGCGGCGTGTAGAGCTTATAGATGAGCGTCTTGTTAGGATGCATGGCGGAGGATAATCACAAGTACTCGAGCTATGGAAATTATACCAGCAGATAGAGGGAAACACGACCTCGGACTTTGACAGAGATCTACAACGGAGAGAGTGCAAGGCAAGATGTTCGTTTTACCAACTTACTCCGCCAGACCTTACGCCCCGCAGCAAGCCCGGCCGATTTATGTTGAGGAATTCTGAATGCGGGGATCGGTGGCCTGCTCGCTCATAGCCTTTGGATCCGAACGGGTACCGATGCGACGGTACGAGCCAATTAGAAGCGCGATGTAACCTATAAACCTGTATCGCAGCGGCGCAGTACTCTTGGTACGTATGCGAACCCGAACATGAGCACTGGAAGATTCGGAAATGCGTAATTATCATTTGAAGCAACTAAATAAGGTACCTAAGATATTGAACATAATTAGAAGATGGGTTATCCGCGTAGCTGATCAATTAAGCGTTGCTTACAATAGAATTACAAAGACGGCGATGTTAGGTGTAAGCGATGCACTTCCCGTATGAACCTGCACACTCAATACCACCAATCGTGAACAACCGCTAGGGCACCATTTCAGATTGCTGGCCTGTAGAGTTCTGTCCTAGCTGTCCTCCTAGATCAAATACATAAATACGTAGTGCGTTCTCTATTATAACCTTCCAAATGGTCCTCCGGATGTATCTCTGGTATGCCGATATGCGAGACCCAAGCCTCGCCCACCACGCGACAGTGATCTTGAGCAAAGATCTTGGGCGACCTTATAGTTAGGGATCTATCTTTGATACAGCAGAACATTCCCTCGTCCTCTAGACGTTGATAGTTCCCGAAAGCCCTAGGCAATCTACAAACATCCGGGCTACCTCGAGGTTTCCACTTGTCGCTCCACGATATCTTCACCAATAAAGCTCAGAAAATTAGATAACTACCTAGGTAGGTAGTCTTACATTAAACAGAATCAACTTGATTCAATGCATTACACGCAAGGGTGCCTCACATAGCTAGTATCGAAAGGGTCATGTAGTTGGGAATTGATTCCAGTTGATTTAAGGGGGTTCCCCATAACCGAATATTTGTATGAGAGATTCTTAGGGGCCAATTGGTATTAAGTTGTAGCTGCGATAGCTCCTTTATCATAGAGAAGACTTTTAAAAAACTTAAATCAATTAAACCTCTATGATACAAAGTTAGAAGATCAATTTTACAATTTTTGGTGGTGAAGATATTACAGAGTGACGCGGCTACCTAATGTTTTGGTGCAAACGGATGGTTGCCCTAGTAAACCTTTTCCTTGACGAAACTTACAACTTCCAGGCATCTAATCGTTGCCAAGGTGCCTTGTGAAAAATTTTCAGTGTGCCAGCTGCTTTAGAATTGCCTTAGGCAGGCACAAATCCGTATTGCTCTTGAATTTTGGTTGCCTTGGGAAAATTTCTAGGTCAGAACTTGCACTCCCATTCTTCAACCCTAACCTCACCAACCACAACTTGATCACAACAATATTATTTTTACTCAATCCTAACCAACCATAATAAAAATGACAACCTTGCTACCACAATTATTCTTTATCCACAAATCATCTTGATGGTTGATATTATATATGGACGAGTTTTTCCCTCGTCCTTCCCTAGTAATATCTTTCTTAGACATCATCAATACACCAGTCTCACCACTTTGTTTACTGCTATTCATTCTTACCTACGTACCTACCAACACATCTAAAGGCTTTCGCTATGATGGCTTCGTTTGCCAAGTATAATCACAACACTCGCAACGGCCTGTAACTCTACCTTCCGACCGCAGTTAGTACAACTAACAACCAGTATAAAGATCTAACCAATACTAATAGAATTAAGTTAGATACCGAAGAGAAACAATTATGAAGATCGCAATCTATTAAGCAACAAATTGAAGATGTCAACACCCACCAAGCTCTCGGGTTAGGGAGCTTCCTGGCCAGGGCTTCATGTGTGCCTCGCAGTGGTACGGCGAGATATAGAAGCATTTCAAAGAGGTAAGTCTCGGAATCCGCTCTCGTTATCTAGTATGTTCGTTTACTGACCTAGGTCTACAGTTTCTAAAGGGTCTACGTCTGACGATACTTGATCGTGCCGACTTTGAATTCAAACATTATTTCTCAACAGAAACCTTGCCTATCTATTCGACCCTATTCTATTTCAACCTTATTCTCTTTGCTTACCTTCCCGGCTTTGACGTGGTTATTACCAGTCAACCCAGTATTTGACACACCTCTAATACACAATTCCATCGCACCTAGTAAGTTTAACACTCAACAGTATGTCTATTGCTCGAAGTTTCTAACTCAGATTCCAAGGACCTTATTTCTAACACTATCTTATCACCGAATTTACTTACCTACCTGTTCTTTGACACGACTCTATTGCCTTTTCAACTACCCGATACCCACACAACGCGTGTACACTCACTATTTATCCGTATAGTCAGCTATTATCCATCATCCATGTCCCAGCCTCACAATACTGCAGTCATGGTCTCGAACGAAACTGGTGAACTCGCTTGGATGGCGAAGCAGGAGCAGATCGATCGCTTCTTCGACCGTGTAGAAAAGCGTCGCGCTTCGGCTGCCTTCATCCAAGGTCCCCACGCTTGCAGGAAGAGCACCACAATGCTAGCGCATCTCCTCCTCCAGGCGCACGCTAAGGTTCCCGGCGCCCCGATGGTCTACATTCTCTCTTCCCCTCTGGAGGCGGCGCTACTCGCCATATACCTCGTCTCGGAGCATTTCAACAGGCAACTCCCCGTCGCTCTAATACGTTTGGGGCTCATGTGGTAAATCGCTCGTATGAGATGGTCTATCCGGCGGACTGGCTCATGATCAATCCCGCCGCCATGCAAAGGGTGTGGGATATCATCGAAAAGCTTGAACGGGCTTACGCGCTTCCGGCGGCTGCAGACGGTGAAGAGCTGAGCTTGGCAGGGTTCACCGTCGACGAAATTAAGTCCGTGGAACGCGAGCTTGTGTCGGCTTATCGCCATAACCTCGTCGTAATCTCCAACGACGTGCGGAATCGGCCTTTTGACGTTGTGTCCTCCAAGGAAGTTAGGGTCGAGGAGGGAGAAATCCTGAAGATCCAGAACGAATGCCAGGAGGGTGCTTTCTGCCTTGGCATCTATTCCGAGTTGGCCATGACAGGTTCGGATTACTTCGCACAGGATGCCACCTTGATACCTGGCGAGCTGCTCAAAGAGGTTGAGGAGCATACGGGGGTTAGGATTGCTGATAGCATCGCGTCCACGTTTACCAACTAGACGAGGCGGATTAGAGTAGATTGGGAAGCTTTGTAACGGATGACAAGAACCCCTTAGGTTCGTCCTTGATGTATTTAACTTATTTCCATTGATCATCGACCCAAGATCACCAACGCACCAACGCACCAACGTACCAAGTTCTACACATACATACCTACTTAGATATCGGGAGTTTCACTTGAGACTCCTTGGAACAAAGGACTTATTTTGTATATAACTTTGGCTTCAAAGCAACTGTAGTTAGAGTTCCTTGCGGAACAACGAAGTGGTTTTACCTACTGCATGCTCTGCGGCGTGACAGTTCTACATGTACATACCTAATTAGAGGTAGCTATCACCACTCACATAGCACGTTTAAAACGTAATCGCATAAGATTCCAAAGTTCAATTCTAAATTTTAAAACTACCCCTACCGTACTGTCAGAGAGATCCCGTGACGTACATCGTACGTAGAGTGAATACCAAAGACAGTACCTACCTAGGTAGGTAGGTAGCACGTACAAAATATTAAGTATACTACCTAGTGATCTATTAGCGGTTGCCCCTTAAAGTACCTTTGAGGGAGTAACGTGCTCTTTAGATATAGGTTAGGTACTTATCCTATTTGTTAGAAATATAATAGCACGTCTACAAAAGGGGAAGGCAATAGTAAGTGATCAGCCTGACAATAGCTTCAATAGACTAAACGATCAATCTAACCATATCTCAATATTGACAACGCTAACATCGATAACGCCTAACTCTCTCTCTCTCTCTCGATCTCTTAATCTCTCTAATCCTTTTATGGTCAAGCCCTCAGACCTCCCCAATCGGTAATCCTGATCCGTACGTCCGTACGTCGACTCTGTATACGACATCCATCACTGGGCATATCCTGATATATACGTAGCAGAGAACCCTGCCATATCCTATATTCCAGACAAGGGCCCTCCACGGGAAATGTCATCTACCCGCTTGACCGTTCTCATGATTGTGCAATACTCAGTCCGGAGCTTGCAAACCCTTTCGGCCCTATTGTTAACATACTTCTGCTCGTTCCCATATGATTAGATGGATCATAGCTCCTGTCTGACAGTAACCGTAGGTCTAGGCGACATATTTAACACACTTAGACACCTAATCGCCATGCAAGTCTCCAACACGATGATCATACCAAGGTCCCGGCCCCTAGATGCATTCAGGTTGTTCCGCAAGGCGTAAGGTCCGCTAACATATGACATGGGTTGGGAGAAGGGCCTTGACCGAATTAGTCGTATGCAAGGCCGCCGTTCAAAGTGGGAGTATCAAGTCGGTGTCATTAACGGACGGACATAGGCATTATTACTTTCAGCGTTACAGTTTACTTTAATTTGTCTACGTTAGTTTCGAAGTCTACGTAGTCACACCAAAACAAACGTGGTGGAGGAGCTTTCCTAGTTTCGTATTCAGGCGATTATTAAAAAATAGCTAGGTACACGGGTGTCACGTCAAATCCTCTTCTCATTATCCTCGATGCAAGAACCGGCCGTACGCCTCGACTTGCTACCAGAGCGGTGGCCGTAGTTTTGAAACCCTTTGAGAGGAAAATTTTTAAAGTTAACTTCATCTTTAGGATCACGCATTTGCGTGTCTTCCCTAGGTGCCGCCGGACGCTGACCCTGCTAGAACTCTTCTCCCTCCTGTTCGACCTGCATAGCTTCATATAGGTACTCGGTCTGACGAAGGCGCCTCCAGTTCAGGAGCATAGCGTCGTAAGAGCAGGTCAGCGGGTCCGGTCCCAGCTGCGCATTCCCTGAAAGATAGGCACTTAAAGTCTCGCCTGTTATAGCGAGACTAAAAGCTCGAGTTAGAGGGTATACCTCCAACTTTGTCTTCTCGGCGGCCATCGCCAGGTCGACCCAATTCCACTGCGCACACCGGACAGCAGGGAGACCCGAACGATTCGCCACGAGAGTATTAAATACCTGGAGCCCAAGCGGAAGCCTGGTAGCTACAGGGCATTCGTCCCACGTGTGATCCATAGAATTGTGAATCACACAGCCAGGAATCAGCCCATCCTGGTCTACGGGGCCAGGGCAAGACGACAGGACGTGCTCCACCCGCTTGCAATTTGCGCAAGTATGAAGGCTGGGACCCTCAGGAGGAGCTCGAAATTCGAAGTTCGGCTGGGAGGAGGCGTTCCCACGCGTACCACGGTCGCCAGCCCCTCTCTCAGGTGGATCCATCATCCTCGTGTCCTTCTGGTACTCATCCTTCACCTCGTGCTCCTCCTCCTCGCGGTGGCGTGGGCCTTGCGAGTGTGCTGCCGCGTGCTCAAGCTCCTCTCGCTGCAGACGCGCGCGCTTTCGCTGGGACCTGTTCTTCTTCCTCCTCTTGGCCCTCTGTTCCTGGGTGGCAGGGGCAGCAGGGGCGGCAGGCAGAGGTTGAAGAGCTGCAGCCTGGATGGGAGCGGGAAGCTGCGCGCCGGTGCGGATGTTGTCCGGGCCGTCCAAACGGTCACTGATTATCCCCCGGTTTCGAGAACCCCGGTTTATGCGTGTTAGTTGCACCAGGGTTCGGGGCATTGTCCCGTTGTTCTGCTGGCGCTAGGTGGGCAGCAGCAGCTCTCCTATGACGTGGCCTTCGTCAAAGACCCCGGTCATGTAATTTCGCCCTTGCACGACGAAGTTTCTCGCCGGTTGGGCGTTGAGGTCGGTCATGTCGACCAGGCGACCGCGGTGGTAACGGCTTTCGACCTCGTCCTGCTCATTCAGTGCAACGCGTCCGGACAGGCCATCATTGGGATCCAGATGTAGGAGTCCCGAGCCACGCTGCTGGTCTGCGGCTCGGTCTCCTCCAGTCGCTCGTGCGAGCTGATTCTGGGGTTGGCTAGGGTTCGCAGCCTGAGGGTGGGCACCCGAGCTGCCTTGCGCGTTAACGCTCGGCTGCTCGGAGCGACGACGTTCGTCAGCGACCTGCGTGTGAACCTCCGAGCCGCCTCGCGCGTTAGCACTCGGCTGCTGGGAGCGAGGAAATTGGTTCGCGTTCGAGTCTGCCATGGTAATGATAGTGATAGTGATAGTGATAGTGATAGTGATAGTGGTAGTGGCAGTGGTAGTGTAGTGGTAGTGGTAGTAGTAGTAGTGGTAGACTGTTATGGCAGACTAAAACGCGAATGTTGTTGATGTAAGAAGAAAGAATTTAGGAATTTTGAACCAGAAAAAAAAAAAAAAAAAGCCTTATGTGTGCGCGATAAGGCAGCAGTGGACGTGCAGATGGCGGGGGTTGCGGATGTCCTCGCTATGGAAACGTGATAAGTGCCTAATCCAGAGTGACTTAGGTACCCCTAGTATTGTTATTGCCTTATAGAGGTACTTGGAAGATTTATTATTACCTTGATAAGCATAGCCTACTTTGCCCTTGGACTTTGGGGTTCTAGCATTTGGTAACGGGGCCCGTCTAGCCTTTGGTATTCCCTACGTACAATGCCACATTGGCTTAGGTAGCTATCTAGATGTTTACACCTGCATCGTCCTTGATATGATGCGCTGGTAAATCTGATGCAGAGGCTCCATCCGAGGCTAGGTGCCTTACGTACCCCTACGGTTGTTCACCTGAATATCCATTACCTTTCCCAATGCCACGTTCTTGTACTCAGACGATTAGCAATCTATTGATTGCGGTCTCGTAGACGTTGTTACGAGACAGTAAAATAATTACCAAGTTAAGTTACATATCGATGAAGTGATGAGGGTATCTTAAAGCTGCTACCTAGTTTGTACGAACCCAAAAGTATTACTGGGTACCTTTCGAGTTGTCTTATCCCCGAGGGACACAAATAGGGGCAATTTGTTAAGCAGCCAAGCCATATCCAAAACCAGACCTCAACCGGGATGGAGGAGACACTGTACGCTACGAGGACGAGCTACCCAATTCACGCATTGTAAGCCTCGTTACTGAACAATATGTATAAAGTAGGTTCAGCTATATATCTAAACTTGGTCAATAACGGAATGAGGTTATGTTGAATCTACCGTCTTACAAGGTGTTGTCGATATTAGCTTCGACGCGCCTACGCTAATGTAACCTAGCGGGTTCCCAAGGTTATACCCCAGATTTACCCCTGCCAAGACGCGAGGCCAATCGGAGATTAGCTACCTTGCAGCCGCCCCCTCGTCATGAGCGGCAACGGACCAACAGATCAATAACGACGTTGACGAAAACCTCTGTTTTGACTTGGTACTAGTCAATCCATCCCTGCATTTATGCGACGTTGCGCCAGTGTATCAGATACCTCAAGGCCAAAGGCGCTGTAATACTAACCACAGGTAATTCGACAATAAATACCAGGCTTCAGCCCGCTGTAGTATTTCTTCCCATGTGCTGAGGAACCTGCGGCTAGGTATTGAGCCGTCACTAGAGATGGGGCTTTCCTTTCGTTGGCCCAACATAACTGTGGCTTACAAGGAGCTATGTGAAACATAGTTGGTGGTACAAGGAGATGAAGATTACATAAGATGTAAGACCCACCAGTATTCCATATATTCTGGCTACTTCGAAAGTGTGGAGTTCCTTCTCTGTTTCTTTTTAGTAAATCTGTTGTCACATATTGTATTTATTTATTGTAAGATGGCACAGCGACTAGAGGAGCTTGATCAGCGCTTGGGAGACTGCGAGCTGCAGGACCGGGACCTTCCAGATAGGGGTCGCCGCTCCGCCGCCGCAGATGGGGCTTCCGCTCGTATGACGGAGCTCGTCATGAAGGAGGATCATTTGAAGAACAGGGTCAACAACGTGAGAGATGATGCAACGGAGTACATCGCTACCATCAGCCCTGGCCTTGAAGAGGTCGGAGAAGTTAACCCTTTAGACGTGGAGCGGCTCCAACATACAACCATCTCCCTAGAGAATACCGTGTTCGAAACGACGGTAACTATGGTTTTAGCTCGCGAGGGCGCCCTCAATAGGATTAGAGACATGGGCCATCAATTCAAGCGCTCTTTATTCAACGCAGAAGTAAAAATAGCCCACAAGGAGCTCAACCAGGCTGAAGGTCGTCTCGCCGTATTAACCTTCGACCTCGAAGCTAACGAGGCTCACAACCAGGAGCTGCAAACCAACTTAGCCATGAGAGATGGGACGATCGGATCCCTTCGACGCTGGTTCCGAAAGCAGTTGGATAAGAAAAAAGCTTCGATTAGAAGCCTTAAACGCCAGCTTCGAAACCGTATCGAAGCCCATATATTTGTGGACGGCGAGGTCGAGAGGCTTGAGGCCGAAGTCCGAACCCTCGAGAGGCGCGGTGCGGAGCAGCAAGCTGAAATTTGCCAGCTTCGTGTCGACGTAACCAGTCTCGAAGAACAAATAAATGATTTAACCATAGCTCTTGGTGGCGCGGAATTCCAGATTAGGTCTCTGGGTGACCAGGATCAGCTCGTGGCCGAGTTCTTCGCGTCTAGATGCGACATCCGTCCTGAACGGGAAGACCTCCGCGTCTGGACTCCTTTTGTGAGAGGCGTCCGACGTGCCTGCTGGGTTGCGGGTCGCGAATGCGTAACGCCTTGGACCTTGTTACCGCCGTGGGGACTTACGGAAGAGGTAGACGTAGCTCCCGAGCCGGAGCGGCGTGCTGACATCGTCGGGCTCCTCGCCCACACATATCGCGCGGCAGCCCAAGGGCTCGTAGGTCACAGGCTCTTACGAGCGTTGACCCAGCACCTAGCTGGGGCCGAGATGCTACCCATCGGCGTGATAGCGGCCGTCCTAGACAGGCTAGTAGCCTTCGTCGAAGATGGGTCTGTGGAGGACGACCTCACGCTGCAGCTGTTCGCAGCCGCGCTTCTGCAGGCCGCACGATGTGTGCGCGGTCGGGTCGAGGGGACGGATTCCGGCTTGGAAGATGTACACTCTCGTACCGAGAAGATCGTTGCGAGATCCGGTGCTCCCATGACGCATCTAGTCCAGCTTCTACAGAACGACGGCGCGCAGCTGGTCCGAGATCTGCTCGCCACCCGCGACCCCTCCGGCTATCCCGTAGGAGATGGGTTATCCGGACCCATGTACTGTCCCGGACCGAGGCTGGGCTTCCTCAAGCTGCTGGAATTGAAGCAATGGGTCTGGATAGTTGCGATGGACGACCGCACCGTCAGGGCTGTGCGGTGTGAGCGAGGGGACTGGGCCTGGGCCTCAAACCTCGAGCGCTACGTATTTATGGCGGTGGAGGGGTCGGATATGACGATAGACACGCACCATACTGCTGACAGGCGCTGGCTCAATTCTAATACGATATGGGAGGAGGGTTAGTTTTGAAGTTCAGAATTGAAGTTCGTAATATTATGCGGTTACGTTTTAACCGTGCAATAGAGACGACCACGTGTAGAACTTAGTGCGTCGGCGCGTCAGTAAATCTGTATTAATGATTGATGCTGAGGGCCTAAGTACATCAAAGAAGAGACAAAAGAGTTCCTGTCATCCGTTAAACTACCCTATCTACTCCGTTCTACCTCCTCGTGTTAAGTGGTAATCGTCGACGCGATGCTCTCCCGGATGCTCGCTCCCGTGTGCTCCTCAACTTCACTGATGAGATAGTTGGGTACAATGGTAATATCGTGAGCCAAGTAACGGTTGCCTTTCACGGATAAATGAGAGTATATGGCAACGTGCGGGGCCTCTCCTTTTTGATACTCTTTTTGAGCGTCTATAATTTCTCCCTCGCCGATACGAACGTTCTTCAAGGACACGGCGTCGAAAAGCGATGACTTATTTTCTTTGGGAATTACGACGAGATTATGCCTGAATGCAGACACGAGTTCACGCTCGATAAAGGTAATTTCGTCCGCCGTGAGCTCCGTCGCGCTCAGCTCCTGGCCGTCCTCAAATCCGGGTACCTTGAAGACTTTTTCCAGGGCCGCTACGATATGTTGGACCTTATCCATGGCCGAAATGTTGAGCACCAGCCATTCGGCGGGATAATCCATCCTAAAAGCGCCGTCGGTTAGGTATGATCGTAACGACTCTCTCCCTTGCCAAACTGTCGCTTGCCAGAGCCCGAGGGCTATCCACAAAGCTCCTTTCTGAACCAAGGACGCACCGACACCTCTGCACATCTGTCGAACCTCCTCCAGAGCTGGCGGCCGCTGCGGATCTCCCACCTTGTGGCAGACGGTATGTAGGCCAACCTGTAAGAGGGCTGCTAGTCGGATAATTACTCGCATCGCGTTTGGTCTTCTATGTCCGCGGTGAATATGGGCCGATGCAACAAAGATGGCGACGCGGAAGTCGAGGTCTTGAAGAGTGTGCCTCTTCAATAAGACAGCAAGCTCCCCTTTTTGGGTTACTGCGTGTCCTTCTCCGGATGGTGTGACGCAGGAGAGCACCGAAAGGCGGTACATATACTCTGCGGCGACCGCCGCATCTGAGGCTCTTCTTACCGGCATCGAGTTGAGAGGAATCGACGGCCATTCCGCAACACGCTGGAGCATAGTCCAGGATATATCTCCATTGTACGCAGATCCGGTAGACTCCGAGTCTGAAAACCTCTCAAACTCATTATGCGAGAATGTTGTATAGAATACAACGTTCTCGCGGGGGACGCCGGATTTAAGAAGCCAGGACTTCTCGCGGAGGATCTCAAGCTTACTCTTATACCTCGTACATATTACAACTTGACATATTGAGCGGTCTAAATGCTGCTCGTTAATAGTACCTTCAGATACAAAGGTTCGTAACCCTTTGCAAAACAGCGAAAAGTCCAAACCCTCGCCCAGTACTAGAGAAGGTTGGCTTTTGGTTAGGGCTAAAGTATGGTCAAGTGGGTCGTTGCCATTCAGAAGCTTGATGCCCTTCTCAGACATCATATCCATCATGGACCTGATTCCGAAAATGATTTGCCGGCCTTGGGGGGATTCGAGATCCGCGGCTGTATTCACCATCTGTTCGACGGCGGTCTGCCACGCCTCTCCCATTGGATGGAGATTGATAGCGGGCACTGCATCCGTAGGAATCGTAATCACGTCCGGCTGGCGGCCGATAATATAGTCTAGGATCCATTCGGTTCTGGGAGAGGCGAATGTGGATGTCAACACGACAGCTGCGGCTGGATTCTCGGTCTTGTAACAGGAGGAGGCCCAGTCCAAAATGTGACCAAGGAGGATCTCGCCATCTGTTGTCGGGTTCATCTCTATGTCCATCATGACTACGGCTCGGTTGCCAAAGGGGAATCGCTTGTCGTTGTCCCAAAACCACTCTAGAATCTGCTTATAACGTGTGACTAGCAGATGCCCGCCTGGTAGCGCGTAATCTTCAGGCGGTGCTGTAACTATGTTGTTAGGCATTGCGACGGGAAGCTGTTTGTTGAAATCCTCCGAGAGGATGTATTTGGCGAGCAGCACCGCCTCCAGAGAGGATGGGAGAATGTAAGCCACCGGGGCGCCGGAAACTTTGTCCTGCGCCTGGGCGAACAGGTGCGCCAGCATGGTAGTGCTCTTTCCGCAAGCGGGAGGGCCTTGGATGATTGCGGCGGATACGCGATGGCCTTCGACGAAGTCGAAAAATCTATCGATCTGCTCCTGCTTCACCATCCAAGGGAATTTATGTGTTTCGTTCGAGGCCATAGTTTCGGTATTGCGACAATGTGACATGAATGCTGGGTAATAGATAGACCGAAGAAAGTTGATGGTATTTGTGGAGGGAAAATGAACGTGGGATAATTTAAGAGGGTTACTGGCGACTTGTGCGAAGGGATTTCTTTCTTTTTCTTCTTGTTTTGCTTTTTCCCTTTTTTTTTTTTTGGTTGCCCGACTTCAGAGGTAGGAGGGATGTTGTTGTGTGTTGGAGTGTGGTAAGAAGGATTAGTAAAATAGGATATTCTCGCTTAACCAATTGGGAAGACTAAAAGTGGACTAGAAGTAGGTAAGTAAGTACATTAGTACTTAAACTTGGATGGAAAATGATTTAACCAATTAGGTACCTAAGGAAGATGAAAATGGAAAGATATATTGGTACTTACCTTATGTAATGACTATGACATGCTCCTAAAGTCGGGCTCTTGTGGTCCCCTACACGGGGGGGGGGGGGGCCCTCGGTTTTGTGTGAGATGTGAGATTGGTTGACCCAAGGATTACTTGGATAGGAAATGCTTTGGCCAAAATGGAAGAATACATTAGTACAGGATATTCCTAAAGTCTGGCTATTTAACGCGCTTGACTGTGCACAGTCGAGCTCAAAGGTCGTCTTAGTTTTTTAATTCGTTCTCAGTCTTAGTACATATTACCTGCCGTTAATACTGGCTCATGTTCGAAAGAGGAATGAATACCTCACGTTGGTACGTAGCTGAAGCGATATCAATTTAAATTGTACCTCTTTAATTGTGATGATTGGCTATAGCGAAGTAGAAATTAAGTTCTATCAAAAATCATACAAATCTTGGTGCGTTCCATCGCTGTTATCACCATGTCCACCACCTCAGCCATCTCCGCTTTCACCACCTCTACTTCTGCTACCTCCACTTCTGCCATCTCAACTCCCTGCAGCGCCCCTTTCAGCTCCCCTTCGAAGTCTTGGACCAAGCACTTCAGTGGGAAGAGGCATGAGAAGCTGCCCATCTAGCCCCAGAGCAACCAGCGGAGAGTCATCCAGGTCACTAGTCTCATGATTAATGTTTCGTTCCAGCCTTTTCTGCACATCCAGGTTGTAATCAAAGATTGTGCGGCCAGTTAAGAGGTCAACCACCAAGCTAACGGTTTGCCTCGTGCTTCGATGCCTGTTGATGCGGCGGCTCTCCGAAGTTAGCATGCGCGGCATCGTGAAGTATACTAGCTTTCAACGTCGAGAAGTTGGACGGCGTCTCAGAGTACATATCCTCGCCGGGGATGTCATCCACGCCTTGCGCGTAGTACAACATGTAGCAATCATCATCACCTAGCGGCGTCCTTCGGTGCGTATTGGGAAGGGAACTTGGAATAGGAATCACTTGCCCCTCCGCCGTGTACGTCCTGATAGAATCATGGCCCCTGTAGCTAGATAGGCGGACCTCGGCTATCAGGCGGAATGTCGTCAAGGCTGCACTGGGCTCTGTCAACCCCCACATGCCGGAAGCTTTCTTCTCCGGGCGTCTCATGTCTACCTTGATCTTGCGGAGATCCTGGTAGCGCTTCGGATCGCTCGCGTTGACGTTATATCGGATTCGTATGATCCCTGGAAAACCACACTGCTTAACGAGGACATTATCATCAGCGTCGCCGAAGGTTCCAAACCTGTTTGAGATAACCTCCCCAAGGTTTCCTGTCGTAAAGTCGACGAGGCTGTTCTCGACGATATCTTGGATATCTAAGCTCCCTTTTTTCCATACGCCTTTTTCTCGCACTAGGACCTCCTGCTTTAATAGCAGTAAGCCGGGTCGTTGCCAGAAGGTCTTGCGCATCAGCTGATGCTCTACCAGAGCGGCAAAGGACAAGTCCTTTTCCCTTAAAGGACCTTCATAAAAGGCCTTGAGGGCCTCGAATCTGGCAAGTTGAACGAGCTGTGGGTCAGTCGAGCTGAAGTCCGCCATCGCCAGCCGCAGAAGTGGATTTGTTTTCTCTTGTCTTCGAATGGTTTCGTCTTCCATATCTCGATAAGCCAGAGGCAGCTGCCTGACAATTCGGCGAATTAAAATTACCAGCACGTCCAACCCCCTGGAGTGGGCCTGGTCCTCTTCGGGGATACCAACGACGTCCTTAAAGTTGTACGCCGCTGGGAACTGAAATTGTAGCAGGTTATCCTGTGTCAATTCGTCACCCGCATAGATAGCTCTAAGATCCCGATGACCGTCCTCAACTTTGCCCTTGACTAGCGCCATGACGATAATGATACGGATACGTTGTATTGTGTTAAGGCGGGAAATCACGAAGGTACAGATAAGATTCGATCGTAGTTTGATTTGAAGTTCTTGAGATGGGAAAGGATATGTGTGGTTAAAAAAAGAAAGACAGAAAATAATTGAGTAAGGATTCCGAGCCCTACCACCTCCTTTAATAACTTTACGGTTGATTAGAATCGTTGACTGATGCTGTGATCGGCTCGATTTGTAAGGGTGGCTTACGCAGAAGAAAGATACAAATTGGTCCCATATAAATCAAGTGGAGAAGCAAAGTATTTTTTTTCCCCATTATTCTTTTACTTTAATTCTACGACCTTTTACGATTTTTTACGGCTTTATCGTAATTATTATGTAATGAGATAAGCCCTATCATTGATTTTTATATTGTTAGATAGCTGAAAGGCTGTTATTATAGTAAATGTAAAAAGCTATTTTATAAGGTCTATTTTCAAAGTAATATCGTTGAATATAACGTTAACGATTACCGCTTCAAAGCTTGAAAACGCTGTAAACCTGCATCTATCGTGCTGGCTTATAGCTAACTGGCTTACAGCTCGAAAGTTGTCCCAAAACAGTAAATAGTGGACCACTATACCCCTTTAAGACTAGCATATTACCATTATTAGCGTGGTACATCGCTGACAAGGGCTTACGAGTGTTTTGATAGGTCCAAAAGTCAGTAGTGTCAAATCTATTACCGAATTAGGGAAGGCGTTATAGGGGTATTTTTTTTAGCACGAAAAAAATATTCAAAATTATCATAAGCCACCCTTACGAATCGAGCCGATCAGGGCCTGAATTGATCGTATTGATTGATTGATTGAATGGATTGAATGGATTTGTCAGGGATAAGGGGCACTAGTATGGATTAGGCCTTATGGCCCACTAGGATAGCATATGTAAGGAGCACGCTGCTCCCTCGAAGGTGCTTCGAAGGGCAAGCGTTAATAGATCACCATTATACACTGCATACTTGATATTCTACGTGCTACTGTTTCTAGTATTCACTCTATGTACGACATACATCACGGGATCCTTCTGACAGGATTGAATGTATTGATTGATTGGTTGGTTGAATGGATTGAATGGATTGAATGGATTGAATGGATTGAATGGATTGAATGGATTGAATGGATTGAATGGATTGAATGGATTGAATGGATTGAATGAATTGAATTGACTAAATCGCGGGTAAACTTAAAATAGTAAAGTAAATTAAATTTGCACAGTTAAAAAAAAAAAAAAAAGGTAAAGCTGAATTACACCTTACGTAGGTAGGTACCTACGTACGATATCATGCTTTGGGATGTTAACTGCCACCAATACTAGAGAGGATGTATAATGTATTATTAGAAGCTATCTATGCCTCTTTTCTTATTCCTCTTCACCTCACTTATACTTATTTCTCATCCCCATCCCCATCCCCATCCATATCCCCATCTATTTCCTCTCCCACTTCCTGTTTTTTGCCGTCTTCTTCCGCTCCCTTCCAAAATTGCAAAGCCTTTAGCACAACGGGATTATCCCTTAAGAATCGGACAATGTCTTCAGCCTCATCTATCTTCCTTTCGTCCTCAGCCTGACGCCGTTCGATAGCGTCTATCTTCTCGAGCTTCTCATTTAATTCGGCCTCGAGCTGTTTCGCCTCTGCTATCTCTTGTTTGAGGATAGCGGGATCACGCTTAGATAGTTCTCGCTCGCAATCTATCAACCTCTTCAGAGACGGATTGGTGTGGGAGAGGTTCTCGTAGTACCAGGGCTTAGCTCCCCACACATGAATGCGGCATCTCTCGAAAATCTTAGCGCTAGGAGGATTCTTCTCTGATTTGGTCCCGGCCTGCTTCACGTTCAATCCTCCAACGGATATGAGAGACCCGGCTAGGACCGTCACGAGGATCTCCGTCATGTTGATATGCTCGACCTTCTAAGCCTTGCACACCGGGATTATTGTCTCCTCGGGCTCTAGGCCCGCGTACCTGAGGCACGAGACCAGGAGCCCCCAGCAGTGCGGGGTGCCACGGAGGTTGGTAATTAATCGGTGGCTCTGCGTTCGCCTCTCCACGTCGTCCGAGTTGCCCACCATGCAGACGCTCTGCTTGGACGGTTCGTTCTCGTCTAATCCCGCGATATTACGCTTTTCCAGCATCCTGATCAAGTGCCGTATCGAACCAGACTTGTTCCCTCTGCCGCTACTCGCGAACCGAGGCTGCTCCCACCAAGATGGGCGCGTCGATGCCTGGGAAACGCTCTCCACGTCGCCCTGAGAGTCATTGGCGATGGCGGACGAGGTATTAGGTTTTTCATACATTTCGTCAATCCTACGAGCTACCTCCATATGACGCACCTCCGCATCGTCCAGCTGGCTGCCATGGGTATAATTGTCGCCCGCAGCCTCAAAGGTTTCAACGGCCTTCGCGTAATGCTCGAGCAAGGAGATTATTTCTCTATTCTCCAAGATGGTCCAGGCAGAGCCGCGGCGGTTGGCGATGGAGAGGGTGACGATATAAGCGCCGGGCCCTTGCTTATCGTACAGCAGCGTGTGGTTCTCCGAGTCCCTCTCCCAAAACTCATAGGCCACCATACGCATCACGATCGAGCGCAGGACGGGCCGAGGGATCGTGTGCAGGAGCTTCATCATCTGGTTCCCCTCGTCGCTCCTGAGAGCCGCTATCATATCGTCTACCTTGACGATATCCTGTTGGCTTGATTCTTCTCCCATCTCCACAACGGTGACGTACATCTCGTCGTACGGCGCCCCATTGTCGATCTGGCTAACAAGCTTAGCTTGAAGAGCCGAGACCAGCGGGGTGGCCGCGGAGGGTCGAGGCGGAAACAGAGCAGGATCCATGTCGGCGAGTGAATATTTCTTGCGTACCGAACTTGGAACTACAGATGATGCGGCACAACTATTGATGCGTATTGGTGCGTATGATATATATGATGCGTAGACGAGCGTTCCAACTACCAGTCAACCTTCTGCTATAAACTTTCAAATTGCGGGACACGAAACTTCATAGACGCAGATTGTGGATGTTGCTGTTTTTTACGTCCAACCAGGGCGCTCTCGATATGTCTACGAATTTACTTATGTCTACTGTTGAGCTATCTGTTACCTAATCTATCTAAGCTACCTTCCTAGACCTCTCTCTGATGCACCCCTTAATCTCTTCCGCAGTACATATCACTTGTAGTAATACATATAGCTTAGGTATGTACCTTTTCTAGTACGCTAGCTCTTGAGGAAGGTACGTTCATGGTGTCTGGGCAGTAGTGTAGAGGTGAGTCATAATTATTGTGCTCAAGGTATGGATGTATAAGATGTATAAGGCATAAGGCTAGGGGCTGACTCAGCGGATTTTAACGTAAAGCACCTAAACACGGGGAATAGCATACCTAGGATACAAGGGCAACTACGCCGAGCCGTTGTTTGTGTTAGGTACATGAACCTATAGATTTATGTATGCATTACTAACGGATGACACAAGAGCCTTGGAACTCTTATCCGTCAATTGAATTGTGCTCGCACTAAGCACTCAGCACTCCGAGAGTAGATCGCATCAATGTCCTCGGAGATCACTGCAATATGAGCTTCTAAATTTGGTTCCATGGCATGTTCTAGTGCATTTCGAGGGCGCTGATATAAGTGGATCCCCTACCGTAGCGTTGTCGCTAACTGACCACCTACTAGATCCGGTAATGCATCAAGGGTCTGAGGTTAATCTGATTGGTGCATTGCATTTCTCTCGGCATGTTGTCTAAGTTTTTGATTTGTTTAGGTTTCTATCCCTTGTCCTGATCGGCGGTAACACCCCGCCATTGATCGAGCCTCAAAAGCTTAGCTTAACAACACCCTAAGAAATTCTACCCATAATGCATATCCAAAAGTACCGAAAATTAGGTACCTGTTATTCCGGCGCTTCTGTCTCTACGTATCGCCATATGGACGTGTAGATCTTCCTAAGCCAGCTCAAAATTTTACAATTAGGTGTGGCCGCGTTAAACCGATGATATGTGACCAGGTACTTGCCTATGTAAGTACCTGTAAGTGTGCCATGCATGAGCCATGTGGCTCCTTTGCTTTTTTCAGCATAAGAGATTATTTGTATGCAAAATCATGTTTTTCATTTACATAGACAACATATTCATCCCACAGTAACTGTGGTGTTTGACTAGGCGATATACCCTTAGAGGTTTCCTATAGTGCCTACGAGAATAAAGGCAAAGGGTTAATATATAATATGCATTGTAGTACCTAACTTCCCTTTTCATCATCCCCGCATGTGCGGCATCAGGCTATCTATAACAGGTATAATCAAAAGCCGTGACTTACAGGTATAATGGAAATCACCATGACGGACACCGACACATGTTGACAGATAGATAGACCTCGGTGTCGATTATTCACAGTGGCTACTTTGTAGATGAAGTGATGTATTCCAGATAATAGTACATCCAACAGGAAAGCAACAGCATCATACGTGCTCCGAGTATCTTTAGGATTCAGCTGTTGGGCTCCTATGGTTAGTTATAAGAGAACGATCATCAGTGTATCTCGCGCCGTAGTTGGCGATTCCTCCGTGGAGTACCTGGTTCCATACTTGGTATCTGAGAGGAAACTGGCCTTTCTAGGTCTCATGACTAATTTTGTATGCCGGGTTTCAAGTTTCATCAGAGAGGGCAGTATTACGGAATCTCATGATTACTATCTTGGAGTGCTAAGATTTCGTAAAAATAAGGCATTACCACTAGCTGTTCTGCAGTTCTACGTTGTTACAATCAATGCCGTGCAAGATCTACGGGTCATTACTCGGAGGTAGTCAGGACAAGTAGCGTCGATTATGTAGATATTCATAAGCTACGTAAACCGATACTACATAATAGCCGCAGAGGGAGAACTTGATAGGGAACGATATGGGCGCCGCCATACAAAGAAACTCCGACCCTTCCCTATAAGACAACCTAATGCAGTTTCAAAGTAGACTCGACTAGAAATCTTATGATTACGACAAGCCATAGGCGAAATCCGCTCCGGGCAAGGTGTCGCTAGGTATCCAACATATGTTGGTCTTCCTCCCCTTCCGATACATCCTCCAGCGGAGCCTCCAACGTCTTTTCTACCTCGGCGCGAATCTCCGCCAGAGTCTCGTTGCACTTACTCATAGCGGTGCGGCTCCCGGCCTTTATAAGGGCAGGCCAGACAGTTTCCACCAAGGCAAGGCGGCTAGGGCGACCGAAAAGATACGGGAGGCGCTCGTCCCCATAAAAAACGAACTGCTTGACCATCTCGCTCCTCTGGGCCAAGCTCAGGGCGGATTCCGGCTTGATGGCCTCTCTAACGAGGTCTCTGGCCAGCGAAACCGAGCGTAACTCGGCTACACGCGCGCGGGCTGACGGCTGGTTGATGGGGATGGCTGGGTCACCCTTCTCGACGAAGTCTACCAGCTTCTTGGCCTTCTCTTCGAAGGTGGCCTCCCCCTCCAGAACCTTTTCCGAGACCTCGTTTGTGAGGCGGAGCATCTCGTGGTGGTGGGCGGCGCAGAGTAGACGATGGCGCTTATATTGTTCACCGGCCTCGAGAATCTCCCCGCAGTTTTCTTCGTCGGCCTCCTTGGCCTCCTTCAGGGCGTTCTTGTAACGCCGACGCGCGAAAAAAGAGGATTGGGTGGGGTTCGAGAGCGTCCTCACGTAAACCTCCTTTACCAGAGTTAGGATATTCACGTCCTCCTTGACGGCCTTCTCGGCAGCAAGGCAGAGTGTATCCCAGGCGCGTGCGAAGCGCCACTGTACACCTGGGGAGGGATCTACTCCCAAGCACAGGCGCATAAACAGCGTCGTAGGTCGGAGGATATCCCCAACCTGACAGAACACCATGGCGTCTGCGCCGCAAAGCTCCTGGGAGAGCTCGGCAAGAAAGCTGTCCAGCTTCTTGCTGCTGGCAAGGACCTTGCCAATATCCCGAGACGCGGGAATGACGATCTGGAAGGGCTCTTCGCCTTCCTCGAGCTTCTCTCCCGCCAAGATGTGATCCCAAAGAGGAATGAGGGGAGCGAGGTCCGTCGGTTGGATATCAGTAGGGAACAATCGCGCCTTATCCTCCCTCTGCTCACCATCCTCGGCAGATTTATCCTTGAAGGTTTGGTCATACCAGTGGCTGAGGTACGCCAAGCTGAAAGGCGAGGCGTGGGTCTCGGGCTGTTCCTCGCGAAAGGCCCACTCCACCTTCGGTTTGGCCTTATTGAAGGCGTTGAGGCAGACCAAGTAGTGGAAGTATGAATTCCCGACGCATGGAGGTTCCTTTTTTATTTGGAAAAGGTACCCCAGGACGAGCCCGGTCATCAGCTTTATCAGGCGCTCCCACTGCTCTCGCGTGAAGCCAGGGCGATCCTGAACAAGCTGGTTGTAGACAAACTCCTTGCGCTCCAGATCGGAGGCTGAGAACTCGTCCGTAAACATCCACGTCATCTCCGCTTCGCTCGTTTCCGCTGACATTGTGTTGATTTTTTTTGTGAGCGCGAAACGAAGTAGAGATGTTGACGAGGTTGGTTGTTGTTGGGAGGAAAAAGAGGAAGAAAGAAGAGAGAGAAAATAAAAAGTTTGTGATTTTCTACCTAGTGCATTGCGAACCATAGGCAGTAACCTGGCAACCTAGCACCCTTAAGCACCCACATACCACGGTGACCCCACGTCCTGTACAGAATTAAGTACCTACCTAGGCACTGTACCTTTTAATTTTAGATCTCTCGACCTTGGGGACTTTACGCACCTAGAATTCATTTTAATTATGTCAGGGGATCGGGATGATACCAGGTACCTAAGACATTAGCTTACAAAAGTGCTAGAACTGTAGGATGGTGATAGGACGATGGTAGGACGATGTTTTTGATCTATTCCTTATATATTGTTAAGCTCGTGCGTGTAAGTATTTTGTAGGCAGTTGTCTACTGAGGTCTGGACTGCTATCCTATTACGAGGGAGCTGGCTACCGTTTATACAGACAATATAACCTCTAGCTGAAGCGGAGGAGTATGATGCCAAGTTAGCACCGTCAAAGACACACTCAACGCAGATAAATGGTCGGGATGCATGTAGACTTCAATCTAAAACACAACTAGACATGTTTTAGCTATTTGCTGCTTGGTCCGGCGCACTTGAGATATCAAGCGAGGGCAAGACGCTTTTCCCCGTATTGCATTACTATGAGGACACTCGAAGCCCTACCACTAAGGCTATTACATGTCTATTACTGTATCTTAGAGTTTGAGAAGTGAGAAGTTCGTCGAGAATCTCTTCTACCTATCACGTCAATTGTCACGGTGCAGAGCATGAAGTAGGGTAACAACGAAGTTGTTACGCGAGGAACTCTAACCACGGTAGCTTTGAAGTCAAAGCTACCTACCCATACACAAAACAACTCCTTTGTTCTCAAGGAGTCTCAGGTGAGACTCCTGACACTCGGGATACTCATCCTCTCGAGATGTCTTTGGTTAGATTAGCCTCATGTTTGCTTATATCTAAATGATCGAGATATTCATCCCTTCTTACCTGTCTTGGATAGCCTATCAGCTAGACTATGTACTCCTAGAAGGGCCGATCTCCTGGATAAACTTGTACACGCTGCGTCTTAGGTAGCTGCTACGACTGAGAATCATATTATTTTATAGTGGGCTTCTCGACTTACCTTAGGTAGGTACCTAGGTGCCTAGGTTAGGTATAGATTCGCTTCCATAAGTACCTAACCGTAGGTACCAGTTAGAAGGGGTTGGCTAGTGGGTTTCAGGATCGTACCGGTACATTACTTTCTATGTACCTACCTTCCAATTGTTCGCACGGAGTATTAGCTAAATCAAACGCGAGATCGGAAATTAGACTTTGGAGACCGACTGCTAAAGATTTGAATACTGCGGATCGTGGTTGCCAATATATAAATTAGGTAAGTACGATACGAGGCGATGACTAGACCTAATCTGCCTTTCAGGACATCCTCCGAGTTTCTCCTCTTCCCATGGCATAACCCGCATTACCCATCTACCCAACCAATATCTAACCCACCCAATACCAATTCCTTCCACATCACATCACCTAGCTGCATTTGGTCGACATCTCTGACTCAGTGACGTGCTGCTTCCCTGGGAACATATGTTTGCGTAATGATAGTTACCCATAATAAAAGGTAACCAATCGTTTCCCCATCTTACAACTACACCATCCACCTAAGGCGTAAACCCTTCGAACCCTTCCTACCATACACCGTCCCGCTACTTCCTCGCAATCATCCCTCCGACATACTTCCCGTCTTATCTACCCTCTTCATTATATACCGATGCGCATGCTCACTACGTGATCCCTCGTAGGCATCACCTAGCCCGTTTTACCCGCTTCATACGAACGGTCGTGTACGCATTACTAACCCGCGATCAAATTTACTAAGGTAAGCAAATAATAACGTGGTTCGTTGAACAGCCAGCTGCAAGTTTCCTTATCAGGTGCTATTCAACATCCAATTGCCTTGAGCATGAATTCCTTATCTGCATCCTCACTGTCTTAGGCACCAAATTTCCTAAGCACCAACTTCCTAACCCTCCACGCCCATGCTGGCATACATCCAAATCGCCATATCGTCTTCTGACATTCCACTGTCTAGGTACCTCGGATTTAGTTCCTATTCAAGTACCACCACCTTCTTCTGACCGACAGAAGATGTCTGCCACGGAGAAAGACCTCGCCGTCCACCCAGCCCTATGGGCCTAAGATACCGGCCGCATCGGTCGGGTCCGTAACCTATTCGTGAGGATCCTCTTGAACCAGGGCCAAGATACCTCATCGCTTGATGCTATCAACAACGGAGATGGCCAAGATGCTACTTGGCTGTCTAACGACACCGATCCCGAACGCGCAGGAATACCTTTGGAGGAGATTGCCATAGTCGTTGGTGAGCTCATCCCAAAGAAATACATAGGCCCAACACAATTTCTCAACCAGAATGCTGCCACCGAGGCCAGCACGAACCCAACCAACGACTCTAACCTAAAGTTCAACTACGTACTGCCTACTAAGTCCCACACCAAGATAGTCGTTTGGAAATTCGCGGGCGAGAAGCCACAGTTCGCGGTTCTCCGCGGCAACGTCGGTGACGTCCACCTCGCTCAAAAACTATCCCAACGCGAATATGATCAAATTGCTTTCTACATGGAGTGGACAAAGATCAGTAAAAAACCTGACCTTGGCAAAGAGCGACGCTTCAAGGACTGGTGCGAAAGGCTCTCAATTACAGAGGGACTCGCCAGGAAGAGGGCAGAAGAGGTGGAGACAAACCCGACCGGTGCCAAAAAGAAGGCATCACGCATGCAAAAGCAAGAGCGAAAGCAGGAATATAGAACTCCGACAGAAACTACTATCTCGAAAGGAAATCAACTACAGGATATGCCTAGAATGAATCTGATTGAACAGATCAATCGCGTTCTCCGATCTTTATCCTTCTTTGACGACACTAAGAACGACATCTTCCTACAACAGGCTTCAGACAATATCAAGCTTATCCTTGGCGAACTTCCCGAGGAAGGTGATGAAACATTAGTGTTCTCTTTCGTAAATAACCGCACGGATAAGGTATACTTCGAAGAGGCACAAGAGGTTGCTCGTGCTATCAAGGTATGTTGTTTCTATTACTTCTATTTCTCCTTTTCCTGTGCTAATGCAATCCAAAATAACAGAATTTATGGTTCAAAGGGCAACAAAACTGCCCTATCAAGTTTAAAGCCGAATACCTTTTCTTGATGGCGTTTGGCCTGCGAAATCTCGATGCCCCCACGGTAATTGAGATGCGCTACCTCCGCTCATTCGTAATAGACTTCTGTATACTAGCAGAGACAAACGGGGTCAATATTCCTGTCTATGACAACGTCCAGCTTTCCGACGCCGACCGAGGCAAATTAGCAGTGATGATCCAAACGGCTTTCAGTTATACCCTGTCCCGGCTAGGGAACTCGCCTCCTATCCCTTCCGCGGACGATGTTACCGTATTCACAAGACCAGCTGGCGGCATTCTATATGTGTTAATCTAGGAAGCATCCATAATGGAGAGCATTATAGAATTGATCGACAAAGGAATTGAAGCCGAATATAAGGAAATAGGAGGGGTCATCGACTATGACGCTTTTGAAAGAACAACTAATCTTTCAACAGTTTTAAAGAAGCTTTCCGAGGCAGTAGAATTTAATGAGTCGAAGCGAGCTGCCGAAGATCTTGCCTTTCTTTGCATAGCAAAGTCTCATGACAAAGTATTAAAGATCCGCGAGGGCCTATGCAAGAATCATGCTCGACTCATGGCTAATATAGCCGATTTGAAGAAAGCAACGTCTACTAATTAACCTTCGGCTGTCCTGGAGCCGGCAGGATATCACGGTGCAGCCACGTCGAGTCTAGCTCTCTTAGTGCAAACCCCTAACGGGTCATCGTTGTGTATGTATATAAATAAAGTAATTAAATGAGGGACCTTTTACCACTTCCCTCTTTCTTTATGCAAAAGCAACTATTTCTACCGGGCCTTAACAGAATTACACGTAAATAATTCCATTATTCTTTTCTAAATTATCGCAACCTCTCCCATTCAGCATCGTATCGTATCGTATCCTATTATATCGTACCCTATCGTATATATGTCACATCACATCGTATCGTATCGTATCGTATCCCATCATATCCTTAACAGGATTACACATAAATAATTCCATTATTCTTTTCTACCTTATGGCAACTTATCCCATTTAGCATCGCATCGTATCGTATCGTACCGTATTCCATTGTCTGGGATATATGGATGCTACAAGGGTCTATCATCTATGTAATGGGTAGCCAGCCCTCTCAATGGAGTTTAAAAGGCCAAGCGTTACTAAATCTCTACAACAGACTGCATACCAGGGCCCTGACAATCACCCTGGAGTCTGTATATGATATCCATTCAACGACATATCCGATAGTAATAGAATATCTCGAAGTGCTGGGATGTGTTTGGAAGAGAAAGGAGAGGAACCTGACCTGGCAGCATCGCATCAAATGCGATGTGCCCCAAGGGGTTAGGTTAGCGATGTCTCCATTGTCCTACAAGATAGCAACGTCAATCCCTCGTCTTGAAATTTTCAATCCTTTGGTGGCGTAGTGGTTGAACCTAGATGGGTAGGAGCTTGTTGGACATGTAATCTAGTAGCTGCTGTAATATATTAGCGCTTTCGGCAGAGCAGCGTGCTCCTTATATACACCTATCCTAGTGCACCATACCCCTGACATGATATCCCCTCTTAGGAGGCTATTCTCATGATTATGATCATCACGTAGTTTATGAGTGATTTGTTTCGTAGGCTGTTCCCACGGCGCCATAGTTACCCCCGATCGTCTCTAGGAGCTTCCAATATGTTGCTTTCTATTCACTGGACCAAGCCGCCAATCCCTACCTACGATAGCTATAGGTATTGCGCATTTTCGCACCAGAACGGCTTGGTTCTCCGTATCCCGACCCGCCATATTGAATCATTATCGCCTAGCTCTATTAAAAGATCCTAGAGTAGCTAGGAATACACGTTCCGGTCAATGAATTCAGTATCAGGTATCCCATGTACGCAACTAACATGACCCGATGTTGAATTATTGGTAAACGTATCGGTGAAGCGATCATCGGGATAGACTCTTGTAGTTCAATACGCCTATGTCTACGAAGCTGATGACAGACGCAGCTGCACCTTTATTGGGAAACTTCATCAATATCGAACTGCTACTTACGCCATTCGTAGAGATGCTACTCGTATACCTACGGAGTGAGACAATTAGGTGATAGCGAGGCGGATAAAACGAAAAAGGATATTTATCAGTCACTCCCGAATTCGATTTCAATTCCCTTAAGAATAAGTACCTATGTGTTGGAATCATAATAGTAAAATCTATCTCTGTTTCTTCAACGGATTTAGAGTAAGCTAGTTATCATCAGAGAGTTCTTCAGTTGTGGGGAGCTCTGGCAAGACAAACTCTTCCCTATCCTGACGGACTAAAGGCCGCATCATGTCATGCCGCTCTGTACCCTTCTTTCTTGCTGAGGACCTAATAGCCTGATCAATCTTTGAAGATTCAGCAAACACATGGTATATTGTAACGGGCTTTTCTTGTCCCAAACGCCAAAGTCTTCCTTTTAACTGTTCTAATTGACCTGGCGACCAGTGGGGCTCGCAAACAATGAGATGACACGCGCCAGTTATGTTTAGTCTAGTGCCACCTGCCGCGACCGTGCAAAGAAGTATGGTTGATTTACCTCTTGGATCGTTGAAGTCTCTTAGGATATCGGCACGAGCTTCTCAGGACACAATAGTCCCGTTGAACTCTCCGATGCTAGCGCCAGCGTATTCGTCTCCCGTGCGTGTTAGGGCTAGATGAAGGACGTCCAGGAACATGACGGACTGAGAAGCGACTATTATCTTACTGTTCCCATTCTCGCGTATAGACTTGATTGTTTCGACGACGGCAGGAATCCTAGGCGAGAAGAGGTCACTTTCCGATTGATTCTTCAAATATTTATGCCATTCCGATCTTGGGATCTTCTTCTTGGCTCCCTTTCCATCTCCTTCATCATCCGAACCCGAAATATAATCCTCACAGACACATGTTTCATCCTCAGACATGTCTTTGGAGTAATCCTCGTCTTCATTATCATCGTCGCCGTTGGATTCCGAATACTCTCCCAGACCGTGATATTCAATTTCCATGTCATCTTCACTGTCAACATCGATATCATCATTGATATTTTTCGGGTTAGCCTTCTCTGGAGGTCCGCCAGGGCCGGATAATTCGTGTAGCCATTTCACGAACTTCACTCTCTGGACTTCACCTAGAGTTTCCAATGTCGAGTCTTGGTCCAAGTCTTCGGTCACATCAACGAAATACTTGAATCGGTTGGTTATCCATTCGACCTCAGATGAATACCGGGTTTGGCTTCCCTCGACGTCTCTTAGGGTTAACAACGGACCAGCCGAGAACGATTGGGCTGTCCAAAAGAGGGCGAAAGCTTGCCGCTTCAATTTTTGTCGCATGAAGCGATTACTCAACTTCCATCGACCCATTAGATTGTAAGCACGCGATACCAATAGTTCGATGGCTATTAAGGCTGCAGGATGAGTCTCCCAGTTCAGCTTCACTAAAACATCCCTCTCATATATACCTGGGAGTTTTAAAATTTCTCTGGGCCTGGCAATTAATATTGCCGCCATAAATCTTTTTAGAAGAAGCATGCGCGGCTTAGGCAAATCGTCTAGGGCTTTACGAGGCAATGCCTTAGTCGTACCGAAAAGGAGTCCAAAATGCTCAAGACTTATAATTGGACATCCAGGAAGCAAAGCGATCTGACCGTAAAGGTCATCCAGAGTGTTGTATGCAGGAGTCCCTGATAACAATAATATCTTATGATATTGTAAGGAATTGACAGCCGCCCATAGCGAAGTATCCAAATTTTTGACGTGCTGGGATTCATCAAATACCAAGACAGATATTTTCTTCTTCATCTTTTCGTAAATCCCCGAATACAGCGGGTTGGGAGTGCGGACGATCTCTGAAATCCCCATTGTTTGCTTCACTGCAGGCAAAGAAACCGTAGCCAAAATATCGCGAAATTCTTCCTGTAAGCACATGTCAAGATACCGTTGTCTCAAAAAGCTGTGGCTGGTAATAACCACGTCAAAGCCGAGTAGCTTCGTTACTGGATAATCCGCGCGATCAAGGATCATCACAGATGGATGTCGACCCTATAGCAACCGTATACCTCCGTCAGCAAGCGCACAAGCTACCTAGATAACCAAGCAGAGCATTCCGAGTGATGGTACGTATCTACTTACCTCTTTGAAATGTCTGTTTATTTCGTCGTACCATTGCGAAACGCACGACTTTAGACATACAACCAATATAAACCCCTGTCCGGGCAGCTCCCTGCGTAGCCTGACAGCTGATATAATGGCTGTTAGCGACTTCCCCAGACCCATGGGGTCAGCAAGGAAGCCTCCTCCGAAGGTTGACTTCCCAAGACGGTATAGCTTCTCTTGCCCAATAGCCTGCCAAGAATTCAATATTGTGTCCAAATCAGGAAGAGTCGTGATTGCATCAATTGTTGAATCTGTCACAGATTTCTGGGCTGCATATTAGCAACGTTGCATAGTAAGGAGGTAGGACCAGCCATAGCCATGGGTGTAAACTTACGATGTGTGATGCGAAACTGTCACTTCCAAGGTATTGGAGTACTGGAACCTTCTTTGCGATACTCTTACCAGGGTCAGGAACCAGGAAATGCATTGACGTAGGGTTAGGTTGCACCATTCGCCTTCCTGAGCCAGTCGTAGTGTCGCCGCTTGATGTATCTTCGGCTTGGGAGCCATCAGATGACGGGAGATATCGGCTAGGAACTAGATCGCGAGCTATCATGCGGGGCAGGTAAGAAACTCCATAGAAGCCCGTAGCATTGTCGTTACGATGTTCCATTTCCTTCATCCAAGAACGCAAGTCCTCCCCGTTCCGACGATCTATGAATTTCAAGTGTAGCGCCATGTTAGTTCACGCAAACGGGATAGGATGATAGCTGTGGTGTAGAATGAAATCGAGAAGCACGTATCATTTATAATGTGCGAGCATTCAAGAGGTCACGATGACTGGTGTAGGTATTAGGATGAGTGATACCAGATTTACATATCTGCAGGATGTGGTAGGTAGAAGTAATGTCGTGGTGTGGAGAGAGTGAGAGGTATTTATAAGCGTCGTTACATGGGTAAATCTCTACTATGTTTGCTACCTTGCCTGGCAGATTTAAAAGTTTAAATATTTATTTTGAGCAGCAAAATTCCTTCTCAGCCGCACTATTTGAGCCGCATTATTTAGGTTGTACTTACGGTTAATTTAATTTAATTGATTGAATACTTTTTCAAACTCATAGCATTTAGCCACGCTTACCGAACGGCCGCCTGGCCTATGGCTTATGTACCGAATGACTGCCTGTACCTAGGTAGGTAGCTTGTGGCAATCGGGCTGGCCATATGAGAGGTGGCTTTCGAAGCGAGGTATCTGGGTGTGCGGTACGTACCAGCGTGTGGTTGTGGTGCGATTACGTAGGTACCTTAGGTAGGTACCTAAGGTAAGCATCGCCTATATCTGGGATCTTGGGGCTTAGACAAAATGCCTTTAATTTTTAAGCCGATCAAATCAAAGCACCTTTCCACGAGCTTCCTAATCCGGATGAGCTGGGTCGATGCAATATCCAAGTTCGAGCATATCGTACCTACCTACCTACCTACCTAGGTATGCTTACACTGCTTACAGCTTTCTCACAGAGCCTAGGAAGTAACTTACTTGAAAACAATTCCTGTCGTCCCATATTAGGTGAATATTTACACCTACGCCTCGCCTCCTAGTAGTAGAAAACTAATAAGGTCATAGGTTCTCGGTTTGGCTGTTTCCGGTTGAATTCATATTACCGACATTATGAACCGCCGTAAACTTGTGCTTCTACGAAAGCACTTCAATTGTAGTGAAGATTCTACACTATTGGAGGTAGAAAAAATTCTTCGCCGGAGATTGAAGATATTAGAAGAGCAAAGGGAGGATGGGTTTTATAACTGGGTTCGGCCGGACCATTGGCCTATGGCCGAGAGCGACAATAATTTCAAGCCCAGTCCTCATCCAAACCGTGGTACGAGGAGGTCGGTACGTATTAAACCTTAGGTATTCCCAATTTCTTTTCATCCTACTGACTGTATTAATCAACAGGTCCTCCCACGCAAGCGACCGATGTACAGGGAAGAGTCTTCCGACGAGGAAGATTACGAAGCGATAGACCAAAACGAAGTGCTGAATTATGATGAAGATGAAGATGAGGAAGGTTACGAAGAAGAACCTATAGAAGATAACGAGGATGATATGGAGGATGATAAGGGTTTAGAAGAAGATAAATGGATCGACAAGGATAACTTATCCAATTATGACGAAGCGGCGGATTGGGAAATGAGCGGCCAACAGGATTCCTCGGATTCTGATGACGAGGAAGGTGCTCAGGTGTCTTGGGAGGAAGAGGACATGGATCTCGATATGAATGAGGTGATAGAGGAGAGCCAAACGGCACGAAGATGATACCAATATGGCTAAAAAAAAAAAAAGAGCTACACGCCAGTTAATATGAGATATGAGCAGTACATTTTTAAGCACGGAATAGATAGGCTAATATAAGTAAATGCTCGAACCGATATGGGACATTATATTATATTAACTTGTCCGCTTACGGCTCTTAGCCACGCCAACCGCATGGCAGCTAGGCTTGCGGCTTACCGAACGACCGCTTATCACTCGTGGCTACTAAACTGGTTGTATAAAAGAGGTGGCCTTCGAAGCGAGCTATGCGGTACGTATTTTCGAAAAGGCTGTAAAAATAGCCAAAATCTCTTAGATCTACAACTTTAGAAATATATTTAATGAACTGTTTTTCCTTAACTATGTCCTATAAAACCGTTTAAAGTGTTTTGCGCACAGGCAAGCTTCTTAATTCGGACGAGCTAGGTCAATACAATATCCCAAACAAGTCCGGGAATCTAGGCACCTTTTTGGCTCAGCAGTTGTATCTCACTGTACCTAAAACAGCTATTTGATAAGTCCCCTGTTGCTCGTTATCACTAAATTTACCAGTAATGGAGGCTTTCATACGTGTTTGTCAAATTAAAATCATGGCTAGACAACTTTTCTCAATACGAGTTGTATTTGACGATATTAACACATAGGCATAAGCTAGCAGCCCGGTATTTCTTATTGAATACTAACAGCGCCGGCTGTGGATATCTTCGGACACAGTACTAATTGTACACCAATGGTTCCTGCCCTAGTCATCGCGTACCCCTGTTGGCCATGAATCATGACGTAGATTTCTCGCGTCCATACAAACGGTCGACATTGCCGCGCCTACCCTATCTCTTTCCCCCAAGTAGTACGTCGGGTAGTCCACGAGAATGGCGATTGAAAGAAGGGTAGGTGATTTCTCACCCAAAAACTGAATAACCTCTTTATACAACGCCGATCGGTCCCCTCCTCCTACAACGATGTTGCTGTCCTGTGGTATGTGGCACTTGCGGATTGTAAAAGCTAGACGCTCGAGGTGCTTTAATTTCTTGATGGCCTCGACGAACTTATCTCGTTGCGTATTCTACGCCAATGTGGTCAGTTAAAAACATAGTAATCCCATGCATAGATAATTCAATGACACTTACGAAACTTGATTTATTATGCCAACACCCCTGCCAGTGATTGAACTCCAATGTAAGCCACTTGAGACGTCCAAAGTCTTGACGAATGCGGTTCGTAGCGTATTCAGGCATACCACTAGCCGTCTCTGTCGACGGAAAATCCCCGTGTCTGAGTGCAAGATGAAGGCGCTCAAGCTTTTGATGGTATTTTCCCACAGCATTGTAAAAGTGGTTCCTGACACCTACGTGCAAACGTAGGCCATTGAGATTGGGAACAAGTCGTTTAAGTATTTGTTCTGTACATCCCAACGTTTTGGTCTTGATTCGTAACTGTTGTATAGACGTTCATTTTCCAATATCCATGGCGAATTGACTCATTTGGCTATGCTGCTCCGCGGTAAAATGATCTAATATCAGAGTCAAGAATTCGACATTGGGCATGAGGCTGATTGCTTTTACGATACGGGAAGGTAGATCACTGTCGGGATTCCAGCCGAGTCTGGGGCTATCAGCCGCGAATTTCCATCCTGTAATCTCTGTGGGTCCCTGAGGAGGATCGAAGTATTCAATATTCGCAGCTCTGTATACGCGTTAGATGATATAGCAGTTTGGATCCCGAGAAGAATTGGGTATTCACTTAATATAATGGTTAAACGGACGATTTCCAGAGCCGGACGTGAACGGGGTTTCTTCGCAGGTAAATATGAACATTTTGAGGGTATATGAAAGTCTGCGTTGCGTGTCCGTGAAACGAACGGCGTTGTAATGGGCACCTGCGAAAGCATGCTTGAAGTAGGATGACACACGTGTCATTATGGCGCGGCCATCTCTTCCCGAAAGCAGTGCAATTTTATCAAAAACCTCCTGCGGCAGTATTGCAGACTTCCACGCGGAGCTCTCATTCTGCGATGTTGAAGCCATGCTCGGTTATGACTGTATCGATGAAAAGGGATTTTTCATTCACGGGAGCGCAGCAAATAGGATTTATGGGACGATAACACGGCGGCGGGGCGAGAGATGCGTGCGTGGAGATAGTATGGGTAGACTGATATCTAGCTTCTCGACGAGAGATGTGAGTGGTTGTGTGGCGAATGAAGGAATCACAGAAGCGGTGTTCGTTACCTGGGTAGGTACCTAACTTACTTGGCAGCTGGTGCTTGCTAAATGCCCGGACTTAGACGAGCTGGCCTAGTACAAAACCAGAAACGTAGAAAGGGTACATTTATTGGAAAGGGAAAAGAGAAGTGGTGTAAGGAGCTCGTGATAATCACTTAAATAGGCACGCAGATGATTGCCTAACTTTGATAGCCCTTGGACTTCGGGCCTACCTAGGTACACTTCGTTTTGCTTTCTTATATCCTGTAGCTAGGTACTTTCGGCCACATTTGAACCATCCTCTTCCGGCTCTGAGCAGAGATTATTATAAACTTTAAGCGATTCTCTGTAAATACCCCCTGCCGACCCCGGCGCCTTAGTTGCCTTCGAAATCTTTTCGGATATATACTTGGCCGTTTTAATTAGAGGGGCTAATATGTGGTCGTTAGGATCTAGCGATGGCTGTCCGACTTCCTTGATTCGCCATTGTAGCATGCTAATTCTCGCCATATCTGCTGCCTCATAGATCTTGCGCGTTGCCTCTTCAAGGTTGTTGTGGTCCTGGTCGTTCTTTCCCTGTCGTATGCGTAGGTACTCTTGAATAGCCTTATCCAAGTCTGCAAATAACTGCTTTACGGACGAATGCATTTCTGAGTGTGATTGGGATCCCTCGTCCTGAGCCATAGTGTTGGATACTATGTGGCTATGTCCTTGCTCCCTCTGTGATTCTGTTACCGATACGCAATTCAACAGCGTCACGCGGGAGGTCTTTTTTATCCTAACTGTGAACCGGAACAGAAATAGTTGGTAAGTGGAATCTTGCTATGCCTGGGGCTTTCCGAACTTGAACCTTTTCAAGCTTATCGTCTTAAGTACTAGGCTTCCAGCTCTTAACCACCAATGCTACGCGTAGCTCGTAATAAAAAATGAGGAAGTGCTAATGGCAATGGTTAAGGTATTTAATAAAAAATATTTAAAGTATTAAGTATTTTTTACGCATGTAAGGTAAGTTGCCCAGTTTCCCAATGCGGATAGGCTAAGTTTCAACATTTTTCAAAGGGTTGAATTTTCTAAGGACCATTTTATTCAATAGAACCATTGGTCGGCAGTCACTAAGACCACGAACTACCTCCCCTGTCATATAAATTCACTGGGATTTCATTCAATTACACCATACCACCCAATACATGACCAGTATAGTATGTCCTCTTCAATCCCAGGATGCAACATATGAAAATCATATCGTCACTTTCACCTCAATTAGAGCTTTCTAATAATTCAAGTCTCATGCCGTTGCATGTGTTCTTTTAAAAGCTATTCGAAGGTATGTCAATTCAATGTTAAAATGCGGAAGGTCCTCCCGCAGAGCCTCATTCAATTACATATCCATCATCAATCAGCATATCAACCTATTAAATCGTATTTAACCCTAGCATGTAATATACGAAATATAGCCCGCCATGTTCGCCTCAGCTAGAGCCTTCTAATGATATACGTCCCGACTCGGTGCAGGCTCTAAACGTTGAGTTATTCAAGTATGAAGGTAAGCACACATACGTGGTGGCGGCTCTCGGCACGTTATGCCCTTTCGCATCTACATTCAATTGGGTAACTACCTACTGGCAGGCATGTCAATGTCAAGGCCCTCTCCTGCCTAATCAACCCAAACGCCTTTCGTAACATCCCTCAACATTCATACCACAGTTTTCTCTGATTCATACAAAAGATTTCATACCGCAGTTTTCTCTAATTCAGATAAAAGATCTCTTACCACTGCATCCTACCGATACCTATTAAACCAATTATATTTCAATAGCTTTTGGCCGAATAGGCAGCCTTCCTCAGATCACCAACCTACACCAGTCGCCGATATGCCACCAAAGAAGGGGGTGTCTGAGCAGCATCGGGATATACAACTCTCGAAGAAGGAATTTAAGAAAAACCAACGATCCAGTACAATCACCGATGATCAAATCGACGAGGCAGTGAAAGGTTACCAATGTAAACCAGTGGAAGCAACTCAGAGACCGTACCATGAATGCACCCGACTTGGAGTCAACGATAAAGAGATGGTCGGATCAGCTAAGGATTCTTGGCAATACTGGACAAACGTCCTGCGAAACCATAAGCCAAGATTTCCTGCCGAATTTGACCAAATATGTCAATTACTGACGACCAAAATTCACATGGGGGGTAAACCTACCAGTTCGGTATTATATCAAAACGCAAGAGCAAAGCTTGTCGAAATAGCCAAAATCTGCCAAGATTGCGACAATCAATTTGATCCCGAAAAATGCGCCGAATTACACTACCCTACCTGCGCCGAGCTCGAAGCCCTTAGGATATACGGAGATACTGCAGAGGGCTTTGGGACTTTTCCTACACCAATTGCGGATCTCTTGAAAAAAACCGATCTTGTTTGGTCGCTCCAGTGGGGCGACCAACAACAGCCAACACGAGGATTTTGGGGGGATTATGTGCAAAGCTGCATGCAGCCCAAAAGACCAGCGGCTACTGATGAGGGTAGCCTTTCGAAGAGGGCAAGGCTTTCGGGTCCGGAAGTCCCTAACGCAGAGGGGCTTGAGGAAAGGGATTTGGATTCGCAGAATGCTCTTACAGGTAAGGATGATCTATCGCAAAACATGGATATCCCAGCAGTTGCTTACCAATCTAAAAATAATCGAAGCTATTCAATCAGCCAAGGAGGAAATCATCTCCGAGATGAAAAAGGAGATGGGGGAGATGAAAAAAGAGACGAGAGAGATGAAAAAGGAAGCATTGGAAGAAATGCGATCCTCAAAAAAGGAGGTAATAGAAGAAATTACCTCTTTAAACAACAACGTTTATGGTTCGATCCAAAACGATAAATTGAAGAAGCATAATGAGAACGCTTCTTCTAATGAAGATGATGACTCTGATGATACGTCAGACATCGTATTGTCATTGGTGGGACCTACATTAGGGTTCACTAATTAGTACTCAACAAAAGGTACTATCGGGATAAATATTAACTACGGATATATCCTGACCCGACGGCTGCCTCGTAAGAGGCCATCTACAGTCATGTAACTAGCTTAGATGGTGACTATCCACCAGGGATATATACAACGTACGTAGCCGTACGTTATATCCCTCCTTTCGTAACTCAATTGAATTCAGTATTTACATAGATATCTCGTATTGGGTTCAGTCTCCCGCGCGCGTTGTAATTACGTATTGTCGTATTACGAACCTCTGTCTTTCTAACAGGTACTATATAATAGAATGGGATACGATATAATAAGATAAGATACAGCACGATACAATATGATAGGATGGGATGTGGTATGATATGATGGGATACGACATGACGGGATATTATAATTTCAAAAGCTGTTCGAATAATAGGTATTCAATTGACAATGGGTGCAAAAGGGCGCGACCCCAAAAGAGCCTCCCGCAGAGCCGCATCCAACACTTCAACTATTATCGTCTCCAATCCAGCGCCTCACCATACGAGAACTAGAATCCAGTCAATTTTACAGCGTCGTCGTTAAATTAATTTAAATTAAGTCCAAGCCGAATAAAGCTTGAGTCTGATATATAAACCTTACTAATATCTCGAGTGCTACCGGCTTCCCATCCGTCATCTTCTCCCTTCGAGCGCAAAGGTTCGTCACATCTAGAACATATTCTGCTAGGCTCTCGTTGTCCCGGAAGAGCCGGTCGACGTTTTGGGGGTAGCGAGAACTCTTTATTGCAATTATCACATTTCCAAGTTTCCTGTGCTCTTCCTTGCGTCGTTCGATACCCTTGGGATAGCTGCCAAGCCCGATTCAGGCCAGCATCTAAGCTTGGGAGATTAGTAACCTCATTCCGTAAATGGGTGTACAAATTCAGAGACGCCTGTGGCGTATGGAAAGAATGTTTGACTCGATCCACCAGGAGGGTATCGAGATAGACGGTGAGAAGGCCTTCAAGTAAAATGATATAAGGTCGTGTATGGCTGTCGTTATCCGCCGTGGCGAGAATCCTGAAGTTCGGCCTATGGCCCTTCGCAATCATAGCTTCGTGGAGTGTCTTCCCCACTGTATTACTCTGGGTTGCCTTCAATGCACATTCGAGGTAATATCGGATTCTTGTCCACAACCCTTTTTCAGCCGTGCCAGAACCAACATATGCCCCTTGTCCTATGAAGTTAATATAGACGCCTATGCCGTTATATCCCCATAACGGCGCTGGTAAATCCTGAAGGAGGGTATCAACTTGGACTTCAGGTTTTCCAAGGGCCGCTTGGACGGGTTAGGGTTAGGGTTAGGGTTAGGGTTAGGGTTAGGGTTAGGGTTAGGGTTAGGGTTAGGGTTAGGGTTAGGGTTAGGGTTAGGGTTAGGGTT